ATCGGTCTCTGGTACCCAATGTCTCCAAAGGGCTTGTCGTTCCGTTTTTGAGGCAACGACAGTGGATTGGATATTTGAGTTTGGCGCAAAGGCCTCCGCGCTGAGCAAGAGAAGGGAAAGGCAGGCAATGGAACGGATCATGATTATTGTATTGTAGTATTGTAGTATTGTATTGTGTTTCTGTGTTTCTGTGTTTCTGTGTAGGGTGTTGAAATAAGACTGGTTCTGTCTTGTGCTCCAAGTGGCTAGCGTTCTTTGTTGCTCTGGTTAGGTGGTGCAGTAGCTGACGATGCACTGTACTGGTATTTAATACCAGGTAGGTTGTAAGAGCCTTTTATGAATGAATCTTTTGCTGATGCAGAGGCTCAACGTGTTCTGGTTTCTGAGATGGTCACATAAATTTTAGTATGGCGCACCGACATTTTTGTGACGTCAAACAAATCATGACGCGCCGAAAATTTGAAAATGTTCTTTCTCCTATTCTCCAATTCCTACCTAACGCAGCCAGAATTTGGAAAAGGGCTTTTTTTTAGAAAGATGAGTTTGAAATACTACCGGTACACGATGGGAAATCAATGATTTGTGATGAATGCAATTCTAATTTTACATGTTATACATTGCGTCTATAAAGCGAAGTATGTTCAACGATGCCAGCCACGTTGGCACATTCTTCTTGTGGCCTGATCCATGATGATTGATTCATTCAGATTATCTTCGCTTGGACAGTTTGTAGCTTGACTTGCGTTCATCATTTGAAGATTTTTTGGACAGCAAGGGCGCTGACAATTTTCCTCCCTTACCCTTGCTGGACTTGGAACCAGCTTTCTTGGTTGACATGGTGACGCCCTTTCCAGGAGTACTACTGTCAGTATCCTCGTCTGTGGTGTCGTCCTCGCCATCCACATCACTGTCCATGGCTTCGTCAGTGCTGCTGCTTCCTTTACCGCTCTTGGAAGACATTCCAGACTTTTTGCTAGATTTTGTTGTCATACCTTTGCCAGAGGCCATGCCTTCATCCATATCTTCGTGCATGTCCTCACCGTCCGTGGCATCGTCACCGTCCACGGCTGCTTCATCGTCCATTTCACCGTCCATTTCACCGTCCATGGCTTCATCGCCATCCATGTCTGAATCAGTGGCTTCGTCACCTTCCATGGCTTCATCACCATCCATGTCATTATCCACAGGTTCATCACCATCCATGTCACTGTCCACGGGCTCATCACCATCAATGGCTTCATCGCCATCCATGTCACCATCCATGGCTTCATCATCCTCTGGGTGCTCATCCATGCTGCTGCTTACGGATGATCCCTTTCCTCCCTTTCCAGAAGATGATCGCTTGCTGCTCTTGGAAGTAGACGTTCCCTTGCCCTTGCCACCCTTGCCACTGGAGGTTTCTTCTTCGTCACCATCCACATGCTCATCTTCGTCTTCCACGCAGTCGCTGCTGCTGCTGCTGCTGCCCTTTCCACTGCTGCTGCTGCTGCTGCCCTTTCCACTGCTGCTGCTGCTGCTGCCCTTTCCAGACTTCTTGCTAGTACTCGATCCCTTTCCTCCCTTTCCGGAGGATGATCGCTTGCTGGACTTGGAAGAATGACTGGATGTGGAAGAACTGCACTTTTTGCTTCCCTTCTTGCTTCCCTTGGAGGACCCCAATTCATCATCGGTACCATCGCCCTTGGAGGATGGAAGCTCGTCGTCGGTGCCATCGCCCTTGGAGGACGGAAGTTCGTCATCGGTACCGTCGCCCTTGGAGGATGGAAATTCATCATCATCGATAGGCGTGGTAGGGGCAAGGGAGGGCATGTCTGATGGCATGTCAGATGGCATGGTAGAGGTCGAGGGTGCCGCACTTGGACGGCCATCTCCCTTTGAGGATGGGAGCTCATCATCATTGATTGGTGGTCGATCACCAACATTCTCCTGTTCGACTTCACCATCGTTAATACCAGGAGCTGTTGTTGCAAAGTTGTAGTGGATGGTGTAATCTACTGTTTCCAAGCCACGGAAGTAGTCTCTTCGTAGGCCCCGATTGTGTCGTCGGTAGAAGTGACCCTTTTGTGCCACTGCTAGACATGCACATGCAAGTAGGAGGAGTGAAAGTTGCTTCGTACAGATCATGTTGAAATACTGCAGAAATTATTTGGTTTTGTTCGTGTAATGTGATTGTGAGAGTGGGCGTTGTTGGGAGATGAGGAAACGGTTCTGTCTTTGACCACGGGAATTTGGTGATTTGTGGCGACTTTCCTAGTAAATCGGTCCGACGCGCGCTTGAACGGCAAAAATAGCGGTCAAATATGTCGCAGCTTTTTCGTCGCGATAAATATGCCGCACTTTTTTTGTGCGAGTGGCGAAACAACGGCCACATTTTCATGGGGAAAATTTGAAGGTTCTCACAGGTTTTTTTTCTTCGAAAATCAATTGACAGTAACCGCCAAGGCACTACATCAACTGACTTGTTATGAGGGATGGATTCAAACAAAACTTTCGCAGCGGCATTTGCTGAAAGTGGCATCCCTTTTATCAATAAAAAGGAGACAGAAGATGAGACAAGCAACGACGTTTCTCGATTTTGACGGCGGGTCTAGTATGACTTTGTCCTGTTAGAGGAATATATAAAAAGAAATGCCCGATTGGACTCGACGGCTGGAAATATGAATTCATGACTGATCGACTTAGTATGGTACTGTTTCGCACTCTGATGGATTGCTTAGACTGAAGAAGTGATCGAAGGTGACATGGTTCTTCTACCGTCGTGGTGGGTGAGGTCATTATCAATCAAGTCGAGTGCGAATACAGGGAAACTCGGAGCTGCGGTATACTTACCCTCTACTGTAGCCTTTGGCTCTTTTTCTTGTTGCCTTGCAGCTTTTCATATAAGAGCGTTCGCCTTCATTAGGGGTTGTCAATGAACCCAACCCATCTCTACCGGTACTTCCCATTTTTTGTTTGGTCGGAGCAGTCGGCCCAATGGATGCAATTGCAGTTTCCCCTTTTGTAGATGTGCGAAACTTCCGTAAGGAAAAACGGTACTTTCTATCATCTTAATATCTATTGGTTTGCTTATTATTCGTTCATTCCCCATTCGCAAAAGGATGCACCAGATCAAATAATGTGTGTCTGGTATGTACAGGTCGTTCTGGGTGCATCGTTGGAGAAAAATTAGCTTGTACTGCAGGTAGCTAGCGAGTAGCAGTGGAAGGGCTGTTTGTGTCCTGGAAGGCATTCTAGAACCCCCAATCGTCATCGTCATCGTCATTATTGTCCTCCTCATCGCGATTCTCGCTATATTCTGGGATTGACATGGTTTGTCGCACCTCTATTGTTGATGAGTGACTGGAGGATTCGCGATCTTCTCCATTCATTCCCATTTCAAATTGGGAACTTCTTTCTTCAGCTGTCAAGTTAGAAAGACAGGGAACGGTCTTGGCCTTGGTCAATCGTTGGGAAAGGGGGAAGAAGACAGGTGCATCATATTCACAATCTGTATCATCTTCGGGGTGTTCCAGGATGGAGTCCAAAGAATGCGCTTCATGAGCATGGAAGAGTCGCAAGAGCCGTGTTGCTTGTTCGAAACTGTCTTCTGAAGGCTGGTATGTGAACGACCTCTTTCGTCTGGCACGCAGACAATAGCTTCTAGAGTGTTGGAAAGACTTCTCAAGAGGCTGATGCGGCGGAATGTCGCTGTGTAGGACCATTGGCTGGTGGCTATTCGTTTCTTTTCGGAGTGTGTTTTTTTGTGATGGGTGGTGAGTGATTTTCAAAAACGGCAGTGGAAGCGATGACATTTGGAGCTTCCCTTTCCGGTAGAATTCAGTACTGAGGCTACGACATGCTGTACGTGGGATCGGCGAGTGATGTTTTGCTTCGCGTTTTACGACAGAACATCCTCGAATGCCATGATTGGTTTCAAATGTCTACCAAAATTGTAAAAGACTAGACCGTTGGGGGGAAACGCGGGTCATTTTGTTCAAACTTTCGTCATGACTGGCGGTAAATAAGGCCCAATGTCACAGGGGATATTCTTCCGCATGCACATCTATCGGCGTCTGTCCGAGTTGATACGTTGGTTCGTCTTTACTCTTGGTTCGTCCACGTGTACCGGTACACGTACCAGATACATACATACAATACGTGAAAATAAAAAGGTTTCACCTTTACAACACCACCTTATCCCAAACCATTCGTTCGATCTACCACAAACAAGCTTCTACGAGTCCCCCGTGTCAAAACAGTAATACCATGCAACACTTGACTAGCATGCTCAACGATGGAACCTTTTGGTAGTTCCAGGATATGCAATTTGTCCCTGACAAAAAAGCACAACCACCCTCCATCATAGTACTCGATAGGACCGTTCAATGCAATCTGAGTTGTATGAGTAGCACATGGACGATCGCAATGAAAGTCGATGCAAGCGCCGGTGGGACCAGTTGCCATCCGTAGAACAATGTATGGATCAGTAGCTTGGGATGATTGCGATTTCAGATTGAATAAGACGGACTTTTTGCTAGTAGTGGAATTGGCATCGTCAAGTGGAGCCAGCAGCTTGACAAAGCATTCGTCTGATACTCAGATCCACAAAGCCGAATGATTCATTCACCGATCCAAAAGACTCGAGCTACAAAAGAAAACGAGGAACCGATTAGGCCATTGAATCTGTTTGGAGTTGAGAACAGTCATTTCCTTTTCGAATCGGAATGATGATTCCAAGGACGCATTTTCGTCTTTGACTTTTTTACAGAATGCGTCTACAGGAATATCAGCTTGGGATCGATCATGGTCAGGCAAGAGGAGATACCGAGTCAACGGATCCTCGGAATCTTTGGAAGTGAATGTGCTGATCATGCCCACTTGGCCCATGACCAAATATATCTTTGAGTCTCGTACAATTACAATACCACAGGCATCGAGCGTTTGGGGATTACCGCCAAGTTGCCGTTCATCATCGATTAGCAACCTAATATCGTCCACCGGTATCTCCGTTCTGCCATAGATTTGATATTTGAAATTCAAAATGGCGTCGGTTCCTTTGAAAATGGAAGAATGAGTCGGTCGTCACTTTCATATCCAGAACTTGTACTGGAATCTTTGCGCGTTCCAAAATGACTGGCGGTCCTTCCAAACTAGAGAAGCTACAATCATCCGCCAATGGTTCTCCACCGCAAGACAACAATTGCTCATCCACCGGAATTTCAAGTTTGCTTTGAATCTTATTCTTGAAGTCTCCAATTGCATCGGACGGATCTACATAGAACATAATAATTTGTATCATAGACATGAAATAATACGGATGGATGGCAGGACTTGTACTTCATCATCAGTCGGTTTCGCAGCCTTTTTTGGAACGACAGAAGCAGAATCTCCCCATTGGCCTTTCGTTTGCCGCCGCTCATTATTGGCTTTGGACCTCGTTAGTGACCACTGATGAGAACAACCCAGCAGAGTTTCCGTGCTGATTCAAAGAAGACACGGTCAGATAATGCAACTCGCCGTAAGCACGGTTGGAAATCCTCTGGTGCAATCATTGCAAGTGGGTACAATCATTGCAATTTGAAATTGGGTGTGTGAAATCCGAATGCCCTTCCATGTTGATTTCTACTAAGCTAGTACCTCTCTAAAAAGGCCGGGTCATTCATTGTTCGCCAGGTCATCACGCGACCAAATAGTGGGCAAGCGGACGTACCTGTCTTGGTCTTTTTTTGCTTGTTAGTGAAAGGAAAGCGGCCTTATAACAATCAAACGCACCACTTTGCTTGTGTAGTTGTCAGCTCTACCATTGTAGGACAACACCAAGACTACTAAATTCACAGGTCCTATTCATCATCGAATCGTATTTGGTCATCATCATTGATCAACGGATAGTCTGCACCAACCACTTTGTTTCAGAATTCACGGACATTGCACCTGAGAAAACGGGACATCATTTTGTCCAGCCAAGCGCACAACAAGCACAAACACACCACTGCCAATCCATTGGAATCATAAATACAGCTAAGCTGTCTTTCCAAGTCTCTTCTATATAGAAAAAAGGCGACAAGATTAGAAATTCACGCAACATGCCGCGGGTGGGGGATGGGACCTTTGGGCAGTCGGGAAACTATGTTACGAACGCGTCTTCAGACGACAGTCTAGATGCCATGATTGCAGCTTCAAGCCAGCAACAACGGATATCAGCCGCACCGATGTCAGCACCCAAAGCCAATGCCCAAAGTCCAGTCCCATCGAGTATTCTTCGAACTGGGTCTCATTATGATGGAGCTGCCTTGAGTCCCATTCGTCAGGGAGCTGCCTTGGAATTGCCCACTACCAATTCCGCATTGCCCCCGCGAGGAGCACCTGTATCCACTAGTCGAGTTCGTGTCCGTGCGGCCGAATCGAATTTCCGACTAGGTAGTGGCTCTTCTTCTGTGAACAGCAGTCGACAACAACATTGGGGCATGGAATTGCCCACGACTATTGAAACCACGACCAGCCAGAAACCAGAGACGACGATAATGTCTCGCACCAAAGTACGAGCTGCAGAAACCCGAAGTCGAAGGGATGACAGTATGCAATTGCCTTCCACACGGGTTGTCAGTGATACCGATGTCGGAACTTCCAATAAAAAGCAAATATGGAGGGCAGCTGAATCTGGTTCATCTCCCTTGTTGCCAGACTATTCATCCAACGACAACAATCATAATAGTAACAACAGTGCCAGTCGTCGAAGACGGGGAGCTCCAGCCCAACGAGCGCCTCCGGATCGATCGAGGACGCGTTCGACGCCTTCCTTGCGGAAAATTGTCATGCGTGGGGTGAACGGTGGCACGTCACCCGTTTTGCCACAAACGACATCCGAATCCATGTCAGCAGCGGGTCCGTCCATGCCGCAACGTCAGACGAGTGGTGGTGGTATTCGAAGGCGAACGGCCTCTACCACTGGTTCGGACGATGAGGATCTCTACAGTTATCCCTCGCGAGATTCTCCCTACAAGTTCAAAAGGAGTCGAAAACATGGGAATTGGTACAGTTGGAGGAATTTGACACAACTGAAAGTGGGACACATGGCACAAGCGCTCTTCATTTTGGCTGTGACTGTTCTGGTGTACGAATCGCACAGCAAGGCTATCTTTGCGGCCAATCAATTGAGTCAATTCAAAGAAGAGGAGTCTCTCTTGTTATTGCATCTCCAAAAAATTGAACAGCAATCGATTCAACTGCACGAGAATCTCAGTCGATTGGCCCAATCTGGTGGTCCGATGGAACCCCTCATGGAAGAAGTCGAAAAGAGGGCCGAGAGTGGTGATGTGGATTTTGATTTGATTCACAAGCAAACGCAGCAATTGTATCAAATGGAAGAAGAACTCAATCATGAGGTGCGCACGCTGCAAGCCAAAATCCAACAGTCGGCAAGAAATCACATTATTCAAGCCTTTGGAGAAGGTCCCGTCCAAGTCATTTTAGAACTGGAATTTCCCGAACAGAGTAGCAGTGCCAATCAAATTTCCATTTTGCTTTGGCATGATACTCCGCATGCAGCCTGGACGTGGTTGGACCAAATTGGAAAGCATACTTGGGATGGGGCCAAATTTAGTTGGCAACAAAGTCACATGATTGATGCCATTCCGGTCCATGTCGACCACAGTGGTTCCCGCATTGAATTTGTCGAGCAATCCCAACATGGGCACGACGCCTGGACAGTGGGGTTGCGGGAGTCAGACATGGGAGACTTGCAAATGTTTTTCAATCTGCAGGACAACAGCAACATTCACAAGCATGAAGTGTGTGTTGGAAAGGTCATTGACGGATTTGATGTTTTGCAGCATTTGTTGGAGACATCACGTGCGCAAAAGAAGAGCGATGACAATGTCATTCGCGTTCGAACCGCAACTGCCATGCACGTGACACGAGTTGAAAATTTATAACGACGAAATATAGTTTGATAGAAGATAAGCTATGTAAAATCGAAATGTTACTGACACTGTCCCTCTGTTTTCGATGTCAAGTACTTTCACTCCGGGTGGGCCATTCGCAAGTCTCGTCCCCTAGCTTGCTTTGCCTGCTCAGCTATTTCTCGCAAAAGCGACGGTCGTAACTTTGAACCAGGTGTTCGACACTCTTACTCATGTTCACATAATCAAATACTTCTTCTGTCCTATTGGAAGCACTGTCACTCGTCGCACTAAAATAACTCTTCTTGATATACGGAAAGTTTTCCCAGATAAACGCGTCATTTAATGTGCCCCACCGCTTCAGAACAAGTGCAGAAGCTCCTGGAGCAAGAAACCAAGCCAGGTAACTGGCCCCACCTGCCATCGATACCAGCACTTTGGCAGTTGAAGCCAGCTTCACCTGGGCTCTTGTGCCATGAATAGAAAAATCAACAACTGTGACGTTTTCGTTCGGAAGAGTCTTTTGGAGCTCAGCTATCAGCTTGTCGTCATGCCATCCACTGATTCTGTTGGAATCGGGTCGTCGAGGAACTATGAGGATCGAAGCAGACTCTACCCCAACTTGACACAATCGGTTGGACAAGTGACGATTTGGATCAAGGCCCAAGCGTATCATGTATTGATCCCGAAATTCCAGTAACTTGTCTCCCGAGCCGGTCAGAAAAGTATTGAACCCATCACCGTGCCTTGCCGGATCTTCCCCATGGTCGGCGTAGTAATACAAACCGGACAGCACATTTTCAAAACATAGAAGCGGGAGTGACGACGGGTTCAGTTTCATTTGCTGATGCTGTTTTGCGGAAATATCCAAGGCCGCTTTGTAGTAATTCCTGAAGATTCCCTTTACATGAAACGGTGTTCCGACTGGACCTTTTAAGAAGGGGTCGAAAAGTTGTGACAACATCGAACAGCGATCGCCACACTCATCTTTGTTCACACAATCGGCACGTATGGGAAGAAACTGAAGCTCAGGATGGTATAATCCAAAATTCTTGAGGATACGAAACATGGCGAAGACATTATCGCCCTACATTATGAAAGTTGTCAGCCAAAAGGTATCCATGAAAATCAACAAGATCAAATTAGACTCACCAACACATGACCGAAGTTGGTGCACTGGTGCGGTCGGAATGGGATTGCAACTGGTATTGGCGACCAGTGCTTTCGGTACAAAGCAGCAGTTGATTGGTTGACAATCCTTGGGGTCATGTAGAGGCCGTCCCGTGACTTCTGGAGACTCGGCCCCATCTGAAGACCCTGCGGTTTAGTCATTGTCTTCAATTGGGATGGATTATTGAGGAGCTCTTTCTCCGTGTCATCTGCTTGATCATGTGTAATGTATATCAAGCTGAAGCCACGCATTTTGGCGTCAATATAACCCAATAAAGGGTGCTTTCCTGGTGCAAAACAAACATCTGTGAAGTGACATGATCTGTACATGGCAACGTCTAAAGTTCGTTCTCTCTCAATTCGTTCTGGTCTTGGTCCAAGGCACTGGTGCGTGGAGAAGGAACGCCTGCGCCCTAGACCTGTCGCACTCCGATCATAGCTGTCGGTTGTGGAGACTCCCGATTTTTGGTCCGTTGGCAATGATGCCACGTTATCTGCTGTGAACAAGGTCAGATACGACGTACGCTCCATAAACCTTAAAACCAAAACAAGCAGAATTATGGGCCACAGACTCCGACGCCTTGTTATATAGGCCAGCATCGTCGTGGCGTGGTGCCCATGGGGAGGTGCAAGCAGATAGTTATTGTAGGAGCTACTATGACAGTATTTATATCAAGATTCGCTCAAAAGTGACTAACTCGATCATACCGATAGAGTGACTATTGAGAGGACTGACTGACTGACGGACGCCACATTCCTACCGGTACAGTTGCAGTATGCCTACAGTACCTCTGATGAATACCTACCAGGTACCTACGATGCCGCTATTACACGAATCCTTTACAAAATGAGGACTACAAAGCATTCCTTATAACGAAATGGCAAAAGTGCGATTTGCAGATTCATTATATTCTTCTACGTTCCCCTTTACCTTCATGGATGAACCTTCTTCCACTCTCACAACAAGTGTATCGTCGAGATCTTGCAGTCTTCTCTTTTTCACCGGGGCCACAAATCTGCAAACTCCCAAATTGGCTAGTTTTCTATCTCCCTTTGACACTTGTGATCATTACGACTGTCTGGTTCTTCAATCTTCACAAAAGCGACGATTGTAATGCTGAATCAAACCTGCGACACTTTTGGCCATTTCCGCATAATCAAAAACTTCCGGTACTGCTGTACAGTCTGTGGCATTGAAATATTCTTTTCTGATATAAGGCAAATTGTCCCAGATGAAACCATCATTGACCTTGCACCTTCGCTTTAGAAAAAGTGCTGATGCGCCGGGACCCAGGAACCAAGCGAGGTAACTGGCCCCACCTCCCATTGAGACCAGTACCTTGGCCTTCGAAATTAGCTCGACCTGAGCCTTGACAGTATATGTTGAATAGTCATCAACAGCTACCTTTTCATCGGGCAAGATCTTTTGGAGCTCAGCAATCAGCTTTTCGTCGTACCAACCACTTTGCCTACTGGTTTCGGGTCGTCGAGGAATGACAACGATTGAAGCAGAATCTCGCGACGCACATGGTCTTTGTAGATGACGATTGGGATCCAAACCCAATCGTATCATGTACTGATTTCGAAACTCCCGCACCTTGTCCCCCTTCCCGACAAGAAACAGATTGGACCCATTTTCATTTTCCTTGCCCCCATGCAAGGTTGGGTCTTCCCCATGATCCGCATAGTAGTACATACCAGATAACACGTTTTCGAAGCAAAGTAATGGTAGTGACTGTTTTTCTCGTCTTTGCCGATAATGAGCTGTGGACATATTCATCGCTGTCTTGAAGTAATACTGGAAGGCTGTCAGTTTGTCGCCATCTTTTAAAAAGGGGGCCATTACTTTGGAAAGGACCTTACAACGATCGAAACAAGAGCACTGGTCCAAACAAGCATCTTCGTCAGCACACTCTATCCGCATTGGAAGAAAGTCGAGTTCTGGGTGGTACAGTCCAAAATTCTGAAGGATTCGAAAGATGGCAAAAGCGTTATCGCCAAGAGCATGCCCAAAATTGGTACACTGGTGTGGGAGAAAAGGTATCGCCACGGGTATGGGAGACCAAAATCTCTCGTGGAGAGCCGCAGTGGATTCATTTATTATCCGAGGAGTCGTGTAGAACTTTCGCTTTGGAAACATGTGGCTTGGCCCACCCATGAGACCCTGGGGTTTGATGATGGTTTTGATGAGTTCTGGATTTTGTACGTAGTCGGAATTGTCACCATCCTTTGTGATGTATATCAAACGGAAACCCTGGAATTCTGTGTTCGAGGCTTTGTACAGAGGGTGTCCATCGGGTGCAAAACACACATCCGTGAAATGGCAGGATCTATACATGCGCACTTTGGTACGTTGTGGCGCCTCGATTTGCCGTGGACCCAGACAATAGTGAGTGGAATGGGAGCGCCTTTTCCCTAGACCAGCGACACTCAGATCATAGTTTATCGTTTCTGACTTCTGTTGTGTAATATCATTCAATTTGTTGGTCGTCAGTGTTTGGTTGTCGGAGGCGGTGTAGGCTTTTGACAAAGGCTGAGCCATGGTGGTTGACCTTGATGACGGCCATTCATTGTGGCTCAACACAAGAGCAAGCAGAAGCACCGGAACCAGCAGCTTCTGATGCCTTGCTACCGGTATTTTGGTAGACATTGTTGCACGTTGATCATGTTCTCGTGTCGAGGTTTATTTTGAGTCCGGGTCATTTCGTTCGACATCACCACCAAAAAAATTCCCGCGCCAGATTTCAGATTTGACACAAAACTTCTTTCTTGTTCCAAACAAATTTGACTCACACAGCCAGTCGTCAGCAAGAGCATACAACGACCTTACGCCCATTGCAACAATCACACGCTTAAAATACCATTCACAAACACACACTACATACAGCATCATACAACATCATGTTACTTTGCCACAATTTCAAGTGCTATCAGACCAAAGAAACCATGAAACAAAAAAATTCGACAGCAGGCTTGTCGGCAGTGGCCGGAATTCTGAAACGTCGGGTGCAGCACATCTACAACTTTCCATTGGACTGTCATGGCTTTTATGCGATGGATGCCGTGAGCGCTCTGGTACGGGCAGGACTTGCTACAAATGAAGAAGAAGCAGTCGCTCTGGGGCAGTCGCTGGAACGATTGGGGTTCATCAAGAACATGAAGGGCGACGACACGTTTGCGGATACTCGACAATTTTATAGCTTTCTGGGGGAACACAGTTATAGGGAGGACACAGACTACGATAGTCATGATACTTGGGCAGCTGAAGTAAATGAAGCCAATGACTTGTTATGGACCAAACTGGAACCCAAGGACCACAAGTATCATCGACGGACGTATCAGGATACCTTTTTGGGAACGGAAGTGGTCAGCCTATTGTTAGTGTCTGGGTTTTCATCCTCACGAGAAGATGCCCTTTTGCTAGGTAGAGCCGTGGAACACGCTTGCAGTTTATTCCGACACGTTACCAATGATCACATTCTGGAAGACAAGGAGTTATTTTATGTTTTCAACCAGCTAACAAGACACAAGGCCAAATGCTCAGGCCACTTTTCATAGTGGCCAACTTCTTTGGATATCAAATTCTGAAAGATTAAATTGTAAAATTATAATTTCTTAACGCCTTTCTTCAGATAATTACCATTGCTATCGTTCAGCGATCGCACAGTATCAGACCAACAATCATGATGTTTGCAAATGAATGACGAGAAGAACAAGAAGAAGTGACATTCGGATGCTCCGTCCCTAACATAGTCAATCACGTGTTTTATTACAACCACCAAAGACCCGCGTTGATAGTGACAGGCATTTCGATCCAGGCATTTCGATCCACTTCCTCACGGCTTCCATTCATTGTTGATGTACAGTACCAGGTACTGCCTGGTGTTTTACACAACGACTTGGCAGACTAACTCCAATTGACTTCCCCGACCCATCATGCCATCACCCAACTACAGTACCTTTATTGAAATTCAACGGCTCAACAAGGGGCCAAGAGGGCAAACCATCAGAAGGATCCTATGCACGGTGATATTAATACGAGACGCTCCTCTGCAAACTAAGTTTGTTGACTAATTCCGCAAGTCTGTGCTGGAGAGGGGGGGGGGGGCGGATCATGCTGAAGACGAAATTTGCCTCTTTCATATAAAATGAAAAAACAATCTAGTTTTTTGTGACCAGGGGACACCAGCGCAGTCGCCTTAGCTATCCAAATTATATATTGAAAAATCGTGATCTCCCGTTGCTTGTAATACAATAGCACTAATAGTGAGAAACTATTTACGAATTTTATGCATGGTGCTTGTGAATAATCATCGTCAGCGATGAGGATACCCAAGACAGCGACAATCGCCACTGTTGTCATGACTAGTTCACATTTATTTACAAAATCCCGTGGTTTACATATCCCTTGCAAAACCGTCGACTTGAGGCATGATCGTCTCCAATTTCATAGTCGTCGCCTTGCCTTGATTGACAAAAAAGTGATTGACGATTGAGTCAGTCAGTCAGTCAGCCAGTCAGTCCTCAGTCAGTTAGCCGTCATTCCTCTTAGGCCTTCAGCATGGCCAAGCCTTCCTTTACTCCAGAACGCAAGTATCCAGTGAACATGAGATCGATGTGGAATACAATGAGAAGAGAGATGGTAACGGCTCTTCGCAAAGGAGACATCGTCTTTTTCGTTTGAACCGATTTTTCGGTTCCGTCCTCCGCGTAAGAAGTTTCTGTGAAATCATTTTCATCAAAGGTGGATCGAATGTAGAAGATGGATGCCATGGCAGCAAATAGTGTGCAAGTGGCTTTGTAGGGGCAGACCATTGTTGTAAAGTGGTTTGATGGAATGTGACGGACGAGGTGAAGTAGATGTACTGTAACACAACGGAAAATTATTCTGCGCTGAATTCAAACGTCAAAGCTTCTTTGTCACTTTTGGCAATCTTGCCACGAGTCAGTGAGACTCACAGATGGTATCCTCGGAATCTCCGGGTGCTTTAGCATCCACACTGCACGACTTCAACGTCATCCCGAGTGTTCGGTGACGGAGTGTGAGTCAGTCTCAATCTCAGTCATTCATTCGTCAGTCAATTGATCCTTTGAGTCAAAATTCCGGATCATATCAAATAAATTCAAAATGCAAAAGCTGCTCGTCATCGAAAAAGCGTTCGGATGACGTCATGTAGAGAAGGACAACATCAACATCATCATCGATTGGTGTCAACATTTTGGAAAGTTCACGAACCGGCGAAATCGACCACTACCAGGTGTGTCTCACTCAACCTCCTCTCATTATTTTTCTACTGGTGATTGACATCACAAGTTAGTCCTATTCAAAGACAGCCAAAAGACAAGAATTACTATGGGCGCAGGTGCGAAAGAATATCCCAAGCAATACTTTGCGGCGTCAGCGTTGGCATCAGCCCTTGGCTATCCATTGTGGAGGGCAGCAGCCATCGGTCAGTCCGGATTCCAAATGAATTCCATTCATGTTGGAGGTGTGGCAGTGCCTCGATCCGTGACCCCTTATGTATACGGTTTCTTGCCTCCCTACAAGGGAATGGTAGCCACTGTTTTTGGAATGGTAAGTTATACTGTCTTGTGTTTCTTCTCAATTCTCAAGTTTTGGCGACACGCTTCTCACATACCACTTTTTTCGTCGTAGACATGGGCCAGAGCATCAATCTTTTGGATGAGTGACTATGGTCACGAGGTCTTGCTGAACCAGGGATACTCCAAATCGGTGGCGACTGTTGCACCCCCATTGGCGGTCTCAGCCTTGGTACAAGTGTTGAACCAACCGATCGTCCGAAGCACAGTGACGCTACAAGATCCCAAGTACAATTTGCCAAATGTCTTCTCGTCAATACGGCAAATTTATGCCACCCATGGAGTGACCGGTTTGTGGCATGGTACAACCGCTGGTATTTTGAAGACTGTTCCAAAGTATGTCACAGCTATCGCTGTCAAGGACATCATGGAAGAGACTCTACCCCAACCGGATCCATCCTCTCCCACCTATGAGTCGGATCGTTTCTATAGAACCGTCATCAAGTCCGCTTCGGCAGGAGTAGCGGGGGCAGCGCTGACAAACCCCCTAGACGTCATCAGAAACGAGCAATTCAAGACTGGTACTGGAATTCGTTCAACCGTTCAGCAGTTGTGGAGCGAAATGGGTCCCAAATTCATGGTCCGAGGACTTGGAAAGAACATGATTGCAGTGGCAATGCCGGTTGGAATGACCATTTTCTTCACGGATCTCTTTGTTCAACAAAGCATCGACGAGGAGCACAAGCGATCACTGACAGCCTAAATATATAATTGGGGTGTCTGTACAGTATACATAGTGTTCTAAGTTTTAGTTTAACATATCCATACGATAGGTGACAAGAGTTCTAATTCGTAGTTTTACAGAACCAGTCGATACTGTGTACGTGTGATGGTCTCTTTACCTTCCTGACTGAAAAACGAGAGTGTCGAAAAAATGAGACATTCTTCAAATTGTGAGCGGGGGTCGCGCGAAAATGAATTCGAAAGAATTTTGAAAAACTGCACAACATTACTGTAGGAGAGCGCATTTCCCATCAGAAGAACAGCAAGAATTCCGATCGTTCCAGTTTTAATGTACATGAGGGGTACGGCAAAGCAACACATGACAACATGTCAGAGCGGAGTGAAGGTTTCGTTAGGAATAAGCAAAATCTTGTGCTTTGGGGCACATTAATAGCAATCGCACTCTTGAGATACTTGTACGTTGCAATTTGTGGTGTAGGACAACGACCAGTGGAAGCACCTGCGGGCGCAGAGGACGCAGAAGCCCAAAGTCGCAACAAGGCTGCAGAAGAAAGGTTAATCAATTTATTGGACAAAACAACAGGGGTAAGACATCTGGAGCTAGTAGTATTCTGCAAAAAAGTGCGAACCAATTTGATGCTCATCGGGTTTTCATCATCCCACAGCCTTTCAAAGCAACAAAGACAGAGGGAGAAATCGCAGAACTAGAAACCGGAGAACTAGAAACCGCACAGGGTGATATTGAAGAAGGAGTCGTATCAAGTGGCGACTCTGATGAAAACGGGGTCCAGACAGTTTCTAATGCATGTGCAGTTTGCTTGGAACCGTTTGACGAGGGCGAAAGGGTTGTGAGCTCCGTGAAGACAAAAGGATGCCCACACATATTCCATGAAGAATGTTTGAAAGAAGTAATTACGGCTTCAACAAGTAAGGGGATCTACAGCGTCCCTTGCCCCTGCTGTAGACAAACATTTGTGGAGACGGGACCCACCAAAGTCTCGTCATAGTGGAGACTGCCGGATGTTGGAGTGGGTTCAGGACAGACAGTCACACAATCAATCTGTAAGTATTCGCCTTTTTGTTTATAGGATAAGTTCAGCGCTGTCAGGAGTAGATTTAGGTCAGACCGACACACAATCCGGCCAGAAGGACTTGCTTCTGGTCGAGAGGTCAAATTTAGCGCTGTCACTGGAGTTAGTGTAGATATAAATTCTTGTATTGTAGTATTGTAGAAAGCATCTATTTAGAAGAGCTAGATTGCGGAAGATTTTATGATGGGCATGCATGTACTATAGTAACGGAAGGTTCTACCATTGAAACGAGCAAGATTCAAATTGTGAGCGTGGTCGCGCGAAAAAATGCTGATAAAAACAGCGCAGCGCGTTTCGCAATGAATTCCGATCCGTAGATCTTCCCACATGAGGATACGCCGAAGCAACACATGGCAACATGTCGGAATGGGGTGATAACATCATTAGGAATAAGCAAAGTCTTGTGCTTTGGGGTTCAGTGACAGTAATCGCAATCATTAGATATGCGTATGACTCAAGATGTGGTGGACGACGACAAGTTGAAGTACCTTTAAACCCAGAGGAAGCAGAAGCGCAAAGTCGCAACAAAGCTGCAGAAGAAAGTTTAATCAATCTTTTGGTTGAAACATTAGAGGTAAGGAATCTTGATATATGTGACACACGATTGCGAGGCAATTTTTGGATGCTCATCAGATTCTCGTTTTCCGACAGGTTTTCGAAGCACCAATAAAGGCAAAGAACGGAGAAATCGCAGAACAAGAAGCCCCAGTGGGCGATATAGAAGAAGGGGAGGACTCAAATGGCGACTCTAATGAAAAAGAGGTTCAGACATTCTCTAACGGATGTGCAATTTGCTTGGAAGAATTTGAAGAGGGCGACAGGATTGTTCACTCCGTGACAACGAAAGGATGCCCACACATATTCCATGAAGAATGTTTGAAAGAAGTAATTGCGGCTTCAGCAAGCAAGGGGATATATAGCGTCCCCTGCCCCTGCTGTAGACAAACGTTTGTAGAGACTGGTTCCTCTCCTGAAGTCTCGGCATAGAAGGGAGGAGACTGTAGTAAGGCCTGGTGTAGATTTAGATTTTCATGTTGTAGAAAGCATCTATTTAGAAGAGCTAGAGTGCTGAAAATTTTGCGATGGATGATAAAAGTAGTTTCGAATGATACATTGCATTCAAAGCTACAGCACTTGAGGGAGTACTACCCTACCGGTATATCACTTTGAGGGATCATCGACAAAAGATGCACGATTGACGGCGAAAACGGACAGGCGGGATTCCATTTTTCTGGAACTGGATCGAAGTGCGCGACGAGAAAAAGAATTTTCAGATCCATAAAAAATATTGTAAAATCTGACACCGTTGGCCGCATCATCATCATCATCATCCAGAGACTTACGGCACCCAACGGAACAAAACAGAAATTCCGTGCCACCGCCGAGGAGATTGAGAAAACAACAAATTACGGAGATTAAGCATGGCAGACCTAATCAACAAGGATTATTTGTCAAATGATGGCGCCTTCATCTTAACGGGTGTGTTGGTTGCGGGTGCACTCATAAAGTATGCCTACTTGAGCAGATGTGGGAGAAGAACCTTTGAGGAGCTGATGGATCCGGAGGAAGCTGAAGCACAACGTCAGCAGAAAGCTGCAGAAGAAAGATTGTGCATGCAACTAGTTGAATCGATAGGGGTACGAAAGAAATACTGTTTTTTGGGCTGTCACAGAGTCAATCTCAACAATCCTGCTGCTCACCATTTCTTTCTTCATTCACAGCCTTTCAAGTCAACGAAATCAAAGCAAACATCAGAAGAAGGTGATGTAGAAGAGGGGAAAGATTCAAGACAAGAAGTCGAAGGATCCAGTGACGAAAACGACGCCGACACACAAGACGACCACGTTCGTGCATTCTCAAACGCATGTGCCATTTGCTTGGAAGAGTTTGAAGAGGGTGTCAACGTTGTAAAGTCTGTCGCTACAAGTAGCTGTCCACACATATTTCATGATACATGCTTGAACGAGGTGATTTTGGCTTCAACGAGGAAAGGGATTTATAGCATCCCCTGTCCGTGTTGTAGACAGACATTTGTTGAAACGGACCCGCCACAACAGCGCAATGGTGAGGTACAGCAGTAATTTTGTTACAATTAATTGTTTTGTTTATATATATTTATATATATATATATGGAATCAAAAATATATCCGCACTGTAATTTGTACCAAGCTTTCAAAGGTACTACAGTTGCCAGCTCCAGGCCCATCTGGACTCGCCTCCTGCCTCCCTGGTGCAACGACGACAGATCACAATGTTCACCGAAGCATTGAACAGTAGCGCCACAAAGGTCATCATAGCTGGTGGCCCCTATGGTTTATTTCTATACTCCCATTCCACTTACAGCTTTTTAAAGATTTTGGTCCATTTTTATTGATAGATTTTGAAGATTGGAATGCATGAAGACCAAAGCAAGGATTACAAAGGGGGTAGTATTACTCCATGTTCCAAAAATGTTCCCCCTCCTCCCCCTCTTCAGATTATTCGAAACATGTTCACTTCCACGGCGTCTGATCATGACGTCACAGTACGCAACCAAACAAATTAAAAATATATTGGTCCCAAAAGAAGAGCGGAAATTACAGCACGCCGGCGAAAATTTCCCATGTTTTGTACTTGAAACACTCCGATCTGAAACACGAAACGTTCGTCGTCAAGCCGTTTTTGTGACACCATAAAAAAACAAGAAAGGAGCATTGTTTCTCCCAACACATGAGAAATCTAATTTTAAAAAAAGAATTACAACTGACAACTGACAACTGACAACAACCCAAACGAGAAAATGACAGATGCACCATTCAACTTGAAAAATACTGCCGTCTTCATTGCCTGGTTCTTGGTGGTGCTATTTGCCACCATTGGTGCGATAATACGAAAGAGACGGAGCCGAGGTCAAACGACGGTGTCACCCCTCGACTTGACACGAACGAAAAAAGAGAAGCGGTGTGAAGTTGCCCAGGAGATACTCTTTCTCAAAGTAGAAGAGACCACTACAGTAAGTACTGCCAAATTATGGTTTTATATATCACTGTTGATCCAGGGTTAATCTCAAAATGCTGATTCCATCTGTGTTGATCACGCGTGAAGAAATTCAAAAAATTCAGGGCAACGACAACAAAAGAGGAGGAGGAGGAGGAGGAAAGCGACATTGAAAAAGGACAAGGACAATCAAGCGAAAATGATAAAGGTGAAACTGACTATCGAGGCTACTTGAATGCATGTGCAATTTGTTTAGATGAGTTTCAAGAGGGTGAAATGGTGGTCCGATCCGTCGAGACAAAGGAATGCCAACATATTTTTCACGAAGCCTGTATGAAAGAGGTGATTTCAGCTTTGACAAGAAAGAAGATTGTGAACATCCCTTGTCCCTGCTGTAGACAGTCCTTTGTGGAGATCGACGAAATCGCTCATGCATGATCAATCGAATACTGAAGACGCTATTATTCGAAAAAATCGACTGACGACAATGACGACGAGAACGCATCTTACACGTGTATCGTGTATCACATGAACGAGAAGCCAGGTGTCAATTCATGGCACTAGACCCAAATTCCTTCTTGCCGCTGAGCATGAGTAACTTGATACAGAACTAAAATAGAAGCAACAATACCGGTACTGTAGGACGATTGGTCTTTCCACTTTACTCATTCGCATTCTTGATGATTACGTTTCCTCGCGTTTGTGTGATTATTGAGGTGATCACATACCGGTATAATCAAAAAGGTAGTTCGTCGTTTTGTGGTTCGCGTTCGCCGTCATCCGTCAGCGCTTGAAAGTGCATGGAATAATGTGGGGGAATATGTGTTGTAGTGAATTCCAAAACTGAACAAATAAAAGGGGGAGAGAACAGGGAAGGAGTCAAACACTCGTTCCGCCTTCGCCTTTCAACCAGAACCATCTGTCTTGGATACCTGTTCGCACCGAACGGCAGCATCAACATCATTTACCAAGACCCATCATTCATTCTTGAAATTGAAAACAGAGCGCCACAGATACAAAACCATGGGCATATTAGCAGATTTGAAGGATCAAGTCATACTGTGCATTTGGATTGCCGCCATGGTGTTTGCGGCAGCCAAATATGTCTTTGTCAGCCGAAGGCGGAATTCCGAAGTGGCACCTTGGAGGACGAGTGACACGAAAAAAGCTGTCAACAAGGCTGCACAAGAAGAACTATATGAGAAACTGCATGCGACTATCATGGTAAGCCATTGTCTTGTTTTGTTTTGAGAAGCTGCTGCAATCGTGAAACCAATGCTGGGTTCTCATCTATATTTTTGGATATTTTAAACTGCAGAAATACAAAACAAGTGTTCCGCAAGAAGAGACCGATTCATCCGGAGATTCCTCCCAAGATTCTTCCGGGGACATCGAGGAAGGTGCAGCAACAACCACAAGTGAAGAGGAAGAGAAACAGTTGCAGCCCCGAATGTACTCGAATGCCTGTGCCATTTGTTTGGAAGAATTTGAAGAAGAGGAAGAGGTTACACATTCCATTGGAACGAAAGAGTGTCCACACGTTTTCCATGAAGATTGCATGAAAGAGGTCATAGTTGCTGCATTAAGGAAAGACATTCATTGCATCCCATGTCCTTGTTGCCGGCAGCCTTTCATTGCCACTGAGATACAAGCCAAGGGAGAAGAGACGGACGTATGATGAAATTTTGAATACCACATCATATCAAACCCAATCATTGGTAAAGGCAAATGTACCAAGTAGACTAGAAACAAGTCCTGCAACAGGCAGGCATCACAGACATCATCATTGTAACAATTACATAACAGTATACAGTCGTTAGGACCTAGGACTATCCAATTCAATGCACCTTGTAACAATTAATTATTGGTTACCACCAAACGCTGTTTGTTCACTCCCGTTTTGACTTGGGGCTTGAATCGTTGCGTCGGACCGTAAGTGCGGCATCTCGTTTTACTCTCTTGTCGAGGCGGAATCCGTTGAATTTCATACCCACGGCATAGGTGACATTGATAATCTGTTGGACTGGAAGAGATCCAACTCCGCAGCATATGCTGATAATCCATCCTCTACTGTCCAAACCACCCGTTTTCACACTAAAGGCTTCACGCCCAAATTGAACAATCAGCACTTGCAATGCTGCAGTAACGACCAGAATGCCACAGAAGAGACCATTATTCTGTATTCCAGAAAAGACATTGACTGGAGTAGATGAAAATTAAAAAAATACAATTGTAAGCAGAGTGCACATTGATCAGATCCCAACCAAACCTGTTCAAACTTACATTCGCCCTTCAGGTTTCGACAATTAACTTCGTTGAACAGCTGCATCCAAACAAACGCATTGAAAATGAGAGTGTAATGATATGAGTTTTCCCCAAACTGTCGTTCCATTATGTGACCATCGATAATATTCAGAATCGTTGGTCCCTCAAACAACAACACCATGACTACAATGATTTGATACGTAGCATGACCCAACATATTGGCCCACATTCGCTTCGTAATCATGGAATCAGATCGGTTCACTGGGGGCTTTTCCAGCAAGGCGTCAACTGGAGGTTCTGACGCCAGGGCAAGACTTGCCAAGGCATCCATCAACAAGTTGACCCACAACAGCTGAATCGCAGCCAGTGGACTCTTTTGAACATAAAAGGAACCAACCAAAGCTGTAATGACTGCAGCAATGTTGACAGTAAGCTGGAATTGAAGAAATTTTTGAATTGATGCGTACACATTTCGGCCCCATTTTGCGGCGGTGACGATGGACGCAAAATTGTCGTCCAATAGAATGATATCGGCAGCATCTTTGGCAATTTGTGTACCAGCAACACCCATGGCAAATCCAATGTCCGCTCTTTTGAGTGCAGGGGCATCGTTGGTACCATCTCCGGTCATGGCAATGACCTGTCTGTCAGGGAAAATCTTAATACCGTCTTCCTTCAATAGCTTGGCACAAGTCTCCGTGTCCGCAAATAAAGTCGATTGATTCAGACCATGAGCCAACGTCAGTTTGTCATCAGGCGAAGAACGAGCCAAAACTCTCAAGTGTGGCCAGATCTTATCAAAATGAGCTTGATTGAATTCTTTCTTGCCTCCTTCTCCAGTTTCGTCGTAGACAGCCTTTCGAAAGTCTTGTCCCGTCATGAGAACATTTTCTTTCAGGTTGTCAGCAACCTTTTCGTCAGTGTCATCACGAAAGTGAAAGTCACGTAGGATACCGGCATGGTAGGCAATACTAACAGCAGTGTTGGCGTTATCACCCGTTACCATTCGGACGTCAATTCCTGCGAGGTAGCATTTTTCAATCGCAACAGGAACCTCTGGTCTCAATGGATCTTCAATGCCGGCCAACCCAAGAGCAATCAGATTGGTTTCGGCTTCCAACGCAGCTTTCCCATCTGCATTCTTCACCGTCTGGGACAATTTATCTAAATCAAAACCATCCGGAAGGTCTGCATACGCCAACGCCAAGCAGCGCATACCACGTCGAGCATATTGCTGTGAAATCTTGGCAAATTGCTCTTGAGTTCCCTCGGACATTTCTTTGGCATTTCCATCGTGCGCCACAAATTGATTGCATCGCGACAAAATCACTTCTTGGGCACCCTTACAATATATGCGATACCCACCACTCTCCAGAGGCACAGCCCAGCTCATCATTTTGCGAGCCGACGAAAATCCAATTAATTTCCCCTTATCCAAAAATTCACCAATGGCTCCCACCGAACTACGTCCCTTGGTATAGTCCCGGATCTCTTCGTAATTGAATCCCATATCATGCACCATCGTAAGCAGCGCCACTTCGGTTGGATTCCCTTGTGCCCCTTCCAAAGATCCGTCGCCCTTGAAATAGAGCACTGTTTCATTCATGGTATCAATAGAAATGAGATTGGCCAATAATTGTTTGACATCTTTTGGAATGGTATGCAATGCCTTGATGTGATCCCCCAACTTTACATTGGGATCACTCAACACAATATTCTCTTCACTCGTATAGAGTGCTCGCGCCGTCATCTTGTTGGCAGTCAGTGTACCTTCAAATGAATCGGGTGAGTAAATGAACTATGGCAAAAAGGGAAATAGCACAACGATGTTCATCACATACCTGTCTTGTCGGTACAAATGGTGGTAGCACAACCCATTGTTTCACACGCATCCAAATGCTTGACCAAGTTTTGTTCCTTCATCATTTTGTTGGAAGAAAAGGCCAACGCCAAGGTCACAGCTAGGGGCAATCCTTCTGGAACGGCGACAGCCAACACAGTAATACTCAGCACAAAATACTCCAAGAATGTCTCGGCGGGTTCTCCTTCCACTGCAAATCCAATAATGCAACTGGAAATCAAAGCAATCAGTGCGGCAATGGATCCCCCAATTCCAATTTGCTTGGCAATCTTATCGAGCTTGACAAACAAGGGCGAGTTTTCATCCTCTCCTCCAAGATCATCATCGTGATCGTCCGACTCGTAAACTCTTGCCTTGATCTTTCCAGCCACACTGTTGACACCCACAGCAATGACCACCATTTTGCCCGAGCCTTCCGAGGCGTTGGTTCCACTCAGGATGACATCGCCTGGTTTCTTGGCAATTGCCTTACTTTCACCAGTTAAAGTGGATTCGTCCATTTTAAGATCCGAGACTGGTCCCAGCAAGATACAATCCGCTGGAATACTGGCCAAGTTGTGACTATTCACGCTGAGAATATCACCCACCACAATTTCATCATCAGTGATAGAACATTGTTTGCCATTTCGAACAACTGCTTTGGTGTTGGTTTCGTGAAGACTCTTGGTGAGTCGAATAAACGCAAATTGCTTGGCGTAATCAATCGAAGCCGTGACGAGGACCACAATCACAACGGCAAAGAGAATGGCTGTTCCTTCAATCCAACAACTGGAACAAGGTCCATCGTGGACAGTTGTTTCTACAACAATCGTAACGATTCCCATGACAATCAACATGATCAAGACAAAATCTTGGACGGCCTCCCAACACAGCTTGAGGAAGGAATCCAATTTCTTTGCTTCAATGCTGTTGGCTCCAAACAGTGCTTTACGGTGGAGCACTTCGCGAGGATCAATGCCGGTCTCTGGGCTTGATCTCAGCAAAACAGAAGTCAAAATGTTAGCCGCCATGTCGGCATTCTTGTCTGCTTCGCGTTCCTCTGGAGAATGTTCTGAGAAGGGACCGTTTTCTTCATCAAGTTTCATTTGGTCAATGAGTTGATCGGCATCCGAGTGCATTTTGCTGACAGCAGAAGGGTCTTCGGGATCTTCGGACATTCCTTCTTTGGATGAAGCAATTCCCTTTTTGAGAATTTCAATCAATGCCTGTCGAGTACGCTCATTGCTCAATTTGGACAAATCGGCAGCAGTGACACTGTAAGTTCCGAGCGGATTCAGCACTGGTGTATGTTCGTAGGTGCGGATACTGGTATCGATAGCTTCTCCAAGTCCAATGAACCGCGAGGATCTACTTTCCAGTTTGCTCCCATTGCGGGGTTGTTCCATGTCAGTGATTTCACTTTCACTCATGATTTATGTGTATGTGTGTGTGTGTGTGTGTGTGTGCGTTGGCTTTATTTTCCTAACCTTAACCGTGGACCTTAATCTTAACCCACTTGTATGGCAGATGTGAAAACAGCAGCTACAGTAGCAGGAATCAATCAATGGATGATTGAACAAGACTGTTTGTCACTTTCGCACCAACAAACTCGGTACTGGGTACGATCCACTTTTTCCTGGAACACCCGGCAGAACGATGATTTTTGTCATTGTTCGAAGAGCGGACAGACCTTCTACAGTCATTTTCGAAATCCATGTGATCACGTGGGATAAGAAGAATAACTCATACTTAAGAGCAAAAGCTAATGATGACCAATTATGATTGGTTCAGACAGAAACGATGAGAAGCGACCAAAGCGATGAGAAGCGACCACAACGCGATCAGAAGTGAGCAAAATATCGTTCCAAATGGAAATTACTCGTTCCGAATGGAAATTACTCGTTCCGAATGGAAATTACTCGTTCCGAATGGAAATTACTCGTTCCGAATGGAAATTACTCGTTTCCCAAAGCGATGAGAAGCGACCAAAACGATGAGAAGCGACCAAAAGTGAGTAATTTTTTTTGGGGCTGATCTTGGGGGGCATTTTTTCACAGCTGGGACTTTGGCGAAACCATCCTGCCTTGGCGAAACAGGCTCGCTCAAAACAAATAATACCGGTAATCATCAACGACACAAACGACAAAATGAAGTTTTCTTCTCTCTCAAACACCTTCCTCTTGTCACCAGAGGTGGCAAGAGAAACTGCATTGGGGTTTCTCGCAGGTGTTCATCCAGAGGGACAGCCAGCCAAATGGCAAGAAGAGATGTTCACAGCTCACTATGGAAGTTCTTCGCTTGTCATCACAAACCAATGGTTCGATCTTTGTCACACCGACATTGAAGAAGCGAAGCTCACAGCAAAGGAGAAGACTGCTGAAGGTTTCAAGCGATTTATGATGGCCCACTTTTTTATGTGGCAGTACCCAAAGAACGCTCGAACCTTTGGATCGCGATTTGGAGTTTGTGAACGTTTGTCTCGTGGAGACCCTGTTTTTCATTGGGTGAATAAGATCGCAGCTTTGCATGAAAAGCTTATAGTGTGGAAGAAGAACCTCGATTCCACCTTAACCCAAACACTTGTGATAAGCATTGATGGAGTCGACTGCCGAACATGGGAGAAATCGAACGAGCGCTACAATATGGACACACAAGAGTGTTCACACAAGTTCAATCATGGGGCTGTGAAATATGAGGTCGCGATGTCCCTTCTTGAGCCGCAGTGTGCCTGGATCAGTGGGCCGCATAAGGGAGGGAAACATGATCTTACGATCTTTCGAGAAGGAGGTCTGAAGCAAAAGCTGAAGCGGTGGAAACAGGCAATTGTGGATAGGGGTTATACAACTAGCGAAGAAGACGAAAAATACATCCTTTGTATCCCAAGAGAAACCGATTCTGTGACGCTCAATGAATACAAGGGAAGAGCTAGACTTCGACACGAAAGCTTCAATGGTAGGTTGAAAAAGTATATGATTCTTGACGCAACCTACAGACATGATCAAAAGCATCATGGAAATGTTTTTAGAGCTGTTGCAGTAACGGTGCAGTACCAAATGAACAATGGCGCTCCCATCTTTGAAGCTCCAATGCAAAGAGAATAAGTATTCAATAAATACCATAGTAGAAACGATTGAATTGAAGTCTTGAAGTGTAACCCGTAGGAAGCATTTGTACTTTCAATACTAGACAAGCAACAGATCGCAAAAATTGCGGCTGGTAAAACTGAAAATAGGACATAGAGTTATTGTCATGTTATGTATGATCCTGTTACACGATCAACAGGATGAATGAATCGATCGACAATTTATCGCAGATTGATTCTACGCTGATTTTGGAGCTCGCATCTTTGCATCGATGACTTGGAGGACATATCCCATCATCTCTGCCTTGTCCTCGTTACTGGCATAGTTGACTGCTCGCATCAAGTCGCAGAGCTCAGAGACTTTCTGGCCAACTTTTGGGTTACGAACTAAGAAATTGGAGCCCACTGTTGCCTTGGAATGCCAGTTCTGGTAATCGATACTCTTGGCGCGAATTTGGTTGGGTGCTGCAACTGTGGTGCCGTCCTCGCAATAAATGACGTAGACACTTTTGCGTGTAGAAGAAAAGCCATTCTCTCCGCGGGATAGGTCCACCCAGCCGAATTTCCCCTTATACTTTCCTTTGTTGATAGCAATCTCAGCGCCCCTCTTCTCGGTACCAAGATCCATACTGTTGTTGCTGTTGCTGTGATTTGTCATGATGATGTTGAGGTTTTGTTGTTGTTTTTAATCTCTTGATTATGAGAAGGCGCATCTAATTTACCAGTTACAATCACGAACTGTGCATCCGTGTCAATGGATCTTGTATCGTTCATCGTTCCGTTTGATTGTCAAAACGACACTTTGTAGATGGTGCTATCCATTCCCACCATTCCCAACTTTCTTTGAGCAAGTTGAACGCAAATCGAAATCACGTCAATCACTTTTATTTAAAAGTAGATTAACGTTTCAGGTATTTTATTTAAATTGGTATGAAATGCATTTATCAATCAATGAAGGATTAACATAAACTGGCGAGAGTGCACCATCGCAGTTTTTCTTAAAAAATTAAAAATTAAAAAAACGAAATCTGGACACGATGGCTTGGACTGAGGAAAAATGGGAACGGAGTGAAGCGAAGCGTGCTCTTGAAAGCGATCTAACGTTGGGATACTGTCCCATCGATCCCAGGAGGATGTCCGTTAAGGATACTTGGGACCAGCTCTATGATTCTCACGAGGAATTTGATGGCATGGCTTTCAGTTTCTTTCGCAAACAATTGACTGCCCTTCGCAAAAAATGGAAAGATATAAAGAAAGCTGAATGGGTGGCGCAGTGGGAAACAAGCGAAGCTAAAGCGCTTCTTGAAGACGATCTGGACAACGAAATGCTCCCCGTTGATGCTGCGTCCATGTCTGCTAGGGCGGCATGGGACGAAAGGTACATTGGTGAAGTAGAGTTTGAGTTTATGGAGTTCGGCTTCTTTACCGAAAAATTGCAAGCCGTGCGGAAGGCGTGGAAAGAGAAGAAGTTAGCTGAATGGCAGAAAAATTGGGATCAAAGCGAGGCAAAAAGGATCCTTCAAGACGATCTTGACTCAGGATTCCTGCCGATCGCTGCCAAGGAAATGTCGGCTAAGGACGCTTGGGAAGAGACCTACAGTCTTCACGGAGAATTCGCTGGCATGAATCTGAGCTTCTTCAGTAGGCAGTTGGCAGTTTTGCGAAAAGAAGCAAAGAAGAAAGAGGCAATTGATTGGAAGCCAAGCGCTGCCCGATTGATCATTATCTATGATCTTGCAGATGGGGTTCTCGATATCGACGAAGATCGCTTGCCCGCACGGGATGCATGGAACGCGACCTACAAAGACCTGCCCGAATTCCAAGAAGTCCCTTACTGGCAATTCGAAGAGAAGCTAAAGGATCATCGTGAATCACAACAACAATCAGTTGTACAATCGTGCAAAGACGAACTGACACTGGCGCATGATTTGAGTCTTTTTCATGTTAAGACGCACAACGACCGCGGTGAGCTAAGATTTTGCATGACAGATGCAAAGAAACTTCTTAGGGAAGACGTTGCGAGAGGACTGCACAAGGGAATCACCCCCAAACAATTTCAAAGCTCACGAAAGGCGTATCATCCATTCAAAGCAAGAAAATTCAAGGAACGAATTTATCAGGAGGTGAGGTACCAGAAGTTTGTGGCATATCTGGCAGACAAGCGAGAAAAGAAGCTAAAGGAAGCTCGTAGGAAAGACCAGGAAAAGAAAGAGAAAGAGGAAAAAAGGAAGCAGAAGCAGAGGGAAATGGAATTGAAGAAGGAAGAGGAAAAGAAGGAGAAAGCCGAAAAAAAGAAGCAGCAGCAAAGGGAAAAGGAATTGAAGAAGCAAGAGGATAAAAAGAAGAAGGAGCAAGAGAAGGAGGAACAAGCTATAGCAAAGTAATAAAATTGAACTTCGTAACTCAACACCGTCCACCACATCGTCTGACTGAATCGTCCACTATACACCGTTGTCCTCCACTGGGAAAATCATCGTCCATACCTATCAAAAAAATAAATGACGAAAAACACGAAACGATACCTCTCACATGGATAGATAAATATGGTTGTTATTATAATAGTTCTCTTTTTAATACACTATACACACAACAGTTTGTCCCTTCTTCTTGTTCTACTAATTGGTCATGGTGAAGAATGAATCTGCGTCAGGCTCCTCTACACTGCTCTTCAACTCTCGGAATTCCCCAGCCAAAGCAATCTTCCAGGAAAGAGTGAGGCCATACTGGTCTTTCTTGAAACTGGTGTTATCTTCAGGCTTGTTATGGATGCCACTCTTCTCGCTGTCAACAATAAAGTCCGACTTGGGGGAGAAGATTCTATTCGCGAACACTGGTTGTTCCATTGAAAACACGATGATCGAGTAATTGAAAAATAGGTCCAAGTCTCTCTCAGCATTCACTGCCTCTGCCTTCAGGGCATTGACAACAGTCTTCTTTGCTCCGGGATTATCGGACTTAGCAATACCAAACTTCTGGTACTGACATGCAGTGAAGTTGGCTACTGGCTCTCGAAACAAAAGAATATGACCGAGATGCTTTTGAAAGCAAGCTGGCACCTCAAAAGAATTTGCGATTTTGAGTTCATAGAACTTGTAGTCATCTGGGGGGCATGGGCAGTTCACAGTGATGGTTTGATACTCAATATGGTCTTGTTCGATCAGACCTTGGCAAATGAAAGTGTTTCCGTGGCGGTGGCCATGTTCTGGAAAATTATAGATGACGTTTGGCCATTTCTTGGAACCATCTTGGTGATAGTCGGGAAGAGGGTAGCTGGGCCTGGTTCTTGTTGGTGGGGAACCAAAGCCACAAGGAGAGGAGAAACTATGAGATCCATAGCTTGTGGCTCCGAAGATTTGACTTGGTGAGCCAATAGAGGAGTTTGCAGAAATGTTCATCCCTGAAAGATTAGAAACAAGGAGGTCAAAAGAGGAGTTGAGTGCAGTTGCTTGTTCTGGAATTGTCGAAGACACTGCAGTACGCTGTTCAGGAGCTGGCACATCGCGCTGCTCTGTTGTTGGTTTGTCCTCCTCGGTCTCCTCCGTCTCCATCCTTTCGTCTGCGTCAACAGGGTTTTCCTCGTTTGATTCGAGTTCAGCACGAGTTGTATCTGACATCTCGATCTTGTGTTTCTTTAGCAATTTGATGTAGGTTTCAATGCCCACCCGTTTCACAGTGTTGTTGATGAACCGACTGTAGCGCTTTCTTGTGATGCTTCCTTTTTCACCAAACATCGTCTTGTTTGTATTCCATAGTTGAATAGGCACAAAATTCCGACGATCTAGATTGTGTTCCTCGATGCTTTGAAGCTGAAAATGAATTTCCCAATCTGCAAGTTTCTTACCTGCTCCTTCCTCAAGAGAAGATACGGCGGCGGCGGAGATTGGTGGCATGGTAGATGGTTTCAAAAGCGATTTGTTGGAATCTTCCTTTTCGATTTTGTGAGCATTATTGTTGACACTCACAATCTCCTCTCCAACCCTTTCCGGTATTGCTCTACGGTGATCACATCTCAAGCCAAGACTTGATTGGCGATAAAGCATCGCTGATGAAGATCATGGGGGGTAGGACTGAGCAGAGCGGGGGATATTTTTGTGGGACTTCCAGAAACGATGAGAAGCCACCAAAACGATGAGAAGCCACCAAAACGAGAAATAACTCACATCGCAAAGCGAGTAATTTTTATTCGGAACGAGTAATTTTTATTCGGAACGAGTAATTTCCATTCGGAACGAGTAATTTTTATTCGGAACGAGTAATTTTTAAGAAGTATTGAGTCGCGACCTAAAAGCAGTTTTTCCATCATTATGTCAGGTGTGCCTTTAAATGAATTATTACGGACTAAGAATTTTTAAAAAATGTCCCTTTTGGTTCTAAACTATTTATGAACGACAAGATGTTCTTATATATGAGAAATGTCTTCTTCGTTTACTAGTCATCTCGCGAGAAGGAACCACGAGGAATTCTAAAGTCATCGTTTTGCCGGGTGTTCCTGATATTTATTTTGGTGAACTGATCCATATCAACTCTTGCATGCAAATACGGAAGCGAAAGTCACAAGCTTGTCTTGATCGGTCATAAATTTGTTGCGGTCGGATGGGTCCAATCCGTGTCAATATCGATCGATCGAAGGAGTCAAAGAAACAGAAATTGGTTGGAACGGAAGTGCCCAAGATGAGGATGATAACAATAGAATAGGACTCATACAGTAGAGATGGCTGCAAACTAAAACATTAGAGTTTTTTCAATACTTCCAAGGTATGGCAAGATATTTGGAATCACTATTTCTGCACCAGACTTCAAGTAATAACCCTGCCGATCATCATCTTCGTTCGACCTGTCTGTCTGAGCAATTCTCTGTTTCCATACTGCCTGCTCCAAGAGTGAAATGGCCTCCTTGCGTTCATATAATCTGAGCAACTCAAACAGATCATGAACATTCTCTGCTCGTTCGCTTCCGTCTCTTCCTTCAAACGAATTGATAGCACGAACAATGTCCGACCTCCACAGTTCCAACCCCAAATCTGTTGTTCGCTGATCCACCAATACATGCAGCATAGCCTTTATGAATGCCAATGCCTCGGGTGCACGGTTTTCGATTGCGTATCGAAGGGGAGTCAAAGTTTGCGTGTAATACCCTTCCCACTCGTCAAACTCAAGAATCCCATTTGCGGACATTGACGTTTCCTCTACTAGCATCTTCAATGCAGCAATACTGGGTTTTGCAGAAAGTGCCAAAATATGAAATGGAGTAAGCCCAAAGATGTCTTTGATCCTCTCACTACCTCTTTCATAGTCTTGGACAATTGGTGTGAACTCGGTTGCCATTTCACCAGCATGGCCCTGTTGATAGCATATCGTGTGGTAAGGCAAGCTGTCAAACCTTCCCTTCAATCGCTTGGGCAAGTCTTTCATCCGACCATCGATAAACATCTCAAAAAATTTGTGGCAGCACCTTGCGGATGCAGGAAATGCACCAGATCCCACGTTGCAGTTGTTTGGAATGCCAATATTCGTGAGACTCGAGCAATGCATGAAGGCATCAGGTCCAATTGCTTCAAGTACACCGTGGCCGTTTTGCGCGATTGATATTTCCACAGATCTCAAAGAGCTGCATACATGAAAAGCAGCGGGTCCAATCGCAACCACAGTGGAAGGAATCAGAATCCTTTCCAGACTGCGACAGCCATTGAATGCAGACTCCCCAATCTGAAGAAGGCCGCGTGGCAAGTCCACGTAGGGCAATTCGTGGCAATCATCAAAGGCCCGGGCCCCAACATACAATACTGTCGATGGAATATTGATATCCCGTAAGGATTCGCATCGGGCAAAGGTCATGGGGTAGATCTTGGTCAAGCCTTCGGGCAGAACCACGGTTTCCAGTGCTTCGCATTGAAAAAAGGCCGAGTGGAAGATGATTTTTACGGACGATGGAATGGAAATCGTCTTGAGGGCGGTACAGTATTCAAAGGCCTCTTCCATTATTACCTTTAAACCCATGGGAAAACCCACAGACACCACAATTGGCAAGCGTTGAAAACTTCTGGACGGATAATCTGAATACGAGCTTCCACAATGACTCCTTCAATTTCTTGTGGAACAGCATCATCTTCTATCTGGTATATATACATGGTGGAATCCGGAGTAGTGTCAGCAGCACCATGGAACGCACGCGTTGCATCGTTGGTCAACTGAGGTTGGTCCACGGATGCGTGACGACGAATTGAGAATCCCTCGGGTACCCCAGAATATACCTTGCAGTTGCTCGGAATTACAACATTCATTAGCTGCGCGCAATCCTTGAAGGCATCAGGTCCAATTACTTGAAGCCCACTATCAGTACCTATTTCCACAGATTTCAAGGCAGTACATTCAGAAAAAATACGGCCTCCAATCGCAACCACAGTAGAGGGAATAAGAATCCTTTCGAGACTTCTACAAGAACCAAAGGCAGTCGACCCAATCTGATGAAGGCCATATGGCAAGTCCATATCACGCAATTGCCCACATCCCATAAAGGCTTGCCCCCCAACGTACAATACAGTCGATGGTATATGGGCATGACGTAAGGATGAGCATCCTTCAAAGGTTTGGTCTGTGACTTCTGTCAAGCCTTCTGGCAGATCCATGGTTTCCAATCCTTCACAGGTCATAAAGGCGCCGTAGTGGATGATACAGACGGACGATGGAATGGGAATTGTCTTGAGGGAGGTACAATTTGCAAAAGCGTGTTCCTCGATCACCCTCAAACCCAAGGGAAGAATCACAGACACCAATAAGGTGCAATCTTGGAAGGATTCTGCAAATATAATGTGAACCTGAGATGCCACTGTGGCTTTTTGGATGTCTTTAGGAGCATCACCCTGTTCTGTCTTCCCTTTGTAGACATAGACTGCGGATTCCATAGTGGTGTCAGGAGCACCAGTGCTCTCCTCAAACTGCGTTGATGCGTCTTGACTCCACGAGGTCGTATGAGTCGTCAACCAAAAACATGAAATTTGAAAATGAATCAATCGATCATTGAAATCTCCGTTGGGAATCGAATGGGCGATTCGATTTCGGCGGGAAGAAGCCCTGACGTTTGCATATCCTTGATTTTGACGCGCTTTTGCTATGAAAGATTGTTTGATCATGTGAAATCTGATTTTTGAAAATACGTTCATAGTCGAACCATAATTATCGCTAGTCCGGCAAACTCTCAACCCGAACCAACATAAATACCAACCGCAATCTTGGAGTGCCAGTACTACTACTCTTGTGATATCCCGCCCATCACAAATCATCACTTCATTTGGAAAGAAAACCCAACAATGGGTCACTTTCGTGATCTTGTGATTGCTGCCTGCTTCGGGCTTTGTATTCAGGACAGCGTTGCCTCTAAACCAAACCGTGATGATAGGAGAAAACAGGTTCTAGAATGGCTGTCAGAACAACAAGAAGAAGGTTTCTATTTCAACGGGAAACTTTCGCACCAGGATGGAAGGATCATTGCGAGTCAGAGCGTAGAGGCCGATGAAGTTCTCATGGAAATTCCAAGATCAGCGGTGTTGAGTATAGGCTCAGGCTATGTGGAAGGAAACACCTTCTGTATGCTTTACAAGGCTCTGGAACGAGAGTTGGACCTGAAGGATACGTCAAAGTATTCGGTATACTTGCAGCAGCTCAAAGAAGAGCAGGCATCAGACATTGACTTGCCGTCGCTCTGGTCAAATACAGGGCAGCGACTACTGGAACTTGTCAGTATGACGCATCCTATGAACAAGATAAATTCTGTGCTTGAGGACTACTCGCACTGCATTGACGGCTTGCCAAAGGAAGAAAAAATCGAAACAGACGAAGAGCGAACAGGCTTTGGAATATACAATGGAGAGCAGCACGATAACCGAGCTCTGGAGGATACACAAGAGGATAAGATAGAAGAACTCAATCTAGCTCTTGCTGTGAAACATCACATTGACCGGAAATACATGGTGCCATTGTACGATCAGCTTGAACATCACCATGTCAACTACAATACAAATCATCAGGTTTTGGATGACAAGACTATCAGAATTGTAGCCGTTAGAAATATTGGTATCGGTGAAGCACTTTCCCGACCGAGCATGGGATGTCTCGAAGCCTGTGAAGAATTCGCTCATGCCAATTTCATTGAAACTTTCAAGAACTATGGAGAAGTTCAAAGCTACCCCCACTTGTTGACTTTTGGCAACGGAATTTCGTTAATCTATCATGGCGCCGATGAGGAAGAAAACGCAGGGCGTGGCAAAATTGAATGGATCCAAGCGCCAACATACGAGTCTCAGATAGCGGCAATGGCAGTGGAACATAACGCACAAAGGACCGAGTACCTTCAAGAGGTTTTACCATCTCGCGAGTCTGTTGATGAAAGAGAATGGCTGCAGATAAACGAATATTGTCATGCGTTGATGGATGTGTTGAATGTCATCGTTGTTGAGGGAAGTAAACTCGACTTGATTTCAGAAGAAAACGAAGAAGAGCAAGACAGCGAAGATGAAGCTAGCGAGGCTGAGGAAAACGAAGAAGAAGATAGCGATGACGAGGGTGAAGAGAGCGATTACACAGATGACGACCCGTGGATGGTCAACGGATGCGACCTTTCCGAAGACTGCACTATTGATGAAATTGGATTCTCCAGGGGATGTGGAGAGACGTATCACTTTGATGCTAAACGCAATGAAACGGAATGGGTTCTCATGCGCAGCGCTTACATTGCTGTGGTTGGACCTCAACAAGCATCGATGGATTTGACATTTGGCTCTGGATTCAAGGTACCTTTCAGGGTTGGTCACTCACCAGGTCGTGGAAGAGGTGTATTTGCCACCACTGATATTCCAAAAGGGACGCTTGTATGGCAATCCGATTTTACTGCAACTTTTACAGAAGGAGAACAATTCCGCAGGTTTTTGGCAGTACTGCCAGATGATATGGTATGTGACCTAATTATTTGGTGCTATACCACGCTGACGTTGAGCGGGCAGGATGTCATTTATTGCGATCTCGAAGAAGGTTCGCTGGTCAATTCATGTAAGTTGCTTGGGACAATTTATGTGACTGCGTGTGTGCTTGTGAGTTGTTTGTAGACATTGTATCCACTCACTCCCGGCTTTACGATTGGGTCGATGTGTTCAGATGATGAACTGTCCGAGTACAATGTCGGTGTCCAAAAACTTTTATTTTCTAGAAAGGAGCTTGATGCTGGCTTTGCAATGAGAGATATCCTGGCTGGAGAAGAATTCATCACAGCATACGATGAGTTCGACACTGAAAACTACAAATCATTTGGACTGCTATAACCAGCTTTGATTTGGCAAAAAAACTAAATGGGATGGGACCAATACCATTTCGAACTATATAAATCATTTGTACTAATAATCTTCCGTTGAACACAAATGGCCTATACATTGGGCATGGAGTCCCTTTACATCCCATTTCTCAACAGAATCCAAGTTGTCGGAACGGTTGGCTTGTAAGTATACTCCTACTGGTACTATACAATACTGTACTTTTCTATTATACTACGATATGAGATATACCGGTATCTCATTGACCTTCTGCTTCAACTCCACCCCAATTTCTTTATCCCCTGAAAAGTCCCTCGTTTGATCAGACGTCTAGGGATGACGTCAACAAGACGTCATCAATCACAATCTTCTGACTAAGACATGACATGCTGGCAGTGAATAGATGAACTATTGACTACACCATCGGTACAAAGCAGTGGAACGTAACAAAACAATACTCCTACTTTGAATAGTCCTGAAACATTAAACTCTATCTTATGTTTTATGTATGATACATCTATTTGTGTGATGGGGTGAATATGAGGATCTTTCTCAAGCCATGAGAACAACACGATGATGTATCGTTGCGATAATCAATCGAAATCTTGTCCCAGGTGATGTATCCGTGTGATTGTATTTCCTTGTCAGATTCTGTACCTCAAATCACTAGTTTTCGCATCCAATGAACTTGCGAGCAATAGTACTGCCCATGCATTCAAGGTTGAAGATTATACGTTGTGGTGTTCTTCCATTTCTTTGAGGAGTCTCCAGAATCTAAGCCAAGAATCCTAGTTGGCCACCATTGGTCTTGGCCATCTTGATCAAGTTGGTCTTCAATGTTTTAGGAGCCTCGGCCTTGAATTCATCCAAGTCCAAAGTTCCATCCCCGTCCTTGTCGGCTCTTGCGAAGATCCCACTGATTTGCTTCTCGTTCAAGTGAGTAAATCCGATGAACTTCATGGCTCGTCTGAGTTCAGCTTCATCAATTCGTCCATTCTTATCGGCGTCGGCCATTCGAAAAAGAGTGTTGAGGGCAGTTTGTCCAAATTCGGAATCCGAGGTTTCGACAAGTCGCGAATGACATCCGAGTGCAGGCCAATAGCCTTGCCGCGGACCTTGTTGAGCCGTTCTTCGCCGATCACGTTCTTGGCCAATTTGACAACAGGAGAAAAGAGTCCGCCCTCCCCATGACCACCCGACGGCTTCTTGGGCTTCTTCGGCGCCTTCTTGACAGGCTTGGGTTTCTCTATTTGTTGTTCCTCCGAGACAACTAGACTGGGTGGAACCTTGCTGTCGGTTGCAGCATCATCGACAAAGTAGAGTTGGTCCTGCTCGGCAATGGCAGATGCGAGAGCGGTTGTGCGTGGTGCTGTAGAGACCATAGTGAAAGCACTGCTTGCACCGATGAATAGTGCGGAAAGGGTAATGATTGATGAGAATTTCATTGTGTTTTGTTGTTTTGGGTTTCGTCTGTTTGTTGGTTTTCTGAATTTGTGAGATTGTTCGAAACATGGGCCAAATCCGATTGTCGTGGGCAAAAGCACACGTCACCGTGCAAGTGACTCCGAGTTTCCAGTGAAGTACCGCGTGTGCACGTAGACTAGCACCGCGGGAGCCAAGTTCTGACTCAACTTTTGCACGGGAATAAAACGGAATTGACCTTGCATATAGCTGACACAGCACATCCCCAACGCTACAAAGATACCGCGTGGAAACCGTTCTGTTGTGGATAAACGACGTCATCTTTTGTTTTTCTGGGACGTTGCGATGACAAACAGACGTGAAGTACGTGCCATGTCAGCCTGCCAACAGCCACGAGCTTAGGCAATAAATACCATCATCAAATATTAGACGTTGATATTTCGCTGGCTACGATGACGACTGCAACTTCAAGAGTTGTTGCTGAAGAAATCTCGGTGCCTTTGTCGAACCGCTATCTCAACAGATGTATGGCCATGTTCCGAACATTGGAAACCCTCGAGCCCGGTAAGGTCGAGCTGTCTCCATCTGGTTTGCCAGAAACGTTATTTTCAAACAGATAGAAAATGATAATCGATGTATTGTTTACTATGGATTTAATATTTATTGGTCTTGTTTCGTAGTTTCATTCAACTCGTACAATAATATGTTCTATTTCGTAGTATCCCCCTCGCACTCGATCGTCAATTTTATGAATTACAAACAACATTCACACACTCATCAAAGCAGAAGAACGCATACTCCTAGTACTACAGATGCCAAGAGAGACGGGGTGCAGCCAAGAGCCCTTTGTGACCCGCTTGGGATATCCAACAGATCAATTGAACGGTCCCCATTGCCAGCATCATATTCGATTCCTTCCAAATTGACGCCAATACCTCTATCCTGCAACAGCCGGGTACCGCCAGTAGTGCGAAGGAAGCCGCCACCAAGTGCTGTAGGTTGTCTCACTGGAGCACCTGGAACGCTTGGGGCACCGCCGGTAGTGGGAAGGAAGCCACCTCCCAGTGATGTTGGTGGCCTTACTGGGGCACCTGGAACGTTTGGGGAACCACCAGTAGTTGGAAGGAAGCCGCCTCCAAGTGCTGTAGGTGGTCTCACTGGAGCACCTGGAACGCTTGGAGCACTTGGAACACTTGGAGAACCACCGTTAGTGGGATTGGTGGGAAGGAAGCCGCCTCCAAGTGCTGTAGGTGGTCTCACTGGAGCACCTGGAACGCTTGGAGCACTTGGAACACTTGGAGAACCACCGCTAGTGGGACTGGTGGGAAGGAAGCCGCCTCCAAGTGCTGTAGGTGGTCTCACTGGAGCACCTGGAACGCTTGGAGAACTTGGAACACTTGGAGAACCACCATTTGGTGGTTCCACTGGAGCACCTGGAACGCTTGGAGAACTTGGAGCACTTGGAGAACCACCACTAGTGGGATTAGTGGGAAGGAAGCCGCCTCCAAGTGCTGTTGGTGGTCTCACTGGAGCACCTGGAACACTTGGGGAACCGCCGTTGGTGGGAAGGAATCCCCCTCCCAATGGTGTAGGTGGCGTTACTGGAGTGCCTGGCACACTTGGAGCACTAGGAGAACCGCCGTTTGTGGGAAGGAATCCCCCTCCCAATGGTGTAGGTGGTGACATTGTTGGCTGTGTTACTGGAGTGCCTGGCACACTTGGAACACTAGGAGAACCGCCGTTTGTGGGAAGGAACCCGCCTCCCAATGGTGTAGGTGGTGACATTGTTGGCTGTGTTACTGGAGTGCCTGGCACACTTGGAGCACTAGGAGAACCGCCGTTTGTGGGAAGGAATCCCCCTCCCAATGGTGTAGGTGGTGACATTGTTGGCTGCGTGACTGGAGTGCCTGGAACATTTGGTACACTGGGAGAACCGCCGTTGGTGGGAAGGAAGCCGCCTCCCAATGGAGTAGGTGGTGATATTGATGGCTGCGTTACCGGAGTGCTTGGCACGCTTGGAACACTAGGAGAACCGCCGTTGGTGGGAAGGAAGCCGCCTCCCAATGGTGTAGGTGGTGCCACTGTTGGCTGCGTTACTGGAGCGTTTGGAACACTCGGGGCACTGGGTGTAGGTGGTGTGACTGGTCCATCTGATGGGTCATTACCACCATTTCCAATGGGAGAGGAACCACCACCATCAGTTGGAGAATCCACATCTGTTGGCTGCGATACTGGAGCGCTTGGAACACTTGGGGAACCGTTTGTTGTGGGCTGAGGGACCGGCATGATTGTATTCCCATCACCATCACCATCACCATCACCACCATCATCACCAGTCGGGGTATTCGGGACGTTGGGAGAGCCGTCGCTTCCACCAGTTGGAGCAGTGGGAATACTTGGGTTTGGCTGAGAAACGGGACTGTCATCTGATGGTGGGCCTCCCGACGTTGGTTGTGAGTTTGTTGGACCCGAAGGGTCGCCGCCGTTTGTCGATGGTTGCGATACAGGAGCACTGGGTGCGTCAATGTCACTATCAGAAGGAGTAGTGGGTGTTGGCTGCATCACAGGCGAATATGTTTCAGCAGGATCTCTATCAGGATTCGAGATACCCGCCACGACAACAGACTGATTCAACACACGTATGTTTCCACCTCGCTTTTCTTTCGCATTCCATCCTGCATTTTCTGCCGCGCAGAAGTGCAGCAAAGTAACAACCACAAGGGACCTTGAGAACTTCATGGTTTCAAGAGTGAGTTAGAGACACAAGTTTCTACTTGAAGCAGTTCGCTTGATCAGCTGTTTCCACTGTTTCGGTTTTGAAATTAGCGGGTAAAATCCATTCTGCACAAAGGCGATGTTCTCTGTCGTCGGATCTGTTGACATCTGTACTTATGCCAATGTTTTCGCTTGGATATGGGTACTTATGCTAATATTCTCGAACCACATGTTAATTGAAATTTCGCCTACGAGACTATTTCAGCTCCAAGTTCAGAAAGGTTAATCTATCACAGATGATGATGCCCGAGTGTCTTGAGCTCGGATCTTCAAGGAGGTTTCAGGTGCCGGTGTGGCCTTGAAAGATTCAATGGTTGATGTGACTAGCTTCTCAGCTCCTTTCTTCCACCGAAGGGCGGAAGCACTAGATACCAGCATGACGGCTTGCTTCGAACCAGATGGGATTGTAGCAATTACTCGGGCCTTTCGTGGAATCTCGGTTTGAGTTGACTGACTCAATGTGGAAAAACTGACATCTAGAATGCGGTAGTCTCCACTCATTTCGCTTTTCTTAACCTTGATATCAGTTGGTTGTCCATAAAACGAAAACCGGCCCGTTGGCGAGAACAAGAATTTGATAAAGAAGGAGTCCTTTAGTGCATCCACGCTATTTCCTCCAACGTTGGGGCTAACCGCCACAAAGGCGCCATCGCCTGTATCAGAATCTCTGCACTCAATATCGAATAGGGAACCAGTAGCTGTTGTAACGTCGTTTAGAAACGTTTCATAATTTTCGTTTGCAATTCACTTCAATCACATACCTAAAGCCCAAGTAGATTGAAAGGAAGTGATGACCGGCATCAAATCACTGCTATCAGTCTTCTGCACCAAAATTTCTGCAAATACATTGCCGCTCTTGGAGTCTCGACTAACATCAGTGCCTTCGCGCAGCACAACGCCTGTTTGTGGCTTTGCCTTGCCTGCTTGGCCTGTCGTGAATGAAAAGAATAAGAAGTGAGTATTGCCGTAATAATCCAACCATATTCGAAGAGATGATAATACTGAGAGCATCTGCGTCCTTACCACTAACACCCATGGGCATGGAAACCATTCCCGATCTCAAATAATTATCAACATCAGTTGTCTCGGCGGCATTGGCGTTTGCAGCGATAAGACCAGCACTGGCGCTCCCCATCCATCCAATGACTGATCGCCGCGTTTCCAGCGAAAGGCCATTGCAGTCGGAGAGGAAGACAAGAAGAGAAGCGTGATGAATAAACTTCATTTTCGATGTCAAGAGCGTGTCGTTGTCAGATGTTGTTTTATTGGTGTACCGGTAGCATCAGGCATCAGTGACTGACTCACTCATCAGACAACAAACAGGAATCGAACGAGTCGAGGCCTTTCTCGAAATCTACATGGACCGAATTCGTGTTTTAGGGTAAATGCAGTGAGAGGCATTATGGAATTTGGCTACATTATCGCACTACTTGTATATTCTCAAAAACTATGACTTTGATATCATAATTGAGAATACGCCGGCGCCGATTTGAAATCATAGGTTGGGATCGTCCCATGCCAGATACTGAAAGTAATCAAGATGACCATCATTACCCCTGAAGCCGAAGTCATACCTTGGAAAACGCAAACTTCGATAGCATCCCTTCCCGGGTGAATCACGCCATATGTGATACTAGCTTTTGTCGCTAACGCTGATAGACATTGTTAAAGCGATTGGTTCTGATACAACTCACAGCAACACCCTCTCAAACCCGCACCATTGCCTATAAAACATGTCCGACTACTCCAATAATCCCTGCCGTACAGCATAGAAAACATCCAGCACAAGGCTCAAATCATCCGATCCAACTTGCAAGAGAATCTTGACGTAGTCATACAAAAAGAACTGTAGTCCAATCACTAGGAAAAAGAAAACAACCCTTGGTTGCAAACCCACATACAGATTTGCGATGCCGCCTTCCATTTGCAGCAAATCTTTCACCACATCTTTCCAGTCTGCACCCGATTCGACGGTTCCGTCTTCATTAATCTTTTTCTTGGATGCTGATGTTTTGGTTAGGATAAAATCTGCTGGATGACTCACAATGGCGCCAGCAATTCCAGCGAGAGCACCCGCAAAAGCCGAAATCAAAAGTCCTTCGGTTCCGACACCAACTTGCACCGGAAGGGACCCTGCACCAGCATTAGCGTTGACAAATTCAGTGAAACTTTTTGAGATGACATCAAAAGCAAGGAATTTTGGAATGGCGAACGCAAGTTCACGAGATGCAGTTGGTGGGAAGCCAGCAAAAAGCGGGAGTAGATCCCTAGCATTAAGATCATTCCAAAACGAATCTTCGGATTCTTCATTTGAATTGCTTGGGCCGTTGCCGTTGGCACGGTTGCCCTTTTCTTCCAAAAACTCCTTTAGGACCTTGGTCCATGATTTTGACTCGACGAGCCCCATGCTTCGTACTCTGAGGAGTTCGAAGGGAGCGGCAGCAGCACTTGTGATCACTGTGGCTGCGAAAGCTGCGAGCAACAGGATTAGTTCGGAGTTCGAATCTCCACCATCGGTAAAGAACGTCAGTGTGAAAGAACGTCGAAAGAGTTCCGTCGCTCCAAATCCAAAGGAACCAAACATCAGTGACGCAAGAAAAGTGATATCGGCACTTTGAAATAGGGCGCCAACTCCTCTCAATTCAATTACACTCTTTACCAGGTCCCCTGTTCCGATTTCGTTTCCATCCGATTCAGTAAGTTCCGATTCGTCTGTCGTTGCTTTCCCTTTCGTTTTTTTGGATTTTGCTTTCGCGGTCACCTTTTCTCCCTTCATTTTGTCTTCAGCAAACTGGAAGAGTTCATCGTCATTCTTAAGCTGAAGCTTTGTCTTGATCAACTCCAAGGGATTCAGTGCCGTCCGTACCAGTACAGTGCATACAGCTCCACTGAGGGCCAGCCTCAAATACTCCCCAGATTTCAACTCAGCTGCATCTTTCGTTACTGGCACCTTGCCGATGGAACCGAACAGAGGGTCCATTGCGCGGAAACGTATATTCGGTGATGTGTCGTAGGTACGAATAGCTGCAACACTGCTAATCACGTAAACACCATAACTGTTGAGTTCGGGTCTCATTGTCGATGGCAAGAGCTCCAGTGGTGATGCCCGTACTTTATCCAACGCAAGCCTAGAGGTCTCTTTCGTGGAAATATAGGCTGGACGATTGCCTTTGTCTCTCATCTGTGTAGCCACGGCACGGAACTTTCCGTATTTAGCTTCCAAATCCGTGAGTTCTGACGTTTCAACAAACCAATCAGGGTCATCCTTTGGCGGAGCGATGGTAATCTTTGGTGGCTCTTTCAATACGTATCCATTTCCGGGTTCTACAATGTCGATTCCTCGCACTTCATATTCCATGTCTACGATAGCTTGGGCTGGTCTCGGTTTCTCTGTAGCAGTCTTTTGTGGTTTCGGTTTTGAGATCTCTACTTTGGGCGGGTTTTTGGCCGAAAATTGATAACCGTATCCTGGATCCAATACAACAAGACTCTCCACGTGTCCGTCGCGGTCCAAAATGGCACATACAGAACACTGCCTCTCACTATTCCCAGATATCGTCACCGTGGGTGCTTGAGTGTATCCGGATCCTCCATCCAACAGACGGATTCTCAGCACTCGAGACGTGGGTTTCATAATCGGTTTCATTTTAGCTGCCACATAGGATGATCCAAGCGCAGGAGGGGCATCCACTGAAACTATTGGAGGATCTGTCAGAGTGTACCCGCCTCCGCGCTGACTACTGCTCCGAGATGTAGATTCTGAAGGGCTGACCGGTTTAATCAGGTCGACTCTTGCAACCGTGGCGTTATCGATTTCTCCAAGCAAGCTTCGGATCTCTGTTGTTGGCTGCAATTCAGGTTGTGAGAAGAAGGAAAACAGGATGGCAAGCTGCAGTTTCTCTTCCTCTGAAGTGTATCGTATTTTGAGCAAAGTGTACAAGTTCAATATCCCTTGCTTTCCAATCGTTATACTGTCCCTCTCTCGTCGTTCTCTTTCTTTATCTCCCACGACAATACCCTTCAATAAATCAAAGAATCCTTTTTGGGTGTCATCGGCACGCCGTGATTTCGCCTGTGCTGCTGCAGTAAGTCCGGCTTTAGCTGCTTGAATCGAGGAATAGCTGCCATAGGGTCCAGAGAAGTAATCGGCCAATCCAATCTCGACGCTCTCTGCAAATTCGGCAAATCGTTCTTCTTCTGGGCGACTATCAGCTTCCTTGATCCACCATGCCGTTGCTGAAGAATCAAATGTCAACAGGAATCGCGACAAGTAGGCAATAAATCTTGTTTCGTACACATTTTGAAACTTTTGACCCGGCTTCAAGCGTTGCCCGGAGGTTTTGACTTGAATCCCTCGAGCTGCTGCACTGCCACCTCGCAACATGTCTGCTTTGGGAGTGTATAGTGCTCCTGTAGACACGTCAAACTCGGCAACACCAGCCAGAGCGCTGGTTGATGGCAAAAGGGCTATGCTTCCCAGAGCAGCGGCTTGGAGCGCCTTCCGACGCGTCCAGACGTTTGGGGCTTGCGATTGAGACGTTTCTAAACATACTTGTTCATCATGATCTATTCTGTTATCATTCGAAACGTATAGTATCACCGTTTTCCGTCGATAGTCGTCCATTGGTCGTGTTGGACAACAGGATTTACTGTTCGTTTTCATCTGCCTTGTAGGCAAGCTTGGTGCAAGATAACCATGGACGCTCCATTGTAGACAGTTGAAGAAAGCTATTATGAAAGCTGCTAAAGAAATGCATGGCCTTTTGCTGCCTCGTATGGACTGTTCTTTCATGGTAAATAGTAAGTCATGAATCGGCAGGCATGGATTGCATCTCAGACGTTTTCAAATTGATGGGACGATACAGTAGTAGTACGTGTACGTTGGCTCGAACTAGTCGATTTAGATCTGACTCACTCTTCAAATTTCAGTGGACACTTGATCGGTCATGACACATGACACCAATTCATCACAATCCAACGCTGCTAAAAAACATCTGTTGACAAAGCTCAGAAACACGAATACGACGACGTTCCAAGGAAAGATATAATAGAATGACTGTGACATCAAAGATTTTCTGCCTATTGGCTCCATTCTCTGCTGGCCTTGCCCTGGAACCCTCCCTTGTGTCACGTCGAGGAATGATGATCAAGACTGGTGCTGCCGGTATGGCAACTATCTTTGGACAAACACAAGCAGCCTGGGGAGCCGCTGCCGTACAAGATTCAATGGACGTGGATTCATTCCTTCGCAGCGGGCAAGATATTGGGGGTAACATGGGAGTATCCTCACAAGCTGGAAAAAGCCGACCTGAAACTGGAGTTTTCTTGCGAGACGGAAGTGAGGTTTCGAGAGATCCAAGAAGTGGAAATGTGTTGGCTGAAATCATCTTGCAAAAGAATGATGGTGGCAAAATGGCGGCTCTTGCTAGCTATTCATCTCCATGGCCATTAGGTAAGTTCTTGCTTGGATATTTGTAGCCTTGCTGCATGGGGTGTGTGTCTCATGATACCGTGTCGCTTTGTCAATTCCAGCAACTGGTTCCTTTTTTGACGTCGAATGCCGGGATGGAAGGAATGGAGATGGAGCCTTCCTTGCCGTTACTCAATCGGTAGGCGGTAAATCTATTGCAGATGTTCCTGATTCTTTCTTGTTGGACAATCTACTAGCGCCCACTGGACGATTTTCATTCTATGGACAACCTACTGATGTAAAGGTCAAGAAGAGCGTCACCAAGGGAGATTATCGTCTCATCGATTTGTCGTTCGCTACCTTGTCACAATCTACACAAACAGAAATCCCTCGCAAGGCTCGCTTGGTAGCCACCATTCCTGCGGGATCAAGTCAAGCTGTCATGATGATAGGCAGCGCTAGCACTACTAGATGGAATAAAGGATCGGACAAGGAAATTTTCCAAACAGCGGATTCCTTTCGAGCTATTCCAGCGCCCGAGAGTTCCATGAAGCTGAGAAAAAAGGATCGCGGTGGCCAAGCATTGTTCCTGGACTAAACGACTGTTGCAATGCAATGGGGTCAATTTGACACTCCGGTTCCGCATAAATTCATTGTGTAAAGCTAGGTCAAAGAAATGTAGCAGATTTGACGTTTTATTTCTTCGACAGCTACTGTACCCGTACACTGCGTCCAACAACACCAGTTGTGTTTCTCTTGACGAAAAAAGTGATTGACGTCATGAATGGCACGCGTGCCAAACTTCAGATGTGTCTTTTGTGACTTTTGGTTCCTTGGACTCTTCGACGAATATGGCGCCTAAAAGTTTATTTTCACGACTTGTTACTCACTTCACTGTTCCGTGTGACCTGTTCGTTTTGCACGACACATGGCTTCCGTCTCCTTCGACCCGTTGATGAAAAAACGATTTGATGATTATGAATGAGAAAATAGAGGAATAACATCCAGAACCTTTTGAAATCCCACCATACTACTATAGAAATATACTCAACAACCATGAAGAGAAGGCGGTGTGGGGACATGCCTTTGAATGGGGAAATATTCGGGCATAGAAATTCCAATCAACAAACCACATCAAAACGACGAATAGTGAAGTCGCAACCGCACACATCATGGTTCTCAATACTTTCGCTGCTATACTTTTCGGTTAATGTTGGGGCCCACCAATCATCGCTGGATCTAGAATGCTACGAACTGCTGCAGCAAACGAGACGTGGTCAGGAATTTGAATTGGGGACATCAGATTACGCATTCATTGTGTCAAGGATGTCAGATGGAAAATTGGAACCATTATTTGATCATTTGCCGGGGAACTTGCACGAGGACTTTCGAATAAAAGCGAAGCAACCATGTCGGAATCACAAGGACTGGGGATACTGCATAGACCTACGATCAAGTCTGAATGATATGCCAACTTTCTGTCGAGAACTACGTTCTGAACTAGAAGCTTCTAAAATGGAAGCACCGTCGCCATTAATATTGCCAAATGCGCCATCAATACACTTATCCACCAACAACAAACGACAATACTCGGACTCGAGAGGAAATTATCCTGATGAAGTATCACCACCATCGGCATCTTTTCAAGTTATACATCAAGAGCGACGGTTACAATCCTTCATAGACTGCAAAATAAACATATCCATCGCTGATGAAGATCGAAGCAACCGTATGAAAAAAACTGAATTTGTCGTCTTTCTCAATCGAATGTCAAGTAATCAATTTTCTGGAAATGACTTTACCGAGCTTCCTCAGCGATTTCAAAGCTACTTTGAAGATAACAAAGGGACAGGTGGCATTGACGTATCGGGGGCACGTCCTGGTCAAACTCCTACGACTGCCGAGAATGATTCCCTCACGCAATTCTGTGACGAGACCAAAAATCTGATAGCTGCAAGTGCACCAGTTGGACCGCCGACAGATGGTGGTGGTGGTGGTGGGCCGACTTCGCCACCAGCTGTAGATTGTGACGGAACCATTGCACAGCAACAGTGCTTTATTGCTCTGGCCATTTCCGACCGCAATCGAGATGATTTACTACAAGAGGATGATTATATCCGGTTTGTGAATCGTTTGTCTAGCAACGAATATGTCGATGCCACCCAGTTGGAACAACTACCATCGAATATACGATCCAACTTTCGCAATCTCGAAAACAATGGTGCCATCAGCATATCAGGGTCAAAACCGGGTCAATCTGCATCGACGGAAGAAGAAGACTTCCTTTCTCGGGTTTGCTGTGAGACAGATTTGGCCGTACAAGATCCCGGAGCTATAAGCCCACCATCTGGTGGTCCCTTTCCGACGACGGCTCCAGTTCAGCAATGTGTGTCATCCATCAGTCGACAACAGTGCAATATTTTTCTTTCCATTGCCGATCTAAGCAAGGACAATTTTCTCAATCAAGTGGAGTACATCAGATTTCTTGATCGCCTTTCGACCGCAGGTGAATTCAGTGGCGTTTCGTTCGCCAACCTTCCAGCTCCCTTCATTGCAAACTATGAAAAGTTCGCAACAGTGGAAAACCAAATTGATGTTTTTGGGACCAAACCAGGACAGACAGCGGGTGCCCCACAAAATGAATTCGTGGATCAGTTGTGTTGTGAAACCAACCAACTCGTGGAAGGAGGAGCGCCTCCGCCCACGCCTGTGCCAATCACTCCCTCTCCAACCATAGACCAATCTCAAGAACCCAGCAATGTATCAAGCACAGCACCTTCCATGGGAACCTTCGACTGCCTCCAAAACCTCCAACAGGCTGACTTGTTCAAAGATAGCTTCTTGAGTACCACCGAGTATGTCACTTTTGTGAATCAGATAAGTGGAAGTGCTTTTGAAGGCATAGAATTTGCAGAGCTTCCTTGTCAGCTGGTTTCCGCCTTTGATAGGTTGTCAAACAATGGTGGCAGGATTCCAATCACAGGCGCGACATCCGATACAGCGACTGAAGAGCAAGTTCAGCAAGCCTTGAATCTCTGTGCAGAAGTGTCGCAGGCCATTGCGGGTCAAGGCGCAGATGAATGCAGTGAACCGCCATCCATGGCCCCAGATCTGACAGAAGCACCGACAACTTCTCCTCCGACAGCTGGGCCAATTGACGGCGAAATTGAAATTTTCAATGCATTCGTCATACTCAATACACGTGGCATTCTTGCCGAGCGTCTTGGGACAGGCACTGCCAATAGGAATGGTTTGGACGCTGCATACGATTTGTTTGTGACAGAATCTGTAGGAAGAGCGATAGCTAGTGGTGCCGAGCTGACTTCATCGTTAAGGGGTCGAAGAAGATTGGATGTTGCCTTGCAGGCCGAAAGCGCTTCAATTTATAACATTGTTGATTCAGAGTGCCCAGTCACTGTCACTGAGGAGGATGCCACTTGTCAAGTTGGCTATGGAAGGTTCCGCGTAGATGTCACGAATGAATATGCCATTCAAATTGTCGAGCAGTATACCAATTTCACACAAAATGATATCCTAAATGGACTCCTACAGTCATCTTTGGTTGCGGTAGATCCGAACTCTGTTTTGCAAATTGTGGATGCGTTTTTTCCCGTGAGGGATCCAAATGAACCAACAAATCCACCGGCCACCAATTCCCCACAAAGTCCTTTAGGACCAGCTGACGACCAATCTTCGAATACCGGTGCAATCGTGGGGGGAGTTCTAGGGGGTCTGTTACTCTGTGTCCTTTGCGTTGGTATTGGCACGTATACGAGTACAAAGAAGGGGGGAGACAAAGCACCGAAACTTACAACTACTGGAGGTGATGATGACAATTCGGTTATTGGTGGGGATGATGGAAACATTGTTCGACCACTTAGCTCACGAGAAAACGTTGGAAACATCTTTGACAATATCAAAAACCGATTTGGTGGGAACAACAATATTGAGGATGCTGATGCTGAAGACATCCTTGAGAAAGATGAAGACGATGACTCTGATCAAGAGGACAATGAATTCGGTGCTTATGGAGCAGATTTCAAGATCGCAGCTGAAGAGGCAGAGGTAAAGGCTAAAGAAAAAGAGAAGAAGAACGTGTTTGGATTTGGAAAGAAGGATAAGAAGGGGAAAGAACCGGGCGCGTTTGGATTACAAACTGTTTACGATAGTGACAGTAGCTCGAACAGAGAAAACGACTTTGGGAAATACGGTTTCGAAGATCCTGATGCTCTCATGGACGACGATGAAGAAGGGGAGGATGAAGACGATGCTGGCTCCAAAGAGAAACTTTTTGAAAGTAACATGTCGCCTGCATGGGGAACTTCGGAGACTGGATTTGGTGCTGGTTGGGGTGCAGGTGGATCAAATGATATTGTAAACGATTTCTTTGGGAAATCCTTTGGAGGTGTTGACATCATGGCCGATGGTGCTGGAGGAAAAGCAGCGAAAGCATCACCAGTAGAAGTACCTGAGGAAGGAGGCGACGAAAACGGAGACGAAGAAGATTCACAGGCTGAGTCTTCCTTCGAATCTTCCGAGGATAGCACCTATGAATCGAGTAAGAATACAGAGGGATTCCCGTCTGGTACTTTCGGTGATGGCCAAAACGAACCTGACAATTCAAGCAGTGCTGATCATGATCCAGACAATTCCAGTAGTGCCGACTCACCAGAGGAAGGAGCAGACGAAGACGGAGACGGCTGGGCGACCAAGCCCGAAAAGTTGCCCGAAGGCAAAGGGGAGGATGAAGGCGATCTTTCCGATGACGACGACGACGACGAAACCTTTGATCAATCGCAGCTTTCTGGTTCGGTGATGAGCGCTAGCTCCCGAACTAGCACGACAGGTGAACGTCAACGACGGATAGAATATCAAGCACAAGTAGATGCCTTGGTTCGTATTGTACTACCAGATCAAACGGAAAAGGTTCAGGAAATGATGGATCAATTTCATGGTCGGGAGCCAGAACTAATCTCGACTCTACAAAATATGCAGGAACGAAGTGCTACCCAAAGAGCTAGACAGGCAGTCCATCGAAGCAAAAAACGACCGGATAGAATAGAAACTCGGGCAGGTGGTAGCTATGCAGGAAACGAAAATTTGATGGGAGCCAGCGAAGGCTCTGCCGCTGGAACTGCCGCAATTGCCGCCGCCAGTCTTCCCATTCCAGCTGGCGGGTTTGACGAAGCCATACCCGAGGACCATCCTGGCGGCTTTGGAGCACAAGATGCATTTGGAGGCTATCCAAATGAAGAAGACGAAAACAGCTTGTATTCCGGTGACCACAGCAGAGATTCGTACGACGATGCGCCTACTTTTGCCGATGATAATGATGGCCAAGGTTACGATGACCAAGATCGAAGCTATGATGATCAAGATCGGAGTTATGATAGTCAAGATAGGAGTTATGATAGTCAAGATAGGAGTTACGATGATCGAGACCGAAGCTATGGCGACGATCCAGGCCAAGATGGCGATGAAGATAGCCGAGGTAGCTTCTACTCGGGGGACGACATGGGTGATGCTTTTGGAAGTCAAGATCCAAACGCATTTGGCAGTCAAGATGCGAATGCCTTTGGCAGTCAAGATGCAGATACATTTGGTAGCCAAGGTGCATCTGCATTTGGTAGCCAAGGTGCATCTGCATTTGGAAGCCAAGATGTAGACGCATTTGGCAACCAAAGTGCAGATGTATTTGGTAGCCAAGATGCATCTGCATTTGATTCAAACGCTTTTGGTAGTCAAGGTCAAAATGCTTTTGATCCGAACGACGCGTTTGGTAGTCAAGATCAAAATGCTTTTGGTAGCGACGCTTTTGGAAGCAATGCGTTTGGGGACCGCGATCAAGATTTTGGTGACGAAGAAGGATATTCGCAAGGAAGTCATTCTCAAGGTAGCTATTCTCAAGACCAAGATGATCGTCGTCGACCTAGCGACCAAGGTTTTGGAAATGAAGAAGGATACTCTCAAGGGAGTTATTCTCAAGGGAGTTATTCTCAAGACCCAGGGGACTTTGCCCAAGATGGACGTCGAAAACGTGACGAACAAGGTTTTGACGATGATGAAGGGTACTCACAAGGAAGCTATTCGCAAGGTCCAGATAGTTTTGCCCAAGATAGTCCTCGCCGACCTGACGACCAAGGTTATGGAGACGAAGAAGGGTACTCTCAAGGGAGCTATTCGCAAGGAAGCTATTCTCAAGACCCAGGTGGTTTGGAACAAGATGATCGTCGCCAACCTATTGACCAAGGTTTTGGAGATGAAGAAGGATACTCTCAAGGGAGCTATTCGCAAGGTAGCTATTCGCAAGGTCCAGATAGTTTTGCCCAAGATAGTCCTCGCCGACCTGACGACCAAGGTTATGGAGACGAAGAAGGGTACTCGCAAGGGAGCTATTCTCAAGATGAGGGGCAAGGCTCTTACGACGACAGATATGATGGCGAAGGCCAAGACTATGGTGACGATGACGGCGGAAGTCAAAGTTATTACAGTGGGGAAGATGAAGGCAGTTTTGGTGGTGAAGAACCTCCGGATTCCTTTGGGGCACCTCCGGATTCATTCGGTGGTGGGGGGAATAAGCCAGATTCATTTGGTGCACCTCCGGATTCATTCGGTGGTGGGGGGAATAAGCCAGATTCATTTGGTGCTGGGGGTTGGCCAGATGAGTAGTGAACCACTAGAACAACTTTTTGATTGAAAATATAACAAGTCTTTTCTAGTTCTGATGGAGCTTCCTTGAATCCTTTCTATTTCATACGTAGTCACCTTGACAGTTAGCATATGCAGGAGGGACCAAACGGCAAACCAAAACATTTTCGCCTAGATAGAATCGGCTCTTCTTGCAAGAACGGAGCATCCCGCTTTGGCTTGATGCTTGTTTCAAAGTCTGGTCGGTAATACTTTTCCATGACGTGCAAGACAGGACCAGGGATTTCTTTTCGGAATTCTAGATAATACTCGGGGGTGCTCCACTCAGACACCGATATCAGTATCGATGGAGAGAATTTTCGGGTAGTGGTTGGCTTGGAACGCCGGATAATCTTATTGAGAATCTTCTTTTCTTCTGCTTCAGTGAAGACTTTCTTGGCCAGTGGAGGAATGTCTCTTTCTTCTTCCGCCATGTGTTCTCTCATATTCAAAACAAAGACATTAGTTTTTGTTCTCATTTCTTCTACTTCGTCCTTGCAATCGTATCCTGTTTTGCATATTATTTTCTTGCAAATTGAAGTCAGTTCATCCAATATTTCTACTATTTCTTCATGCTCCTTGGAAAGCTCCTTTTTTGGAATGTCGGCTCGAGTTTGAAGCCAAGGAAAATAGATTTTCTCTTCGACGTCATGATGTTCATGGCAAAAGGGTGCAAAGACATCGAGATACCATTCGCAAAAGTAGACCACTTGCCATGATTGCATAGTATTCGACTTTGTGAGTTCGGAAAGTTTGTCGACTGACTGGATCATGCAATTCATTTCCATTCGAAGAGCTTCATGAGGGACTAGTAGAGAAGCATCTGCCCAATCCTTGGGTGGGTTCTCTGGCCCAAAGACATCCGACGTGAGCTTGTCAAGCTTGAAACGTTTGGAGTAGTCGTTGGAGGTCGAAGTTTCTTTCATTTTGGCAGTCGTATTGTAATTGATTGATTTTTGGTATGCCTTTGTGTGGGGATTGGAAGAAAAAGCAACAAAGTGGGATCCAAAAATGTGGACCATAAGTGAAAATAACGTGTATTAAACGAATCCTGCACAGAGCTTGTCGTTTCGACTTGTTATTTATCGTTTTGTTGAAACCAGCGGAAATTTCAATCACGTTTCTTTCAGAGCAGACTCGTGTGGAGGTTGGATGGATTCATTCGACTCGTTTCGAAAAGCCACACCTCCATCCAAAATCCAAAATCCAAAACATCATCGTCATTATATATTGCGCCTTCCAAAGGATCACATCATGCTCGAACCCAACGATCTGGATTTGAAGGGTGAATTCAGTGATGTCTTGTTTATAACCGGTCTCTTGTGCAAAGGAAGGTCGGACGAAGATGTAGAACAGTTCTTATCCATGTCGGAGGTGAATTTTGTCGAAGCCGAACAACAAATCGATGCTCCGGGTGGCGGCAAACTTTGGGTGCGCTGCGAATCAATTCGACAAGCCAAAAAGGTGCAGGCTATTTTTCACCAACAATCCTTCAAGGGGGCTGTCATCATGTGCCGATATGAACTTGGATTCGACCCAGAAACTGGCAAACGACGAGTGTCACGAAATTCCATTCACACTACTTGCATTCGAAGGGTTCAGCAACGGCGCGGGGAAAACAATAATCGAAACAAAGGAGTGGATACCCATACAGTACCAGCAAACTATAGCTACAGGTCACTATCAATAGGGTAAGCACAGCTGTTGAATTGGTGAGACCCTAACTCCAACTGCTGAAAGCCTACTTCCATTTGTCTCATGGTTTCTTGTTGTTCCACAACACTATGCACTTCATGCTTTCCTGTCAACAATCCAATCCAATCCAATCCAATCCATACAAATATGATATGCACAGTGAAATGGAATATCCCTTTCCATCTGGAGTCTATCTTGCTCGTCTCATATCCTTGGTGCAAAAGTGGCCGAATCGAACTGACGATCCCTTGATTGAATTGGTCTCCAATAATTACATTCCACCAAATGCCAAAAAGAAGAAGAAGAATCAGAATCCCAGCAGTGTCTTTGGCAATCGATATGCCAAGGAAATTACTGAAAGCATGGCCATGGTGGATGCAGTTGAGCGTGCCATGAAACTCTGTTTGGGCCGGTCTACCTCCTCCTTCCGGCTATCAGCATCCACCAATCGCAACAATAATGTTTGCGTTAGGGTGTATTGTGTGGGAGATGGCAAGTATCCCGTCTCGGCGGCTGCCATGGCCTTGAACTATCCCTATCCTGGTTGGGAATTTATATCGATTGATCCCTTGTTGGAACCCCTGGATATTGATAATGCCACGAATGATCCCGAGGACAATCATCATCATAATTATGATCGACATCGACATCGGCTGGTACAATTCACTGGTTTGAGTCAGGACTATGTTCTTCCAGATCTTCCTGCTGCTTTTACAACGTCGAGTCCAGATGAATCATCATCATCCGAGATAGAAACTGAGTATGTGGATGTTGTGGTAGCCTGTCATTCTCATGCTCCACTCCAAGAGTTTTGGGATCGAATATTGGAACGAATTCATTCTAGGTATGGATCATCCTGTCGGGCAATTGCAATCACCATGGCTTGCTGTGCCAACTATTCCGACATTACCCAGCCACCCAGCTTGGTATTTGATGACTACGAAGTGTACTCACCCAAACGGCAAATTCGCATCTACAATAATGACAACTTGTTTTGTCCCCAAATAGTGAAGGAAGGAAGGAAGGAATCGATAAAGTCGAATACTGGTGACAGACAGGCCTCGGTCAAATAATTCAAAAATGACCCAAACACAAAACCACAACAAAGTCTTGTCACGGGAAGTACCAGGTACTCATCCATTACCTCGCCTACATTGAGAGCTGAAGATTGAATCACAAAGACAGACTTGCAACCTCGCACCTTTTTTCAACCACATTCACTTTCAAGTCCTCAAAACAAACGCCAAAAAATGGCAGTGTCTCCTTCATCAGCGGGTGTCTCCGTGCCAATGGGAGATTCAAAACTCCGCCGAGGGCATAGCAAAGCTTATCCAAGAGATCACTTGGGTTTCGTTGCCAAGATGCAATTCTACTTTCGAAAACATTCAGGAGCTGTCTTGGCGACAGTTTGTTTTTTCGCCTTTTGTTTGTTGGTGTCGTCGGATTTCATACACGACACTGCTCCTGGATTGCGAGCGCATCAAAGTGGGGAAATTAATTTTGCGGGAGCCATCAAGAAGGGATACTTTTCGACGGCAGGGTCCATAGTGAAGGAAAATGTCTTTCGGTTTGCGGCCATTACAGATTTGGACCAACTTTCCAAGTTTGAAGATGGCGACAAGATAAAATTCAAGAGTCATTTGCTGCCAGGAACATTGACAAGAGATCCATCCGATGGAACGTATTCGATTGAAATGGAAGAGACTAGAGAAATTGTCACTGGGCACAATGAAGCTGGTAGAGGTGCCGAATTCAGTGAACTTCAAGTCTTCAACAACCGACTGTTGACCTTTGACGACCGGACGGGTGAAGTCTTTGAGATTCGAAACAATGCTGACGGTAAATCATCGTATTTGGTACCTCGATTTGTCGTGACGGAAGGAGAAGGTGATACTGATAAGGGTATGAAGGTGAGTTGGCTTGTTTGGGGGTCAAATCAAAATGGCTTGGGTTGTTGAAATTAGTTTGGCTCATCGTTTATTCCTTCATCTGTTCCTTTTATTTTATTTTTCAAGTGGGAATGGGCGACCGTCAAGGATAATGAATTGATCATTGGAAGCATGGGAAAAGAATACACACGACCCGATGGAACCATTGTAAACAAGAACAATCTATGGGTCAGTGTCTTGGACAATCGCGGCAGCTTAACTCGGATGGACTGGTCGTCCCAGTACGAATTTGTCCGACACCACTTGGGAGCCGATTCACCAGGATACCTCATTCATGAGGCTATTCGATGGTCGGAACACTTGCACAAATGGGTCTTTGCTCCACGTAGAATATCCGATCAAAAATATGATGACGAGAAGGACGAAAAAATGGGTTCCAACAAGGTGGTCTTGGTCAATGAAGGATTTACCAGTGCGGAAACTGTTCATGTGAAGATGGCTTCGAACGATGGTCTCCATGGATTTTCCTCCTTTGCTTTTGTGCCTGGAACCAACGACAAGCATGTCTTGGCCTTGAGAAGTGTCGAAGAAGATTGTGCGGGAGACGACTTGGATATTTGCAAACAAAGGTCGTACTTTGTAGTCTTTGACTTGACGACGGGAGATGTCTTGATGGACGAAGTCGAAATCGAAAAGAAAATGAAGTTTGAAGGTGTGGAGTTCGTAGACCTGAACACCATACCGCCAACCAACTAGAGCCTACCGGTATATATAAGATTACAGTATATTTTATATGGGAGGATATGAACAAACCTACTAAACATTGTATAGAATTGACACACATTCATCGTGGGAGAGGATCGTATGGGAATTCGCGTTTTACAATCAAGGCACGATGACTATATCTGTATGTAGTCAAATGAGTTGGGTGATGATGATATGTTTTTTTAAAAAGATTGAAGTGTGGGAAGAAAGAGAGAGAGGAGTGAAGAAAATCTATGGCACGCAAGGGCAGGATAGTGGCACTTGATAATGATGATGGTGATATTCTGCCTACTTGCCGTCCCGATGATCTTGCACCAGCTTGATAAACTCGCTCTTTTCCATTAGACCAACTGCCTTGTTACCAAGTCCCGCCTTTCGAATTGCCGCCTTTAGTTCCTTCACTGACATGTCCTTTGGATCTTTCAACTGAATCTTAAAGGAGTCATCGGAAGGCAAAACCTTGGAAAGGAACTCTACTACCTTTTTCAATTCAGGTGGACTCACACTGTGGGGAATTGGGAAGGACTCCAAGGTATAGTCGGTAACTCCATGAGCCATGACGGCAGCCTTGGTCTTTTCGGCCAAAGAAAATTGGACCATAGGATCCATGGTTCCGTGTCCATGGTAAACAGGAGTTGATAGCTGTGTGGGTTTGAATTGGGAGGCAGCTGGAAGGTATCCACTCAAGACGACGACTCCGGCCAAACTTTGTTCCAATTGCAATCCAGTAAACAAAGATAGAGCACCACCTTGACTAAATCCAGCCAAGACCATACGCGAATAAGGAAGTCCGGTGGTTTCATGTTCCGTTTTCAAAATTCCTTCAATGCGGGCGCGGGATTCGGGAAGTCCCTTGCACTTTTCATTGGAACGTTCATCAAGCCCCACAATGTCGTACCAAGAAGCCATTGGCATTCCCATGTTCATTGTGACTGGTTGTGTGGGTGCCGTTGGCAAGATGAACTTGGCGTATGGCATTTGGGCAGCAAACATCTAATGTCCGACGTAATAAAAAGTTGGTTGCAACAAAGATCAAGATGATTGATTCATTGATGAGAAAGAACAAACATGATGGGGATTAGCAAGAGCTTCAAAGGTACAGTAAATGCATGCATGCAACAGCTGCTGCTTTCAAATAATCAAAAAGCATACCTCAGCAACATCGGCAAATCCTTCAGCAGAGTCTCCCAAACCGTGGCAAATGACAATAAGGGCGGACTGTGCGGCTTCGTTGCGAGGAGCAACGGTAATAGTCCCATCGGCTCGTTCTGTGGAATGTGTCGACATGCTGGAAAATGCAAGGACGGATCGATTGGAAAGAACTGTAGCAGAAAGAGCAAAGCGGTGAAATAAACGTTTGTATCCTAAATGTCTGCTTGGTAATCGCATTCAGGAACAAGTTGTGTTGGGAGAAGAAGTATGGCGTCATTGTCGCAAGAGGTCGGTGTGGATTTGTATTGGGGGAGTTAAATGGTGAGGGACCCCATTTTAAAATTCATTTTTTGATTACCCCCATTTTCTAATCATTCCAACCAGTCGATGGGGCAAAAATCGCACGAAAATCAAGTAACTGGTAACGAGAGGTTCTTGGGAGATGGCCAACATCCCTCTGTCGCAACTTTTACGTTCGAAACTGTTGTTGTAAATCTTCCTGGACAATCTTGAAAAATGGTTAAGGTTAGTTATAGACTGCGACAATACAAGTGATGGTGTTGGTGAAGAGGTGTGACAAGGGCTGTAATGGATGAAATAGGTGGATTGAAGGGATGAATGATTTCAGCTGTGGTCAACCTCATCTCGTTGAGGGATGGGGTTGAGGGCCGAGCAGCCTATTGCCACATGGTCTATGCAACAATGATGACTTCGTTGGAGTCAAATATTGGATGGATTCGGGCTGGATTGTGCTGGATATTGAACCACCGGCAATCGGGTACCAGTAGTGCACCTCCTCACGCCTCATCAACAATACCAACAACACCATTGCGTTTCTCGTCACATTGGATGAATGTCACATCTCACTGTACGTTTTTCTTTCTTTGTTTTCAAATCACAGCAAAAGAACACTTGCGCACACAACAATACCCACAAGGCTCACGCCAACGGTATCAAGAAGGCCAAGCGATCTAAGTTCGTTTCCACACGAGGCATGGACCCCAAGTTCCTAAGAAACCAAAAATACGCCAAGAAATACAATGGTTCCAAGCGTGTGCACAAGGACGAGTAAACATATATAGCCATGTGGTCATAAAAAGCTCTTCTGGGAATATATACAAGAATGTCTATTATTGTCGTCATTGTAGAATACATTATCCGGATTGCTCAAAGTTTCAGTGGCAATGAAAAATTGTTGGTGGTCCCTGCTTCAGATGAATGAAACCAAGATTGAAGGATCTGTGTTGATTATGGACCACATAGATGCCCCATGGTCGTTCTTTCCGATTGAAATAATTTGTGTGCTTTCTTGTTTAGCATTCAACGAGGTACCGGTAGGCTACTTCAATCTCTGCCAGCAGTTCGTCTCCAGCCCGAGCGACAAGTGAACATAGTTGTGAAGGATACAGTCACCGTCATTTGTTCTTGGGTTGGTAAACCGTCCAACTGTAGGCGCCGTTCCTGGATGTTCTCGTTTCTTTGGTAGTCGATTGGTGGTTGTCCTTGTTCCAATACAAGAGTGGATTCAATCCTATGTCTGCTTGATCGTATCGCTCCGTCATGCCAAAGTATTCGTTCTTGCCCTTGGCCGCCTCGGGTTTCATGGCTATTCTTGGTACAGAGGATAACAATGACGATTGCAATGCAACAAAATGGGATCGCATCTCTGCCGCCAAGTCGACTCGACTGCCACAAGTCGAAGCATGTCCAGCTCCTTCCACAACATGGACGTGGCTGTTAGGAAACAGTTCGGCCAATCGGTCTGCCTCATCCACGGAAGGCAAGGTCTCGTCCTTCTCTCCGGCGACAATCAACGTAGGAGTGTTTGTTGTCCTTAGTTTCTCTGCCAATTCTGTCAATGTTCTCGTTTCAGTTTGTTGACATCCCGCAGAAAGCCAAGCGTGAAGTCGCCAGTCCAGGGTTCCTTGAGGCATATATTCGAGTTGGGACGGTAGAGAAATTGCCACTCGTCCCATGTACGCTTCTCGGGCGGGAGTATCAATGACACTTGGCAAGCCGTCGGCTGTTAGTATCAACAAGAGTTGAGCTACAGAGTGTTCGTCCGTAAATAGAGGCAGCAGCTGAAGGAGTCCAAATATATATTGATAAGCTGGTAACTTTGTTACGTCCGGTCCTCGAGCTTGGAGTGCTGAACGAGAATAGCAAGTTGCTGGGTTGATCAAGACCAAGCCGCCCAAAGGCGATGATGCTCCCGATGGATCAGACAAGAGCTCGTTTGCGACCTCAGATGCTAGAATTCCTCCAAAAGATTCTCCTGCCAAGTAGAGTGGCCGCCGACTATCATCGGAATCGCTACCTAGCTTGGTGGCAATAAAGTCCAAAACATTCTGCTTCAGCTCCTCAAAGGTCGATCGATCGTCCATCCCAACCACCATGCACCAAACATCAAATTCGGTGGAAAGTTCTGGAAACTGCAAAAAGGGACAAATGTAGGTCCCATCAAATCCAGGAAGATAAAGGAGAATTGGCTTTTGAGACAAGCTTCCGTTGCGAAGTTCCTTAACGGCGGGTGGGTATCCATAATCCAAAAGGGGCGCTCGAAATTGAACATTCTTGTTCACGTCACCCTCGTCAGATGCAGCTTTCGAATTCGTTTCTGTTGCGTCCATCGCCGACGCTGATAATGGTATTTGTTTCGAAGAAGAATTTCTTGGAAGTTTGCTGGTCGTCCGAAAGTTTGTGTCTCCAGATGTCGGTATTATTGTTCTGGATGCAATGTTGAAGTTTTTTCGGTGGGAAATCTTGTGGGAAAAGCTGGAAAGAGCAGCAACTGAGAGAGAGGAGCAAGCAATGAAAATAACCAGAGAAACCAGTATTAAACGAGTCCATGAGAATGCATGAGAATTGGATTCAGGTAAAGAATACCGGCTCATTGTTGATCGTTGCTTGTTGATTTTCAATAGGATGTTATGAGATGTCAGATTTTTGGGTTTGAAAGGGGGAACGTTCCCAAACATCAACCTATAAATGAGGGATGAAAGGGGGGCAGTTACACAATACGAGATGGACATGCGACACGCAGGCAATCTAAAAAGAACAGAACAGGACATGACTGTTATCATTGCTGCCGAGTTGAATGTCAGCAGCTCAGAGCTCAGAGTTGGAAAGCTCAATCATTCTAAGGTGCAGTAGAAATACAGCATGAGTCAGGGACGTAACAAAAGAGGCCGTGCTCACAACTCCTCTAGATTCAAACAAGGCAGTGGTCACTTTAAGTCGAATCATCACAATAATCATCCCAAACGCCAGCGCCGTGATGAGCATTTTAATCGACGTGGTGCGGACGATCGCCAGCGATTCAAGTCAGACCCTCAATATGGTGCTCACAAGGTTAAAATAGAAGCGCAAACTTATCATCATCAAGTTAAAGGAGAACTAAAGGCGGAACCAAAGTCTGAACAAGCCCTCGCGAAACCAATTCCCGACATTGACTTTCCAACCAAGGAAAAAAACGACAAAGCCTGCGTTTTCATTTCCAATTTATCGGTTGGTGTGAGCAAAGAAGCCCTGGCAAGATTCATTCGGCACAGATATATCGAATTACGAATCGATGAGCCGGAAATCGTTGCAATCTCTATTCGAGAAGATAGGAAGGATTGCTTTGTAGAATTCAAAAACCAATCCCATGCACTCGATGCAAAGAATGCTCTAGATGGCCGCAGCTTCGGAGATTTCGGTACTATATTGCGGGTTTTCCCAACCGAAAAGAAAGCTTGGACTCAATATGTGACTGATGCCTTCACAAAGGAGGAGGAAGAGAACAAAAGGAAACAGGAAGCGGATCGAGTCAAAGCTGAAGAAATCGCGCCAGAGGTTGAAGACGGCGAGGTGAAGCCAAAGGGCGAGCTCAGTAGTGTTCAACTAGATTATTTTCGGAACCTTCAAAAGGACAAGGAAAAGGTTAGAAAGTGTTTGTATCTACACGCTTTACCACAGCGACTGAGTCCCAAAGAATTGAAAAACTTTATCATCGAAGAGTGCGAAAAGCTAATTCATCTTACTCCTAAAATCACTGCCTGTCATGTACGGTCTCAAGAGAATGATGCTTGTGTAGAATTGGAAGCTCACACAGAGGCTGTCATGGATGCCATCAAGGATCGATTCATAGAGGGGACGAGTTTCGGTGTGATGCAATGGAAGAAAGAGAGGTCCAAGAGATTCATTACATATTATCAAGAAAAAGAGGAGCGAAAGAGGCAAAAGAAGGCACCAAAAGATCTGCGAGAGCATCAAAATCAACAGGATCTCGATGCTCCCAATGACACTGGTGCAGCAACTACCGACTCGTCGCGCTCCGGCTCTGGTAACAACAACAGCGCTAACGCTAGCGCATTGGCAGAAGAATTGAAACGCCAGAAGGAAGAATGTAGACGGATTCGAAAGGAATTGATAAAGGTAACAAAAGACCATCAAGTACTAAATTTCCAGTACCGCACAGTCTCGGAGGAAAAGGAACAGCTTGCAAAACAGTTGAATGGAGCACAGGAGGAAGTAGACACTACCCAATCGGAACTGACTGAATTGAAAGAAATTAACTCTGAATTGAAAGGAACCAACACCAAACAAGAAGATGAAATCAGCGATTTGAGAAAACAATTGCACCAAATGCAACAAGCGAAGATGAACGCCGACGCCGAAGCTGCTGAAATGAGAGAGAAACAAGAAAAGCAAATTCATACGATCAAGAATCTGGAAAAGGATCTGTATCAAACAAAGCAACTTTTGGCCAAAGCGCGCGAGGAAAAGGATGATGCCATGGAAGCTTTACAAGGCCTCAGGGTGCAAGCACACAATCAAGGCGTCCAAGTGAACCAAAACATCAAGAAAGAGTGGATCGAATCTGAAAAGGAGAAAGGAGAGCTAAAACGACAGAACCGAAGATTGCAGGTATACAACGCTGCCCTCGAGAGTATGAAAGAAGAAAAAGATTCCGAGATTGGTGAAGTGGTGAAGAAGGAACCAGTGAGAAAGAAACCAGTTAAAAAGGAGTGAGCCTGTATCGAATGGCAAGAAGAAGAGTCGAAGAAGCCAAGATATTGAAAGCACTTGAAAACACAGCAGTGGGTCGCTTATTGGGGGACAGCCTGTAATACGGTGGGTATACCGCGTACGAGTAGCTGCGATATGATAAATTTCAAATTTACGTTTCAATGTTGATTCATTGGACTAACTTGTCACTCGCAAAATCACACCTTTGATGAAGAATATAGTGCCGACAGCTGCAGTACGTACAGTATATGACCGGCATGCTAGTGTTACGAGAAAAAATATATTTATGTTGCATAGTTTGGCTTCGTCTCCATGTGTGTAATTCGTTTTCGCTCGAGTCCCCACCGTCCACTCCCGGCTGGAGAACATACATCCTTGTGGACTCAAACGAAAAGACCATATCGCATTGCATAGAGTTGCCACCAGAAGATGATCTTCCCGACGAAGATGAACTGGAAATGTTTTATCCAACCGCTCGAAGGTACTTTCAGTTCCCAAGCTCAGAGCATAATGCTGTTGACAGTGACCCCATTATGATTCGACAAACATCCTTTGGCTGTGGAAAACTGGGCCACCAAGTGTGGCCATCGGCCATTGCTCTTTCCCTTTATTTGTGCAGCCAAGACTTTACAAAAGATAAAAGTGTTATGGAGCTAGGAGCCGGATGTGGACTACCGTCGGCTGTTTGTCGAGATATCTTGGGTGTAGATTCCGTCTTGGCGACCGACTTTTGGATGTTGCCGACAAGTGAATGGGAAAAGGGTCGTCTGATACCTGAAAATTGGCATGGAATCAATTTGGAATTCAATATCTGCAAAGACGCTTCCAAAACTGCCAACATTCAACAGCTGGATTGGCACAAGCCAGATTCTATTCGAGATGCCTTGCGAATAGGCAAACCTAAGATTGTGATTGGATCTGATTTGGTCTATTACCCAACAGACTTGGAACCCTTATGGAACACCATTGAGATTTGCTTGAAAGAAGGAAATCTAGATCAGGTTCTCTTAGTATCTCCCTTGGAACCGATTACGAGAGAGGCGCTACCAGAATTTCGACAGCTATTGGAAGGAAAAGGAAAAGATGGATATACTGTGGAAATCGAAGAACTCACAGTACATCGAGATGAGATTGGAAATTCAGTGGATCATTTCTTGAGAATGAGTATTGCGCTAGCTCAATAGTATTTCGTCTTTGCAGGTTCAGAATCTAGAACAAAGCTTATATATAGTAATAATTAGAAGAAGCTCTTTATGAATGGCAAAACAGACTTGACATGGATTGGCAACTCGGGTGCGGAATCCAGAACTTCTTTCGTATTCACTTGTTTCGAGTGTTTCATCAATTCACCCCATTCATCCTGCAGCGATATGGAAACCTCGCTGGATTTAGAAGGTGGAAAAACCATGAGCAGGTTACTTTCCATGTCTCGTTCGAAGCTACGACCTCCAAAGTTACTGGACCCAACGACGTGCGAAAGCAGTTCTTCGCCTTCTTCTATCCATATTCCCTTGGAATGAAAGGTCCAATCTTTTCTTTCCCAATGCCACATGTTGGCATGAGTTTCTTTGGATGCTTCATAAATCAAATGGTCAAAGACGGTAGGAATCCATGCTTTCCCCTTATTTCCTGACTGCTGCTTTTTCGGTCGAAATCCGTGTGACAGTGGTCCAGCAGTGACAAAGTTTGCTTCGGGATAGTGCTGCACGGATTTCAGTAGATCGGGCATGGGATTTAGGTAGGCGCTGGATAGGTGTATACGCGATGTTGTATCATCAGATCCACCCTCTCTCAGTAGTGACAAGGTTGCTTCAATATCGGTCCAATATTCTGGAGCCTCATCCCAAAACCCACTTGGTGCATGAAAGGTTGGCATACATACTGCAATTGTATCAGAATCCTCTGTCAGGAGTTGCTCTGCCGTTCGTGGATCCTCACTGCAAAACAAGTCATTGATCTCACTCAGTAGTCTAGTGTTGGAGGCTGGCGACATGATTTTCTTCACATTTGTGTTGGTTGTGCCTTGTTGATAGGCCACCGAGTTGTCACATAGACTATCTATCAGTTTTGCATAAAAGTCTACCAACCCATTGCCTCCATCACTGAAGCAAAGATATCGATCTTGTCGATCTGTAAAGTATTCTTCACTCAAATTGGCCCCCGACAATATGAGTGAATCGTCAACAATATAAGCCTTAATGTGAAAGACTCCTGCCACTTCATTGAGCGGATTGGGAAGGAGAGCATCCAATGAGGTGGGCAGCACCTGAAACAGATGCAGTTTGTGATTATCCTGCAGTTTAATCGCATCTGCTACCGCTTGGGCTGAACTTGTCATTTCTCCATTGTCGCATGGAACTTCTCGCAAGGCTCTATTCTGATCCAGAATGATCTTCACGTCGACATCTTCCTTGGTTGACCGAAGAGCATCTAGCAATTCATGTTCTTGTTCATATTTCACCAAAGCTCCTGGTCCAATATAGAGAGACGCCAGATAGACTCGTTCCTGGGCATTTCGTATTGCCTCACACAAAGTCTCGTGGAAATCAGACGGAGTGGCACCCAACAATCGAGTTTCCACGTGATGAGGCTTTATTGGAAAGGCTGGAAGAGGATACTTTCTCTTGAGACTGCTGTTCGCTGTAGTTTGTCGTTGCAGAGATCCACGAGCGCTATCCAATAAACTGCATCGTCGAATCAATTGTTGGGAGGCCTTCATGTTTAGATATGGTTGCACTTGTTTCGGTTTTTGTCTCTTTCATGAGTAGGAACACACGTATCATGTTGTGAAGTCTTCACGGAATCTTTGTTTTTTTTTCAGTTTGTGAGCTGGCCTTCTTTGTTGTAACAGCATACGGGATCTTGATTCCAGATTCCATTATTTTAACAGCGACGGTTTCTTTCACATGGGCTAAAAAATTCAATTTGAACAAAAATCAACGGTTTTTCAATCTCACCACGAACCGAAGTCGTCGTCCATCACATTCCGATCTCTTTCTCAGGTCAATTTTAAAAGTGCAGCCTCTCGAGTGGCGCAACAAGAGAGAGTCAGTCAATCCATAGGATCAGTATCAAGATGAGAATCTCCGTTCAATGCCTTTTGTTGGCGTTGGCATTTACAGCAGCCAACGCTCAAACGAACCCCACAATCATTGGCGTTGTTCAAGAAAATGCAACAACTCAAGCTCCGAAGCAACAAGTGATGATCACCGGTGCCCCAGTTTCTGTCCCCACTACTAGTGCTCCAGTTCATCTACAGAACACTATGATTACGGGTGCCCCAGTTTCTGTACCAACTAATACCCCTGTCACCCCTATCAACACAGTGATTACTGGTGCCCCAGTTGCTCTCCCTACCCGTGCTCCAGTGCAAAACACTGTGATTACAGGTGCACCAGTCCCAGTTGTCACGACTGCTCCAGTTCCTCTGCCAACTGTTGCTCCTGTCAACCCACCAACTGCTGCTCCCGTGAACCCACCAACTCTTGCTCCAGTGAATCCACCAACTGCTGCTCCAGTCAACCCACCAACTCTTGCTCCAGTTAGTGCAACAACTGTTGCTCCAGTCAACCCACCAACTATTGCGCCCGTGAACCCACCAACTATTGCTCCAGTTAGTGCAACAACTGTTGCTCCAGTGAACCCACCAACTATTGCGCCAGTGAACCCACCCACTATTGCGCCAGTGAACCCACCCACTGATGCTCCAGTCAACCCGCCAACAAATGCTCCAGTCAACCCGCCAACAAATGCACCAGTTGTTCCACAGCCAACCGCAGCTCCAGTTCCCACGGGTCCGCCTACAGGTGCACCAACAGAATCACCCGCTCCTTCGCCTAGTCCTTCTGCCATTCCAACAGTTCCTCCAACATTCTCGATTGCACCGACTGACAGGCCAACTGGAGAGCCCACAGAATCCCCTGCACCCTCTCCTGCTCCATCTGCAGTACCTACCAACCTTCCAACTACCTTGCCCTCTATCGCACCATCTGGAAACCCTACTCTAACATTCAAGCCATCAGAAACCCCTACTCAAACATTCAAGCCATCGACTCGTCCTACTGGAACTCCAAGCAAATTGCCAACTGGAGCACCCAGTGTAGAGCCTACCCAATACCCTACTGGAACTCCTTCCGTTCTTCCTACTTCGGAACCTACCGAAGAGGCCTTTAAGACCAAGATCAGCCATGTCAAACTCGTCCTGGTGGACATTGAACGCGAAATGAACGACGATCAACTTGAACAATTTGAAATCGCCACCTTGGAATTTGTTAATGACACCGCTCCTCACACTGATGGGTTTGAAATTGATGTCTTGGCTGTTACAGTCGTTTCTCAAAACGTTATCTACGCAGATGTTACGACAAACGAGACCGATAAAGGAGAACGTCGTACGAAAACCGCTGCGGCAGCCCTTGAAGTTTCATTCAAGACTGTTGGTCTTGTCACCGAAGGGCGTGCACCATACGACTTTGATTTCAAGAGGGATATTGTCAGTTTTGGATTCGAAAATCACATGAATCACTACAATTACATTCTCGGTAACAGAGATCCCTTCTTTGAACCTCTCTTGGCACATACTGATATTCAGGGTCCCGTGGAAGAAGATGAAGGAAAGTTCGTTGCGGCGGTTGTGCTATCTGTGATTGCATTCCTTGTCGCGGTCTTTGCTTCCGTCTATGCCATTCGCCGTCACTTGAGAGCCAAGAACAGACGCCGCAACCGTCAACACCGACTGTCCGAAGCTCACAAAAGCAATACCTATTCTGATCACAGTACTGATGATAGTGACGAAGAAAACCCCTTCAAACCGCCACTTTCACTCGAGATCTCGCCTGGAAAGATGGAGTTGGAAAACGTTCCTATCACTCCTAGATCAATTGCTTCTCCATACAAGCAAGAGTATCGTAACGGTGAAGCTTCTCCAATGAGCCCTGATACTCCAAAGCATGCAGAGCCAACTGTTCTAGAGGAAACTGGTAATGCCATTCGAAAGTGGCTCACACCACGTGTTGCATCACCCAATGCCAATGAATTCAAAGACGCCGGCAAACCACCCAAGCCTGCTTCTTCTCCCGATCCAATGGCCTTGAAGGCACGTACAACCGATGCCACAGGAACATTTACAAAGGGAGGCAATTCAACAAAGAACGTCAATACCAAACCAGCAGTAAGTTCCATTGATGCTACAAAAATGCTCACTGTTGCTTTTTTACAATCGCTCATTTCTTCTTTCTTCTGTTAGGGCACAATGTTTGGTCAGTCTCCACTAACTATCCCAATGAGCTTCTTTGGAGGCCAAAACACGGATGGCGAAAGCGAGAGCGAGACTCCAATGGGAAGTCTTGCCGATAGCGCTGCGAGCAGTTTCTTCAACAGAGTTGGAAAGTCTGTTTTCACAGGCAGACCTTCTTCGGACAACTTCCTTAAAGCTCGTGATAGATTCTCTCCAAAGGCTAATTCGTTTGATGACGGCGAGCCAAAGAGAAACAATAGCAGCTTGGTAGGGCGTTCAAGATCGGCTTCTGCTGTCCCAAAGAAAAGTCTTCTCAACGAGGAAATTATGAAGAAACACAGAAGCTCCTACCAGCCATCGGAGGTTAGCGATGTTAGCCTCAACGAATTCAAGGGTGACAAGTATAATACGCTTCAGGCCCCATCTTCAGTGGTATCTTCCCGAGCTTCACAGTTCTCTTCCAACACACTAGGCGCAAGGGCGCGAGAAAGTACCGGTACTTCTGATGACAACTCGCTCAATGCTTTGCGAAGCAAACCAGAGTCTTTTGACGTTTTCGCTCCATCTGGACCAATTGGCATCGTTGTTGATACATCGAAGGATGGACCGGCGGTGCACTCCCTCAAATCAACTTCTCCTATGTTGGGACTCATCAATCCTGGAGATTTGATCATTGCTTTGGATGACGAGGACACAAGAAAAATGACTGCTGCTTCGCTCACAAGATTGATGGCGAAAAAGTCGAGACAAAAGGAAAGAAAGATCACTCTATTGTCCCTTGACTAATAAAAGCAATGTCGATTGTTTTATAATACTTGTACTAGAGTTGTCGTTACAACCCAAAATGAGACCATTCAGCTAGAGAAAATTCGTTGTAATCTGTGACCAGTTCTTCAAATTTCTCTATGTCTCGCAATGCAAACACTACTGATAGACAATCTTTTGGGTAATTCTCCACCAAAGACTCGTGGCACCCTATCGTGTATTCCGCTCTTTCATCAAACGAATTGAAGAGCGATGCTTCGAAAAGAACGAAAGAGGCAAGTAAGAAAGTGAGCCGAGTCTTCAGCAGGCACTAGTGTATCTATTATTCTCTTTTTTCATTTACCTTCATCCAAGTCGCATTCAATATATCGGGCAACACTTTGTGAGTCTTCGTCCTAAACCGTGGTGGTAGATCGACAAAAAAGCAAAGAGTTGCTGAGAACAGGAGGCAAAATACTCGATACGACTGACGTCGCTGCTGAGCAAGCTGACACATACCTTCGAGGTATAACACCAATTGATCATATCACAAGCTAAAACATCAGGTAGGGAAGCTAGAAACTTTCGATACTGAATCCCAGTAGAGAATGCAGCAGTGTATTCGGCTTTCCAAACAATGGTTCCTTTTGGTATTCTCTCTGTGGTGTAAACACCTCGCCCTCGTCCGGGTGAGTGTCCAATTTTGTATCCCACCTGCATTCCAGAGCCGAGTGCTGACTTGATCGTTGACTGTCGTGGACCTACCGTGGCGATGTATGCAGCACGCATATGAACCCATGATGTCTCATTATGAATGGTACTGTAGGCGTGACTCCCGCAACCCCGAGCAGCATTGAGCTCATAAATATCACATTGGTCGCTCTTGCATCCTTTTATTGCCCAAGGATCTCTTGCAGACGCTTGAGATATTCTCTCTTCCTGAATGCCCGGCGTTCCAGTTTTGCTTTCTTCTGTGGCACTGGCCTCTTCCGTCAAGGCAGGATTGGAACACTTTTCGTCGCTGTTGGCTTCATCTTCTTTGCCTACTGGTACGTCGCTGCCACGTTCCTTATCCTTTAGTTTTAGCAGCTCTTCCGCGTCAATGACAGCAAATTCCAAAGCATCGATCAAGGATTTAGATAGAGCCCAAATTACTTCCCATTCCTCCTCTGGGACCCATTCACGGGATGGCATGATTTCTTCCCAGTACAAGTCAATCTGACGTCCATATTCTCGGTTTAACAATGAGAACTGCCATTCTTTTTCCAGCGGATTGATCCACTGCAAGGTTGGTTGCGCGACGCCCGCACTACCTGTCATTGCAATGTCCCTGCTTCCGTTGAAGATAAACGAAACACCAAAGGGAAAGTGCCAGTAATGAGGGTAGCTCTGAACCTCTCCAAATGTCCTCAAGGTGTCAAGGACCGTGGGCTGTTGCTCTTCCTCGCAATCGGAAAGGCATGCCTGCGTTGGTCGGTTGAGAGTCTCTCCTTTGGATATCCGCCTCGTCGCAACAATCGCGATGGACTCGTCACCTTGCACTTGGTGCTGTACATTTTGCTCGACGTGATGATGATCGATTTGGTCGTAGAGTGGTATGTACGAAAATAGGTCGACTTGGTGCTTGGCAGCCAAGGAGAGTAGGCGAATGTGCGACAACATCGCTTCTGACAGAGTGCCCAGCATCAACGCTTCGTCATCATCGTCCTCGTCTTCAGCTAGCACATCTTCTTCGGTAAAATCTTGATTCTCATCTTGATGCTTCATATCATCGATTACCTCAAAACAGCCTTCGTAGTCACGAATCCATTTTGTGACGTGCTGTGGAAGCATTCTCCATACCAGATGCCGATGAAGACGAAATGACTTGATTCCTATAGTTTCGTAGAGTCGCTTTCCAACATTTGACCACATGGCAGGCAATTTGGCATCATCGGCATCCATTTCTAAAATGTGATTTATGTAGGCCGCATGGCTTGACTCGTCTCCAAGTTCGATTTCCTGGGACAAGACATGGAGCATGGTACAGAGAGGATCATCATTGTCCTCGTATTCGTCCCTGTCTATAATAGCTTCACCTGGAATCACCATTAGAACTTCCGATTTGTCTAGCTCCCCGTCAACGTAGATTTTTTTGCCCATCATTTTGAGTTTCGGATTGAATACAAAGCCTGGAATTCCTGACAGCCATTCAAATACGCTTGCTGTCTCTGGATTCGAAGAAGTGTTTGACGCACCCATACTGACCATGAAAGATAAGAGGAGTAAAATGGGGTACGTCATTATTGATGGCATTAGTGAACGGCGCCTTTGCTGTGTTATTGTCATACTGTCATTGGAAGTTTGTTGCATTGGATAATGCTGTTGCTACAATATCCTAATGCCGCTGCCGTTGGGAGAGTATTGCGATTTTGAGTTCATGTTTATTATTTCTATCAGTCGGAATAGTCGACCATTCGATCTAACCAACAACGGAAGTGCTAGGCTCTAGCTAGACCTACCGATACCATCTACCTATTGTATCTAAGGTGTACCAATATAGCCCCAACGTCGTACTATAAATTTCACAATCGTGTGCTCACACTAAAGCCCAAAATCTTTCCAGGAAGCAGTCGAAAAGTCATCATAATTAGTCAAAAGCTCTTCCCCTCCTCGGATATCTCGCAGGGCGTACAAGTTTTCGAGACAAAGTGTTGTGTCCTCTACCATGTCTTCATTGCAGCCCAGCGTGTGCTCTTGTTTGTTTTCAAAAGCGTTGATCAATGATCCTAAGAGGAACAACGATTGAATTCAAATGTGTGAGCAGTACGTGTACAATGATAGCTAGTAGTAATGGCACGTTGAAACATCGCGACTACAGGAATAACAACAACCCAACAAGCATGAGACCAACCTTCATCAAGATCGCATTCAATAAGACTCGATGTGTTTGACGCGCCATTGGACGTATAGCACCAGTTTGTAAGATCACAGACAAGGACATTTGGCAAAACAGACAGGTACTGTCGAAACTGATCTCCCGTTGTGAACGCACCCGTGTTTTCACCGGTCCACACAAGTGTTCCTTTCGCTACGTCCTCTATTACAAACACACCACGACCTCGTCCAGGACTGTGACCAATTTTGAAAGGAACCATAATTCCTGATTCGTAGGTTGTCTCAATTGTGGCATTCTCTCTCAGTATGGCAACATACGCAGCTCGAAGGTGAGTCCAAGTCGTTTGGTTGTGAATTGTTGAATAGGTGTATTCATCACACCCTCTTGATTGTGCAAGATCATCGAGGTTACAGTTTGTACAAGAAGTTTTGTGCGTAATTGACCATGGCTCCCACTCAGTTGATTCATCATTTTCGTCATCCTCATCTAATGATTCATCTTTCTTATCCTCGTCGGCTGATGATTCATCTTTCTTGTCCTCGACAGCAATACATTCGCCTTCTTCAGCTTCCTTTTGTCCTTTTTCTTGTTGCCGTCGTTGGCCTTTGTCAGTGTATTCCTCGTTCTCATCTGTAGCTGCAGAAGGAGGAGGCGTCAAGATTTCTTCTCGACCAACTTTGACTGCCAATCCCAATGCCGTTTGCAACGCCGATGAATATGCTTCAATGACCTTCCATTCATGCGCTGGTACTGTTTCATTGGACTTTAGAACCTCCCCCGTGTATTTTTCTTGCAATCGCTTGTATTCCGATTCCAGTGATTCGATTTGCCAGGCTTCGTGTGGTTTGACTATCCAAGATAGGGTCGGTGTAGATTCAGATACGACGCCATCCATTGTCTCCTCACCACCACCAGCATGTATCATGAATGCTAGTTTGAGACTTGGGAGTTCCCAGTAGTGAGGATACTTTGGAAGATGACCAAAATTCCGGACAATGTCCAGGACGATCGGCTGTGTTGGTTCGACGCATTCGAAAAGGCATACTTGCGATGGTCGATACAAGGTCTCACCAACTGATATTTGTCGCTGTGCCATGATCACAACAGAAGAGTCGTCCTTGACGATATGTTTGACATTGTGATCCACGAGGTGATGGTCCAAGTGATCATATAATGGAACAAAGAGTTTCTGATCGACTTGATGTTGTGCCGCAGTGGCAAGCACATGCCGTCTCAAGTTTTCAATGTCCGAATTCCAAATGGCAGTATAATCATTGTCACCATATATTAGTATCTCGGCAGCGTCAAATTCATCATCATCGTCATCATGATCATTGGGCAACGCCAGAAAATCTCGACAACTTTCAAAATCATCAATCCAATCAATCAGGTATTCCGTCGTCAGGTACTCTCCATAGACCATGCCGATCAATTTTTTCCCTATCGTGGACCAGAAATTGGGTATTATTATTGAATTTGATTCATGAAGGATATGTTGCATATAGGGTGCATAGTCGGACTCGTCGCCCTCCAGCAATTCGTCCCACAAGCGCTCGGCTAGAGCACAAAACATATCTTCCGCATACAACTCCTCCTCGTCGTTTTCCTCTTGTTTGTTATCAATGTTATCACTATTGATGGTGGATATTATCGCCGAGCTCGGGATAATCATGAGAATCTCGGATTTCTCTAAGGACTCCTGTGTTTGGATTGAATCATCATTGTCATCTAATCTTAGTTTTGGGTTCCAGTAAAAGTTGTCGCCATGTTCCTCTTGAAGCCACTGAAAGACTCGACCATTTGACGCGTCTTCTTCCGCTTGTTCACCATTGACAGAGAGAGCAATAGCTAGACTATGCAAGTACAATAGACAGAAAAAAAGGCGACTTGTTGTACATTGCAGGAACGTTCGTGTACGACTTTGCCGTATTGTCATGACGGAAAAATGACGCGGTTCAAATTTGAAATTTGCAAAACCGACACGGGATTCAACATTGATCGGGACTGAACAGAGCCACAATTTTGTCCAAGATGCGTTGCAAGACTAATCACTGATGAGAACCACAAACTACACTAGTGACAATGAATAAGACTCCGTGGATTTCTGCAACAACAACAACAACAACAACAAGACGTTAAGCAACAACACAATGATGGACGATGAAGAAATGCCAGATCGGCCACCCACGTTTGATTCCATGTTTATCAATAGTATAGATGCTCTTCAAGGAAGGCAAATCGATCAAAAAATGAATCAATTTCCCGAATGGAATGTCAAGCCACCATTGTTTACAGCCTTCCGACCAAAGAGACAGCGATTCTGGCAGGAACCGATAGACGAAGATGCCATGCACTATGAGGAACCCACATTGTTAAAAGGAGTAAGTCTATCATCCTTTTTCTGTCCAAGATGCTGAAGATATACCAATGCTGGCATTCTCATTGCGCTTCTTGTCCTTCCTTCCTTCATTCATCTATCCATTACAATCTACCATTTGTTGCAACAAAAAGATGATTCGAAAGGGGATTCCTCCACCACTCCGCTGTGCTGTTTGGATGTCCAATGTGATTCAATCCTGCAATACACATCAACCATTGAAATATGCTCACGAATATAGAACCCTGGCCAAAGTGCGAGCATTGGATTCGGCGTATGACTCGTTGTACAGCAATACACTCAAAAAAGAGGATGTGAAACCAATGCTGTTTGGGAATACAACTTCTGTATCAGAAGATTCTGTAAAAGAATACAAAGGTGCTCCAGCATTGTGGAGGTGTCTCTTTGCGTTGCATTCTGTGTTGGGCGTGGTGGAATATGCACCCATGGTTCCAGCCTTGACCCAAGTACTATTGAGTCACATGGGTGAATCCTATGCCTTTTGTTGCATTCGAGAAATGGCGCATCATAGCACATGGTATTGGCCAACATCCAAATCAGAACACGCCGCATACAAACGAGCATTTCTGGATATATTGCAAAAGTTGCACCCATCCACATATAAAACCATGACGGGCCATGGTATCTCGGATGACTTTGCCGAGGCTATATTTGCCGATTTTTTTCAGACCATATTGCCAGAAGAGAGTGTTCTAAGAATTATGGATGTATACACGTTGGAAGGAATGAAGGTATTATTTCGAGCTGGAGTTGCCTTTGCGGTGCTGTTTCATCGGCTGTGGAAAGAGGGAGCCTGCTACAAATCAGTCGATTGCTGGAAGACACTTCTCGAATTTGGGAGGAAAGTGAATATTGGGGTTTTGATCACAAAAGCGTATGGAGTACACGGGAAAGGTATGTGATTGATTCAATTCAGTGATGCCCAGCCTAGCCAAGAAGAAAGTTCATTCATATTCCTCAACCTCTTCTTCTTCTTTCCCTTTTTTTCTTCAGGAGTGCGCAAGAGATTTCGCTTTCCACGGCGACCGATACTGCAGCGAATAATCAAACTAGAAGAAGACCGATACTGGAGGGAAAATGAAAATGCAGTCATTGAAGCACCAAACGTCAATCCTTTGGGACTAGTGGTACCTCCTAATGATGAAGACCACGCGCAACCAGAACTTTCACAATCTAGAGCTGTGCGCTGCAGGCTGGCAGAATGGTTACCATTGTCACTGCGGTATACAAAACTCGATCTTATTTTCTCGACCAACCATCATGGAAGAACGTTGGAGAATTTCTATCGAGAATCCAAAAAAGCAAAACATACCATTATGTTGATTGAACCGCTTGATGCGCCAAATACAATTATCGGATGTTATGCATCCCAAGCGTGGCACCCATCGACCAAGGTCTATGGTGATGGCGGTTGCTTCATGTTCCGAATTGTTACTGACGAAAGCAAAAGTAAAGAAAACTCGAAATGCTGGAAATGGCAGTATCCAGAATCATCCAAGTCATTTGACGACGATGAAGTCTCTATCAGCAGTACGACTGCTATTCTGGAACAATATCAAGTCGGCACGAGAGAGTACATCAGCATGGGAGGCAATGCAAAAGGAGGTGCTGGTCTGAGATTGAATGAAGATCTGACAAAGGGTGAATCCAACAAGGCGGCAGGTTTCGAAAATGAACCCTTGTCAGGAGAGGACATGTTTGAAGTTGGTTTGGTAGAAGTCTATCAATTCGTTCGCGAAATGGATGGAGTGCCTATTCATTAATATTACCTAATTTTCTTAGTTTCTGGAACCTACAATGTCAGAAAGTTGATAGAACCGTTGATGATTCTGTTGATGATTCTGTATCACAAACATGATCTACGCTTCCATTACCTCTGCCACAGCGGTGGAGTCCTTGTCTTGTATCGATTCCTCTGCTTCAAGCGTTTCAGTTTCTTCTGCTTCGTAAGGTGCAACCGCGAGAACTGTTCGCAGGAGAAGTGGGCTAAAGATAGTCGATAGCAGAATTGCAAAAACAATGCTGGCGTATAGGTCTGGTGGAATCAAACCTTCTGAAACGCCAAACACAGCCACCACAAAGGCAAACTCTGCTTCACCGGCCATGCTGAAGCCAACAATGGCACAGTTCCGTACATGCTCTCCCGTCCACCGCTTCTTGTTTTCAATTTCAGTTTCAATTTCAGTTTCAGTTTCAGAACCCGATCGAAGGACGGGTGTCAGCAACGGGCCCACGGCAATCTTTCCCAATAGAGATACAAAGAGTAGGACGCCATTGACTACAACCTTGCTGTCGGAGAATAGTGACAAGGGAACCTGAAAGCCAATCGTCGCAGCGAAGAACAATCGCATCAACCAATCAATCAACAGTTGACACTCTGCCTGGAACACTCCAGCAAGCCCCTCCATTTGACAGAAGGATAGGCCTGCTAGGAAGGCTCCCAAGAGATAGGATGCTTGAGAGTGATGAGTAGCTGGCACAAGGCATACAAGTAGGGCAAAGAGGAGCAGCAAACACAGTCGAATCGTCTGCGACTTGTTGCTGTCTGGACCATCCTTGGTTTCACTGTCAAGGCCCATTATTCCAAGTAGTGGCTTAGGCAACGTTGCCAATGCCCATTTGCAAACTCTGTCCACCACTTTTGGCATGACAAACAGAGCAATTCCCCCACCTGCAAAGAGCCATGCAAAGGCACTGACAATAGGAATCACAATGTCTGCCACTAGGACTTCCCCACTCTCACTCGTCAGAGCACGCAGTTGACTGAGCACTAAAAGGGCTAGAATGTCATCGACAATGGCGGCTGCCACAATGAGTTGACCCAGAGGACTTTCCAGTACGCTGCATTGGCTCAACACATTGATCGCAATTCCAGCGCTGGTTGGTCCAAAACAACATCCCATAGCAATCACAGTGGATCCCGTTTGATTCAAAACGGCCCATGACAAGAGCATCCCAATCGATATTGGAAGTATGGATCCCACCACCGCAATGATAAAGCCACGAACACCAATCTTCTTGAGAACTTCTAAATCCATTTCCAAACCAGCTTGTGCAATCAAAAGGATCAATCCAATGTTTCCCAGCGTCACCCACGAAGCTGGATTCATTGGAATCCAATCCCATCCCTCGGGTCCCAAAGCAACCCCCGTGGCGATGTATCCCACCAAGGAAGGAACAATCTTGAGTCCACGTTGACAAATGACATCTCCCATGAGGTAGAGGATGCCAAGGAATAAGAAGGAGTTGAAAATTTCATCGTAGGACGCTGGCACTCCAGTGAATACATCATCTATATCAGCATTGGTGGCTGACATTGTCTATCGTACTTTGGAGAAAGATAATATGCAACAGCTCTAGAGCGACAACATCGTTGTTGATGATTTTTTTCGTGAATTTCTCATTTTCTCATTTTTTATCGTCACACTTCGGGGGATAATGTTATTATTTGGGACCGAAACAGACCAACAGGCAGGCCACTTCTCTAAATACTTGCTAGCAGTAGGTCATTTGAATATTGAACCATGGTAATAATATCTTGAATGAAGGTGACATACGTCTTGTCGAAGCGCTTCAATTGATGACATGTTTCCATAGTGAGAATGGATTCCAGGAAACAACGACTGACTGACTCACTCATGCTTTGGGGCCGGGGGATATTTTGTTTCTCCATTTTATTTGACTAGTTCGAAACACGTCAGAAGAAATGAAAAGCTCCGTCCAGGTTCGTACCATGTACGTACGGTACGTACGTAGATCCGCAGTGGGCGAAAAAACTGTGAGCAAGCACAACGGAACTACTGTTGCAACAACAAGAAAGGTAAAAATGGTGAGTGAAAACAAAGGATCGTGTAAATTGAATGCCGATGAAAGTAGACGGATCTACGTTGGATGCTTGTCATTGCTGCGGTGAAAAAAGCTGCATTTGAACGATTGAGAAACAAAAAAGTACAATAATTTCATCGGCATGTTATGTCTGGCCGTCTGCGTTGGTCATGTGGATGATGTGATGTGATGTGATGAAGCTCTTAGACTGTGTATCGATTCAAACCTTGTTCTAACAACGGACCTACTTGCTGATAATTCCTTCTAATTGGTGATAACAGGAAGACGACGAACCAGTTGACCCTATGCCCGCCATCCGCTCGGGTTGCATCAAGACTTGCCCAAAACCGTTGGCAAACTACGAAGCTTGCAAGGAGAGAATCAAGGGAAAGCCTGGAGCAGATTGCGAGATCTGGTACTACGAGCTTCACCACTGTGTTGACAAATGTGTGGCCCCCAAGATCTTTGCTGCCACCAAGGAGTAAACCTGCACGGTTTTAAGATATTATAGATCATGGGCTACACAACACATAAGATTTCTGCGTCTTTTGGACAATGTATCCATTGCAATTGTTGATTTCTGGTTCGTTTCTATTACTCCCTGTTCTTGATTCTTGTTGTGCGTTGGTCAACGAAATGCCGTCGGAACCTGTTTTTTGAAATCTGGCATTACTGTGTCCTTTCCGATGCTAGTTTGGTCGATTGAAAACTGCGCTTCCAACGTATCGTTGCGCTTGCTATTCACCATCATCACGAAATGCTGGTACTAGAGGGGAAGATCGACAAAATCAGATTCATTCCGCTTTGGTTGTACCATCTCTGGAGACCGCCAAACATGGCCTCCATTACCTCTGGTACGATCGATCTCACGATTTTGGATCTTCGTTCATCATGTTCTTCATGCCTATCTTCCACAATAATAATTCCCACAGCGACCTCGTTTTGACCCTTTTGCAGAAACTTGCAGCATATCCAAAATACCTAAAGAGGACGCACGAGCTCCGGACTTCTTTCCGTGCGTTGGAGTCTCCACAGTGCTCTCTTCCTGATCCTGGCATTTCAATCAATTTTTACCTCCAGCAAAGATCGAATGCGACGTCGCAATACCGCAAACTTTGCCCTAACTACATCTTTCGTCAATACCAAATGGATCAAAGGAATAGCCATGGATGCTGGATATGTGCATGACCATGCAGTCCATCATTATCTATCCTTGGCTGTCCTGGAGTATGTCAATTTTCAAGAAAACATGTCAAGATGCTTTCCTTTTGCCCCACTGAAGTTGTTGCGAACCAGTACTATAGTATTGAGCGTCACCAAAGGCTTCGTCCCATTTAATTTCGCTTCCGAGAGAACCGATACCTGCAATCAATTCTTCTTGGGTACTCTATACACATAGTCGTTGCATGCTCGATACATCGCAAGATTTCCATGTCTGTCTCAAAAGACGGGCGATTATCTTGCAACCATCCCGTCATCCAAGGCATCTTCTTCGTACGTCACCATTTTCGCCGAAGACCAAAGGACGAATCGAAACATCAATCGACGAATCGAAACGTGAGCTGTGCATTAAGGAACCCCTTCCCTAGTTGTTCAGCATAGGTAAACCATGTGCTTGCCAGCAGTCAATCTTTTGCATTCTATTTGGATGAGAACTCTGGTCGCTGCTGACGACATTGCCTTCTTGAACGTCTTCGTTTTTTACTCGGATTATTTTTCCAGTGTTTGCAAAAGCAGAGAACGGTACAACAATGGTAATAGAAACTACAGCCTGGCTTGCACTCCCATCCTTGCTTGACAATAACGGCACAGCGCTAACGATGATGGAAACTTTCTATATTGATGGTTGGATTTTTTGTTGCATGGAAAGAACGCAGGTACTATGAAAGCTTTCTGCATGTTGGTTGGAAACCGGGCGGCATTTTGATGCCACCCAAAAGAAAAAGGTGGAGGAAACGATGGAAAAAGCTAGAATCTAAACTACAACATCTCATGCTATTTTAAAATGTGATGCAACGAGGAAGCAATCTTCTTCCTCATCCCGATGCTGCATGCACTGCACCGAAGATCTAGGCTAATACTAAGAAGGAGGAGCACGGCCACCACCACCACCACGACCATTCCGTTGTAATATTCTTGCATCTTTACTGCGGTGTGGAAGTGACCTTGCTGACGAAGTTCAGAGATCTTCCGTCTCCACAGTTTTCGCCAGATGATAGTCACCAGGTAGAGGTATACGTAACATACCAGCAAGCATTCCCGTTATAGTGCTATATTCACTTTTCACATGCTGATCTTTGCCGTGGTTTGCAAGCGAACTTGTTGACAAAGTTCCGAGAGCAACCATCTCAATCCATTTATAATCACCAGTCACCAGGTATTTTATACAGATTCCGGAACTGTTATTATCTGGTATCAGTATTGGTAAATAGCCTTTAGCCTTTAGTACCATTGTTGGTTTCCTCTCGCCTTCCAAAGTGTTCGCCATGGGAAGTGACATCCACTCTGTAGTGATCGTGTTTGTGTCGCAGGAAAGACGTCGTCTGTACTTCGCTCCTCAGTTGTGCTCCTTATCAAAACAAATATTAAAAACTAAAAAAGTCTAAAATCCTGATGACTACAGAGTGAGATTCATCAACGAATCAATCGCTTTGAAGGTTCGCGACCAAAGCCGTCCGAATCTACTCGGATTCCTTCTTAAGACAGGAGGGTCAAAATTGATGTCCGACCGGATGCCAAATAAATCGAATTCGATCATAATGGAATGCAATTGCACATGTGACAACCTGACACGTGTGGAGAACGTGAACCGCGGTACTTCGTTGCAGTGGAGCTGATGTCATCCAAATAGAAGCGAACACCACATCAAATCAAGACTACGAGCAGGACCGGTACTGCAGAAGCCTCTCACCCTACTGAAAGTGCAATCTGTGCCGAAAGAGCCTCCTTCGGGAACTAATTACAATGGAAGGAGGAAACCGACCGAAAAACGTCAACAAAGAAACATCCAATACCGAAACCGAAACCACCATGATGATGCCGTCCTCGTCAAATCTACCTTTCACTCCCAAAGGTGAAAGCTATGGTGCTGACATTAACGTTCAATTTCACAATGCCGCCACTTCAACAGTCTCTGGAAAATCTGCTCCTCCAAGGAAGCCATTGCATCAAGAAGTGAAGCCTGAAAGCTGGGTCGTGCCAACATCAACCAAAGCAATCCGCGCCGTCAATCCAGTTACCTTTGCCTTCAGTAGACTTGCTGATAAGGTGAAGCTAGGTTCCCAAAGAACTGATGGGAAAAACCCAATCTCGCTGGCCGTGAGTAATCGTGGATTTTTGTTATCACCGAATGAAAGAACGATTACTTACTCACTTTATATCATATCAATCTTCTTTTGATCTTTATAGAACGGTGACCCCAGATCAGCTTCAGACTTTGGACCATGCACAGAAGCAATGAAGGTAAGCTTGTGACTTTTGGTGAAACTTTCGCCTGTCCATTGAAAGGTGTTTCTCAACGGCCAAATTGTCTCATGTAGGCTTCGGTTCATTCCATGATAAGAGATGCACAACAAAGTCTAGGTTATGCAAATGCGTGCGGGGTTTCATCAGTTCGGAAAGCTATTGCAGAACACCACTCCTATCCAGAGCACCGTATTGAAGCGAGAAATGTCATTGTTACCAATGGATGCTCTGGTGCTTTAGAGCTTGCGTTCAACGCACTACTAGATCCTGGATGCGGCGTATTGATACCGCAACCATCGATTCCAATGTATGAGATGATGGCTGAGAGTGTTGGAGCTACTGTGGTCAAATATAAACTTCAAATGGACTGCAACTGGGAATGTGACTTGGAATTTCTCCATACTGCTATGCAGCATTGTGGCAATAAGATTCGTGCCATTGTGGTGAACAATCCATCGAGTGCAACGGGTGCAGTGTTTTCTCAGCTTCATATTGTGCAGCTGCTCGAGTTTGCACGTATCTACCGACTACCAATCATTGCCGATGAAGTGTTTGGAGACATGACCTATGCCCCTTCTCAGTTCTTCCCCATTGCCCAAGTTGCAGCGCAACTGGGACGGCAGGTTCCAGTCATTACAGCTAATGGATTGTCCAAACAGTTAATGATTCCAGGGTGGCGTGCCGGCTGGGTCACGTTCCATGACAAGTAAGTGCACAATTGGATGGGATGTTTGGAAGCAAATGCTGCTGTTCTTTTTTTGTTTCCAATTGCTAACGATTTTTTCAATTCCCCAGTGTTCATGGGTCGCTCAGAGAGTTACAAGCTGGTGCAGTTCGTCTTGCCGAACTTGGACCTGGAGTTTCTACTTTGACACAATGTGCCATTCCACAACTTCTCTCCAAATCCAATGAAGGTCTGAACGGCTGGAAAAGTCGGCTACAGACAAGCCTGGAAAGACAAATTGTCTTCCTCATGACAAAGCTATCCATGTGTGATGGTTTAGTTCCTATGGCACCCCAAGGAACGTATTACACAATGGTCAAAATCAAGTACAGTGTGCTAGGAATGGATGATTGGGAATTCGCATCTCGCCTGCTGGATGAAGAGAATCTGATTGTGCTACCGGGGAGCGCCCTTGGTGCGCCGAACAATGCCTTTCGGATTTCCTTTCACCTTCCCCAACGGTCCTTGTACGAAGCTACCACTCGATTGTATAATTTCTGCCAACGGCATGCCTCTGAGCGTAGAGAGGCAATGGACACACTTGTAGAGTTCGCTATGATATAGAATAATCAGCCTGATATAGAGTAGTCAGACTGGTATAGAGTAAACAGACTGATATAGAGCAAAAGCTATTATTGTATTTTATGTTGTATAATATCAATATCTTCCGTATTCAGAGAGCCATTTAATGCATGCCCCCCTCACAGTCAGTTCACTACTAGAGTCTACATTGACGAGCGACGGATTCTTCGCCGGGTCTCTCTCGTATATTCTTCAATGTCAGCCTCATCAGCATTTGCTCGCGCAAGGGCATTGGCCTGACTTTTCATAGACGCAACCCTGTATAAACACGAGACAACTTCATCATTGTATTCACCCTCCTCTCGTTGAAATCCTTGTTCCAAAAATACTGATCTGTATGCCATCTGTTGGTTTTCCGCTACGTTTTCGTAATCATACAATTTCTCCAAACCTCTGGTTTCAATATTCTTCTTCTTCGCCATCGCTTCTCCTCCCATCATGACAAACTGACTTGTCATCTCCGCCTTTTGTTGCATGACATCATACTCTTCGTCCTGAAACCACATTTCCTTTTTGTCAGGATTCATGTCGGTCACTGGCTCAATATCAAAAATATTGTCTTGGTCGAAAGAAATCGATCTGCGTCTTCTGGTAGGCCGACTTTTGCCTGGAAGCATAACGTCGATTTCACCCTTATATCCAATCGATGACCGTCGTGGTTTTCCTTCTTGTTTCAGGGAGCTCCTTCTTGGTGTCCTTCCTGTTCTTCCCCTTTCTTGCCGTTCTCTGTGAGAGTCTCCCATCGCCATTTGGAAACTATGAAAGAGACCCTTCTTTTGCTTTGGCTTTTTGGTTTTCTTTGGTTTGGCATCATCTAGACTCAAATCGAAACCGGCACTAACTTGTTTCGTGGCTGCTACATCTGGAGAGGCAGCTTCATATCCCAAATCATTCATGTTATTCGACGCCACATCCGGGGCGGCATCTTCGTATCCCAATTCCTTCATATTCGTTGCTGCGACATCTGGAGCCGCATCTTCATATCCGTAATCTGCCATTCTTGCTTCTCTATTGTTCTAGGTGAATGATGTAGGTGAGAGTGTTGTGGTTGTTTACTCGTGTGTGCACTGCCTGGGGATCAAAAGCCTTGAGTAGATTTTGTAATTGTGATGGCGGTGCTGGCCGTGTTTTGATTGAAGATTGCTGATATTGGGCATGTATATGACTGTGACTTTGGCAATAAGTAGACCATAAATTGGCAATAAGTACAGCGAAATTTTGCAATTATTAGTAAATTAGGACCTTTCCGATTTCTAAAGTGCATAAAATGTCAATGGTCTTGTTGAGAAAAATTGGTACTCTAAGAAGATCCAACAACTCGAAGTGCTTTACCGGTACCAGGTACGGTACAGTTCCCGCGGTATTGTAACAGCATTGGTCGGTCGGAAAATAGGTAAACGAATTCAGCTCCAGACTTTTAACCGGCAATAGCGCTTGTTAAACCCAATGCATCGTACACGTGTACCCACACTACAGTAGTCTGTTCTTTTTTCTTCTTTCGTACTATTACTGTATGATATTAGTTTTACATTTCGTTTGTTTCATTTTACTTACTCCATATCAAAACCTACTGATGACATCGTAATGGCTGCCTTCAGCTTTTCGTACAATTCCTTCTTCGTGGAATAATTGGGCAAGTCAATGCGATTGAAGCAGGTATGTGATCTTGGAAAGGCATACTGTGTCCGGTTGACTCCATGAATGGCAAACTTTTTAATGTTGCCATCATTCCCTTGCAGGACGGAAAATCCTCTGGTTGGGACACCCGAGGTACCCGTGACAAATTGGAGTAAACGTGCCTTCATTTCCTGGTCAAAGTCTTCCCGGACCACTTCCCAGAACCACTGGACACACTTATGTTGTTGCTTGCCCTTGCTTGCGTTTTCATATAGGCCTGAATAGATCGTATTAAATTCCCAGTCGTCCATTTCAATGGTGGGTAGACCACATAGAGTGAGTTCCAATTCATTGGGATCAAATACCGTCAGAGCAGGTTCCGGTATGATATCAAAGAACCCAAGCAAGAGTTCTCGAAGCTGTGGCTTGACTCTGTCCAGCATTCGATACCGCAAGTTGGACTCTAGGTATTGCGGAAGATTCTCAGCAGTAACCTCCTTCATGTTACCACCTGGAATGAGTTCCACATCTCTTCGGACTCCCATGGTTTCTTCGGTAATGGTAAAGTCCAGGCACATCATGCTGAGATCTTCCATGGTGGTAAATTTCTTGAGGGACGTATAGTACTCTTCGTCTTGTGCTTCAAGATCTTCAAAGGTAATGGGCCAACCAAGCAAATGCTTGTAAAAGTGTCGGACCATGTGTCCCTTGATGAGTTGTCGATCAAAGAGCGCTCTTCCCATTACCCGTCCCAAGAATCGAAAGTATATCAGGTGATCATCGGGACAGGATATATCTAAGGTCGAGACGAGGAGGTGGACAAATGAATAGAATGAAAAAGAAGAATGAGTTAGCCAAACGTAATCATCGTCAATACCTTGGCATATTCTTGCAAGCATGCACGCATGCATTCCTTCTTCCTTTCATTTCCTTTCATTTCGTTCATTCCATTCACAACAGTGACACTTACCACTGGCTGGATTGATCGTCATACACATTTGATTATTGACCGAGGACAACCAAAGACCAAAATCAGGATCAAAGAGTTGCTCCGACACGAGCTGGAACCATTCTCTCGTGACTCCTCCAGCATCAATGGCTGGTTCACCAAGAAATTCCACTCGCCAATGTTTGCGCATATCATCTCGGCCCAATGACATGACGGCATCCACGGAATCTTGCAAGAGGGAATGTCGTCTCACCACTAGTTTGACATGTCCGTTCTCCCAATTGGTCATGGATTGTTTGCAAATATTTTGGAACCATGCAATCTTTTCTTCCAATCCCTTTCCTTGAATGTTGGCAATATCCGCATACGACAATAGTGTCTTATTGGCATGCATTAACCGTGAATCGACCACAGCTTCATTGGCCGGTACAAAGTCCACCTTGGCCGTTCGCATGCGAGCATCGTTTCCTTCTAAATAGGACAACTTGCGAACATAGGCCGCCTTTGAAAAGTCAAACTTTTCCATATCATCCAAGATGCCTTCCTGTTCTTCCTTTTTGGATTGTACGCGGACCCATTGAAATTTCAAATCCTTTACACGAATCGTTCGGCACCAACCCCCCGATTCATTTTCATACGAGAGTTGGATGTTTCCAATGACTTGTTGGACCGGCAATTGAAATCGAATCTTTTGTCCAGGCGCCACATTGGTGGGACAAGTGACAAGAACCCGCTGTCCATTGGCCATAAGAGTAAAGGGTTGATTCGGTCGGACACCCGCGGGAACCGTCACCTCAAAGACTTGAGTCTTGGGTGCCGCCATGGGTTCTTCTCGTTGGGTGGGAGGAACAATTCGAACCTTCATGTTGGGTCCAGCATTGGCAGGACAGGTGACCATGAATCGTTGACCTTCCACATTGACGGTAAACTGCATGCCAGGAAAGATATTGGCAGGAATGGTAACCAAAAAGGTTTGTGCCACACCTCCCGATTCGGTAGCCGCTTGATTGACCCTTAGAACTTCAGGAGTCATCTTGACGGCTCCACCTCCTGCGACATCCTCCTCCGCACAGGTCAATGGAGCTACTTTGAGCAATTGATTGTGTGTGACTGGTTCGGGTGGCAAGGTAATCTGCAGGGAGTGTCCAGGCCGTGAATTGGGAGGACATCTGACTCGTACTCTTCGAGCACCCGCGTGAACCGTAAATTCCGATCCTGGACGTACTCCTGGTGGAACTGTCACTCGATATACTTGAGCAGGCCCACTGCTCGTTCTCGTGACGGAATAGGCTCCCGGCCTGGTGACTTCACTGGCCTGCATGGATAGCATCATTTGGGCATCGCTATTGGGAGATGTGGAAGAAGCTGGTATGTTGTTCCCTTGGATCACTGGATTGTTTTGAGCGGCCGCAGGATTGGGAGCTTGCATCCCCCCAAGTTGATTTGCCTCACTGGGCGACATGAAGGTTGGAGTTTGCTGTGACGACTGCTGTTGTTGCTGTAATCGTTGTCCCGGATATTGATGCCGTGATGCACTCCGGCGATCAGTTTGACGGACCGTGTTACTGCCAGCTTGCGGCGTCGTGATGTGAGAAGCCGCATTGCTGCTGCGGGAGCCACCCATAATCCGAAAGATTGGCATTTTGTGTGCTAGTGTGTGTGAGAGAGAGAGAGACAGAGAAGCGGGATTCAAGAAAATACGAACAAGCTCAGCTCAATTCCACTAGCCGCTGTGTTTTGCGAAAGAAAACTGAACTCTTGTTGGTTTTGGTGTTATGTGATTGTGTCCAGAAGGTATGAATGAATGCAATGCAATGGTAGAGAGAAACGGGAGGATCGACCGTGGCAAAAGCGAGATTTCCAAGTTGAAAACCTTCCAAGAGTGACTAGGTGATCGATTGATTCGGCAGACAAGTCTGAGCTGGATCTGATCTGTTCTGTCAAGCTACGATACGGCTATTGTTGTTGTTGTATAAGACAGACGGTATTGCGAAGGATGGTTGCAATTGTTGTCGTTGTTGTTGATGTTGTTGTTATTGTTGGTGTTGTTTAATCCGTTCAACGCCAACCAACAGTGTCAATCTTCGATTCCAGCCTTCCAAGAATCAAACAGGGCTGCCGAGTCGTAACTTTCCTCCAGAGCCTCTTTCGCACCGAGGTTTTTTTTTTCTTCCTCAGAACGCCACGCCACCAGGTTGTTCGGAACACTTCACACACAGGTCATTGGTACTTTGCCTACGTGACCTTGAGGAGTTGTCATTGTCGGTTTCTGGCGACGTACGTACGCTTAGTCTTGCAAGGTCCCCATTTTGTCGACACTAATTGCAAATACCCCTCCCTCTTTTGGCAATGCGAATTCCAAGTGATATTTATTTCTTGGTCGTCGTCATGAGAGAATCGTGCACACAAACTGACAACTGACCACCGCTCCGAATGAATCGTTGCAAGTCGTGAATGATAATGCCAAATTGAAAATATTGATTGAATATAACCGCGGTGAACAATATTTTAAAATATGTGTGTATCACTACAGCACAGCACAGCACAGCACAGTGCTGTCCCACGTCGAATCATTCCTTACCAAAGTACACTACAATAATCCACCAAAACACCAACGGATTGATTGATTGATTTGAGATGCATTGATTGATTGATTGATTGATTGATTGATTGATTGATTCAAGAATAGCAACCACTCCATCAACTTTCCATTATAAAAAGCAACATACTAACTATACCATTCAACATCCATCGAAAACAACAAATCCGTGTGACCACACAAGACGAGACCTTCCATTCCAAGGAAGACGACACCACCACCATTATATTGATACCATCTCGACGATCGTCTTCGAGCATGAACAAGAATGCCGACAAAGAAGTTCCATCGTCATCCAATAATGGATTTGAGGAAACTGCTTTTTGCTCATCCTCCCATTGCGATGATGATGTTGAATCATCGTCGTGGTCGTCGTCATCCAATAATGCTCATTTGAATGATGATGATGATGATGATGATGTGGAAGAACCAACTAGTTTCATCAAGAATGTGGAAGACAGCAACAGCAAGGCCACTACCAATCATGCTGTTTGCAGTCCATCATCATCATCATCATCGTCTCAATATCAAAATGATAGACAACGACAAAGACGACGACGACGACATCAAGTCAAACCGCAGACTCCTCGGGAACATTGGTGTTGTTGTTCTTGTTGTTGTGGCGGGTATGATGATGATGACGACGACGACGACTATCTTGCCGACGATGATGACAGGAATGGTCACAATAAGGAGGACGACTATACATTGGACCATGATGATGATGATGCTTCTCCTTTGTGTGTCACCCGAGTACTTCGTTATTGTCGACTGCTTCCACCATCACCTCGATTAAAGGAAGGCCCCATTCACAAGAATATTCGGTTTTTGTTGTGGTGGACCATCTTGCTTGATTGGATCGTGGCCCTGATTGCTTGCTTGTCCTTTACACAATGGATGACATGCTGTGGGGAACCCATTTTGGACATGCCGGGAATGATGAACAACAACAACAACAACAACAACAACAACAATGAAATCATGCAAATCTTTCTGTACTCCTATGTGGGAATTGTGTTGGTACAAATTATTCCAGTGGTCCGAGAAGGATCGTGCATTCCTTGGAATTTGATGAATCCAATCGTTGGATTTGTTGTTGGGTTCGTGCTCTTTTTCAACGACAAGCCCATGACAGCCTTGATCATTTGGATCTTGCAAATTAGTTCGGTAGCATTGCAGTTTGTAACCTATCGACACTATTCGATTTTGCATCGAGAATCCAAGCGTCGATTGGAGCGAGCCAAGGCACAGTTGCTAGAAAGGCCCAAAAATCGTCATGGATACCAACAAAACAAGCGAGAACGAGTGCGACGAGAATTGCAACGTCGTTGTACCAAATCATTGTACCGTTTGCGAAAGCATTTGATTGGGGTTTCCATCAATATTGTGTTGGCGATTGCTACGTTACTGTTGATTGTCTATGTGGCAAGAAAGGGAGGCATGTGTGTCAAAGATGGTGGGACTCCAAGTTTGTTTTTGTTCAACGACGAGGAAATGGAGTGCAGCATTCATGATCCGTCCAAGGGAACAACGCGATATGAGACTTGTGACTCCGATTCGGGTGAATCCGAATGTTACGTTCCATTCTTTTAAAAGTGGTTTTGATTGATGTCAGTCCTATATATAACACTAATTTTACAATATTCTAATGCTTCTATGGCAAATTTTCATTACCAGTTCTCCCCATTCATGGTGTCTCCAAGGTCGTTCATTCGGTCGTTCATACTCCGGTGTGAGTCACGCCAGTTGGTATCGGGACCAATTGTGCCTACATCACCCTCCATTGGATTGAAAGCTGTTGTTGGTGTCGTGGAATCTTCCGCTAGTTCTGAAGCAGCTGCTAGGACATCCTTGTCGAGTGGTGGTGCTTCGTCGCCTTGCTTAGGTGTAGCCAACTTGGCCTGCCTCATGCGAGCAAGTTCGGCCTTTTCCTTGTCCAGTAATTCCTGTTGCTCCTTGAGACGCTCCCATTCGCTTTCCATTTCGGCATCGCGCAAGGCTTCTTCTGCGGCGCGGCGTCGTTCTTCTTGTTCTTGCTTTGCTCTAGCAAGTTCTGCCTTTTCTTTTTCTAGCAATTCCTGTTGCTCCTTGAGACGTTCCCGTTTGGCTTTTAGTTCGGCATTGTGTTTGGCCTCTTCTGCAGCCCGGAGTCGATCTTCTTCCTCTTGTTTCGCTCGAGCGACCTCCGCCTTTTCCTTTTCCAGCAATTCCTGTTGCTCCTTGAGACGTTCCCGTTTGGCTTTCAGTTCGGCGTTGCTTTTGGCTGCAGCGCGGAGTCGTTCTTCTTTTTCGGCTTGTTTCGCAAGGGCAAGTTCTGCCTTTTCCTGTTCCAGCAATTCCTGTTCCAATTGGACACGCTTTCGTTCCGCTTCCAATTCGGCACTGCGTCTGGCTTTTTCTTCGGCGCGGAGTCGGTCTTCTTCTTCGGCCTGTTTTGCACCTGCAAGTTCTGCCTTTTCCTGTTCCATTTCCAGTTCGGCATCGCTGGCTTCTTCCTCAGGTCTGCCTTTGGCCTCCATTTGGGCAATGAGTCGTTCCAATCGGTCCTGTTCGGCTTGTCTCAGAAGTTCAAGTTCTTCCCGTTCTTTTTCTAGCATTTCCTGTTTCGCCTTGAGATGCTCCTGTTGGGCTTCTTGCTCCAACTTTATCTCCTCCTTTTGATCGTCGCTAGGCTCATCGGTTGTTGGAGTTATGTCGGCAGGTCCTTCTGGGTTTATTGGCCTGGCACCCGCACCAACCATTCTGTCTCGATAGTTCGATTCGTCAAACCACGAACTCGTTGTGGCTGCCGGAATCAGAACGTCTTTAAGAGGAGGTTTCGCTTCATTTGTTGCGCTAGTTGTTGATGGAGTGCTTTTCTTTCGAAAGTTCGACTCCTCGAACCAGCTTTTGCCAGTCTCGAATGGCATAAGAACAGAGTCATCGGCTTTCGGTGGTGAATTTTCTGCTTTGGGCTCTGACGAAGTGTCCCACTTGGGCTTGCGAGTTTCAAACCACTGTGACGCACCTGCAAAGGGTCGCAACACTGAAGCCTCTCCCTGTGATGGTTGATCTGAAATACTATTTGTAGGTTGCGATGGTTTCTTGGACTTGCGAAGGCTACCCTCATCAAACCATCTAGGTTGCTGCTCGAATGACCGCAACGGAATCGTAGATTCATTGGTTTTCGATTCAGTTGGTGGCGATTTTGGTTCTTCGTCGTGGAAGGAATTGCTATCGTCGTCCGGGTCCGGTGTTTTCTTGATTGGGGCACTAGGTGGAGGAACAACATAAGCTCCTTTGCTCCTTCCCTTGGACTCGTCATACCACGAATTTGTATTGTCAACTGGTCGCAGAACACTTTCATCAACATCAGGTTTCTTCTTTGATCCCGAAGACGGTGTCATGTATGGGCCCCTCACCGCAGGTTTGTCAAACCACGTCGCTTCCGGTTGAAAAAGAGATGGATCAATCCTGCTTGGAGCATCCTCTCCAACTTCTGGCTGGTTGCCTTCTGTTGCACTAGACTCTTTATCCGCTGGCTTCTGAACTGTGGGCGTTTCACCATATGCTCCTTTGCTCCTTCCCTTGGATTCGCTGTACCACGAATTTGTAATATCAACTGGTCGCAGAACACTTTCATCAGCATCAGGTTTCCTCTTTGATCCAGGAGACGGTGTCATGTATGGGCCCCTCACTGCAGGTTTGTCAAACCACGTCGCTTTCGGTTGAAGAAGAGATGGATCAATCTTGCTTGGAGCATCCTCTCGAACTTCTGGCTGGTTGCCTTCTGTTGCACTAGACTCTTTATCCGCTGGCTTCTGAACTGTCGACGTTTCACCATATGCTCCTTTGCTTCTTCCCTTGGATTCGCTGTACCACGAATTTGTAATATCAACTGGTCGCAGAACACTTTCATCAACCTCTGGCTTCTTTGATCCCGAAGACGGCGTCATGTATGGGCCTTTCACCCCAGGTTTGTCAAACCACGTCGCTTTCGGTTCAAAAAGGGTGGGATCAGTCGTGATTGGACTATTTTCTTCGTCTCTTTGTTCCGAGTCACCGGAGTCACCCTCGGCGTCACCCTTCGTAAAAGTGGCATCTTCAACCTGCAATTCGGCTGGCTGGCTGGTCTCTTGGCGAGATGGCAATCCTTGCCTCGGATCAGCATACCATGCCGAGCCCTCGTCTTGCAATGGAATCAGGCGCCCCTGATCCCCAGAGCGTTTCTTCCCCTTGACTTGATCCACTCCAAACGAGGTTTTCTCCATTCCAAACGCCGGACTCTTTCTAGAATATTTCTCGTCAAACCAATGTTCTGTTGCTTGTGGTATTGGTCGAAGACCATCCCCTCCTTCGACAAAGTCTTTGCGGACAACTGCTTCAGAACCATCACCACTGCTGTCGCTCGGGGGCGATACCTGATCCAATGTTTTCCCTCCAAACCTGGAGAACCACCGGTCTGGTGAGTAAGCAGGGCTGTTCTTGTCTCCCTCGTCACCGGACCTAGAATCGGTCGAATCGCCTGAACGAATGACCTCGACTTGCACTGGTTGCGCAGATGAATCCGAGTCAGCAATACCCCCCTTGCTAATCATATCTTGTTCGTCAAGCACAGCACCTAATCTCTCCGAGTAGTTTTCAAGGGCAGCCTGCGATTTTCGAATTTGCTCCAGCAGATCCTCATCGTCTGTCTCGAAATCGAAGATTTCGTCGTCACTGTCTTCCTCTTCTTCGTCGAGTTCGACAATCCTAATTTTGACAGCCTTTCTTCTCCCCTTCGCAGTTTCTTCCTCGGCATTGATACGAGCTGCTTCGGCTTCTTCCACTTCTTCCTTGGTCTCAAGTTCGGCGACTTCCTTCTCGGCCTTGATACGAGCAGCTTCGGCTTCGTTCGTGGCCTTCGTCTCTGCAGCAAGTCTGGCTACTTCGGCATCTTCCTTCGCCTTGAGTTCGGCAGCTTCCTTCTCGGCCTTGATATGAGCTGATTCGGCCTCTTCAGTGGCCTGCTTCTCTGCAGCAAGTCTGGCTACTTCAGCTTCTTCATTTGCCTTGAACTCGACGGCTTCTTTCTCGGCCTTGACACGAGCTGCTTCGGCCTCTTCAGCTGCCTTCTTATTGGCAGCTATGAAGGCGGCGAGTCTGGCTGCTTCAGCTTCTTCGTTGATCTTTAGTTCGGCTGTTTCCTTCTCTGCTGCAATTCTAGCAGCCTCTGCCACTTCGGCTGCCTTATTCTCAACAGCAAGCAAGGCTGATTCGGCTTCTTCCTTGGCATTGAGTTTTGCAGCTTCTATCTCGGCCTCTTCTGCTGCATTTTTCTCTGCAATCTCCTTCTCAGTGACTCCAGCTGCAATTTCATCGGCCGCATTCTCACCCACAAATGCAATGCGATCATTCGAATCCTTGTCCATGCCCTTTGAGCTTCCCCCTATCCCGAATGGAGAACCATTTTTCTGACCCGGGGATGCCAACTTGTCATCACTTTTCAGTTCCTTCAACTCATCGCTGCTAGAGCCCTTAGAAAATCCTTTTGGACTTGCCGTCGTGCCAGAAAATGGTGATGCCGATTGCTTGGGAGCTGTGAACGAGGACATGCCCTTCTTGGCCGCTGCACTAAACGACGCCATACCCTTCTTGGCGAACGGAGACGGTGATACCGAGTCATCCTTTTTCAGTTCCTTCTCATCGCTGCTAGAATCCTTGGAAGATCCTTTTGGGCTTGCCGTCGTGCCAGAAAATGGTGATGTTGATTGCTTTGGAGCTGTGAACGATGCCATGCCCTTCTTGGCCGCTGCACTAAACGACGCCATACCCTTCTTGGCGAAAGGAGACGAAGATGCCGAGTCATCATTTTTCAGTTCCTTCAACTCATCGCTGCTAGAATCCTTAGAAAATCCTTTTGGACTTGCCGTCGTGCCAGAAAATGGTGATGCCGATTGCTTGGGAGCTGTGAACGAGGACATGCCCTTCTTGGCCGCTGCACTAAACGACGCCATACCCTTCTTGGCGAACGGAGACGGTGATACCGAGTCATCCTTTTTCAGTTCCTTCTCATCGCTGCTAGAATCCTTGGAAGATCCTTTTGGGCTTGCCGTCGTGCCAGAAAATGGTGATGTTGATTGCTTTGGAGCTGTGAACGATGCCATGCCCTTCTTGGCCGCTGCACTAAACGACGCCATACCCTTCTTGGCGAAAGGAGACGAAGATGCCGAGTCATCATTTTTCAGTTCCTTCAACTCATCGCTGCTAGAATCCTTAGAAAATCCTTTTGGACTTGCCGTCGTGCCAGAAAATGGTGATGCCGATTGCTTGGGAGCTGTGAACGAGGACATGCCCTTCTTGGCCGCTGCACTAAACGACGCCATACCCTTCTTGGCGAACGGAGACGGTGATACCGAGTCATCCTTTTTCAGTTCCTTCTCATCGCTGCTAGAATCCTTGGAAGATCCTTTTGGGCTTGCCGTCGTGCCAGAAAATGGTGATGTTGATTGCTTTGGAGCTGTGAACGATGCCATGCCCTTCTTGGCCGCTGCACTAAACGACGCCATACCCTTCTTGGCGAAAGGAGACGAAGATGCCGAGTCATCATTTTTCAGTTCCTTCAACTCATCGCTGCTAGAATCCTTAGAAAATCCTTTTGGACTTGCCGTCGTGCCAGAAAATGGTGATGCCGATTGCTTGGGAGCTGTGAACGAGGACATGCCCTTCTTGGCCGCTGCACTAAACGACGCCATACCCTTCTTGGCGAACGGAGACGGTGATACCGAGTCATCCTTTTTCAGTTCCTTCTCATCGCTGCTAGAATCCTTGGAAGATCCTTTTGGGCTTGCCGTCGTGCCAGAAAATGGTGATGTTGATTGCTTTGGAGCTGTGAACGATGCCATGCCCTTCTTGGCCGCTGCACTAAACGACGCCATACCCTTCTTAGCGAAAGGAGACGAAGATGCCGAGACGTTGAATTTTGTGTTTTTTGGCACGAACGAGCTCTTGGCCGGAGCTTTGCTACCAACTGAATCTTCGTCACTTGATTCCTCCTCCTTCAATTCATCACCAGCATCCATGGCCATGCCCTTTGGACTCCCCTTCATACCAGAAATTGGTGATTCGGATTGCTTGGGAGCTGCGAACGACGAAAACCCTTTCTTGGCTGCACTGGGTGGTCCCAAACCTTTCTTGGCAAACGGAGAGACTGCTGCCGTATCATTGGATTTGGCAAAGCTGTTTGATGCAAACGTGTTTTTGGCTTCCGCTTTGCTACTACCCACAGAATTCTCATTGCTGGGTAATTCCTTGACGTCCTCGCCACTATCCTGACTCATTCCCTTGGGAGCCTCCTTTGTACCGCCAAAGGGAGCATTTGATTGCTTGGGAGCTGTAAAAGACGCCATGCCCTTCTTGGCCGCTGAACTGAATGATTCCATGCCCTTCTTGGCTGCTGCACTGAATGATGCCATGCCATCCTTGGAAAAGGGCGATACAGATGCCGAGGCTGCTGGCTTTTTCGGAAAAGATTTGGTTGCGAATGGGCTCTTTGCGGACGCTGTGGTTTCTTCCGACTCTTCGTCGTCATCACTCGATTCTTTCTTGATTTCATCGTCACTTGTTGCAGTCTTGGCAGCAAATCCCTTGGGGCTTCCCTTTTTGGCAAAAAAGGGATTTCCGGATTGCTTGGGAGGCGCAAACGATGAAGCACCCTTTGGTGGCGGCGTAAATGATGACATGCCCTTCTTGGCAGCAGTAAATGGAGAGCCTGGTGCTCCAAAATCCGACTTGGAAGTCTTAGGCACAAATGAGCTCTTGGCGGGTGCCTTGCTGCCAGTTTTCTCCTCCTCGACATCTAGTTCCTTAATCTCGTCGTCACTTGTAGTAGTAGTAGTAGTACCCATGTTCATTCCCTTGGGACTTCCCTTTTTGGCAAAAAATGGATTGGACGACTGCTTGCCTGGACCTGATGTGCTAAATGATGACATGCCCTTCTTGGCTGCTGCTGTATCAAATGATGACATGCCCTTTTTGGCAGCAGCCGCAAATGGAGAACCCCCTCCTTTCTTGGCTGCTGCTGTATTGAATGATGACATGCCCTTTTTGGCAGCAGCAGCAGCAGCAGCAGCAAATGGAGAGCCCCCTCCTTTCTTTGCAAATGGGGAATTGCTGCTGGTCGTCTCGGGAGACGGAAATTTTGCTTTGAGAGGATCATAGGTCGATTTGGCTTCAGCACCTTTCACATCAGAAGCAGCAAGGGGATCAATTAGATTAGAGATGGTATCGTCTGAAAGAGTAATAGTCTTTTCATCATCAGACGATGATTCTGTCGTTTCTGTGGGCTCCACCTTGTCATTGCTGTCGTCACTGTCTACTTTGCTGACTGTTTCTTCCACCTGGTCCGTGACCGTCTCATCGCTTTTTGGAGGAGGCATTCTGTTGAATGGAGCTTGCGGGCCTTGTTCATCATCTGGCTCTGTGACATCATTGGCGGTGCTCCAAAGGACCGTATGGAATCGACGACGATGAGGACTACGACTTGACAATCGAGCCAATGATTGACGAACCGGCGAACCACCACGACTGTAATGTGCTGACAAGGCAGTGGCACTGCTTCGTATTCTCCTTTTGTTACCGTTATCCATACTAGTTGTCGCTCTTTCTTGAAAGGCATCCAATTCGTCAAATCCCACCACAGACTTTACTTGTTCCAAACTGGCAAGGGGCGTATTTTGGACAATGCCGCCACATTGCATCATTTCAGACGCCACTTGTTCCAACGCCGACACGGTGGCTTGCAGTCCTGAGACACCAAAGAGGCCCATGTCAAACCCCATTCCCCTTATTTCCTGCAGATTCCATATGGTGGTTTGTTCGGGATCACCAGTTTGGACTTGCGCCAATATCATGGGCGTGGATTCTTGCATTTTGGATCGTAGTTTCAAATATTCATCTTGACTCTGCAGATTTTCGGCATAGACAATATCTGCCCCCAGCTCTTCAAATAATAGGCAACGCTCTATAGCTTCTTGCAATCCCAGTTGCATCCGACAATCCGTTCGTGCTACTATTAATAATTGATTGCCATCCTGTTCATAAGCTTCCTGTTGCGCCGCCAATGCCCATTGCATGCGTTCCTTGGCCGCGGCGCGGTCCAATACGGTGATTCCTTTGCCGGCTACATAGGTACATCGCTTGGGAAAGGTTTGATCTTCAATGGAAATAGCCGCCGCCTTGAGACTGGCCACATCCCGAATGGTCCGACGAATGTTGGCGGCACCTCCAAACCCCGTATCGCCATCCACCAGCACCGGCAGTCGAGAGGAGGTCCGCTGCAGGATTTGCTTGGTGGAATCTTGCAATTCCGTGCTAGTTAACAAACCAGCGTCCGGTTGTCCTAGCCGCGAGGCCGAAATTCCGAATCCGCTGACAAACAAGGCGGCATTTTTGTTTTCGGGAAGTTGGGCTTCGAGAATCCGAGCCGAGAGAGCATCGTGAACTCCATAAAGACCCAGTGCTTCTTTGTTGTTGTTGTTGTTGTTGCTGTTGTTGTCAAGCATATCCAGCAAATCATTGGAAGGACAGCTATTTCTATTATTGTTGTTGTTGTTGGCCAAGGATTGTACGCATGGCACGGAAGCAACGATGCACATCATCATCAGGAGGATGCGTCCGGATGGGAGATTGCCATCATGGCTATTTGAAATCTTCTTTTTCATTTTGAAGCTTTCTTTTGTGGTTTCAAGATTACTCAAACTATAGCTTTGTGTTTTGCTAGTTGCGCTAGGTATGCTTGCTATAATATATATTATAAGCTTCCACTCGCTGATTTGGCTGCTACAGTACAGTATTCAGTATAGTACAGTATTTGATGGATGAGCTTTTGTCAGTTGTTGGTTGGGTTTGTTTGACACCCGTTGGATATTTAGAAATTCATGTCGCACCACGGTTTATGACGTACTCGGTTGAATATGTCTTATCTACGAGAATGATGACCGTAGACTGGCGTACCGGTACCGTACCGTACATCCTTTTGATTCAAAATTCCGGCGCACTGTTGGAGGATTGCACGTCCGTCGCTCGGGTCCAAGTATTCAAAAATTGTCAATAATAAAAGCCTATAGAAGCACCTCGCCAACGACAACTTCATTGGCGATGGACGTTAACTAAATGCCAAGCCTTGCGCTCTGGACCTCCCGCCAAAATGCAAAGAAATCTGTCACGTACTCACGTACCTCCATCCACTTCTCTATCGCTCGTTGCTTCCACTAGGTATCAACGAACAACCAAAAAGGAATTTTCAATCATCTTATTCCCCATCCTAGTATACTATCTCTTAAAGTCTCGCAGCAGCAGATCAACCAAGAGTAATAATAATAATATTAACAACATGGTCAAGCAGACGAAAGGAAAGGTTACAAAACTTCAGGTTTGTTTGCACAAACCCACCAAGGAATCCGTCTTAGGAATTGGCTTTTGTCGTGAAGACGAAGATGACGATTTGACCATTTCGGGAATTGCCGAAGACGGTTTGGTCTTTCAACAGACCCAACTCAAGCCAGGCCTCAAGATGCTTCAAATCAATGGTTTGGATGTCCAAAAGGCAGATCCCGTTGAAATTGCCACCATTCTCAAAGAAGCACCTCCTGGAAACATTACCTTTTTGGTCAAAGGCCAAGGATTGGAACACGTCAAGGACGCTGTGTCTTATCAAACAGGTCTCACCTTTCGTGAAGTCCAAGGCGTCAAGGGAATCATGATTGCAGGCATTGAAAACGAGAGCATGTTTGCCTACAACGAATTGGAAGTTGGATCCCTCTTGCAATCCATCAATGTCGAAGTCAAACCGACCACTTCCGAAGGAGCCATGCGAGCCATGGACGTGGCCTTGCCAGGAAAGGTTACCGTCAAGGCCGAACGCATGGTCCAAACCAACTTGGGCATCTGGGCGGATCGTCGCCATAAGCCAGAACAGCAGCCAGTGGAAGAAAAAAAGACTCAAGAAATGACGGTCCAAAAGGTGGGCGTGGGTCAATACATGGACAGCCAATTGGTACTGGACGGTGCAGAAGAAGACATGACAGAAACCGTGGTCAAACCCACGGCGGATGCCGACATGGGACTTATTTTTGAACAACGCGGCAGGGATGTCATCATTTCCAAAATTGTCGGGGGAACACCCTTTTCGTACTCACCCATTCAACCTGGAATGAGATTGGAATCCATTACTTACACCAACGAAGTCGCTACTGCCAAGGATGCCGCCTTCACTCTGGATCGATTGACCATGATTGATGGTGTCGAAATGGCATTGGACGCCGAAGCCTTTGTGGCCACCACCCACAAGACCTTCCAATGGACGTCGACTGGACTCAAATTGATGGATTCGGACGATGGTGTCATTATTCACGAGATTCCACATGGATCCCATTTTGACAAGACGGATCTAAAGGTGGGAATGAAGATTCTTTCCGTCAATGGACGGCCTTGTCCATTCACAGCCTACCAAGTGGTGGATCAAATCAAAAAGGCAACTGGCAAAATCAAAATTGTCGCCCAGTTTCCGCTATCGTATGTAGAGGTCTACAAGCAAGCAAAAGCAAGAGAACGCGAAATTGAAACGCACAAAGATGCCTTTTTCTTGTGCGGTGAAACTCCATCGCTATTTTCGGGCTAATCTCTGGGTGTGACGAGTATTGTGTTGATCGTGAAACACAGTACAGTATTGCATATATTTATTTCTTTTGTACAAGTATTATTATTATTTCATTCAGATATTGGTAAACAATAGCGGGTCAGTGTTACATTTTTTCTTTCATTTTCTCCTACCTATTGCTTTCATACTATTATTAGTCTCGATCCGCACTGAAAAAGCTCGAATCGATTGGAGAGTTGTACCAGCTGCCATCCGATACGTCTTGATCGCTTTCGACAGGTGTCAAAGTATCGTCGTTGTTGAATTTCTTATCATATGGGTCATTGGGGTTCACTGGAATGAGTTTGGTGTCTTGCGTTGTGTCGTCGGTATTGGTATTGGTATTGGTAGCTGGCGGTAGTGATGTCGAAGGACGAGTCGAATCGCTCTCGAATTGGGAAGCAGTAGGATCATTGGGATTCACTGGGGTTAGATGCACCTCCGCTTTGTCGTCAATTCTGTCTGGGAGTTTTGGGACGGCGCTCTCTTGTTCCTCAGCAATATCGGCATCGTTGCTCAATTCCTCTTCGTCAGGCGCAACATCCAACACTGGTAGTTCTTGGGTTGAGGACTCGCTGCTGCTATAACTCTGTAAAATTGGGGGATCTGGGTTCATGGTGGTGTCACTTTTTCCTCGCGACCACCACTCACCATTGCTCGAGGAATACTTGGTCATTATGTCAACTGGTTCATCTACTGCACCATGCGGATCCCAATGTTTTGGCGTGGCTTGAGGCCTCTGAGGAGGTGCAGCAAAGGCTGATTTTGATTCCTCTTCGAGCCCCCAATCTTGTTGGCGTATTTGCCACCATTGTACAGAATCACCACCGTCAGCATCTAGAGCATACATTTCCGGTTGGTTGGAAGATGTTGCTGTGTCGGCCGACATGATATTGTTCGGCATCTGGTCAATAGCTTTAGGCTTTGGTGAAGGTTGCTTGGAAAACGATGTCGCGCTTTGGCTGTTTAGTTCTGCGGGGGGAGCTTTGGAAGGTTGTGGCGGAGGTGATTGCTGCCTCATCTCGGGAGACTCTGACATCATCATATCGTCGTCTTTTCCCCAATCAGTGGTCACGGGTGAATTGTACCAGGAGGGGCCAGAACTTTCAGAGTCATCTGATGTTTCGAAAGACTCTTCGGTCTCCAACAATTGATCTTCAGACAGAGTCGAAGAAGATGACTCATTATCGAGTTTTGGACTATCAGGCACATACCCCTTGGAAAACGGAGAAGACGACCATTTGGTCCCAGGTTTTGGCTTACTTCCACTTGTTTCAAAGCGTGTTGTGCTTTCGCTCATGGACCCCTTCGGCGATTGCATTTTATTGGTGAAAGGAGATGACGATGATGGCTTGCTGCCTGTATTCGCCGAGCCACCAAATGTGGGTGTTCCAGTCTTTCCTAATGGCGATGCCGATCCCTTGCTGTCTGCCTGTGCCGACCCACCAAATGCGGGTGTTCCAGTCTTTCCAAATGGCGATGCTGATCCCTTGCTGTCTGCCTTTGCCGACCCACCAAATGCGGGTTTTCCAGTCTTTCCAAATGGCGATGCTGGTCCCTGCAGCCCCTTGCTATTGAGCTTTGGAAACGGTGTAGTAGTCGCTGCTGTCTCATTGTCATCTTTGGAGCTGTCAGAATTGTCGCCCGATCCACTGAATGTGGTTGCTCCGGTCTTTCCGAATGGCGATGTTGATCCCTTCAGCCCCTTGCTATTGAGCTTTGGAAACGGTGTAGTAGTCGCTGCTGTCTCATTGTCATCGTTGGAATTGTCGCTCGATCCACCGAATGTGGGTGTTCCGGTCTTTCCGAATGGCGATGTCGAACCCTTCATCCCCTTGCTATTGAGCTTTGGAAACGGTGTAGTAGTCGCTGCTGTCTCATTGTCATCGTTGGAATTGTCGCTCGATCCACCGAATGTGGGTGTTCCGGTCTTTCCGAATGGCGATGTGGACCCCTTCGTCCCCTTGCTATTGAGCTTTGGAAACGGTGTAGTAGTCGCTGCTGTCTCATTGTCATCTTTGGAGCTGTCGGAATTTTTGCTAGAGGCACCAAATGCGGGTGTTCTGGTCTTTCCGAAAGGCGATGTCGAACCTTTCATCCCCTTGTTATTGAGCTTTGGAAATGGCATTGTAGTTGAAGATGCACCAGAGTCTTCGTCGGGGATGTCGGACTTATGGTGTGAACCATGTGGTGATTCTATTTTGTAGAATCGAGGAGGCGAAGATGTCGATTCCTGGATTCCTTTCTTTGGCCCACCAAATTCTTTGGGCATCTCGGTCTTTCCGAACGGTGATGTAGATCCAGTCATCCCCTTGCTATTGACCTTTGGAGATGGCGTCGCAGTTGCCACCGAATCAGTGCTATCTATAAGAGTTTCTGGTTTCTTGCTGATGGCACCTTTTGATGATTTCGGTTTGTTGAAGGGCGGAGGAGCCGACGGCTTGTTGCCAGCTTTCGACCCACCAAACGATGTCGACGTTCCGGGCGTGACTGATGCGAGAACTTTCCCAACTGAATCTCCTAAATTCGGACCTTCCGGAATGCTACTTGAAGGATCGTCAAAGCCTGTCTCACTGCATTTCAAAACCTAAGTGTTAGTATTCGACTTCCATGTATCAGCATATCATCTCGCGACCCTTACTCACAGCTTTTTACTCACGTTTCGCCTTCTTTGGAGTCAGTCTCAAAGGCATCAGCTGTCGAAGTTTTTGGACCCTTTACATATTTGCCTGGAATAGGATCTTGGACAAACATCAAGGACAATGGACCGTTTCTGATGGAGGATGAAAAAAAGTAAGGCTTCTTCCTCTTTTGTTGTCCTTCCGACGGTGTTTTGTCCCCTTTATCATCTTGACTTTCCTCCTTGGAATCCTCTTCACTTTCACTCTCGTTTGTAGGAACGAACGATATAGCACCAAGAGAAGCTTTTGATGAGGTTCCAGATTCCGTGGACTCTCCAGTCTTGAAGGGGGAATCATCATCGTCTGTCGAGCTTCCATTGACGGTATCACTTGTCTTTCCTATCTTAGAGATTGGGGAAATTGTTGCAACACCATTGGAACCAAATGGACGCTTACTAGATGCACCGGGGCCTATCTTCGTACCACCCTCAGGACCATACGAAGCCTTGCTGAATGGACTGGAGCCTGTCTTGGATATTGTAGCACCCTTGGGTCCGAATGGACTGGTGCTAGAGGCAGAAGTACCTTCTTTAGGGAATGGCAAAGCCGTACTAGCACCCTTGGGACCAAATGAACCCTTGCTGAACGAATTCGAGCCTGTATTTGAAACTTCAGCACCCTTTGGTGAAGATGGACTAGTGCTAGAGACAGCAGAACCTTCTTTAGAGAACGGAGAAGCAGTATTGCCACCGTTGGGACCAAAGGAACCAGTGCTGAACGAACTTGAGCCTGTCTTTGGAGCTGTAGCGCCCTTTGGTGAATATGGACTTGTACCAGAGACAGTAGAACCTGCTTTAGAGAACGGAGAAGCAGTACTAGCACCCTTGGGGCCAAAAGAACCGTTGCTGAACGAACTCGAGCCTGTCTTTGGAGCTGTAGCACCCTTGGGTGCAATAGAATCTTCTTTAGAGACCGAAGGATCGACACTAGCACTGTTGAGACCAAATGAACCACCCTTACTGAACGAGCTCGAGCCTGTCTTTGGAGCTGTAGCACCCTTTGGTGAAAATGGACTAGTGCTAGAGACAGCAGAACCTGCTTTAGAGAACGGAGAAGCAGTACTACCACCATCGGGACCAAAGGAACCAGTACTGAACGAACCCGAGCCTGGTTTTGGAGCTGTAGCACCCTTTGGTGAAAATGGACTTGTACCAGAGACAGTAGAACCTGCTTTAGAGAACGGAGAAGCAGTACTAGCACCCTTGGGACCAAATGAACCGTTGCTGAACGAACTTGAGCCTGTCTTTGGAGCTGTAGCATCCTTGGGTGGGATGGAACGTTCCTTTGAGAATAGAGAAGCTGCGCTAGCACCCTTGGGACCGAATGAACCCTTGCTTAACGAGCTCGAGACTGTCTTCGGAGCTGTAGCACCCTTTGGTGAAAATGGACTAGTGCTAGAGACAGCAGAACCTTCTTTAGAGAACGGAGAAGCAGTACGACCACCATCGGGACCAAAGGAACCAGTACTGAACGAACTTGAGCCTGTCTTTGGAGCTGTAGCGCCCTTTGGTGAAAATGGACTTGTACCAGAGACAGTAGAACCTGCTTTAGAGAACGGAGAAGTAGTACTAGCACCCTTGGGGCCAGAAGAACCGTTGCTGAACGAACTCGAGCCTGTCTTTGGAGCTGTAGCACCCTTGGGTGTAATAGAATCTTCTTTAGAGACCGAAGAATCGACACTAGCACTGTTGAGACCAAATGAACCACCCTTACTGAACGAATTTGAGACTGTATTTGAAACTGTAGCACCCTTTGGTGAGAATGGACTCGTACCAGATACAGCAGAACCTTCTTTAGAGAACGGAGAAGCCGTACCAGCACCATTAGGACCAAATGAACCACCTTTGCTGAACGAACCCAAGCCTGTTTTTGGAGCTGTAGCACCCTTTGGTGAGAATGGACTCGTGCTAGAGGCAGTGGAACCTTCATTAGAGAACGGAGAAGCTGTACTAGCACCCTTGGGACCAAATGAACCACCTTTGCTGAACGAGCTGGATTCTGAAAACGGGTTCTTTAAGCTTCCCTTGGTCATGTCCTTGTCAGAGAGACCAGTTTTTGCAGCAGAATTCGTAGAGCTGAAGGGGGAGGAAGGTGACGCATTGACTGGATTCATCCCACCGAAAGATCCCTTTGGACTGACTGACCCAAGCGAGCCCTTGGGAGAGCTTCCATTGACCGCATCGTTCGTGGCCCCAAATTTCGGTAGTGGGCGCTCGTAAGAAGACCTGTCTGGTATGCCCTGCCTTGTGGCGCCTGACGCTTGCTGTGCTGACAATGTTTCGGAATCTGTTTGAGTTGGCACTGACAGATTCCTGTTGAACTCTTTGATTGGCGAAAACGGTGATGGTGTTTTGTCCGTAGCGGTGAAAAACTCTGCTTTTTGCGGGGGGTTATCAGGATCGTCAAGAACAGCAATGCAATCTCGTTCATCCCATGTCTCGTCATAGATTCGAAGTGAGCGGGCAGTTGAAGCGGTTGCAAAAATGCCTACACCAGTCAAAGCGATTGCTGTAGTCGCCATTTTGTTCTTGCCAAAAATTGACGAGAGCCCGACGTCTGCTTTGAAATCAGAGGGTAGTTTTCCGCTTATCATTGATCGCACAGCAGAAACACTGGGAAATTGTGTCGACCGAAGCTTTTCCATTGTGTTTTGCATCTCTTTTTGGATCGAATCAGAGCTGGGAACATTTGGAAGCTTAGGAATCTCAAACTTTGGAGCCTCAAATGTTGAGAGCTTGTCGGCGGCACCCTTACTAACATCCGCGAATGAAGGCAGCTCAGGAATACGGACTTTGGGAAGTTTGAGAGTACTGGTGTCGAGAAGATTTGACGGCAGACTGCCCTTGATCATCTCGCTCACAGATGACACGATTGTTGTGTCAGCTTTGGGTATTGAGAGGGAACGTGTAATGGATACCCCTGCTGCTGACGATGAACCGATAGGCACGCCTTGTTTGCTTTCCGCCACCTTTGGTGTCATTCCGTCTATTCCTGGTTGTGGTACAGTCGTATCAGCCTTAGTAGGTGCTTCGCTGGAACCTGGTTTTGCGGCTGCAACTGATTCGCTGTTTACCTTAATCTCCGTATCCTTCACGCGTACTTCTTTGTCAGTCTTCACCTTGACATCTAATTCAGCTTTCGGTTTCTTCTCTTGTTCGGACTTGACACGGGCTTCTTCGTCGGCCTTGGCCTTCGCTTCTATTTCGGTCTTCGATTTCTTTTCTTGCTCGGCCTTAATTCGAACTTCCTCGTCAAACTTGGCCTTGGCCTTGGCCTCGGCCTGTTGTTTGTTTTCCTGTTCAGCCTTTATCCGAACCTCTTCATCAGCTTTCGCTTTAGTCTCAGCTGCGGATCTTTGTTTCTGCTCTTGCTCTACTTTGGCACGGGCTTCTTCGTCCGCCGATGCTTTGGCATCTGCTTTTTCCTTGAGCATCTTTTCTTGTTCGGCCTTTATTCGAGCGTCCTCTTCAGTCTTAGCCATGGCGTCTGCTTGCTCCTTCAAGGTCTTTTCTTGCTCTGCCTTGACATGGGCTTCTTCGTCCGCCTTTGCATTGGCATCTTCTTTTTCCTTCAGCATCTTTTCTTGCTCGGCCTTTATTCGAGCATCCTCTTCAGCCTTAGTTTTGGCATCTGCTTGTTCTTTCAATTTCTTTTCTTGCTCCGCTTTGATGCGAGTTTCCTCTTCGGCCTTCCGTTTCTTCTCCTGTTCCGCCTTTACTCTAGCTTCCTCTTCTAACTTGGCTTCAGCTTCCATCTTCTTCTCTTGTTCGGCCTTGATTCGAGCCTCTTCGTCAGCCTTGGCTTTTTCTTCAGCCTGCTGTTTTTTCTCTCGCTCTGCTTTTGCTTCAGCCTGCTGTTTTTTCTCTCGCTCAGCCTTTATCTTCGCTTCGTCCTCAGCTTTAGCCTTGGCCTCCTGTTCGGCCTTTCTCCTCGCTTCTTCCTCAGCCTTCTGCTTCTTTTCTTTTTCAGCCTTTATTCGAGCCTCTTCATCTTCTTTGGCTTTAATTTGTGCTTCTTCTTTCAACTTCTTTTCCTGTTCAGCCTTTATTCGAGTATCCTCTTCAGCATTAACTTTGGCTCCAGTCTGTTGTTTCTTATCCTGTTCTGTCTGTATCCGCGATTCGTCGTCTATTTTGGCTTTCTTTGTGATATCCTGCGCTTCGGCAGTCTTTGCCTCCTGTCGAGCTTGCATTATGAGTGCTGCGGCTTCTGTCTGAGCCTGCTGTTTGATCTCAGCTTCCTGGATTTTGTTTTCTAGATATGGTAGCTCTACCTGTTCGGTTGGTGTCTGTTGCGTCGAGGACATTTGTTGCTCTTTTTGGATGATGATTGGCTTTGCGGTAGACTCTTGATCCGGTATCGCGGCATCATTACCTGCGCCAATTAGTGCACTACCAATTAGGGCAGCAGTGCCCAACTGAAAAAAGGGAAACCCCCCGCCACCTCCGTCTTGTTTGGCTTTGTTGTCTTTGTCGTCTGCGGGTGGAGGAGGTCCACTCGGTGCCTTTGTTCCATTCTTCTTGGCCAATTTAATCAGTTTTTCTTCCTCCTTTTTGATTTTTCGATTCGACAGGGCATTTCGACCTGCAACACCAGCCACAAGAACAGATCCAGCTAGGACAGCAGTCGTTGGTTGTGGACCACCGCTAGACTCTATAGACTGTTGTCGTGCTTCAAAGTTTTGCAACGATTGCTCTAATCGCTTTTTCTTGTCGTCAAGCTGCTTTGCTTGTTTCTTCAGATTCTCTTGCACTGCATTATCATCAAGACCCGTGCTTTCCTCTATTTCGGTTGCCAGCTTTTTTCGTTCGACATCCAATTCCACAATCTCGTTTTTTATTCGGTCTCGAACTCGAATGAAAACTCGGTCTGAGAATTCCTGTTGCTTTTCAGGAGTAGCGAATCTTGATAATGTGACAGCTACAGGGCGGCTTCGAGGTATGAATGCACCAACCTCGCTCTCTAGCGCGAGAAAGAGGCATGCAAGAGCATAAAGTCGCATGGCGAAGATTTTGATGAATGTAAAAAAAGAGTGCAAGTTGTCAAAGAGTTCGGTTGATGCTTGATTGACGGCGCGCAGACTGCGTCTGACGTCATTGAACAAAATAAATTTATTTAGCCAAAACGGCCAAATGGCGCCTATATCTGTACTTTCTGGGTTTGGATGACGACTCTACTACACTCTACACTGTACACGTGTACATCATGAAAATCTCCAGCACTAGACGACGACTCTAGAGTATTTGTGAATAATGATTTAACATGTACAAGTCTATATATAGTTTTACCTCATTGCAAACAGACAAATTATCCCCACATTCATCCTACAATACAATATCAGTCAAGCTTTCAATTACTGCTGTTCCACTGCCAGTCTTGGTTCAGCGAACCTTTCCCTCCTCGTCCATCATCGAACCAATTGTTGGACGGCTTTGAGTCCTTGGGGCCTGACCGCCCTCTTTGTGCCGCAGTTTCAGTGTTTGGATCAATTTGATCAGATTTTGTTGTTGGTCTAGTCCCATATGGACTGGAATAGAACGGATCCGCTTGTCTTCCTGTTGCTTGTTGCATGGTCCGTTCTTGGTTCAAATATTGTTGTTTTCGAGTTGGCACATTGCTGCTTGAACTGTTCAAATATGGATCAGGTCGGCGATAGCTTTGTGTGGGATCAACTGCTCGATTCACGTATCGTGATGTTGGCTCTGTTGCCTCTTCATCAAGTCGCCGAAAGTCCTCAACTCTACGGTTGCCGTAACTGTTTGTACTGCGCGGTCTTCTAAAATCAGCTACAGAGCCGGATTGGTTACCATTTTGATCTGGCTGGTAACTCCTGCCTGGCGGTTGTTTTGAAAAAGCACCAGGGCTGTTTGGGGAGAAATAAACTGGATTGTCAGTGTTTTGAGAAGCCATATTCTCACTTGGTGCTTGTGGTGTGGATACAGGGTTTGCACCAGCAGCCACTGGTGATGCATTGGTGCTTGTGGCTGGTTGTCCTGGTTGTGGTTCATTCTTTAGCCACTCAGCAAAGGGTGAAAATCCAGACTCATTTGTTGTGGTCTCTGAACTTGTTGGAACGGGTGGCGACCAGCTTCCGAATGGGCTATTAACATTTGCATTGCCTTGGCTTGGTACCACTTGAGGCTCTGAAGGGTTTGGAACACTTGCTGACCCAAAAGGACTGTAACTGCTCTCTTTTTCTTCAAAGGGAGCATATGATGTCTTCACAGGACTATTTCCTGAGGTTGCTCCTTGAATTGCCCGTTTCTGTTCCACAATGTTCCTTGTTGGATCCACAGTATTTGCAACTCCAAAAGGGGCTCTTGGTGTACCTTGCGAATATGACCTTGGACCAAATGGTGAATACGAGCTCCGTACTTTGCTTGCTGGGAATTCAGCAGTATCACTCGCAGTTGTTGCTTGCTTGCTGGAATAAGTTGATCGACCAGTGAACGATGACACAGTCGCAGAAAGTGTGTCCCAAATAGACCCCTGAGGCTCTTCAGTATTTTGTTCGCCGTTGGAAGCTTCACCAGGCTGTGCTAAACCCTGCTCATTCTCCTGCAAAGAAATTGGCAACGGAGTCGATTCCATTGACGCCGTCGGGAGATCGTTGTTCAATTTTGAAGTTTCCCATGCCTTACTTGGAGCAATTGATGATTCTCCTGACACTGACGCTGATGCCCACGTTGCAGATGCTTCAGTTGCTGCATCATCTGTCTTGGAACCTTCGAGACTTGGAGCTCCCAGATTTGCAGAAGCGTCCGCTTTTGAGGATCCTGGTGTCCACTGACCAAGTGGACTGTAGGTTGAAGATTTGGATGGCTCTGTCTTTTTCTTGGGACCAAAGGGCGAGTATGAGGACTTCACCCCTTGATTCTTTGAGGTAGACCCTTGCATGCCCGAGAGATATGAACTGGAAGAAGCTGGCAAATCTACACTTGTTGCAGGAGATTGTGGAATATCCTGCACTTGGAAGCCCAAATTTGATCCAGAAACTGATGCGCCGTCTGTTCCTTTTGAAGATACTCCTTCTTTTGGAGGGAAAGTTGGATTGAACTCTGCAGGCAAATCTGCTTCGGAAGTCATTGCTTCAGCAGGTCTGGAGTATGGTTTAAAGCTCTTCTTCTCAACCTCATTGGTCATTCCCTTTGGAGAGTACGGCTTAAAGTCTTTCTTTGCAACTCCTTCAGATGATTGAAACGGTGATTTCAGTCCAGTCTTTGGGGGCTGGAAGCTCTTCTTGCCGCTGGAATTGCTTTGTCCACTCAATGATTTTCCAGGACCGTTCCCAAAGGGCCTGGTAGTGATTACCTCAGCCCCATCCTTACCAGTAAATGATGTAAAGGTCTTCCGCCCGTCCGGTTTCCCAGCGATATTGGATGATCCAGCAGGTGAACCCGTCTTTGTTGGAAAGGTTGGCCCACCAGGTGTATCCGGCCTTGACGATGGAAACGGGTCGAATGAAGCGGGTGCTCCTTTTTTCACTGTAGATGATCCTGACTTTGGAAATAGTTTGAATTCCCGTTTTCTTGCACCTGTATAGCTGTTGTTTGTTTCGGCAGGACTTTTGCCGCCAGACAGTGGTCGAAAAGATGCCGAACTGGATCCAAAATCAGAAGGAGCAGTCGATTTGGAAATTTCAAAAGCACTGGTACCCTTGACTTCACTTGTACCAGAGGACGACTTTGCCGCACTACCGGGTGATCCAAATGGCAAACCAGTCTTAGGAGATGCAAATTCATTTGCAGATGCCGAACCTGAAACACCATCTTTGGTAGCACCTAGACCAGTACTATCACCCTTAGAATCACTACCTTTTGCGCCTCCTGGCCTCCAGAAGCCCTTGGGAGCAACAGTTCCTGCTCCTGCTCCAGTGCCCTTAGAACCAGCACCTAGGTCTCTACTTTGTCCATTGGCTGGATTTGGGAAGCCGTTTGGCACTCCTGGACCACCACTCTTAAAGTCATTCGGAGAGACGGTTCCAGCTTTGGATTCCTTCATACTAGCAGTTGTGTCATTGCTTTGTCCATTGACTTGACCTGCGTCATCCTTTGGTTTTGCTGGACCACCGTCAAAGGGCTTGGGAGCAACGGTTCCAGCTTCAGCTGCCTTCGGACTAGCTCCTATATCACCACTTTGCCCATTGGCTGAGATTGGGGAACCTTGCGAGCCTCCTGGCCGCCAGAAGCCCTTGGGAGCAACAGTTCCTGCTCCTGCTCCAGTACCCTTAGAACCAGCACCTAGATCACTACTTTGTCCATTTGCTGGATTTGGGAAACCGTTTGGCACTCCTGGACCACCACTTCCGAAGCCATTGGAAGAGACGGTTCCAGCTTCAGGTTCCTTAGCACTAGCATTTACTTCGTTGTTTCGTCCATTGACTGGACTTGCAAAGCGATTAGATAGACTCGAGAAGCCCTTTGGTGCTTCTAGACCACCACTTTCAAAGCTGTCGGGGGCAACATTTTCAGCTGCCTTCGATCGAGTATCTAGGTCGCTGCTTGGTCCATTGACCGGGCGTGGGAAACCTTTCGGTACTCCTGAGCCTGCTCCAAAACCCTTGGGAGCCACACCTGGACCAATCGGAGATCCTGTTGTAGTGCCAGTGAAGAATGATGATCCTCTCTTTGGTAATCCTTTCCCAGAAGTCTCGAATGGTGACGCACCAGGCGAATCTAGTGGAGCGACTGGATCACGTCCGATGCCCTTGACACCGCCATTACCACCATTGGTTTCATTTGAATAAGAGCTTGGAAATCCTTTCGGAGCACCCCTATCAAGTCCATTGGGTGGACTTGAACTCAGAAATCCTTGTGAACCACCTGTATCAACCGTACCAGCTCTGGGACTTTCAGCACTATCAACGCCATTGCTTTGTCCATTGACTGGACCTGGACCAGTTACAAATCCTTTGGGTACTCCTGGGCCCGCACTAAAGCCAGGCCCGAGTGGCGATCTTGTGGAGGGCCCAGTAAAGAATAGTGATTCTTCCTTTGATGAGCTTTTACTGCTAGCTCCGACAGACGACGCACCCTTGCGAGATGATGGGAATTTGGAAGCACCAGGGTCTGTTTGAAACGGCGAGGATCCTTTAGATGCACCAGCACCAGGCCCAAATGGCGATCTGTCACCAGCCCCAAACTTGGAAGCAAATTTGGAAGCACCAGGGTCTGTTTGAAACCGCGAGGACCCTTTAGATGCACCAGCACCAGGCCCAAATGGCGATCTGTCACCAGACCCAAACTTGGAAGCAAATTTGGAAGCACCAGGGTCTGTTTGAAACGGCGAGGACCCTTTAGATGCACCAGCACCAGGCCCAAATGGCGATTTGTCACTAGCCCCAAACTTGGAAGCAAATTTGGAAGCACCAGGGTCTGTTTGAAACGGCGAGGATCCCTTAGGAGCACCAGATCCAGGCCCAAATTGTGATGTGTCACTAGCCCTGAACTTGGAGAATTTGGAAGCCCCAGGACCAGTTTGGAAGGCATTATCCTTCAAAATATCCACTCCAGGATTGAAAGCCGAAGACAAAGACTTGAGATCATCTTCATCTGCTGGTCCATCGTACGAAGATATGAACTTGGGAGTCTTGGGACCCGGCGATCCCTTTGGTCCCTTAGATGTTGTTGACGGTGATGATCCTGACTCTGTTCCAGATTTATGTGGTTTTGTTTCTTCCACTGATGCTGGTTTTGATGATGCAAAAGATGACTTGGTAGCATCATCTCCTCGTTTGCCGACCTTCGACGGTGAGGAAATCTCCTTGGGTGGTGGTGGAATGTTGAATGGGAGCTCGTCTGATTTCTTGGCTTTTGCCTTGGGCTTGGAAGTTGAAATTTTCATGGTGGCCCGAACTGGATCCCCTTTCTTCTGCTTATCATTGTCCTCCTTGTTCTTTGCAGCACCAATAGCTGTTGCTACGCCAGCAGCGGCTGCAACCCCCCCTCCAATAAATGCAAGTACCGCCGGATTGTTCGTCACCTTGGAGAGTGCGTCAGATGCACTACTGGGAGCGGTTGCTGCCACACCTGCCGTGGGAGTAGCAATTGTAGAAGTTGCCAACTTGGAAGAAAACGGACTAGTTGCTTTGCTGGTTGGTCGCAACATGCCCTCGGCCACTCTTCTCTTGAGATCCAAGGATTCGGCTTCTTCCTTCTTTCGAGTAGCAAAGGCATTGTCTTCCTTTTTCTCCATGTCAATATTGGTGATTGGTGCTGGTGATGTAGTGGCCTTACGTTCCGCTGCCAAGGCTCGTGCTTCTGCCTCCTTGGCAGCCAATTCGGCCGATGACAAACGAGCAGTGGCCATTTTGGCTGCTTCTTCGGCAGCTTTCAATTGGGCTTGCAATGTAAGTGACGCCTGCTCCTCAGTCTTCAACATTTGCTCGAGGCGTTGGCTCTTTTGGGTTGCCTCTAAAACTGCTTTCTCCTTAGCTTGCACTTCCAATTCAGCTTTTTTGATATTCTGTTCGAGAGAGGGTAACTCGGCAGTGGCCAATGTGGCCGCCTCCCCGACAGCACGTTGGCTCTTTTGGGTGGCCTCCAGGATGGCTTTCTCCTTGGCTTGCACTTCCAATTCAGCTTTTTTTACATTTTCTTTGAGAGAGGGTAACTCATCAGTGGCCAATGTGGCCGCCTCTCCGGCAGCGCGTTGGCTCTTTTGAGTTGCTTCCAAGACGGCCTTTTCCTTGGCTTCCACCTCTAATTCAGCATTTCTGATATTTTCTTCGAGATAGGGCAGCTCAGGTTTTGGTTCAACCAGCTTCTTTTGTGCGACCTGTTGCTCGTTCTTGATGCTAATAGTTGGCATTGAGTTTCCACCCAATGATGGCAGTGAAAATTCATCTAGAGTACCACTCAGGGTCACACCCAACGCAGCGATCCCAGTTACTGCTGCTGCTTTCTGCGCCGCCGATTGTACCGATATTTTCTCTAACTGCAAAGCAGCATCCAATCGAGATTGATAGGCTCGTCGTTCCATGTCCTCAATTTTGGCTTGTCGTTTTTGTAAGAAATTACGTCCAGCTACTACTCCAGCTGCTGAGACCCCCACAATCCCACCAATAGGACCAAGAAGTCCCGTCGTTGCTTTGATTAGATCCTGTGATAACAAGTTTTTGTTCGCTTGGGCAAGTTCTAGTTCAGCCAGAGCCATCTGCGGCGTTCGATTGAGTACACTCTCAGCCATGGAAGCCATCAATTCGTCTTCCAAAGCAGCCCGTTTCCTCTGAGATTCTGCCAAGGCCAGCTCCAATTCCGCCATCGAAGCATCTGTATCTATTATTTCATTGTCATTCCATTCTACCTCTTCATTCAAATTGTTAGTTTGCTCGCTGAGAGCAAGGCCTTCTCGTATCCGGTAAGATGATGGATCTCTGTCTTGTAAATTTGATTGCTTTTGTCCAAAAGAACTTCTTCTATCGTTTATGTGCAATCTAAAGGGCAGAAAAGCCGCTAAGCCTTCGTCCACAAGGCAAGCTATTGATAAGAGTCTCAATATCTTCATGATCAAGAGAGGAGGTACGATACTGTCGTTGTTGCAACACTGTTGTCGAGTGATGTTTCAGTTCGCTTGATTTTTTGTGTGGATGGATCCAACGTGTCAACAATGTTACGTGCAATGCAGTACTTCGGATGACTGGCGCGTTCAGATGGCGGGAACGTTAATTCAAATCTTTGTGCGATGACGTACGAGCCTGTGGAACCTTCGCCTTCATCAATGTAAAATCTCCACCGTATTGCATCAAGTACCAAAACTGGAGTAGCTAGTAGACATGTGACTAATGAAATAGATATTGCTTGTTTTATATTATTCGGTGAAGTCTAATAAACTGATTCTTTGTACAGTTGACCCCAGACAAACATTGAAACAAACTCTCTTCGGCGCACTAATTATGCGCGAGTCGTCCTCGATGATCCGAACAACCACCCAGCCAAACCAGGTCCTTGGTGATTGTCGCTGTCATCCAATTGATCTGTGGAAACTGAGGTTTTGGATTGAAATGATCCAGTCAATTCAGAACTCAAAAGTGAACGCTGCGATGCTTCAAAATTCGTCTGGTGGAGACGAGAAATCTCCGTCATGAAGGCCGTCTTCTCTTTCTCAAGCTCCCAAATGCGCTGTTGCAAAGTTGCGACCTCTTTCCCCTCTGACACTTCTTTTCGCATTTCTTCCATCTCCACTTCCATTTGTTTCGATCGCGAGGCCTGATCTTGGATGGTTTTGTCCTTCTCCTCCAAAGTGGCCTTCATTTCGTCGAACTCCTTTTTCAATTCGGATGTCGACTTGTCGCTCACTTCCTCGATCGCAACGATTTGTACATTTGCGGCCTTTTTGTGCTTCTTCAAGGCTTCGTCTTGTTGGTCGAGTCGGACGCGAAGCACTTCATTTTCGGCTTCCAACACCTTTGTTCGGGTTTGGATTTTCATTGGAATATCCAGATCCACTGCATCCAACTTTGCATCCAATCCTTGAAAGGTCTCTTGCAGGTTGTGCAGTACTGTTTCGAGGTGCATAATTCGTTTGAGTTTTTCTGTCTCTTCCAACACTTCAGAGATATCGTCCAGTAGCTCAGAGACATTCTTTGATTCATTCATTTCGCCTGCAAAGTCGATTCTTACAGGAGGGTGGATGTAAAAGGAACCCACATGGTCGGCAGACGCCGTCCGACTTGGTGCCTTTCGTTCCACATCACCCCCTCTTCTAATATTGGCAAGGCTTCCATCCGATCGAGTCTTTCCGGGCGCCTTCCGAATGCGATTATCTGCTTTCTTTTGGCTATGATCACTTGTTTGGTCCAAATTCCGAGAAGAGTTTGTTTTGCGCACCTTGAGGCGATCGGCAGAACTTCTCCTAGCACCAATAGCTTTTCGGTTGGAAGCAGATCTCTGAGAGGTACCTACTTCTTCCTTCGGCTCGTCTGCCTGATCAGAGTCGCCTCGACCTTCAGATATCATATGGGATAGATCACTTTCACTGGAATGCATCAATGAGTCGTCCACACTTCGAACAGATCTTGGTTTCTGCTTTCTTACTCGACCACCACCAAAAGACTCCGAGGACAAGTCTCTCCCTCCTTGGTTGCCACATACGTTGATACTAGTTCTAGTTCTTGGTCTATTCGTCCTCTTTCTCGGATCGAAAGAGGCATCAAGAGACAAACTAGCCAAGCTGTTTTCTTTCATTAGACCCCTGCGTGGATCCGAATTGAAAGAAGCATCAAGGGACAAAGCAGGGACGCTGTTGCCTTTCATAAGACCTCTACGTCGAAATGAATTGGTATGTTTCAGTTGTTTTCGTCTTTCAGGAGACTTTGCGGACATATCTGGTGCAGTTGGAGTCGATTTGGAACCATACTTTGTTTTCAGTCTGGTCGACCAAATTTGCATTGCATCTGGGTGTTCATCTGTGTCCGACTCGCGAGGCCTTGTCTTGTGGAATCTTCGCTCACTTGAAGATAAAATGAGGGCTAAATCACTCTCACTTTGGTTGCCGTTCACGTCCGAAGTCACAGCTTTCATCTCTTCCGTTGGTTCGTCGTCGTCCGAAGAATCTTCTGTGATCATCTTTCGAGAAGATTTACTCTTTTTTATTGACATCCGATCGAGAGATCGCACCTCCTTGCGACTACGGCTGGATTCGTCAAGTTTATTCCGAGACGACTTGATCTTCTCGAGTTTTGATCGTATGCGCGACAACTCACTGTCGCTGCGGTGCATCAATGTGTCCACGCTCTCCCCCAAGTTGTAACTATTCTTGTCGACACTCTGAGACGATTTGGTCTTTCGTTGTGGTTTACGAAGATCAGATGGGCCCAGAGATGTTTCTCGCTTGCTACTGTCCAACTTACGATTAGATTTGGATCTCTTGCAAGGCTTCCGACCCACGGGCACTGATTTCTCACTTGTTGATGACTCTGAAGGAGATAGGTCAGTGCTTTCAACGTCAACACTTCTGGTAGACTTGGTCCTTCTCAATGGCTTTCGACTAAAGGGGTTTTCTAGAGATTTAGCCTTCTTGAGTGGCTTACGGTCACCGTTGGACGAGAGCGGGGCGTTTCTCATGCTTCTCATGCTCTGACTGATTGGGTCCAAAGCGTTTGGTGAACTCGACGTCTTCTTCTTCCGATCTCCTTTCTTGTTCAGTTTTGATGGAGGAAGCCGAGACCATCGAAAGGAGGAATCATCATTTGCTCCTTTCGATTCTTTACCTGAAGAATCCTCATCGTCAGTAGGGCTCTCAGATCTACCTCGAACGTTATTGCTCTTGTTTTTCTTGTTCGTCTTGGATTTAGACTTTACTACCTCCGATTCTTCTGAAGATGAATACTCCTCAGTCGATTCCAACTCTGCCAAATCTGCCTTGGAAAGTAGTGGTTTCGGTCGCTTTCCTCGTTTCTTTGGCAATTCTTTTGTGGACGCGCCGGTAGCAGTACTCTTCTCCGAGTCAAGGTAAATACCGTTTTGATTGCTCATGTTTGAGTTGAAGCTCCACCGATGTTCCTTGATGCTCCAATTCGGAGAAGGGTCGGATATGAAATCATCAATCGATGTCCCTTTCTTGCTGTTTACTTTCTGGTCAAGGGGAGTTTTTGGAGTTGGAAGAGGCTGGTTCTTTGCCTCGTCCTTTCGATTCCATAAGCTGTTTCTCCTAGCCATTTTCTAAATTTATGTTACGACGTCCTTCATTATACTGCATTGTTGTGAGCTTCATACATGTAGTCATTGAAACGAAGACCGCAATGCTGGAAAACCAAATTCAAACTCCTTCAAGGTCCTGCGGCACCATTGACTGGAAAATGGCTTCGCGTTTGCACTTAAAAGTTCCCGCAAAAGGAAGTGAAAATAGTCATTTCGACTGCTCCGATTGAACACTGGAACGTTGCCAACTATGTAATTATGACCTTGCCAGAAAAATAGTGATAAAAACATGCCATATTTTATCTATTGTTCTCGCTTACATACCCTACCTGTCCTACCGGTATTTCGCGCAACCTCAAGAAGAAGGCAACAAAAAAAGAAGGCAAAAGAACAATTCAAGAACCAAATAATCAAAATTGTGGCTTAATAGTAACAACACCTATGCCTCTTCAGTTCAGGGCCAGGGCCAACATGGAAGTACCTCTGCGTCAGACGGAGAGGACTAGGTCTCTTCTTATAGCTCAGGATTGGACTCCAAACAACCAACCGACAAATCCAACATCTTGCGTCTTTTCATTAGTAGTCTCCGTACTATCTTCCTTAACACCTTCTTCTAGGATCGATTTCATGTCTGCCACATCTGCCTTATCCTCTTCCTCATCGTGCGATAATGATCTCTGAAATCTAGGAATTTCTTTTTGCTCTTGCGTTTCGCTCCCCTCCTTATGGAGACGAGCTATCTCCGCCATGAAGTCCTTCTTCTCCTTTTCAAGATCCGCAATACGAGTTTGCAGCACATGCATTTCATCTCCTCCCGTGATTCCGTGTTGCACCTTGCCAATTTCAGCCTTCACTTCATTGCGTTGCAAGGCTTGCTCTTCAAGTGTCTTATCTCTCTCCTTCAACTTGGCTTCGAGCTCCAATAGTTCGCCCCTTATTTGCGGTGCAGATTGAGTAAGTGATGATACAGCTGACGAGGCTAGCAAAACTTCGCTCATGAGAAAATTCTCTCGGCTTTTCATTAGATTGGATTTCTGGTACTTTTCCAAAGTGGCCTCTTGGCGTTTGATTCGAAGTCGTAATACTTCATTTTCCGTTTGCAACATCTCCCTGCGAGTATGGATGCTATCGACCGGGTGATCTACGTCGTCTAACTGAAGATACAGCACCTGATACTTCTCCTGTAGCGCATGCAATGTCGTTTCGAGCTGTTCCTGTCTCTTGACTTGTTCGAACACTCTGGATTGCAAATTCTGTTTTTCCAAATCCAAAACATTTTGCTCATCCATGAGATCCGTTTCATACTTTTCCAGATCTGCAAAGAATCTTTGGAGGTTCTTGTGCTCTCCGTTCGGCTCAGGCTCAAGCTCCTTCCGTAGCTGGTGTGAGATTGCGAAACGTCCATCATTCTTGTCATCAGCGGTAATCGCTCGAGGCGATTTGTTATTTTGCATCGCCACCTGATCCACGGACTCCTCTTCCTTGGCACTGCGGTTTGATAAGTCAAGATTGCGAGACGACTTTAACTTTTCAAGTTTTGATTGTATTCGCGTCAACTCAGTGCTACTGCGGTTCACCAGAGCGTCCACGCTCTTCGGGCAGTGGGTCCTTCCTGCTGGTTTGTGAGGCTCTTCCTCCTTTTGTATTGCATCTTTGTCACCATGGCTTGATTTTTCCACACTTCGAGACGATTTGATGTCCTCAAGTTTTGATTGTATTCGCGTCAACTCAGTACTACTGCGATTCATCAAAGAGCCCACGCTATGTCCGGAATGGGTCCTTCCTGGTGGATTTCGAGGTTCGGTGCGCTCTAGAGGCTTGTGACTACTACTGGATGTACATAGGGACGCTTCTTCGTCTGCTTCAGAGTGGTCACTCGGAGATTCAGACTCTTCCTTGTGTTGCATTGTATTCGATGCAGGTACTCGGGACCATTCAAAGGAGAAATCGCGAGTCTGGGCACTATCGCTCGTGTCTGAGTGTTTTTTCTTCTTCTTCCTGCGTTTTGGGGCATCGTCTGGAGTGCGTGGAGAGGAATCAATGGACTTGTCACGTCTGCTTTTTTTCTTCTTCGGCGACTTATTCAGGCGATGACTACTAGTTGAGTCCATACTTCGAGTCGATTTGTTCTTCTTTGGTAGCTTCCGACGGTGGTTTGATGATTTGGTGGAACGATCCACGCTACGACTGCTCGCCGAGTCAACGCTTCGGGTAGATTTGTTTCTTTTGAGTTTCTTTTGTCTATCATTGGAATCGTCGATCACGTGCCTTGAGGATTTGGTCTTCTTTGGACTTGACGATGAATTCAGGGAGACATCGGACCGGCTGTGGCCACTGTCTTCGACGTCGTCAGTTTTAGTAGATTTCTTCTTCCTGCGTGGCTTGCGGCTAGCAGACGACTTGACCGATACATCTCGGCTATGACTACTGCCCGAGTCCATAGATCTTGCAGATTTGGTCTTCTTTGGATACTCGCTATTTGATGACTTGAGAGATGTCTCATCTTCGTCGATGTAATCACTTGTTTTCTCCGTCTTGTGTTTTGGATCCGAGGCACCAGATACCCGGGACCATTCAAAAGTGAAGTCACGAGTTGGAAGACTATCGTCGATGACTAGGTTTGCATTCTTTCCTCGTTTGTTTCTCTTCCCCTTTCGTTTCTTTCGGGCATCTCTTGGGCGATCTGATTCCGATTTGATTGATGTGGAATCAATTGACTTGTCATCGCTGCTCTTTTTCTTCTTTACTTTCCTTGTTTTGGAACGACGAGGATTTCGGGACCATTCAATAGCCTCCACTGGATCTGGATCAACTTGTGTGCGTGAAGTGCCGTTGTTGCTCTTTGTCTTCTTGAATTTCTTTGTTTTTTGACTAGGATTCCGGGACCACTCTGTGGTAGACGGAGAATGGATTTCATTCTCAGTGGGTGCTCCTCCCTGTAGAGAGCTGATGGTTTGGTTGTCCTCTGCTTGTGATGGCTTTTCCTTTTTTCGACCCCACCTAGCGCTAGCCACCCGTATCATGTTGGATATATTTGACGAAAGAGGATGGGCTATCTCCCTGCATAACTGGTGATCAGAAGGTTGCTCACAACTGTCACATGGCGAACAGTTTTCTTCTTTCCGGCGGCATTATTTTACAATACGTGAAGTCCAAAACGGATATACCGATATATGATTTTAAAAGAAGATTGACTACTTAGACCCCCTGGCTTGTCCCCGCAATTTTCGTGTTTTCATCATTGATATAACACAAGGAATCTGCGTCAAATGGATTTGCTGACCATTGTCCCACTCTCTCCACTGATACCTTTATCTGCATTGTGAAACGAAGAGAATCACAACTGGTCCGTTTTCAAAATGGCGACCAATAAGAATAAGCTGACAGTCGAATCTAGTCTGTCTGCCGACCGGCTGCTGATAATTTGTCCACTATGCTATTCGGAAAAGGGTCAGTCTTACCAGGATACTCTTGGTCTTACTGCCTTAGCTTACCTAACCCCGCCGAGTCTTGCCCAGTATTGCAGTTCCGTTTCAATACTGGATTTATTCGTGCATCCTTCACTTCAGTCAAAATGTAATCATTATATAATATTTCTTTGAATCAATTTGTATTCTATCAAGGATTGTCATTTCAAACAAACAACACTAGGTCAGTACCTGAAGCAGATCAGAGTTGGGATCCGCAATCTCAGGTAACCAGACCTGTCTACGGTACAGCTCTGAGTCTGGCTGCCATTTTGATGGTCTTCTTTCATTTCTTCCGGTGGTTATTGGAAATTCTTTTCATCTCGACCGATCCACAACCTGAAACATTCAGCGACAATCATGAATCATCAGAAAGTTCTCGAACAGATTCCCGTTCGTCAAATGGCGATAAGAAGATGGAGGAGGAACACTTTAGCAACAGCAGCGACGACAAATTATCATTGGAAGATGCCTTCAAGTATTTTGAAATCGATGATCCCAAAGAAGCCACTCGAGAAGCTGTGAAAAAGAAGTTTCGACGGCTTAGTCTTGTGCACCATCCAGATCGGAACAATCAATCCCAAGAGAGTGTGAAAGAAATGCAGAAAATTAACAACCTCTATGAAATAATGGAACAAGAATTTGATCGAAGAGAAGGCAACGATCGTCTTTACAACGAGAATATTCCAGAGGAGCCCGCTGAAAATACCACCAAACCCGATCCATGTGATCCTGACGAGCTAGGTATCTCTAAAACAGAACAGAAACGTCGCCGCAAGGTACACAAAAGACGACGACAAAAGGCTCGATATAAAGAGCGAACAGAGCAAGAGCGCCAACAAGCAGAATATAAAAGGCGTCGAGAAGAAATGGAAGAAGAGATGCACAGAGAATGGGAGGAAGCGAGACGGAAGATGGAAGATGGAAGAGTTCCAAAAGAAACAAAAAGAGGCCAAACAACAAAATAAAAGCAAGTTCGCAAAAGAGTCTCTAGATACGGAAGGGGGGCGCTTTCGGGCTCATCAAACCTGGAAGTCCAATATTGAAGCTATAAAGAAGGGTGAGAATTCCAATGATGGTAGCAACCAAAAGCGAGCCACAAGCAAGCCGCCCAATTCAATCATGGAATGTCCGATGAATGACATTGCGATTGCGCTACGACTTGGTGCAACGGATGTCGCGATTGAGCTTGTCCAAGAGTCCCTGCAAGCGTGTATGCAACGGTCGTTTAATGATAGGATCCGGCGAGGTGAAATGATTGGCACCTTCCCATACCTTGCGGAAGAAGATACATTGGTTTTCAATCATGAAGTTTATGTCAACGTCCTCCTGTCGCGCTTGGATGCTGATGGCAACCATGCCTTGCACTATGCTGTGTACTACCAAGACAATGACTTCTTAACGTACTTGATCCATCAAGCATATCGGCTTGGACATTTTGCGCAATATATTACCAGTACCAGCAAATGCGGATCGAGCGTCATGGACTTTTGTGTCGGATCTTCAAATTCTCGTTTCAACAATCGAGTCAAGGCCTTTTACGACGAGGGATGCAAAACGATTGAAGAAAAGGAAGAAGCTGAGGCTCGAGCCAAAAGTGTTATTTCGATGTTGTTACACTACTTCCAGCAGTTCCGACAGGATGCGAATTTAGATCCAGCCTCTTTCTCTGCTTCTGGTCTGTTGTTGGGAAAGTACATTGCGCCACCACCTAAGAATCAACGATTGGCCGTGATGAGAAACGTCACTGTAATGTGCAGTTGTATCCTTTTGGTTCGATATGCGTGGCCCTTCCTCCCTCAATGGAACCTTGCAGAATCTTTGAGAGAGGAAGCGAAAAGCGAGGAGCTCTGATTTTATATTGATCTCGCGCATCGGCATTTAGCACTTTGGAGATAGTTGACGAAATAGAGTGGGCGATCTCTCTGAATCACTGCGCTGCTGCATCTCCTGAAGATTACCTCATTCTTCATTTTCATTTTGTGATGCGGATGTGATGGATGGCGCAAAGACATAGTGATTGACTACTTTGACGAACTGAATGGGCCACTTGTTTATTCTGTTCGTTGGATGAAAAGAGCTTTTAATATATTTCATTCAGGCAAGTCCGCTGACAATGGTCAAGTCACAAGAAATCTCTCCACTGAGATCTTTATCTACATTGTGACTTCGTGGCAAGTCCCAAGAATCAACGCTTAGCCATGCTACTAGATGTGGTTGTCCTGGGCAGCTGTATCGTTTCGCTTGGATATGCGTGGTCCTTTCTACCTACACAGAACCTTGCTGAATCATTTACAGAGCAAGCAAACAACAGCGAAGAAAACTAGAACTCTTATTCTCGCGCTTTCACTCTCAGTTTCCAGAATGTTAGTTCGATTGCAGGCATGTTTCCGTATCATGCATGTACTACAGCTCTGTCTACTGTTTACTTAATCTTTATACCTAAGCATTTTCGTGTATCGCATCTGTAGGTATACCGGTAGGGTACAGTAGAGGGTGTGGAGTATTTCATACCAAGATTGACTACTTTGACCAATTGATTGTCAACACACGCTTCCGACATAATTTTCAAAATTGCCGCGTCTTTGTCAAACAGGAGCTATTACTTTGTTGTTTCAATCTGCGTCAAATGGCGTTGCTGACAATTTCCCCACACTCTTCACTAATATCTTTATCTAAATTCTGGAACAAAAGAGAATCACAACTGATCCGCGTTCAAAATGGCGACCAATAAGAATAAGCTCACCGCCATTCTGATGGCCTTCTTTCAGGTCGTCCGGTTGTTGTTAGAAATACTCTTCATCTCGACCGATCCACGACCTGAAACATTCAGCGGCAATCATGAATCTCGGAAACATTCTCGTTCGTCAGATGGCGATGAGAAGAAGGAGGAGGAACACTTCAGCAACAGCAGCGACAACCAAGCAGCACTGGAAGCTTCGTTCAAGTATTTTGAAATCGACAATCCCAAAGAAGCAACTCGAGAAGCTGTGAAAAAGAAGTTTCGACGACTCAGTCTTGTACATCACCCAGATCGGAACAACCAATCCGAAGAGAGTGTGAAAGAAATGCAAAAAATCAATCGCTTTTATGAATTGTTGGAACAAGAATTTGATCGAAAAGAAGGCAAAGGTGGCCTTTTCAACGAGAACATTCCAGAGGAGCCCAATGCAGATACCACCGAAGCGGATCCCGACGAACCTGGCATCTCGGACGAAGAACGCAAACGTCGCCGCAAGGTACAAAAGAAGCAACGCCAAAGGGCTCAACAACGCGAGAAAAAGGAGCAAGAGCGCCGAGAAGAAGAATTTGAAAGGCGTCGAGAAGAAATGGAAGAAGAGATGCACAGGCGACGTGAAGAAATGGAAGAAGTGATGCACAGAGAATGGGAGGAAGCGAGACGGAAGATGGAAGAGTTCCAAAAGAAACAAAAGGAGACCAAGCAACAAAATAAAAGCAAGTTCTATAATTCATCTCTAAATACGAAAAAGGGACGAATGAAGGCGCACCAGACCTGGAAGTCTAAAATTGAAGCTTTAGAAAAGGAGGAGGAAGGGACCAATAATGGCAGCAGTCAAATGGGTGCCAGAAGTAAACCACCAAACTCAATCATGGAATGTTCGACGGATGACATTGCAATTGCACTAAGACTTGGTGCAACGGATGTTGCAATTGAGCTTGTCCAAGAGTCGATGGCAGAGTGTATGCAACAATCGCTTAGAGATAGGGCCCGGAAAGGTGAAATGATTGGCACCTTCCCATACCTTGCGGAAGAAGATACATTGAAGTTCAATTATGAAGTTTATGTCAACGTACTCCAATCGCGCTTGGATGCCGATGGCAACCATGCCTTGCACTACGCTGTGTACTACGAAGATAATGAATTCTTAACATACTTGACCCATCAAGCACACAGGCTTGGATATTTTGGGGAGTATGTGACCAGCACCAGCAAACACGGGTCGAAAGTCCTGGACTTTTGTGTTGGATCTTCTAATCCTGGTTTCGACAATCGAGTCAAGGCCTTTTATGAGGAGGGATGCAAGATGATGCAAGAAAAGGAAGAAGCCGAAGCTCGAAGCAGCAGTGTTATTTTGTCGTCGCGATACTACTTCCAGCAGCTCCGACAGCATGCCAATTTAGATCCAGCCTTTTTCTCTGTTTTTGGTATCCTGCTGGGAAAGTATATCTTTTGCGGCAGATGGTACGAAACGATTTTGGCCATCCTTTTCAGCAGATTTATGGAAATCGCCAAAGATGCTTCGAAGCATGAGCAGTATTATGTCTTGATTTTCTCGCACTGCTACTGGTTTATTTTCAAGAGCACTGTGTATTTCACGTGGAAGCTTTTTCCATGGTGGCTGATTCTTGGAGTCACTCTTGTAGCTGGATATTTCTTCTCATTGAGCGAAGTGATATTTTTTGTTCCGGCTATGGCGCACCACGGTAGTAGCATCATTGTCAAGCATGCCCTCAATTTGTTCGGTTACTTTGTGCCAACACCCAAGAGTCCACGCTTGGCTTTGATGAAAGATGTGATTGTCATGTGCAGCTGTATCCTTTTGCTTCGATATGCGTGGTCCTTGCTTCCTAAATGGAACTGTGTTGAATCATGGAAAGAGGAAGCTAACAGCGAGGAGCTCTAATTGGATTGGTCTCGCGCTTTGGCAATCATCATGTTGGACATCGTCTCACCGTTACTTGGTTTTGTGGCGCGAAGACATTTGACTACTTTGACCAACTGAAACCAAAATGGCCATGTGAATTTTCTGATGTTTTTGAAAAGAGCTTTTACTATATTTCAATCTGCGCAAAGCTTTGCTGATCATAAAGTCACGCTCTCTCCACTGATATCTTTCTCTACACTCTGAAACGAAAGAGAATCAGAACTGATACTTATTCAGAATGGCGACCAATGAGAACAAGCTGGCTTCAATTTTGATGGCCTTCTTTAAGATCTTGTTGTTGTTGGAAAAACTCTTCGTCTCGACCTGTCCACGGCATGAAACATTCCGCGCCAACAATGAATCATCAAAGAAATCTCGAAAAGGCAGTGCTCGAAAAGGTACTCGATCATCAGGTGGTCATGGCGATGAGAAGAAGGAGGAGGAACACTTTAGCAACAGCAGCGACAACAAAGTATCATTGGAAGATGCCTTCAAGTATTTTGCAATCGATAATCACAAAAAAGCCACTCGAGAAGCTGTGAAAAAGAAGTTTCGACGGCTTAGTCTTGTGCACCACCCAGATCGGAATAATCAATCTGAAGAGAGTGTCAAAGAAATGCAGAAAATCAACCTCTTCTATGAACTATTAGAACAGGAATTTGACAGAAGAGAAGGCAAAAACGGCCTTCACAGCGAGAACATTCCAGAGGAGGGCACCGAAGATACGACCGAACCGGATCCATGTGATCCCGATGAAAAGGAAGAAACTGGAGCTCGAAGCAACAGCTTTATTTTGTCGTCACGATACTACTTCCACCAGCTGTTGGGAAAGTATATTTGCGTCAGGTGGTACGAGACGGCGCTTATCAGTCTTGCAGCCATATATATACAAAACGCAGACGTAGAAGTTTCATGTCGTGAGCTGTATGATTTCGTGGATTGGTGGTTTCTTTTCAAGAATATCGCATTGGAAGGTTGTGGCATCATTATCACGCGTGTTCTCAATTTGTTCGATGAGTTTGAGCCAACACCCAAGAATCCACGCTTGATACTGATGAAAGACATGATTATCCTGTGCAGTTGTACCCTTTTGCTTCGATATGCTACACGAAATTTTGCCGAATCATCGAAAGAGGGAGCAAACATCGGGGATCCTTGATTACAGTCGTTTCCATCATCATAGTAGTGTGATACAGTAGTCCTAGCATCATGAATTATCTTTTTGTCTATTGTTTACATTACATCATCGTACAGCAGTTTCCTTTCTCTTTCTATTTAGCTGTAGTGGGAAGCATCGGCCCCATCGGTGGATCGCAATCGTTCCATACTGAGCCAAACAATAGCACCAATGGTAATGAACGCCGAAAGGAACCACTTGGAGACTCGCTCGACTCCACTGATTTCTTTGAATACCAAAATTCCCCACAAACCGCTGACAAGGATCTTGGCTTGAACCAAACTGTTGCCAACTCCTTGCCCTAGGTAAGTGACGGAGATGATACTGCCAAACATGGCAATGGACAAAAAGACTCCAGCCAAGGTTCCTGGTTTCCAAAGAGCAGCAAAATGCCATTCGGGCATAGACTGGGCAGCCGCAACGACGGAGCCAGCTTGTATTGATCGCACCACCAAAAATAGAGCCCAAATGATAATGTTGGAAATCATAGCGCCACAGGCAATGCTGATAATGTATAGTTCTCCACCAAATCCTTCTTCCTTGGCATAGTGAAGTGGAACCAAGGAACATCCTGTAAAGACTCCATTGATGACGGCACCGGCAATTCCACATTGACGCTTGGTCAATGTAATTCCACAGATGGTGGCGTTGGGTGCGTTGGGGTCATCTGGTGCCGTGATTTTTCTAGGTTTGGTATTACTACCACTCAATCTGGTTGTGGATGCATTCATGGGTTGGGCCTCCAATTCTGCGTCTTCTTCCTTTAGGGTCAGGTCGTTGACACCGGTAGACGTTGGAGGAGGTGCACTGTACCGACTCATGCCCACCAATCCAAGGGCCAACAAGCAAAAACTGGCCAAGGTTCCACCCAAATCATGGACGGGTTCTTTGAAAATAATGATACCAAATAGGAAATTGACCAAGATCATGATTGATGCCCAAGTTCCTGTTGATTGCGTAGGAAGAAAGTCATGAGTGATGCATTAGACAGACTACATTGTAACTCGAAACGAGAACACGACACCCAATCACGCATCAACAGAACATACCTACTGCAATGGCCAACCCTGCTTTTCGAATGCCGTAAATTCCACCGGTACCTCCCAAAACCCACAGCAACCCACTCAATAGACCCCAGGATGTAAATTTGACCTCCACACCTAGCAACATAACACTCCACCCTAGTACAAATATGATAAGAGTCTTGTACGATTGCATCACCAAGGGGTGCACGTCAATCGATTTGGTAGCTCGAATGGGAACTCCATAGGTTCCATAGGCAAGCGCAGCAATCGCAGCAGCGATCCAACCACAAGATTCATCGCAGATTCCGTCTTCTAATAGCATCAATGTCATGGTAGGCTCTGTCAGTGTTGTAGGATAGTTGGTTTGTTGATGATCTTCTTCTTCACTTGCGTACACTACAGAAAAAGAAGCAGTACCGTCGATCCTTCTGGTTATTTTCCAGTTGTTGTCGTCGTCAAAAGTGTCGCATCGAGCACCCCTGCTGGCGCTCGCTTGAATATTCAGCGAGCGGTTAAAAAAGCAACGTCTCCACCAATGGTGTCGTCGTGCAGAGGACGAACTGGCGTCACGAGATCCACTTCTGTTTTGAGGTGCTTCTGACCTGCTGGCGCGCAAAGGACACATCGGGCTAAGGGGTGAATGAGACATGCCATTTCCGACTAATGCGACTTTTAGGGCCCCGCATTGCCTAGCAGAAGCAGGTTTTGTTTCTGTGCGATGAACGCGCGGTAGTATTGCATTTTCATTTTATACTGCAAAAAAAACCGGTTGTGCCTCTTCCGACTCAACCGATTACTGTTTTTCTATTTTCCACGCCAGCCCGTTAGAAGCACATTTTGCTGGGAACGAAACAGAAGTGATCCGATCCAATCTGATCGATCCCACTTTTAAAACGTACTGTACCAGTACATTACCCCAAATCCATTCTTCATGTCGCAGCAATAATTTTAAAAGTATACTGTAGGTACCGGTAGTAGCAGAACAATGTATTGCTTTAAAATATATAATTATACAGAATTTGAGTAAGCCTTGGTCATATCTCTCTTGTATTATACCACCTCGGATAGACTGTGTGCACTCCTTCCACTTCCTTCGCTGCTAGAAGAATCGGAATGTACGTTGGGTCTGGACACTGCGCTATCCCGAAGCTTGCGTTTTTGTCGTTCCGACAACTTTTGCAATTGCAAAAAGCGGCACAAGACGATATTGGAAAGGAGTAGTCCAATGGACAAGGCCAAAATGACGTTGAATCCTTGATTCGGTGGGACTTCTTCTGGTTCTTCAATGCCACAGATAATGCCAGCTACTTCTCGCAAAATGGCAGCATCCTGTTTGGAAGGAAAGGGCATGGGTGGATCGAGGTATCTAGCATTGCTCCACCAAGTCTCATCGTAGGCTTCCGGTGGCATTTCTCCCGTAATGGTGCAAAAGAGGACACTGGCTTCCAAAAAGGTACCCATTGGACTGGGATGAAAGTCATCTGGAGCGTAAAGACGATTCCAGTAGGACTTGCCATAGTTGTCGCGAATGTACTTGAAGGCTAGTCCGAAATGAGCCACTGTTGCCTGGGGAAAGATTGCTTCGTACTCGTCGTATCCTTCGTCGAGCAATTCGGTAAACTGATAAAAGCCGCCCAAGTCACCTGAATGTTTCGCAGGGGCTCGGTAGGCCGCAGTCATTAACAGAATCACCATGGTATTATCACCAATCAGTGGCAAGTATTTATTTTGCAAGGTGTCCATGGAAGCAGTTCGATTGACCTCTCGGACCGGTCCTTGGGTGTGATCATTGATGATCACATAATCCCATTCGCGTTCTTTCAAAAGAAATGTGACATTCGGGGCACCAATGTCAAAGGTACCGTCATCCAGTAGAGCATTGGGTGTATCGAAGCGATCTTCCATGCCATTGCCGTCATTGAATAGGCGGGTGACATTGGCTCCTCCCCTGAAGCAGGAATCGGAGATGACTTCTTTGTATTTGTATTTCAACATTCGCTGAAGCAATCTGGGACAATCATTGTAGAATTGGATCGAGTTGCCTATGTGGGCCACACTGAGTTCTTCGTCCAATTCTGCTACTTGAATTGCAAGTTCCTCTCCAATGTCATTCTCCGCTGGATCGGAAATAAAATCACCAGCATCTTGAGCCCGCACTGATGAGAGAGTGGTGGTCAATAGTAGCAACAATAATAGACTTGATATTTGTAACATGCTTGTCATGGTCTATGTTCTGACTGACTGTGCGTATTGCAGATGGATACTCTACTAGCAGAAGTAGGATTCGGAGTCGTTTTCACTCTTGCTTGCTACTATTAACGCAAGCTCTCTCGTTCTTTCTAATCGCCGAACGAGGTGTTGGTGCAAACTAAAACACAAGATTGTTCAACGTCGTCGCTTCTTGTTTTGGGTGTTCTCCAAAAATCAAAGAGAGCTAAAAATATCTATGAGCCGTTGAGAAAATGCCAATCGCTAATCCGTTCCATGTATGTATCCGGGTATCTTTCTATAGACCCTTCCGACTGCAATCAATTTCAAACTTCAACTCCCCAAGAATGCAGACCTCTTCGATTGCTTGATTCCTTCGGACGTCACACTGTGACAACCCGAAAACCTCCATTCCACTTACTTGGTCGTACAATCCTACTAGGAACATCTTCGATGAATGGCGTCAGCACGGCGTTTCCAATCATTGGAGAACCACATCGGTGGAATGGAATTTATTATATTTCTCGTCATGCAAATCTGGCATCCTCATCGCGAAACAGAACTTGAACATCAAAAGCGCGGGGGCGAAGAAAACGAACGGACCTGTCATCGAATGAATGAATGAATGAATCCCATCGAGAGATAGACCTAACCATACTATGTCGTAGTCATCAATCATGAACTCTATCCACCACTAGTCGTTGTACACCATTTCAAAAGATACCGTATTCAACGAGCGTCGCGTCGCGTCGCCGAAATTTCAAAGGAATGACTCACTAGATCGCTCAAAAACGCATCGGAAACGTGGGTATCATCCTCCACTCTCTCTCTCGCTTCAAAAGACTACCACTGCACTATAGATTCAATGCTACACGCACAGGTAATAGTTGTAATGTTTGCTTCTTAGCGTTAATGAATATAATGCTAGGCTGCTATGCGGTTCCTTCCATGCAAAGTTCAACTGTTGGTCCCGTGACTTGAGTGTCACGGAGTTTTCAGTCCAAGAATGGAATGGAAAATGCCGTTCTTGTTCATGACTATAGGATGGATGCAGGTGCACCCATTAACTTGAAGTCATTTTGAATAGAACAAAACAGCATGTATGGAATGGATATTGAATCCCTGACAGATCAAACTCATCACCAGTCGTGTCGTGTCATACGGAAGGACATGAGTCCAACCATATAGGGGATGGTGATGATGGTAGCTTGTAGTAGGAGTGGTCTTGAAGTGGTATTAGTAGTAGTAGGTAGCGAGAGTGATCTTGTAATTGTAGCTTCACTGTCACTTGCTACCACCACATCCGTGGTCGCGGTCTCCTGAGAAAGGATGGCGCCGATGGCTCATCGCATTGCGCCAAAAGTCGAGCAAAGGCCACACAGGCCTTGCTGGAGCTTCCAGCTAGTTCCGCCATGTCATCATCATCTTGAGCTTCGACCACTTGTTGGACGTGGACTTTGCGATGTTTCTTGGAGTATGGCAAAATGGCCCATTCGAGGCCGCGCACATGAGTGGGAAGGTGCAGTTTGGGCTTGCGAATGTTGGTCTTGGAGATGAGCCAGGTGGGCTTGTTCTCGTCTTCTGATTCAGAGGATGAAGAAGAAGAGGTGTCTTCGTCACTGTAACAACATTGATCGTAAGCATCGTTCGCGTTGGCAATGTCGTGCGGATGATGCGTCTTGAATAGTTTGGCGAGACGATGGTTGTTTTGCAGGATTTCCTTACGCTCGTCTTTGGTCCACCAAAGATCTCCCTTTTCCTGTTGTTTGCTAGCAGAGTTGTCGTATTCAAGGACGTGGACATCCGTAAACTGAACCTTTCGCTTGCGATTTTGCAAGCTGTGTTTCACAGGGGTGAGTTTGGTTCGAATGCCCTTTGGCTTGGAGCGAAGTTCCAAAGACGAGTTCATGATGCTAGAGACGCCCATACTTTTGGTGATCTTGAGATGAGGATAAGAGTTTCCTTTGGTTTGCTATATGCTTGTGTTGCTGTCAACAGCGTGCTTTGTATTTGTGTCGATTATATTATTCGAGTCCCAGCGAAAAGTGTGTGATACCGGAACTGAAAGTGAAGGAAGCCCGAATATTTTTTTGTTTGTGACGAAGAGAAGGGGGCTTGAAACGGGCGGGACGGTGTTGGCGTACTCTGTGTAGCCTTTGTGTAGAATGTACCAGCGAGGAATGTACCACGGATGTCATATATGACAAAGCTACTTATGAACCAATCTGCCAACAGTATCCACGCCAGTTCAAAAACTGCTTTCAACACATCACGAACACGAAAATCGCGGTTGATGGACGTTGATCTGGTACTCGTGCCGTACCAGTAGATGCGTTGACGATCGTAAAAACGAGTGGGCAGGGAGATGAGCCCCACGACGAGAACATCAGGATTCATTATTGATCAATGCAAGGCACAGCATCAGTCTTGTCCTACCTGTATGATCCATGGCATTTCCTCATCACCTCACTCTCAGATGGTATGTATGAATGAGATGAGATGAGAGTCCGTTTTCTCCTGTCGTCTCAGAAATGACAAGGTGACGACGAATGGGTATTATCAGATGGGATCCGGAGGAAGAACACCTCACGTGTTGATCTACCACAATAAACGAAGCATGTTAAGACGTGTAATGTGGCGATGGTGATGCATCATACACCACCATACATGCCTCTTTCATCTAAGATGTTTCAATTTTGTCGTCCAAAATTTTAACGAACGGTTTTTCAAACACACAATACTGTAGGTTCTGGAGAGAAAATATCCCAATTGTCCAAGCCCACACAATCAAAGAATCATGTAGGACGTGATATGGCAATAGTGATGCGTTGCTTCTATCAACATTAGCATACATGCGTATTCATCACAGATGATTGATTGATTCTTCCTTCGACCTAAATTTCGAAGAACAGCGTCTGAAAGACACGAAAGGTTGGAGGTGCCATCGTCACGCTGAGAGACACACAAGATAACTTTGTCTACACGTATAGTCCATTAAAAAAAAATTTTAGTTAAGGATACAGCCGTTGTCAATCAAACATTGCGGTAGCATGGTGCTTTGGACTACCGGTCGAAGAAGCAGGCAAGACCCAAACCGTCAAAGATGAAAGCCGAAGGAATCTCGGGCTTTTTCACTGGAGCTAGATGATAAAGATGACTTTATTCTGAAAACTACATTATTATTAATGATCCACGCGCTGTTGTTCCAATCATTGCCATCATCGTCCACTGTCGGAGTGGAACGCGCCTGGGTGAGCCGCCAACATTGAAATAAAATAGAACGGACAAAAATTCCCAAAACAGATGCCGATGTCTTGGTCCGATGTGTCAGAAATCGGAAACAAACGTGGAGAAAGGAGAACAGGAGTTCAATGATGCACAAGTGCGAATTATTTTGAATTTGCTGCGACACTGACGTCATTTTGTGCAGAATTGCGTACGCCGACTGCCGTTGAAATATTTGGTAGAAATGTGCAACCAATCAAACACCTTCCACGGTATGTCACACAACGGTTTTTCGATAGCTATCAACGGAACGAAGTAACGTCTCATCACGAACAAACAACATCAATACAATAATATCAATGGAAAGGAGAGTCGCAAGATGAGATTTAGTTTCGTCGTGCTTTCAATAGCTCTTCTACAGGATCATGACAACCGTACTAGTTTGGGGGTCGATGCCTTTGTGAATCCTAAACCAAGCATCACCGCACGACACCCAATAGTAGCAGTCCAGAATACCCTCGATCCCGATGCCTCCAACTTGGACGAGGAACTCGAACTATTGATGCGACAACGAGATAAAATTGAGCAACGGTTCCAATCGAATGATGAGTTGTCACAGCTGCTATTCCAACGGGATCAAATTGAACAACAATTACTCAAAAGCAACTTTCAAGAGGCTCCAACTACCACGGTGGCGGATCTAGCCGACACAGAGCTAGCTCGGGAAAAGTTACGGCGAGAACTAGAAGCCGCGGAAAAGCGGCGCAAATTGTTGGAAACAGAACTGGAAGCTAGCAAAAAGAAGCAAGACTTGGGCAAGGAAGAACTCCGCAAATCGCTAAAAGAAAGAGATGTCACCCGTAGCGAAGTCCGCGAGATTACGGGAGGTTCGAGTCTGTTTCCGTTAGCCAGTCTATCCTTGGGGGCTCTTGCGCTGGGAAGGAGCGCACTTGAAAACAGACGCAGAAAAGTAGAAGGTGAGTCATGCGTCGTGATGTGATGTGATGCTTTTTTATGTTATGTAGTTTGTGACACGACAAGGTTTTCTCATTTTGCATGAATTGTACACAGAAAATGAATATGAAGAGCTACAACGTCGATTCGACAAGGAACGAAGAGAACGAGATCGTAGGGCAGATGCAGAAAATAGAAATCTGATCTTGGGAGTGGGGGGCGCCTTTGTGGTTGGTACTGCGGCAGTGAGTGATAACGCCCTCAATTCAGCGTCATCGCTAGACAATGGCAACAGAGGCAAAGTCGAACAATCTGCTAAATCCTCCAACAACGTTGCAAAGGAAGGCTCTACGCAGTTGCCGTATCTGGAAACCAAAATCAAACAGGCTGAAATCGATGTGAAAAGGAATCGGGCACTCATTCAAGAACAAGAGGCAAAAGCCAACCAGTTGAACTTTGAATTACAGCAACAAATGGAGAACGATAAGATTCTTGCGGATCAATTGCGAGAAGCAGAAGCGAAGTTGACCATTGAACAAAAAGCGGCGGCTGTAAAGTCGGCACAAGAGAAGGAAATCGCTGCCGCTAAGGCAGCAGCCAAGAAGGAGGCTGAAGCCAAGGCCAAGGCTGATCTGGACAAGATTCAAGCCCAACTCAAGGCCACTGAAACCAAGTTGAAAGAGACAGAAGTGAGATTGTCCAGCCCTGCTAACCCCGAAATTGTAAAACTCCAAGCAAAACTCAAGGAAGCCGAAGACAAGTTGAAGACGACTAGTGGTTCTACGGCAGAAGTAGCCAAACTACAAACACAATTGAAACAAGAAATGACGAAAGCCCAACAAGATCAAGTAGCAAAACTGAAAGAAGTCGAAGCCCGAAAAGTTGCTGCAGATCTGATTGAATCTGAGAGTCTAGCCCGACAACGAACAAATGCCTTGTCGAGTAATCTAGAACGACAAAAGGGTGCTACTTTAGCTACCGAAAAACTCACGCAAGAAAGAGTGAAACTAGATAAAGCCAGTGAAGATGTGAAAAAGAAGACAAACATCAAGATTGAAGCCGACAAATTCCTGAAAGAGAAAGAAAGATCTGCCAAAAAGGCTGCCTCAGAATTGATTGCGCAAGAGAACATTGCCAACGATAGGTCTGCAACGATAGACCAGCGAACGAAAGCAGAGATTATGTACAAGGAAGCCGAAGTCAAAGTGACCAAGGAAACTGAGGCTAGGATACTGGCCGAGAAGAAAGCCAAGCAGGCCGAGGAAGACTTGAAGACAGCCACTGCCAAGAAGGCTGCACTAGAGAAATCCGTTATCAATGTTGAAAAGGAAGCCAAGAAAGCGTTGGCGGCGGCAAAGAGAGGAGGCTACAGACCATCCGCAGCGGCTCAAATGATCTCCGGGAAACGGCCTTCAGAGTTGGAGAACTCTGGTGCAAAGAGTTTTGTTCAGATCTACGAGAGAGTTGCAGTAACTGCCACTGGTATTGGACTGGCGGCGGCAATCTATGCGGTCGCGACCGGAAGGCCTCTGGGAATCATGCCCAACGATCCAAGATATCAAGGCGGCGGTATGGAGTTCTCATTCCCAAAGATGCCAAATTTTCCAAACTTTGGAGGAGGTGGCCAAGGGCTCGGACAAGGATCCAACCAAGGATTTGCCCCGTTTTCCAAAAGCAACTCCAACGGTGGATTTGGCGGTGCAACTAATGCCAGCGGCGGCGGATTTGGAGGAAGTCCAAATGGCAGTGGTCTAGGAAGCGGTGGTGGTTTTGGAGGCGGCGGAGCCTCAGGCTTTGGTGCAGGAAGCACGTCAAAGGGGGGGTTCGGAGGAGGCGGTGGAATGGGCGGATCTGCTAAAGGAGGCTTTGGAAGTGGATCATCGAGCCTCGGCGGATCAAGCACCTCGAAGGGTGGTTTTGGCGGAGGTGGAAGCACTTCCAACGGAAGCTTTGGAGGCGGATCATCAAGCTTTGGCGGATCCAGTACTTCAAAGGGAGGATTCGGGGGTGCAGGTGGGCTCGGAGCCGGTGGAACACCCAGCTTTGGAGGCGGATCAAGTACATCGAAGGGTGGTTTTGGCGGTGGATCTTCAAGCTTCGGAGGAGCAAGTACTACCTCGAAGGGAGGGTTCGGTGCTGCAGGGGGGCTCGGAGCCGTTGGAACACCTGGCTTTGGAGGCGGATCGAGCACCTCAAAGGGTAGTTTTGGAGGTGGAGCGTCAAGCTTCGGTGGATCCAGTACTGCCTCGAAGGGAGGATTTGGAAGTACTGGTGGCGCAGGTGGGCTCGGAGCCGGTGGAACACCCAGCTTTGGAGGCGGATCAAACACCTCGAAGGGCAGTTTTGGAGGCGGAGCGTCAAGCTTCGGAGGAGGAGCAAGTACCTCGAAGGGAGGATTTGGAGGTTCAAGCGGGCTCGGAAGCTCGTCCAAGGGAGGCTTGGGAGGTGGAGCATCAAGCTTTGGTGGATCAAGCACTTCAAACAGTGGGTTTGGCAGCTCATCATCCTCTAAGAGCGGTGAGAAGAAGGGCCTTTTCGGTGGTCTTTTTGGTGGTGGCTCGAAAAACTCTGCTGGTAATGACCAGAGCAATGGAGGCTTTGGGGGCGGATCGAGCACCTCGAAGGGCGGATTTGGAGGTGGAGCGTCAAGCTTCGGTGGATCCAGTACTACCTCGACGGGAGGATTTGGAAGTGCTGGTGGTGCAGGTGGGCTCGGAGCCGGTGGAACACCCAGCTTTGGAGGCGAATCAAGCACCTCGAAGGGCAGTTTTGGAGGCGGAGCGTCAAGCTTCGGAGGAGGAGCAAGTACCTCGAAGGGAGGATTTGGAGGTTCAGGTGGGCTCGGAAGCTCGTCCAAGGGAGGCTTGGGAGGTGGAGCATCAAGCTTTGGTGGATCAAGCACTTCAAACAGTGGGTTTGGCAGCACATCATCCTCTAAGAGCGGTGAGAAGAAGGGCCTTTTCGGTGGTCTTTTTGGTGGTGGCTCGAAAAACTCTGCTGGTAATGACCGGAACACTGGAGGCTTTGGGGGCGAATCGAGCACCTCGAAGGGCGGATTTGGAGGTGGAGCGTCAAGCTTCGGCGGATCCAGTACTACCTCGACGGGAGGATTTGGTAGTGCTGGTGGTGCCAGTGGGCTCGGTTTTGGAGGCTCTGGTGGCGGTCTCGGAAGTAAAGGCAGCACATCATTTGGCGGTGGCTCCAGCAAAGCAGGCTTCGGTGCTGGCGGTGGCTTAGGAAGCAAAAGTGGAGCCGGTGGGCTCGGAGCGGGTGGTACACCCAGTTTTGGAAGCTCTGGTGGTGGACTGGGCAGCAAAGGCAGCACGTCATTCGGTGGCGGGTCAAGCACTGGAGGATTTGGCTCTGGTGGCGGCCTAGGAAGCAAAAGTGGAGCCGGTGGGCTCGGAGCGGGTGGTACACCCAGTTTTGGAAGCTCTGGTGGTGGACTGGGCAGCAAAGGCAGCACATCATTCGGTGGCGGGTCAAGCACTGGAGGATCTAGCTCTGTTGGCGGACTAGGAAGTAAAAGGTCCGTTCCAGGCAGCACATCGCCCGGGGGTAGCTCGAGCACAGCAGGGTTTGGCTCTAGTGGTGGCCTTGGAAGTAAGGGATCTGTTCCAGGGAGCACTGGAGGATTTGGCTCTGGCGGTGGGCTGGGAAGTAAAGGCTCTGTTCCGGGTAGCACATCGTTCGGCGGCAGCTCAAACACAGCTGGCTTTGGCTCCGGTGGCGGAGTTGGAAGTAAGGGATCTGGCGGCACAGCAGGGTTTGGCTCTGGTGGTGGCCTGGGCAGCAAAGGTTCGGTCCCAGGAAGCACATCCTTCGGTGGTGGCTCTAGCATCGGAGGGTTTGGAGCCAATGCTGGTGCTAATGGTTCTACAAACGGTTTCGGTTCTAATGGCGGTCCGAATGGTTCTGGCCTCGGTTCCAATAGCGCTGCAAATGGTTCGTCTGCTCTTGGAGGAGGGCTGTCAACATTTGGCGCATCGGGCACCAGTTCAAGCGCTTTTGGGGGGTCGAATATGAATGGTAGATCAGCGCCAGGGGCGTCATCAACTTCTGCGTACTCAAACTATGCTGGGGAGCTACAGAATGCTCAAGTCAGTCAAAGTGACAACTGGTACAATGATCGTGGCCAGTATCAGAATTATGGATCGAATCCTTCCTCACAAGCAACTGTTGACCCTTCAGTCTTTCAGCAAGAGCAGTCGTCGTCTTGGTTTGACAACCGAAAAGGGACGCAATCAATGATGGAGGACACAAGTGCTAGGTCAGGAGCGACGTATTTTCAACCGAATCAGCCCCAAATGAATCAAGACATGTACTCCTCTTACAATGCCAACGACGCAAACGGTTCATGGTTCAATGATAGGAATGGGAGTGGGTCACGGTCGATGATGATGGAAGATACTAGCCAAACGGGAAGGGATCCGTCATACAACAATGGATTTAGCCAAGGTGCTGAATATGGGGATACATCGAATCAGTTTCAATCTCAACAGAATTGGTTTGATGGAAGATAACGTATAGTGATGTAATAATAGATGATTTTTGAATGTTTCTGCAATGTGATGAAAAAGATTAGCATGTAAAAAAATGTTGGGGGAGTGGGCATATTTGATATCAAGACGATCAGCGTGCAGCTGGTGTCCGTGAGTAGGTAGCACTGTTGGGGGAATGGGCATACTTTTCATCGAGACATCTTCAAACACGGATGGATCAGAGTGCACCTTCTGTAGTGCTATCCAGTTCTATAACTTGGATGTAAAGACGATGCAATGCTCAAGGCTTGCAAATTTGGAGCAGATTTGGTTCTTTTGGTGTGCATAGTAAACGAGAATCTAATATGCAGTTACTTTATCTAATATGCAGGGAGAAAATGTGGATCTCTGACTTTAATACGCACCTGCCATGGTGGTGTCTTGGGTGGCCATGATGTCGTAGATGCAATCCTTTCTGTCGAGTGGGTCAGTCAAACTTGCACAAGCGGCTTCGGCTTGCTCTTCTGTGACGGAGGACTCGTCTAGGCGTCGACGACGTTCGCCTTGAGGATCTTCGGGCATCATACACTTCGTTGGGAACTGCGGCTTCTCAACATCATGGAAGAGCATGTCGTCTGTGGGGCGAACCTGCCATTCGTCTCCGAATTCATGGAAATCGTGGAGAATTCTGCCATCTCTGGCGAGAGTTTGTCCGGTCTTGAAGTCTCCAAGCATGCCAACAGAGTTGCCATAGGCCTCGGCGGAAGCATTTTTGAATTCAACAGCGACAAATTCCTTCCAGGTGGTGATTTGAATCTTTTGACCAGGGTACTTGGAATCCAAGTCGATGATGAAACGGTTCTTCATGAATCGCCCAGTTCCCTTCTTCAACGTGATAGGGAATCCACCAATAGTCTTGATCTCCTTTTGAAATTCAAAATTGTGCCAATATCTCAAAGTGTTCGCTTCGTCACCAGTACCTTGGACTTCGAGGATGTCATCTCCAATTCGAATGGCCGCGCTTCTAATGTAGCTCCAGAAACGAACAAGCTTGGTTCGGATTTGAACATCAAGACCAAGTCCATCAGCGAACGTTGGGTTACGATTGAGAACCAAATCACATTGCGAGTGATACTCAAAGTGTTCGTTCTTCCACGTCTTGACTGTTGGCGGATACAAATGGGATGAAAGGCGTGAGTAATTGAATACCAATCAATACATTTCGATGCGGGTCAAGTAAACTTACAGTGTGGATCACCACGGCTTCCGGCATCAGGAGGAGGAACGGTCTCTTCTTCTGGCTCATCAATGTCTGCAGTATCAGTTGGGGTTGTCTCTTCTTCTGGCTCATCGACTTCTTCAGTGTCAGTGGTTTCTTCGTCCTCAACGTCTTCAAAGGTGTTTCCGTTTCCGTTTGTACTTAGATCCGACTCCTTGGTTGGTCCAGAAGTTGGTCCAGAAGTTGGTCCGGATGTTGGTCCGGATGTTGGTCCAGAAGTTGGTCCGGATGTTGGACTAGAAGTCGGAGGAGAAGTGATAACAGCAGTCTCGGTATTTTGGATCACTTCCTTGTACTCTTCACAAGCTCCTTCGCCGAAGAAATCACATTCGAGGACGCAACCATACTCGACTTCGCCATCGATGGTACAATTACTGATGAGTTCTGGGTCAGCATTCTCAATGATATCGTCCAGAGTATCATCATACTGTTCTGGATTGCACTTGTCAAAAGTCGAAAAGCTATTGCCACCCTGGTAGGTAAAGTGAGAATCGTCAGCACTTTCCAAACACCAAGTCAACGAGTAGTCGTAAGCTTTTTGAGTGCGTCGATCCTTATTCTTCGGTGGAATCGGAACGGGAGTGCCACTGTGGTCGTGCCAGTCATTCATAGGTGCACCATCAGGTTGGCCTAGAATACCGACCAAGGTCTCATCACAGCGACAATCAGAAAGGATGTAGTTCACGGAAAAGTGACAGGTGTTTCTCCAGGTCTTGACTTGCAAGTCGAGTCTCAAGTTAGTGGAAGGGTACTCGAGAACAATGCGCTTCCGATTGACTTGAACGGTAACGTCGGTGGAACCAGTTCCAGTGGTAATGTCGCGGTACACTCCATCGACAAACAATTGGACTGGACACTTGCCGATTCCAACAGATGGACCATCAACTGGACGAGCCAAGGAAATTTGGACAACAGGAAGGTTCTTGGAGCTATCTTCGTGGACTACGACTGCTGTGGTGACGGCTGGTCCTTTGGGATGATTTTCAACAATTTCAGTACGAGCTTGAATCTCAAAGTCAGTACTCAAGGACTTCAAGAAGGTGAGCTCCCCGATGACATGGACGTCATATGTGCTGCACAATTCAAGAGAAAACAAAGGTCAGTCACCGCAAAAACAGGAAAACATGTCATCAAAGCAAGTAAGCAAACTTACACTCCATCGAACGTGATAATGTGCGGATCACCCCAGCCTCTGGCTTTGCAGACAGGACAAGCAGGGTTCGGGCCTTCTTCATCGCTCACTGTGGTAATGCAAAGAAAGCAAAGTGAGAAGTGAATGAACAAATACACCAGGCTGGGACTTGATGCAGTGTTTGCTTACCAGTGATGTTGACTTCCGACACCAAACCGTTGTTGATGCTAGAAGCCTGAGTGCTGAGAGTGTTCAAAGTAGTGACATTGGGAGCCTTCCAATCATCTTCGGCATACAGCTCGGCTTCACGAGTGTTGCTGACTTTGTTGGAATCTTCTTCTTCATCGCTGAATCCTTCGACGGCATCCTCAAGGTCGACAACTTCGCCAGCTTCTTCAGTCATGTTCTTGAGAACGGCTACATCAGCGATACATTCCTCTGGATTCTCAACCTTGTTGCACAATTCCTTGATGCTGTCAGGCAAGGCAGCAATCATTTCTTCGTACGCACGTGGATCAAAAGAATCATCAGCGCACTTGTTATGGGCAGTGTAGGTGTCATCTCCGTACAGGGTGCTCGAACGGGGAACACACCAGTTCTCACGGCAGTAACTAGTTCCTTCGGAACGCAACTTGGATCGACTGCCGACAGGGACGGGAAGAAGAGACGGAGTCGAGGTACTTGTCATCCAATCATCGGTCTTGTCCCCGTTGGGGGATCCAAAGAGACCGACAATGTCACCACCGTGGTTTTGAGGAGTGACACAGATGTTGGCTCGCATGCGGCATCCAAATTTCGAGAAACTTCCTGAGTGTGTCAAGATCTCGATACGGGTTTGGTAATCAGGGAAGGTGACGACCACTGCCTTTTCGTTGGTGTACACATTGGCTTCTCCGGGGTAGTTCTGCATGAAATAGTCGACAATTTCATCCGCTGCAATCTCAATCTCGTTCTCTCCGAGAGTGTACGAGAAGCTGCACTGCCCATTCGCATCTGGCATGTCTGGGATGGTAATGTGAAGGACAGGGACGTTCTCATCAACCAGAATGGCAACGGATCGTGTGACAGAAGGTCCAGTACGACTACCACCAGTATCTTCAAAGACTCCGTGAATGGCAAGTGGGTCGGGACCATTGGACTTGACGAGGACGTACTCTCCGCGACCTTGGCAATCGTATTTGAGTTTATCAAACGTGATAAAGTGGGGATCTCCCCAGACAACACCTGTAGGCCCTTCGCAAACGGGCTTGTAGTCAGCAGGAGATAGAATGGAGTAGGTGTTACTGCTCGATTTGCTGGCGAATCCATCGCTCCATTTACAGAGTTTGCAGGTTCCAGCGCCAGTGGGGCTAAAGTCCAGATCGCTCACGGAAAAGTAACCGCATCCTTGAGTATCCTTGCACTTGGTGTGGCACTCTGCTTGAGTAAGACCAGGAATGGGGCTCCCATATTGCTGGGAGCCACAGTCGCGCTTGGCGGCCACCTTGGTGAACTGCCAATCATCAGGAGTCTCGATTTCATAAACAGTGAATGGCTCGTGGTCATCGTAGCCATATTGGTGACCATTGCAACCCATGCACTATCAGGTTGGAGAAAAGTAAACGTACAAACACCAGTTAGCTAGAGAAACGAAACAACAAACGAAACGAGAAAGACGAACAGCAGCATTTCGTACCATCCATTGGTTGTTATAAAATCCATAGGAAACATGCTTGCAGTTTTGGATGCTCTTGCACTTTTCAACACAATCTTCAATTTTGTCATCCGAATCGCTCGTGGAATACTTGAAGAGACGAGTGCTGTCATAGGGGCACTTTTTCCCCTTGCCAATCTTAATGCCGTTTTCATCTTGCAATTCCCAGAAAGGCTGGCCATCAACAGCCGCCGCAGTTTGGAGGACCGACAACGCGGTCAGTAGGAGGAGGAAGAGTTTCATAGTTTTTAACTTTTTATGAAGAGTGCCCCCGACACCCACAATCCCGATTCACAATCCCGATAGAACGGCACACACGATCAATCACTTTGTGAAGAGGTCATTCATGGTCTTGCTCAGAAACCATAATCTATTAAGAGTGACTCTGTGTTTTAAATAGTTTTAAAACAACTATGCACCGTGTCGCTATGTAAGCGAGTCGTTGTGAATTAAATTACCTCTCATTTTAAAACCTAAGCCCTCTTGCCTGTTCCATCTAGGAAAAAGAGTCATTTCGATTAAATAGAAGAAAGATAACAATATCGCACGGATCAGAATCATCTTACAGAGCGGCCAAAAATGGACATGGTGAACAGGACTGGAGCGTCCAAAAAACGAATACCAGTACAGTACTGTAGGTGTGGTACCATGTACCCGCGGTACCTGGTACCGGTGTCTGTGAAGAAAGACTAAAATAAAAAATCTCTAAACTGAAAACGGACAGACCTTAAAGGACTACATCTGTCTTCGGAAACCGATTCGTGATCGATTGATCGATTCATCATTCATTCACATTGCTGTAATTCCGGGTCCCTTTTCGATTCCTAACGAAGCATCGAGATCCCGCATTCAATACCGGTAGATAGGAAAGATAATATCGAGTAAGAGTGACTGTCCCTTTCCAAACCAACCGACTCACTTACACACCAACACATTCATACAAGACATCTTTGAAATCAAATACATCATGGCAGACCATCTAGCTGAAATAGCGGCGGACGCAGCGTACCGAATCTCATCCTCGTCTAACTTGGTTCTCCCACCCGAATTCGTTCAAGACCCGTCTTCCTTTTTGACCATGATTGCTTCAGAACCTCCTTCTCATGAAGCCTTGCGGAAACTTGCTGGACCCGTAGCATCTTGGTTATCTAATCCCAATTCGGCTGAAGCGGCCTCCCAAGTTTCTAGCCTCTATCTTAAAGCTGCGGCAACCCAACTGAAGGTGGAAACGACGTCGGATGGAGCTACGGTAGCAGCGGCAAGAAAGGCGGCACGCAGTGGGCGAATGGAAGAAATGGAAATGCTACACATTCAACACAAGGCAGAAGTAGTAGATGTACGTTCAACCGATTGGGAAATGGATTGTTTTCTTGCCATGTCTTTGTGAAATGAAATCTAATATGTTGCAAAACTATTTCTCTCTCTCTCTCTCTCTCTATTCGATACTAAAGGCCGTGGGTGTGGCTGCTGCTCACTGTATGTCCAATCGGATATCCATTTCAAGTTCAGGTATCATTCCTTCCCTCGCACAAATCATGCTCAATGCTCCCAATGAATTGCTGTCAGCCAGTGTGGAATTTCTCCAATGCTCTTTGCTTGCGGAGCAGTACCGATATGCTGCCCGCTTGCTCCAAGGAACTTGGCCACGACCTGGGGAAGGATCTAGTGTCAAACAAGTCTTGCGATATTATCATTTGCGAGGCATGATTCATCTAGGTTGCAACGACCTCGTTATGGCCCATCGATGCTTTTGGACTTGCCTTTCCATTCCTTCTGATTCCTTGTCCAAGATTACCTTCGAGGCCTGGAAAAAGATGGTTCTTGTGCAATGTCTCACGGCGAAACAACCCCAAGCCAAGGGGATGATGCGTACCCCCAAATCAATGCCCAGTGTCTTGGTGAAACTATTGTCGTCCTACAAGGATGGGAGCCCCGCCAGCCAGACAAAACCAGCTCGTGCTGTCGGTTCCGAATCAGCCGGTGAACGACGTCCTTCCCAACGACTTTCGTCTCAACGACTTGATCAATTGACTGCTCAAGAGGCACTTTCCTCGTACATGAGCTTGGTGGATGCCTTTGGTCAGCGTGACAAGGCCAAATTCATGTCGATCATGCAAGAAAAAGAAGCCATGTTTACAGAAGACCGTAACATGGGCCTGGTGCATCAGTGTCTGAGCCAATTGGTTCGTAACCAAGTGGTCCACTTGAGTAATATCTATTCCGTCGTTCCCGTGTCCAAGGTTGTCAGCATTTTGGGACTTGAGAATGAATCGCAAGTGCCCACCATTCTGTTGGAATCCAAGGTGCCGTGTCAAATTCAACCAGATGGCATGGTGGTCTTTGACGACAATATAGTCGCTGAGAAGAATCCATCCTTGGTGGACTTTGCCGAATGGATGGAGCTGTTAGAAAAGGTCCAACAATTGGACATTTCCATGCTGACTAGTGCCAAATATCATGCCTTGCTGCAAAAGGAAAATGCCAATCGCAAGGATGCGCCAGGAGTGGGAGGCCCACAGGGAGTTGAGGACCTTTGAGTATATTGAAGGGAAAGCATAGCTCAAACGAAAGTATAGAATATTTTTGGATTCCATCATGTCCCTTTTGTTCTTTTGATGTCCCGTACCATGAATACTTGCGCTTGTGCTGTACCGGTACAATAGGCCCGAGAATTCAGAACTGGACACCGTCGTAGGAAGGACCGGTCGGCGGAATCGAATGAATTTTAGAGACGCGACGACGAAGTTTGAAGTCAATAACCGATACGAACCCGCTGGTAACATCGTACCTTACAAGTACCGATACGAGTATGACTGAAACAATGTGCGGTTTCTTACACCAGAATATCTGTTAAAACTGCATGCACTGTTTCGGACGACTATTTTGTTGTCCACGATCTTCACGATATCTAAAAGGCAATCAGGGTAAAATGCCATTAGTCCTATTATTTGGGAAGGATCATCCATAAACTTTCTTCACATCCTCGTTGAGTATTCAGATTGTTGCAAAAGAGCAGTTCTTTCAGAGAAGTGAACATCATGGTGCGGCTGATTTCTCGAACCATTTCTGGAGCTCAGTTTTTGGTGATGCTGTTATCCGTCATGGCGACATTTGTTCATAGTGACGAAGAGCAAGGAAACATGGAGGAGTCTATTGCTGTTGCCGAAAAGCATCCCTCTGGTGTAAAGCCTTATTTCGTATTTTCAACAATTTCAATCGCTTGCATGGGGGAAATTGAAATGTTATGTGCGGGTGCCGAGGATGTGGAAGATCTCCCGTGTCCCAGCGAGATTGAATCAATGCCATTCGAAAGTTGCAAGACGAATAGTTGTTTGTACTTGCACAGCATGTTGGAGGTGTTGGACAAAAAAGATCCAGCGGGGGTAGTGCATAGAGTGGAACTCGTTCAGAAAATGTCCAAAAACAGTAATGTCAAAATATCTCAGGAATGCCAAACTTCGGTGTTTGAGTACATTAGGGCGCAGGAGTTCCTTCGAATATTGGAAAGCGGGCCCCAGAACTGGATGGAGAGGGTGCAGTTACTGGAAGTCAGGGCAAATATGATCTCCCTTTGGTTTATGGGAGCCATATTTAACCCCATGTCATTGTTGTTCCACTGCTGGGTCGTGCTGTTCGTAGCATATAAAGGTTTCAAAAGCTATCGATTTCTAAAGCAAGTAAAAGAAGAACGACAATGCGTCTTGGAATGTGTGCTAGCCAATGAAGGCATGAAGACCCGTTTGGAAGAACTCACAAATCAGAAACTTGACATATCCCCTTATTCATTGACTTGGGATCTACAAAGCCAGACACAGCAGTTTGCCAAAGTTAGCAACCAAGTGAAGGTATTGCGAGCCATTTATTCGGATCCCGATTTAAAATTGCAATTCAGGTTGCTAGATAGATTTGTCCAGTCGGACCTGATTATGTCGCTGACTCCTCCGGTAAACTCCCGAACATTGGAACGCGGATTCAATCCTCCACGACCCTGGTTCTCGCCACGCCCAGCTACCAAATTCTCCCTCTTCTACGCTGGATATGTCTTTTTCGTGATGGATCTAAATCTCCCACCGTGGATGAAATTGCTTGTGGAAGTATGTGCTGTCAAACTGGTCATATCGAGTGCTCGGAAAGCATATGGGACTCCAGGTGGGTACCGGAAATCGACCTGTTGCCATTGTGGCAAAACAAGTTTGCAAGCTGATGACAAAAAGAACGAAGATGTCGATTGTCTCGTTTGTTCTGGCACCGGGGTGTGTCATTTGGCCTGCACGGTTTGTGAACAACGGTTGCAAACGCTATTTCCCAGCAACAACGTGTTCCTACCAGGGGACGCTCCACCAGGATATGCCCCCGTACCTGCACCCTTGCATACAAGGACACATGGCCGTTTGTATTAGCAGTGGTGTCTATTGGATTTTGCTAAGCTAGAAAGTCAAAGTAGTGGTTTGTACAGCAAAGAACATTTTTGGATTCCATAATTGTTTGCGAAAGTGCCGTTTGTACTGTAGTACCATTTCTTCCTTTCGTCACGGAATGGATGGTCTCGTTCCAGTTTTACTTCCATGAATATTGGATACATTTTACGAATTGATATACCGTACATGCATAGCAATAGCATTTTCAGGAGTATGGTTGGTTGGTTGGATGGTCTAGTTTACTTTATTGTAGAGTACCGTTTACAAAATGACATACATACATATAGCAAGCATGCTTGTTGTTGAAAAGAAGAAAGAGTGTGCTGCTGCTTAAGCCAAAGTACCTTCGGCAGAGGCAAGGTTGACCTTGGCACGATGGATCTTGCGGTACAAGAAAAAGGAGTAAGCTCCCATGACCGCGGTCGTCAAGGCAAAGAGAACCGCAAAGGTGACGGCAGCAGAACCTCCGCCAGCTGATCGCGAAACCTTGTTTCCGGTGATTTGAGAAGTGGCCTTGGACAACTTGGGAAGAATGTTTTGAATGTAGTCGCAGCCAGATTCGTCGGCATAGTACAAAACATTTGTCAAACCACTCTCGCACTTGGCAGCTTCCTCAACGGATTGTTCGCAAAGTTCGATGATCTCAACATCTCCATTGTTGTTGTTATTGTTGTTGTTGTTGTTGTTATTGTTGTTGTTATTGTTGTTTTGGTTGTCAACACAAGAGATGCAGTCGTTGGAAACCATGGATTCCTTGGAGAAAGGAAGAGAGCTTCCGTAGTTGAAGGCTTCCCAGACACCAGACTTCGTCTTTTGTGTGCATCCGTTGTCATAGAACGTGGCAAGGTTGATTTCAAATCCATCCGAGCAGACGGGTCCAACGTAGTACTGTTGGTACATGTCAACATTATTGTTGTTGTTGTTGTTGTTATTGTAGTTGTAGTTTCCATTGTTGTTGTTGTTATTGTTGTTGTTTCCACCTTCCAATTCTGTAAAAAGCAAAGCGAATGTCAGATACAAATCACATGTAATAAATAATAATATTGATGGCACAATCAATCAATCAATCAATCAATCAAATCAATGCAGTTCACACAGCACACCCACACCCGCACGCATTTTTCTTACCGGCACATTCCAAATACTCTTGAATCTCAAACTCATCTCCTCCCTCGTATTCAATACAAGAGTCCATTCCAGCGCTGGTGTAGCATGCAGCTTCACAGACGTCGTCATCATTGGCATCGTCACAGTAGCAATTTTCGCGAATGTTTTCACAGGCTTGTTCCTTGGCATTCATTTGCATTTCAGTGTAGGCATCAATGAATTCGTTCATGTTGACAACGTATTGAGCCTTTCCCTTTCCGCAGGATCCGCAAGATTCGCTGCTAGAGCACAATCCGAACTTGACCATGTTCATAGTGTACAAGTTGGATTCATCTTCTCCGGCGTCTTCGCGGACTTGGATCAAGGAAGAGCAACCCATGTACTTGATGGAGTATCCAGCCATCCAGGAAGAATCATCTCTATTTTGATCCAAAGCACGAGCCTTGTTCAGAAGCCTCATTCCAACAGCAGAATCAGCTGGAATACTAGAATCAGGAGTCATGGCAGAGGCCGAAGCGGCAAGTAGAACGACAGCAGTGGACTTGAACATGGTCGAGTGGAGTTTCTTCTTTTTCCCTCGTCGTAAAAAAAATGGTGGGCTATCCAAAGCTGCATTGAGCGAGGCTTGCTCAAATTTTTGATTTAGCGAGTGCAACTCGGTGCTATTTATATAGAATCGCCGATGCACATGACCTACTTACTGCTGTCTTGATCGCGATCGCCAATGAACCGTACGTAGGATAACCGTTGATACCTATGGTACATTGGTTCAAATCGCCTGATCGTTCGAAATGGCACGTGCCTTTGAGATATTTGTATTCCTCCCTCGCGGAACGGATTTATCGCCGTGGACGAGATCCAAGAGAAAGAAAAGACTCCCATCCAACAATTTTCAGTTTTCGTTGTTGCAACACGCACCCCCCGATAATAAGCAATCAAATCAAAATGTTGTTCCAGTCGACCATCGTTGCTTCTCTCATCGTCTCTGCTGCCGCTCTTCGCCCTAACAATGGAATCCCTGCTGATTCCAAAGCGGGCATGAAGCTCCTGTCGGAAGCACGTCAACTGAACCAAGAAGAACAAGACGATGACATGTCCTGGATTGCAGGATACTCCATCAAGTACATTGGATGTTCTTCCCTTCTTCAAATTCGTGAAGATGGTGGAGAAGAAGGATCTAACTTGTACACTATGAACTTGGCCAAGTTCGCCCTTTGCGACAGTGGAAATTCGTGTTCCTCTTGTGGAAGTGGTGCCGCCTCATATGTGGTCAATATGGAAACCTTTGTCGATGCCTACACTGAAATGGCCTTGAATGCTCAAGAAACTGCCTGCGAAAACATTCGCGAGAACTGCGATTGCGAAAACGCCAACGACGACGATGCTTGCGAAAACCAATGTTACACCAACATGGGAATGGATTCGTGCATCGAATACGAGGGAGGAGAAGAGTTTGAGATTCAAGAGTACTTGGAGTGCCGAGGTAAGCATATTGAATATGCACGTGCATATCATATGATTGTATTGTCGTCAAGTATATCATGAACAATGATGCCAGTGATTATCACATTACCTTTTGATACCTATACCTACCTCCTACCTTCAACCACTACCTTCACGACTCACACATTTTCACTTCCTTCCCCATACAGAAATCGAAAACGAAAATGGCAACAACAACAACAACAACAACAATGGATACTATCAACAGTACTATGTTGGACCCACCTGCTCCAACGGATTCGATATCAACCTTGCTGTTTTTACCGATGAGGGTTGCTCCACAAAGGCCACTGGATCTGGAATCTACGAGAGCATGAACTACTATGGAAACTCCCTTCCCTACGAAAAGGAATCCATTGTCTCCAGCGACTGCATCTCTTGCATTGACACCCAAAACGACAATGGGGACGACAACCAGAATAACAACAACAACAACAACAATGGACAACAAGAGTATGATATCCTCGAGCTGTGCGAGAATACTTACGAAGACGCTGCCAAGTGCGAAAAGAGCCTCAGCGGAAAGTACTACAATGACGATTCTGGATGCAACTACATCAACAATGTTCTTCCTACCCTTGAAAAGGCCACTAACTCCATCACCAAGTCTTCTGGATCGCGTTCGGCCCGTACAGGAGATGGATCCGCTGCGACTGGGTGGGCGATCTTTTTTTTCCTGACTGCCGTGGTCATGTCGGCCTATGCCTTTTTCCTATACCGCAAGATCCATCGCGCCAAGGTCAATCTTTCTTCTTCGGAAGGTCAATTGGCATAAGCCTTTTGTATATCATTCGCACCATAAGGCGGGGGTTAGCTTGCTTGCTTGCTTGATGTTTGTTTCTATATATACTAGATATTAATAATTTGTAACAAGGTAGTATTGTTGAAATTGTACAGATAGCAGTTTACTCCTAGAACCACTAGGTAGCAGCAGATGGTGGGAGGCGGCATTCCAAGATGGTATCCACGCTTTGAACCAAACTAGCTGGAGTTTCAAGTTGTCGATGTGATTTTTTTAAATGACACGTTCCAATGACAAACAAGCACATGTCAACAATCACAAAAGAAATGCCGGAAGTGGAAAGAACATATTTAGTCCCTCTATTCCTTCAGTTCTCCCATTCTCCATTTGTCACGACAACCAAGAAGAAGAATCATCATCATCAATCAATCAGCAAACTTCAAACTCCAAACGAGGGTCGTGCTTGGACATCATTCCAATCGTTTTCATCTACTTTATCATTTGCTAATACAACCAACGAAAGTATAATAATATGGGAGGAGATGGAGGCGTCGTTGCCGTCAATCGTCGTTACATGCGAGGAGCTGGAAGCGCAGACCACACGGGAGACTATGCCAAAGAGGGTGGACACCACGAACACAATGGCTTGGAAGCCATGACGACTTGCCATCTTACCAAATTGCCATTGTTTTCGAATGGTAGTAATGGTAGTAGCGGTAGTATTGGTAGTACTAGTAGTGGACCAATTGTGGCCTGTGTCTTTGGGAGATTGTATCAAAAAGAAGCGGCCGTGGAAGCTCTGTTGACACGGGCTTCGTCCAATGGGGGTGGTGCATCTTTGACCTCGACGACATCGGTATTGGGGGATCACGTTCGTAAAATGTCCGACTTGCACGAGGTTCGATTTCATCAGGACACTGCTGCTACAAGTAGCAACACCAAAAAGAAGGGAATTGTCAATTTGACCTGTCCCATTACGGGCAAAGCTTTGCTAGGCATTATTCCTGCTATATTGCTGGTTCCAGGCAAAGCGGGCACTCCCAATGTGCTTAGTGAATCAGCCTTTGACCACCTGCCCAAGGAAGAGTTGGAGCTGGAATATGGACCAATCAAGCAAAAGATTCGACTGGCGCCTCCTCCGGAACTCTTGAAGCAACTTCAGGAGGAAGAATTGGAAAACAGATTGCAAAAGAAGAGCAAGCAGCAACAAAAGAAGAACAAAAAGAAACGAAAACAAGATGGCGAAGGGGGTGGAGAACAGAAAAGCAAACCCAAGAAACAAGCTAAAGCCAACATTGGAACAGCGGCAAAGAGTCGAGTGGACAGTGCCATTGAATCCAATCAGGTCTTGTCGAGTCTCTTTACAACAACCAATCCGTCCAAAAAGACTGATAAAGAACGAAAAGACGGACTCTTTGCTCGATAGATTATTTGAATTGTTCAACTTATTAAAATATTAATAATACATGTTGTAGTCCTAGGACTATTCTATTTCTTCTAATCAATGTATTTTATTAAAATACTGTATTGTAACTATCTCAGCATCAGCATTGGGAGTCGAAGCTAAATTTTGGATCAGTCCTCCTTTTTGTCATCTGGTTGTTTGTTAATGTACGAGGCTTCGGAAAGAACCTTCTCCAGCGAAATGTCAAACTGCAAGTCCGAAAATCGCGTTGCTGCTTGCTGGGCCTTTTGGCGCATTTCTTCTGGATTCTTTTGTTGGAGTGCTTGATGAATGACTTGAGCGTATTCCTCGGCAGTGGTGGCCAAGAATCCAGTGACACCATGCTCCACAATGTCCGTTTTAGGGCCACCCGAATTGTGGGCAATGGTCAGCAATCCCGCGGCCATCATTTCCACAATCCCAATGCCAAAGTGTTCTTGTCGCATGGTATGGATACCAATACTAGCTTTATACATGGAGTCTTGTAGTTCTGAATAAGGAGGATTGATGGAAAAGTCGACAGCATCCTCGAGTTTCAATTCTTGAACCATTTTTTTCAAATTGTCGACTCGTTCTTGGTCACCATTGTTGCGGCAACTGCCAATGAGCAACAATTTTACTTTCCCCCTGTGTTCTGGATACAATTCTAGTAATTTTGCCAATGATTTGACTTGCAAGGGATGATCCTTTTCCGGTCGAAATTGTCCAATGCTGACAATGGTGTTTTGTCTTGTCGTCGTCGTCGTCGTCGTTTTGCTATTGATCTTGCTCTTGTCGTTGGAAGAAATCTCATCATTAGTTGTACTAGGCACCCGACAGGGTGGATATACGATGTGTACATGTTTCGATAATCTCCATAATCTCGCAATATGATTGTACGTCCATGTCGAGTTGACCATGACCAAATCAGCAAGACTCCCAACCATTCCATACAAAATGGCAAACATCCAATAATATACAAGTTTCACAAGAGTCTTCCACGTCTTTCTGGCCACCCCTCGTTGCTTCCATTCCCACAGCATCATATCCGTGCTAATGGTAGGATAATGAACATAGGCCAGAATCTTGGACGTGGCCGGCAACATCCAATGGGCGACACAAAAGGTAAAGGCACATCCTGTGGTATCACAAAAGACATCTGGTTGGTGCCGTATCAAGGCTTGTCGCGCCAGTTTCATGGTCCCAAAAGATTCTAGAATTAGAGACAAGTACGGAGATGGTAACAGAAAATCCTTGTATTCCTCCAGTGAAATCAACGTGACGGGTTGGTCAATTTGCACATCAAATCGTCTCGAGGCATCTTGCCGCAGCTTGGCTTCGTCTGTGTCTGGTGGATCTATCGTATAAATGACGATTGATTTGTTGTACTGTTGCAAAAATTGAATCATTTTCCACAAGACACGTTCGCCTCCACCACCACCAGAACAATACGGATGGAAGAAGCCAAAGATTTTCAAATCGTCAGGGGAATACGCTTGTTGTTGTCGTCCTGGTACGAGGAGCCTCCAACAAGATATTATGTAGACCAACGGAAACGCCAGTATCGACGTTCCTGTTATTATCATTATTATCATGTACATAGTTTCCATATTCTATAGGTAATAGTTTCGCAATGATGAAAATCAGTGATTTTAGGCGGTCGTCAAATAATGCAGTCGGTCGTCAAGTTGCTGTATTTGCAACGTGTGTTTGCTTTTGTTTTGACTTACTATTGTACTACTTGGAGCTTGGAGTGTCTTCATGTCAACTTGAATCGGACGGGTCGATACTGTAAATCCTGACACACAATACAACGCGACTGAGATGCATTTTATATTGTTATATTGGGAGGATACGAAATAAGAGCAACAACCACAACCACAACCACCAGATGATTCTCGGGTCGTTGCTGCAGCTAACTCAGATTTCTGAGGCTGGTAGACGCTGTACTTCGTCGTCAGAATGGAAACTGGTTGGTTTGGTCGTATGGTTCCGCCTGGTTCTACTCCTCGCCATGGCCATTAGCTGTCACTTCATTCCGGATCACAATCCTGGGGGAAATGTGTTGCGGTTTGACATGAGATTGCTCAACAATGAAGAACAACAGCAACAACAGCAACAACCACAACAACAAGGAGAAGAAGAAGAAGACTGTTTTTGTATCAAGGGACACTTTTGCGAACATTTTGGAGGAAACGACGAGTCGTCGAGTGGCAATTGTGCCATTGCCAGTGGGAACACTTTCCTGCCGTCTCCAATCTGGCATTTCTTTCTCGCGCCCTTGACTAAATGGGATGCAGCTCGCTTTTTGAATCTAGCACTTGACCCAACCATGCTAGATCCAAAGTGTTCTACTACTAGTGGTGCTGTACACTGCAACTTTGATGCATCCGAGGAAGCTCACGCATTCTTCCCATTGTTTCCAGCGATCGTTGGCCAACTCGCCATTCTTGCAATGAACCTGGTGCCACTAGAATTCCTTCCACCGACCTTTGAAGCCCTCTTGACCCTCTGTGGATTTCTCTCTAACATGACATGCGCAGTAGTTGCCACCCTATGTCTCTTTCAACTCACGCTGAGCATTCTCCCGGAAGAGATGAAGCCTGAACAACAACGGCATATCGCTTGGACCACTTGTTTGATCAATGGAGTTTGGAACCCTGCCAGTGTGTTCTTTGTATCCAACTATTCCGAGTCTCTATTCAGTGCCACTACTCTATTGGGTCACTATCTATTTCAAATGGAAAATAATCTAATCGGTATGGGTCTCGGCGTTGTCGTTTGGACCATTGGTTCCAATGTTAGATCGAATGGAATTCTGCAGTCCCTTTGGCTTATCGTTTATGCACTGGCAAAAACCTGTGCCTATGCCATTACGAGGAACAAGAAAAATAGTGGCTTGAAGTATCATCATTTTTATTATTATTATCATCATCATTTGGTACACGCAGTCTTTGCCATTGTGGCTGCCGTGATCATTGCGCAACCGATGAAATGGCACGATCTCCAGGGTTTCAATCGACATTGCCATGGTTCGTTACCATCGAATCAGGTACCAGAATGGTGTGCTCTACAACAAGAGGGCAATGAATCCTTTTCTCTCTATGGTTTTGTCCAAAGAAAGCATTGGAATGTTGGATTTATGAAATACTACGAATGGAAGCAAATTCCAAACTTTCTATTGGCTGCCCCAATCTTGCTACTAAGTGTGAAAGGTGTCTACCAGTGGATACATTATAGCCTTGTGACAGACTTTGGAAAGGGAAAACTGCCACTTCCTCGGCTGATCCTGATGGATTGGCCAATTCAAGCATTGGCGGAGTCCGTCAGCACCAGCATCAAGACCACAAATTCCAATCCGCTTCGGCCTGAAGAATGGCTCATTCACAACCCTTGGCTACTGGGACATTATGCCATTCTTGCGATTGTCACATTGGTAGGCGCCTTCATTGCCCATGTCCAAATCTCGACCCGAATGATCCTTTCCTCGTCACCAGCTTCCATTTGGTACTTGACATTTTTAATCATGCAAAGGGAAGAGCCAAAATTGCAAATTGCCGCAAGAACATATCCATGTCTATACATATTACTTGGCATCATATTGCATGTCAATTTTTTGCCATGGACATGATAATGGTGAGCAGGAGGGCAGGAGGGCAGCAAAAAAAATGCATGTCATTCATCTAGTATTGATACGCTGGTGGTGGTCCGGAATTATTGTTTGGCGCTTGATAATAGCTTCTGCCTTGACCACCAGGAGGAGGAGGTGGTGGAGGAGGATTTGAACCACCAGGATATCCACCATAGTTTGGATATTGTTGATACGTCGCAGCTGCAGGTGGTGGTGGCGGCGGCGGATATCCATGTCCATAGTAAGCTGCTGCTGGTGGTGGTTGATGGAATCCTTGTGGCATTGGTGCCGGTGGCATGGGTAATGCATGAAAGCCTGCTGGAGTGGTGGGCTGGTGAAACCCTCTTGCTCCCACATGGCGTGACCCATCTGGTTGTTGCTGTGATTGCTGGTTTCTCGAAGCTTTGCGACGTGACTTGGCTTGACGCTCTTTTTCATCATCGCTGTAATACATTTCTTCTTTGTTGTTTACCTCCTCGTCATACACATTAGAAGCGTCTGAAAAATGAGCATGGCAACAAGTGAGTATCAGTGCTGTGAAAAAGGCATCCAACGGCGCCAGCTGTAACGAAAACATGATTGGTCTCAATACTACTAGCAACTCTTGTTCTTCTTACCGCATCCCTTTCCACTTTTTCTTAGAATCATATCCGTATCAATTAGCTTTGCTTCATCTTCCACAAAGTACACTGGTACACTACTACTCATTTTTGCTTGAATCAATTGAGAATACTTGCCATTGGGTCCCCAATGGTCTACTGCTGGTGCTGGTGGTGGTAGTGCAGTCGTGTCAGTCTCCTTTTTGTCGATATCGTCTTCGTTGTTGTTGTTGTTTGGGCCAGCTTCATCACTTTTCTGGATAGTATCAGTATTATCAGTCTCAGTGCAACCATCAGGGTTTGTTGGTGTGACTTGAGGAATCGTCTTTTCCGCAGTAGCAGCAGCAGGTTCTTTCGGAGGATCTATGGGTTCTGGAAGTCGAATGGTATACAATGGTCTGGTGACTGGACCAAAAGTCTCAAATATTCTCCCCAATGGAACCAGACTCTGGTTCTTGTTGTTGTTGTTGTTGTTGGAAGATGACGATAATCCTTCTTCTCCCTTCATTAGCAATAACGTTCCCTCGTCCAATGGATTCAAAGATGCACCGCGAACAGGTGGATTGGATTCAATAACAATGGTGCGATCTTCTGCCATGTGATGTTTAATGGTACCGGCACATTTCAAGTCGGAGGGTTGTAACTTTCGAGGTTTTGTGGTTGCTTGGAGCAAATCCACCGACAGTCGAAAATCCAAATGTTGTTCCAATTCTTCAAAGGGCGTATTGTAGGCATCCACTTCGTGTTGGGTCTTGAGAGAGGCTTTGGATATTACGCCTTCTTCCTCAATAACGTCTTCTTCCATGGCAGCAATGGCCTTGACAAAATCTTCGTGGTCCTCATCATCATCGTCGTCGTCGTCGTCGTCATCCTTTTCATTTTCAGGATTCTCGTCGATTTCATCAGAAATAGGCTTCTCAGGATTGTCATCATTACTATTCTCAGAATCATCACCACTATCACTCTCAATATCAATCTCTTCATCACCGTCGTTATTATCACCCTCACCATCAGGTTCGGAAGCTTCTCCCATGCCTGAATCTCCATGATCATCCTTTGTCGTTGTTGGCAATGTTGTTGTGGGTGGGCCCATCATGGCAAAGCTTGCCGCATAGGCCAAATCATCGACGGTTTCTTCCTCATGCTGCTCGACTGGTTGCCGTCGTTTCCCCCGTCGTGATCTGTTGTTATGAGACATGTTGTTGTTGTTGTTGTTGTTGTTGTATTTTAATTTCAAAGTTGGGACCCTTGTTTGCGAAATGGCCAAAAGATGGAATGGTTGGTGTCGGTGGATCCATTCGATTGCTTTCACTCGGATGGATCCATCTGCACCCGCCAGCCTTCGATATCTTTCTGCTCGGTGTGAATCGTACTGAAATCCTTCGTAGGATCTCCCGTACGGTCTTTGTGCCCGTTGCTGAGAGATCGAGCCTTGAATGGGAAGTGAACGTTGGAAGCAGGGCTTGAATGAAAATAGCCAGAATCTGAGGCAAATCCTCAGTACACAAAGTACTCAACAATTGCACCAAAGTATATAAAAGGATCTTTAGTAGGCAATACGGAAATCATCAGTCGTAAACTGTGACTCTCGACTGATTATTTTCTGTTCTTAAAAAGCCCAGAATCTTAAGAAAGATTGTCTCAAGGTGCCAAAGCAAGTATCCATACATCAATAATAACACAACAACACCAACATGAGGTCTTGGATCTTTGGAGGAAATAAAAATGAGGGCCAACAGGACGATAGATCCCAGAATAATCCACAGGGAGAGAGGTGAGTTTTCTTAAATTGTTAAGGCATCTTCGTCCAATCTGGCATACATAGTATACAATGACACACAGCCAAGAGACGATCGTTGGGAGGGAAGCATTGGATCGAAGCTTGAGCAACTGGCTTGGAAAAATGTCAAGATGAAAATGTGCACGAACGAACCAAACTTAAGGCTTATAGTAGAGGATGGGGGACCATTTTGCGGTAGCATCCAATGCTCAAAAGATCTGGAAATATCAAATGATTGGAAGATTGATCGCAGACTTGGACATGCATCGAAATGGGACTACTGTGCCACATATATGCCAGGATTGGATCGGACATGCTTGTTGATGCATGGTATGATGTCTTGCTATGATACGATTGACTCACTTGCATTTTTTCTTGCCCCCCCATCCCTAGTGGACGCCCCGGAGGAGTAGTAGGTGCTGCAGCCGATGCCCTTTCTGCCTTTCGAAGAGGAGCTCCCGATGACGCCGAAGTAGAACGAAAAGTATCCTTGGCGGCCCGGAATTTATGTTATGGGGTTCAGCGAATAGTCTTGGCGGCCAAGGGCAAGTCGGGGGTGGAATGGAAGGCCGAATTGCTCAATTTGTTGGGTGGGGCAGACGATACTGTCCCCAAGGGACATTGTGATTTAGATGTCTTGTTGGTGGCTCCCAAAAATGACAAGTTCATATTGCGATGTCTGGAGAATGAGCTACCGCCCAACATGATTCATTGTTTGAGGTTGCTAAGAGTATTGGAATTGCAGCATGCAAACCAAAAGCACAAAGAAAACGAAGCCCGTCTTAAGGCTGGCAAGAAAACCAAATCAATAAAGCCGATATCGAGTCGGGCGACTTCTAAGGTCAGCCAACTGCTCTGCACACTTTGTACAGATCCGTCTGTCGGAGAACAACTTCGACCGCATTTGTTTGGATTGCTGGCATTGTCGGGAGCATCCTATCCGGCTTCGGGAGTTCATGTTGCCAAGGGGGCTTCACAAGTTATCATTGCGTTTGCGGAAAACTGTCTTTCCAATAGTCTGGTATGGTTTCTGCACGATCGAAAAATGATCATTCACATGACCGACGATATCAAGGAGTTATGTGGACTGACTGCGGATGGGGATCTGACCACTTCTTCGACTAGTAATGCTCTCAGTTTGTATGGAGCCGAGGCAGAGAAGGAGGGACTTTGGGCGATATCATTATCGACGGTGATTCATCTGGTGGTGAATTCATGCCGGCACAACTGCAAAGAACTAATGAAAGACTTTGAGGCAGCTAAAGGAAACGAAGTCCTCAAGGGAGCCATTTTGCAATCCAAGTCGAAATACGGAAAGGATCTCATGAATCTCATTCCATTGCTAGCGACTTGTAATGTTTCGGAGGATCAAGAGGAAACTTTGCCGGGCCAACGGCCAAACGAGAATCTAGCAGTCAATACAGCCGCCTTTGGTATTATGGAAGAACTCATGTTCAAATCACTGCCATTTCTGGAAAAGTATGACAAGGAATTTGAAGAGCGACCGAACCCAACCAAGAAATCCATCAAGGAAATGGCCGAATATACTCTGAATCTGTCTGCCAAAATACGATTCACGGAAGAAATCGATGAATCGGTAATGTCAGCTGATGCTGATGTTGATGAGACTACAGAAGCACAAATAGAAGGTTTTGATGTGGCTACCGACTTGTTGCTGTCATCGCTCCAACTGTACTCGGAGCATGCGATGAATTTTGGAATACTGGAGAGTAGATGTCACCTCTTAACGACGTATGTTCTGGCATTCCCGACACTGAAAGACGAGAATCTCAAGGTTCTGATATTGAAGACGGTAGAATTTGTAGTGACTGGAGTCCAAGGACCTGTTGCTATGCAGCCGTTTGGAGTGCTGAGTGAAGTTTTCGTTTCCATTTGCAAGATCTTGTTAAAGGGTGGCCTTGAGTCATCGAGTGAGGAGCACAAGAAGCAAATGTTGGATGGCTTGTTTGCGGATACCGATTTGATCAATGAATCGATGGAGCGATTGTTCAAGTTTGATAGTCGGGTCGGACCAGCGATTATGCAATCAGGAACGATTACCAAAGTGGTGGACGACGTCACAGAGCTGGTGTTGCAGGCCATGGAAGAGAAGAAAAGTGAATGGGAGGAAAGTTTCGAGGACGATGGGCAGAAATTCATCACACCGCCATCGGAGACTCCATTGGATAGTGTCTGCGCAGCGATTTGCCGTGTTCTTGGATTGATTTTGGGCCAAAAAGCAAGACAGAATGTCACCATCTTAACATCATCGTCAACCGAAAAGACGAAAGAGCTGAAATACCTACTTGTGACCGCAGTGAAGGAAATGGGAGACGAAGCAGCTTTTGCGGCAACTGGTGTATTCGAGTACATCCTTTCGGCGAGAGAGGAATTGGAGCTATTGCGAGAGGACATGGTATTTTGTTTGCAGCTCTCTGATTATTTCTCCGACATTATGGCTCGATCGTGTGGTGTGCCAGAGGCAGCGAAAGAGGTTACCAAGAATAAATCTTTGAAAAGTGGCGACGAGTTAGACATTAAGTTCACTCCCAAGCAACCTCTGAACGATGTGCTCTTGCGACGCGTTGCGGGTGTTTACACAATGCTCAAGAAAGTTCTGGAAAGTAGTAGTTTGGCACGAGATGCCTTTCGACTGACTGGTGGTTTTGAATCCATGGTGCGAACAGTTCTTTGCCTTGGTGGTGCTGCCGCCCAAAACGATCCCGCCGACGATTCGATAGTTGAAAATTTGATGAATCTCTTGAAAATCATCCTTTCAGCAGTGGATGCTGGTATCGGAATTGACTCAAGAGAGCCCCCAAGCATGCAGGATTTGGATGTGTACTCCCGCGTATCTTCCGTTACTCTAGGAACAGGAACACTGGTGGATCCAGTGTCATCACAGTACTCGGCGCCAAAACCAGCCGCAAAGAATCTGTATTACTTACGTTTGAAAGCCTTCTATTTGGATTTTGCAATTGCGATTTCTCAGACCAAGATACTGGAGACACCAGAGACTGCAGTTCAAGTCTTTGACATTGCCATGTCACATATGGATCCATCCTTCAGTCTCATCCAAGCTGATGCGACATCAGCAGCTTTGCTCATTCGGAATCCCGACGCCGCCCGCTTGATCCTTGGTCTGAGCCTTTTCTTGCCAAAAACCAAAGATGGTGCTTTGCTTTCCAAGAAAGCTTTCGACAATATCATCCGCTTATGTGATCCAAGCCGACTTGGCTCCACGCTCTCACAACTTGCGAACTGTGGTATCATTTGGAGTATCACAAATCCTAAAGAGTTTGCTCCAATTTTGGACGAGACTTCGCATCACTTGTACCCAAGATTCATGCTTCTTCTGAGACGAGTGGCATCTTTCAGTATGTCTTACAACGACTTCGTGTCCATGCTACGAGGCATATCTGGTCCGCTTCTGATAGAAGAAGGCGAGTCTCGGATTCGACTGCCTGTCATCACGTCTTCAGTGAGACGAAAGCAAAAAACGGTAGATTCGTCAAAGGAATCATACCAAGAGAAGGAAGAAGACTCCTGTAGGAGGCTTGATTCGTTGTGCAATGTTGCAGAGCGAGGCGATCGTGTACCGTTTTGTGCTGTTGGAGGTGATACAGTCAACACCATCTCAGTTTTGTTGCACAAGACTAAAATCGAAGATCGTCTTTACAAAGCTGCTGATGAAGGCAGACTCAATTTTGTGGAAGTTGATGCTGTAGACGCTACATCGCTACTGCCGGGAGGTTTCCTCACTGCTGGTGTCCCAGCGCCAGGGTCATCAGGCGGCGAACGACTGTGGGCGCCGATGTCCACTTCGGGCTTTTCGTATTCACTTTGGTTTCGATTGCCGAAGCAATCAGATGAGAACAAGAAAGGGAAATACTATTTGTTTGACATGTCCAATCCTCCGGTGACCACCGGTGATGGTTCCCAAGCCTCTCAAAGTGGTACATACCTGTCACTGTGGTTTGATTACCATAATCTTCGATTCAACATGCTTGCATCTACCCAAACTGGTGAACCCATGTCTTTACCAACGGCTCCATTGACGCCCGGCGTCTGGCATCACCTTGTTCTCACATACACTCCTTCGAAGAGAACTATGATGGGAAGAAAATCAGCAATTACGTTGTACGTGAATGGTCGACCGTTGGAAACTGAGGTGAAGATTGATAGCGTGAATTTGGCTCCAAACGCGAAGGTTGTTATCGGAGCACCGAATCCAGCAATTGCAGTCAGTGGGATTGTAACTGGAAAAATTCTCAGTTGGGATGTCGGACCAACTCTGATGCTTTCTACTGTCTTGTCAGAACTGGACGCTACTGCCATGTTTGTTCATGGTCCAGATTTCAATGGTATATTCTGGGGAGATCGACCGCAGCGTCTCTCCTTATCGGCAACTGGAAGTGCTGCGTTTGCGCTTCTAGCTGAGACAGGAGAACAAGGAAGTGTTGCGAGTGCTCTTCGCCGGCGACAAATCGCTCGACTGGAGGCAGCTGGCACGGTATCAAGAGAAATGGGACTCGGGGGAGCGAATGATGACAACGACTCGCTCGTTTCGTTGGGCCTGCTCTGCGTGCTGAATGCAGATAGCGTTGTATTTGCGTACCGCGCAGTTTCATGCAATCGAACTTCACCTTTAATGAAGAGCGATATTTCCTTGAAGAAGAAATACTGGTCGGACAAACTCATCAACATGGCCCGTATCAACTCAAACAATGAGGTTGTTTCTTCTGATGCATCCGTCTATGGAAAGGCTGGTGTGGTAACACCTCGTTGTTTTGCTGACAATGTCCAATGGGGAGGAGGTCCAAAGCTCTTGATGCCACTTGTGTACGCCGCAAATTCGTCACGGAGCATGGCACTTGCTCTTCGCTTGATCAGAGCTAGTACGAATAGACACCCACCGAATCTGGAATCAATGCAAGGAGGTGGTGGCTACCAAACACTTGCGGTGCTCATTCAAGGAAAGAGATTTGTTGATGCACAAGTTCTTGATCAAGCATTTTCTTTCGCTGTACACGGTTTCTACCCCGAAGAAGCAGACGAAATGGCAAAGAATTCGAATGACATGAGTTCGGGTTTCGCCAATGGACCGCTGCAAAATTCCGACTTTTGGGTATTTTCGGATCTCGATGCCATGAAACAGCTGCTCTTGAACCACCAAGTGTGGGACTTAAAAAATGCCGGACCCGAGCTTCCATCAAGATTGCTTACATTCGTTAATGGGCTGGTTGCACAAAAGTCGATTCACAAAGCGTTCAACTCCCGCCGGCTTCATCTGGTTGGAATAGTCCGTTGGACACTACATTTGATGATGGAAGCTGCAGAGCTTTACACCAACGGCGAACTGGCGAAGCGCAATCAGCAAAGGAAGCAACAGGACACCGAATCAGCCCCTGATACACCAAAAGCATCGAGTAGTCGTTGGTACTGCGAAGCACCACATATTGATGCTGTTTCAGTTGGTGGAAATCCCGACAACGCTTTACTGCAATCGTGCAAGACCTTGCTCCGACGAGTATTGACGTTCATGCTGACTCCTGGTGATTTGGAGGCAATTGCTGAAACCACAATGCACACTGTATCTATTGGAGGATTCACAGCGAAGTCGAATTTCAATGAGACGGAAGCTGAGAGCTTCGAGGATGAAAAACTTCTGCCTGGTGCTGTTGCTAGAATCTATCTTCTTCGTCTGATAGAGGAACTCATCGTTGACGGAGTCAACGAGATTGTTGCCAGTGGCCCCAAAGAAGGAGAGAACAAGACCGAGGTTGCTCTAGCTCCACATGCCGGTGGAATAGTCAATCCAAATCAGACTTACTTTTCGAAAGCTATGTTGGAAGGAGAAGCTGAAGATGGAGAGACGCACCCAAAGCACTTTCAGGCCCAAAACTTTCTCTCAGCTTTCGCTGGCGTTTTCACACCAGTTTGGTTTGCAGCTTTGCTCGAAGGGTGCCACGAAGAAGCCACGGCATCAGCTGTTCTACGCTTGATGATCTTGATGATGCAGAGTTCTCCTGCTTTCGCAGAATCCTTCGAACAACAGGGCGGCTTTGCCCCTCTCATCCTCAGCGTCCCAAAGTTTTCTACTTGTTCAAGTGTCATTATTTCGCTTCTGAGCCAGCTGCTGCACGTATCGATTTTGAGTTTACCTACCTTTCCAATGCTTGATGCCTCACAACTCAATATTGTATTTGACGAGGAAAGTAGCTTGTCCGAAAAGGTCGCACAAGCTAGACTCAAAGCATTGGGAAATCGGAAGAGGGATTCTTCCTGCGGGATCTTTGCTTTGGTAGCCGAATGCATCGGCCGCAATCTTCAGCTCGTTCCATTTGATAATGAGTTGGGTAAGAAGGCGAAGCAGACAAACATGGCAATTCTTGAGCTGCTTCAGCATCGGCACAATTTGTCACCAGCTTTCCAAGACTTCTGCAGGACATCCGACTTTGTGGAGCCACTTTCACAGACGCTTTGTCTCATTTATGATGAGAGATCACAGCAATCCATGTCTCCAAGTTCACCGGAAGACCAAGGAGCGATTACAAGACACGGCCTTCTGTCATCTGTTCCTAAGGATATGACACCACTTGAACGATTCTTTGGTGTCGAAAGCAACGACATGATGCTCTCTGGAGCTGGCATCATATTGCTATTGAAGATGGTTGTTTCTAGTTCTGTGATGATGGGACCAGTAGCACCAGCCCTGGTGAATTCGTTTTTTGAATCCTTCCCGATCCACGCTTCTTCAGAACAGGTTGGGGGATATCAAATGGTCCTAATGGATTTAGTGAAGACTACCGTCCACGAAGCGATTGATCTTGGAGAGGCAACCGCTCTTGCTGCTAGTGTTGGCGTATGCTCAGTTGTGTTGAACAGATTGATGAAAGGATTTTTCACCTCTGAACTGGCTCTGCAGACGTTGACCTCGACACTTGATATCTTGAAGGCATTAACTTCCCCTGGTTCGACTGTGTCGCAAAACCTCACAAACATGGAAGTGGCAATGATATCTGCAGATGCTGCTCATATTGCACGCCTTGCAGCAGTGACGACTTTGAAAAGAAGCAGGTCATATCATGACGAAGACCCCGGCGATCCCGAATTGCAAGCTATCGTCATACAGTTGATTGCAAAGAGCATCGACACCTTGATGATAGTTCCGAAATCAAATCCGAATGCACGAAGAGGGAACTCAGGAGTACACCAGGCTCCTCCTTCAACATCTAAGCTTTACCCTCTCTGGATGTCTGCATCCATAGCACGATGCGCTGCTGGAGTAGATCTGGCCTACGTGGACCTCAGTGACTCCGATGAACCAGTACGAAGTTTCGTTGTCGGTCTTATGGTTGAGTTGCTCTCTTTGTTGAATGATCCCCGTGATGAGATTCGCGAGGCGGCTGTTGCTGTTGTGGTTCAACTACTTCAGGGAAATCGAACAATCATGTCTGGACTCTTGATCAAGGATATTCAGCAGGGTGATCGAATCGAAACAATTGATGTGATGAACAGAGGTGGATTCAGTGCACTTCTTGTTGCTCATGAAGTTGCCAAGAGCTCAGGAGGAACATCATCCAAAAAACACTATGCTTCTTTCTTTGATTGGTTCCACAGGAATATTGGAATGGTCGAGCTCGTGAAAAACGACATCGAACACGAAAGCCATCGATTATTGCCTGGACTTCACAGCAGGGCCACAACGATGGCCGAGGCTGTCGAGATTCGGCAACAGGAGATGGTCATGTCGATGGCAAGTTCTGAGGCTTCGGACCGAACAATTCGAGGTGGTCTTGAACGTGCCGAACTTGCACAGCATTGCATCGATAGCACAATCGAAAATCACGTTCATTGGAAACGTCAAGGGTTTGATGACCTAGCGTCGGGAGCCATGCAGTGGAAATTCCTGCTTCGTCGGCTGAAAGGATCTCGTACGATATGGGAGGGCGGACCTCGTTTCGAGGCAAGAACATTTTTGGCTCGTCACCAGCATTTGTATGCTTATCTGGTAACAGGGGATGTGCCAGCTCAAGTTGGTATGAAGAAAGAAGAAGATGACGGAAATTCCTCCGAGCTTGTGAAGCGTTGGAAACTGGATCTATCCGAGGGTAACGAGAGACAGCGCCGTCGCCTCCTACCAAACTACGAGTTTCATACTTTGTATGGAGTTGAAGAAGACGAATATGATGATGGAGGATCAGAAAGTGGTGTTGACGATGATGATTCTAAGGCAGCATCGTCAGCTGCATCTAGAAAGGTCAGGAAGAGTGCTCGTCTATCAACGTTCTTCCATGGAAAAAATGAGAAGCCAGACGCCAAAGGAGAATCCTTTGTCATGGAAGCAACTGCTGATCTTTTGAAGGAGCTGAATATCAAGAGCGCAAAAAGGCAGGATGATGACGACGATGAAGACGCCGACGATGACGGAGAAGATGATGGTCAAACTGAAGCAACTTCAATGACTGGCACGAGCTCAGAGGCAAACGATGGCGCCGTGGGCTCAGTTGGGGCCAAGCCTAGTACCAGTGAGGATGCAAATGATGACGACAGCGCTAGTCACGACCAGCATCACGAAGCAGAGAATGCCACAAGCTACGAGTTGATCACCGGATTGCTCCAATCCGGAGATTGGCCAGAAGAATCTTACAATGTAAAGCGTTGTACCGGATTGGAAGTCAGGAAGGCGCTGCTCTTGTGGTGCCGCGATGCCATATATGTCATTGATGGCTTCGAACAAACAGAGGGAGAAGGTCTTGAAGGAAGGATCACCAGAGTTGAGAAAGAAGAATTCTCATACAACATCAATCTGAGACCAAAAGACTTCAAAGTTGACGATGACAACACGTCTGTTGACGCAAGTGTGATGGCTGAGGGAAACAAAGGCGAAGGGAAGAACAAGAGCGCGAAGAAGGGTGGGCAGGAGCCCTCGAATGAAGTCACTTACCAACATCGAAGTCAGCGGATCGCATTTAAGGAGCTTCACTCAGTTTTCCGAAGAAGATACCAGCTGCAACACATTGCACTGGAATTTTATGACAGCTATAACAATGGAACTCTTATCGCGTTCACGAATCACACTGAGCGCGAAGAGATATTGTCGAAGGTCTTGGCGACACCTTTGCCGAATAGCATCTTTAGCTCAAGTTACGGTACATATATCAACTACAAGAAATTCATGAATTCATGGAAAAGCAAGATTGTTTCACAGTGGGTGAATGGGAAGATGACGAATTTCGAATTCTTGATGCATTTGAATTCATTCGCTGGCCGCACATACAACGACTTGACACAATACCCTGTATTTCCATGGATCATTGCCGACTACGACAGTGAAGAAATTGATCTCGATGATCCAAAGACATTCCGTGATTTGTCCAAGCCGATGGGTGATCTTGGTGAAGAGCGTGCTGAACAGTTTCGTGAGCGGTACGAAGCTCTCGAGGCAAATTACCTTAACGAAGACGAGCCACCGCCATTCCACTATGGAACTCATTACTCTACTGCGGCATATGTTCTGTACTATTTGATGAGACTCGAACCATTCTCCCGTTTGGCGCTGACGCTTCAAGGTGGACGTTTTGACGTTGCCGATCGTCTGTTCCATAATATTGGCAGCAGTTGGAAGAGTGCCAGTCGTGAGAACTTGCAAGATGTCCGAGAGCTTATTCCAGAATTTTTCTATCTCCCAGACTTTTTGACAAATACAAACAACTTTGACTTTGGAATCACACAAAAAGGAAAGACTGTACACAACGTGACGCTTCCAGTCTGGGCGAAGGGTGATCCTCAGCGGTTCATTCGAATTAACCGGCAAGCACTCGAGAGTGACTATGTCAGTAAGCATCTACACCTGTGGGCGGATTTAATTTTTGGATACAAGCAACGAGGTGCTGAGGCTGTGAAGTGCTTGAACACTTTTGTTCACGTGACTTATGAAGGAGAAGTCGATCTCGACTCAATGACTGACCCTGTACAGCGAGAGTCTACTATTGCTCAAATCCAGAACTTTGGACAGACTCCAAGCAGACTAGAGAAACGTCCTTTCCAGTCACGCTTTGTGTTCAATGCGTTGAAAGAAAAGGATGGAAACATTGACTTTGGGTCACTTTCATATCTTGCTCCACTGACACCACCATTTATGGTGGTTGGAGCTCCCCACCGATGCCAAGTGAAGCGTATTTCGAGTGACATGTGCAAGCTAGGTCTGAGTGGCCAACATGACAAAGCTGTCGGAGATTTGTTCTTGGTGAAGGGGCAACTCGTGGGCGTTGGTCGAATGTGCGCTTTGAACATCCCAATGAAGACATACTATCGATTTGGTTATCCAAACAGTGGTTTGGCAATCCATGTCGCGTCATTGAACAACAGAAATAGAGAGCTGAACAAGCTTATCAGCATTCACGACGGTATGCATCGATCCGAAATCAGCGTGGCGAAGGTTTCACTTAATGGCCAAGCATTGGTTACTGGCTGCATTGATTCAACCGTGAGGTTGTGGCAGTACGAAAACTCAAGATTCAAGCTGCGTTCCGTTTTCTGTGGTCACGATGGCTGGAAGATTACTTGCGTGGATATCTCGAATGATTTTGGATTCATCGTTACTGCATGTGCCGCAGGACAAGTGGTTATTTGGGACTTGAGGACTCTGACATTTGTTCGACGATTGCCACACTCATTCAAGGACGAACAAGATAGTGGACACGTGCGGGCTGCCACTTCCGTTTCCATCAACCACAACACTGGAAACATTGTTACGCTTGTTGGACCACATTTGAGTGTATTCGATGTCAATGGAAATCTTCTCGGAACTGAGAACTCACTTGGAGCTATGCCAACATGTGCTGTTGCCACAAATTGTCCAGAATGGCAAGAAAAGGGAATTGTTGCTGTTACAGGCCATGTCACAGGCGAGATCCGATTCTGGAGCCTGGACTACGGAACTGGAGAGCTAACCGTGCAATACATGATGATTGATATCGAACATACATGCGAGATTACTGCTCTTCGCATTACCGGAGCTGAACGCCAAGACACACTCCTTATCGGAGACAAGTCTGGAAAGATGTCGGTTTGCAAGACTGTGCAGTTGGAAAACATTAGTCAAAAGGAATTGGGCGAAGTTGTCACAGAACTGCGCGCAATGAAGAATTTTCCAGAAGACGCCGATAAGAAAGAATCAGAAGGACCTGGAGCAACCCTGCGATCGTTCTTGCCTGGTCAAGGCGACACTGTCACCATGTAAGAAGAGAGTTAAAAGCTCACATGTGACGAGAGTGGAAGTGCTTTTCAGAAAATTATCTCCACCACTAGAATAAGGAGAATGTAAACTATTATTCAACGGAAAGATATTACAATTGTAGGGGTCGTTGTCCATTGCTAGGACGAAATGATGGCGAGGATGATGATTTCGTATACACAGTGGGCGGGCGGGGTCAAGTTCTTTAATAATCGACTACTTCGACTAGAGTTGAATAACCAATGACACTTGAAAGATTTCAAAAAAATTGAATGCCATCTCCTTCCAAGTCCAACCTCTGTTTATCACTCGCATGATGCGAACGACTCGAGCTAGGAGCAAGGCGGCTGTCTATAAAGATGATTCACTTGAAGAGATATCCCAGCAGGTAACTAGTGTTGACGTTCACGAGTCCGTTGAACGGATCCCTCCAGGTGCCTTCTCGCATTACAACTTCCTTGTGCACATCTGGCTGCCACAAGGTTTGCGAGAGATTGTTGCTAATGCTTTCACATCTTGCATATCTCTAGTGGAATTCTCCATTCCATCTTCCGTTGAAACAATTGGCGAATATGCATTTTATCACTGCGACAGCCTGGAACTTGTGGTCCTATTGGAAGGGCAGCTTAGAACAATAGGCAAGTGCAGTTTCCAAGAGTGCGGCCTAGGGTCCCTATCAATTCCAGCCAGTGTGAATGCTATCGGCGAGTCCGCATTTGCATGCTGTGAAAACTTACGACTGGTCATGCTGAGGGAAGGACTTCAGCGGATAGGCGATTATGCTTTCAGAAACTGCTTCAATTTGCAAGAAGTGGACATTCCCCCTACCACAAGTCTCGGCTTTGAAGCGTTCGAAAAGTGTTTCAGTTTGAAGCGTGTTGGTCTAGCGAATGGACTAACAAACACTGGCAAATGGTCGTTCTTGAGGTGCACGTCAATTGGAACTGTGTCTCTACCTCAGACACTGACGAGCATCGACAGTGGAACCTTTTCTTATTGTTCTCAAATCTCCGAGATTTTGCTGCCAGAAGGGCTAACAGTTATCTGCGACGAAGCTTTCAGCCAGTGTTGTTCACTGAATAAAATTAGAATCCCATCCACTGTGGCGAACATTGGCAGGTTCGCTTTCAGTTATTGCTTTTCTTTGAAAGAAGTCAATTTCAGAGAGGGGTTGAGGACGATCGAAGCTTCTGCCTTTCTCCAATGACGCTGTTTGTCCGGAATCTCATTTCCATTTTCGATTGACAAAGTGGGTGCATCCGCATTTGCCTCCTGCAGACAACTGCTGTGTGTCGAGTTCCAAGATGGTCAGGAAACAGAACTCGAGCCCAGAGTTTTTAATAAATGTGACAGATTGATCAATATTTCGATCCCTTCTTCAATGGAATCATCTGTCTGGGCAAGTGCCTTTGATGAGTGTGGTTCGTTAGAACGGGGCGCAGGTGGAAGTGAATATATTGTACAAAGATTGATGGATCGATTTGCAAACCATCCGGTGCACGAAGCTTGCTACAATTCCTCGCTCCCGACTCTATCTACAATGGTGGCATCTGTTGCCGAATACGAATTAGTGGATAACTTTGGAATGACGCCATTCCATATTGCTGTCACCGCTCCTAAGCTACGGGGATGCATTTTGGAATGCCTCCTCAATGCAAACACCTTCCCAGTCCTGTTCGAAAGTGACGAGAACGGCAAGACAATGATGGATTATCTTCTCATGCAGACATCAGCCAAATCAGGAGATTTGATCGATATGGTATTGCACAAAGGAGTCGAAAAAGAAATGTCCGGGTGGGGTCTACCACAATGGAGATCTGAAGTGTCAGGCGCTATTCATGAGTATTTCGATCGATCGGAAGAACTTTTCCCTCGCACAACATTGGACAGCGTGGGTCAAACATTTGCAAAGTATGTCAAGTTGGAGTCCACCTCGCTATTGGAACTGGCATTATGGAACAAGAGAATTCAATACTTTGAACGAGGAAGCAAGAACAAGAGACCGAAAGTTGACCGAGATGCTCCTCGATTGATGTGTGGTGCGAATATTGTGATTCCTCACGTTCTTGAATATCTGGGGGGACTCCCGACATTGACCACTTCTATAAATTGGTGACCAACAATATCTGGCTAGTGATTTCATGTATTCTGCTTTTCTATAGTAGTGACTGTTGCGATACCCTGCGTTTCTTACGGTACAGTAGGTACAGTATGATTCAGATATGGTACCGGTATGTACCGGTACCGGTAGATACAGTAATGTATTGAATGTCAACTGGCGACTGATCCGACTAAATCACAGCCGTCTGTCATGCAGCTCGCTTCCCCAGCAACACGATTGAGTTCTTCCACTGTATACCGGTACTGTACTGCAGCAGCATCACATCGAGGGTCCTGATATAGTTACCGCACACCACCACTACCACAAGCAGCAAAACCTAGCTATTTCAATAAGATACAAACAAAATGACGACCGCGCATAGACCAACGTGGAAGGCAGCTGTTGGACAAGGCAGTGAAGGAGGATGGAGTGCCGGAGGAGCCCAATCGTCCGGCAAGAGCGTCTTGGACATGGCAGCTCACACCAAGCTAAAAATCCGCACGGGGTCCCAAGTCGTTGACCGCAAAAAGGCCTTGCGTGAGTCTCTTTTGAAGTTGGAAGAAGCTGAAAAGAAGGCCAACAACCGGAAGATTGGCATGCGAACCTTTGATCCAGAAGAAGAGGAAAGAGGGAGGCTCCAGTTGCTGAAACAGACAGCGGAAGTAGACGATGAAGCTATACGGAAGAAATACGACGATGACGATGCATCAGGGGGTGGAGACGATGATTCGGGCGGGGGATGGAGTGACGTTGACGACGATGATGATCTAGATGCTAGCGATTCGGATGAGGATGACAGCGATGATGAAGATGATGAGGCTGCTCTTCAGGCAGAGTTGGCCAAAATACGAGCGGAACGGGAAGAAAAGAAACGGAAAGAAGCAGAGGCTGCAGCGGCAGTCGAAGGTGCAAAGTTGGAAGAGGCAGCTGTTATGGGAAACCCTCTTCTTGCCGAAAATGATGCAGATACATCGGCTAGAATGAAGCGGAAGTGGAATGATGATGTAGTGTTTCGAAACCAAGCAAAGGGTGAACCTGACATCAAGAAGAGATTCATCAACGATACTATCCGAAATGACTTTCACAAGAGGTTCCTCAACAAGTTTATTCGATAGGCTAAAGCAGTAGGCAAGAGCAGTGCGCATTCGAAATCTATGTCACCCTCAGCATTCTAGAACCCTGCTGTTTCAAATTGATTGTTGATTCATTTATCTAGTCGAGAGCACATTTATTGTCTTCCTCGGGATTAATTGGCAGTGGATCGAAAGAAGTCGTCGATACCAACACTGCGATAGAAACTTCGTCTGTCGTGATTTTTTCCGACTTTAATTTGTCGAACTCGAAACCACCACTCACTTTTACATAAATGGTAGGAAAACAGAACTTCTCAGCGTTCATTACCAGGTGAAAGATACAGATTTGCTCTCGATGCCAGTTTCAAGTTGCGGCCCAACTTCCGTCGAAAAGGGTTCAAAAAAAGGCTCTCAAAAAACTCCGTCATCATTTATATTCTCCTGGCTATTGGTCTAATTCAGTCCCCCGCTGACCCTAATCCCTGTGCTACTATCAAGAGTACGAGTAACATAGCAATAATATGGTGGTAGCTTCAAATCATGAAACAACTAAACAGCACATGCAAAATCATAATATATACAAAATCATCTGAGCAGTTATTATGATATGTCGTTAGACTATCCGTATTCTACAGTACAATATGGTTGGAATAGATCTCGCCTGTTTGCCTCATGCTGAGATTCGATATCGCTCAAAGACGACATCGAACCTTTCGTTGGCATTCATGGGCTTAATGGCTGTGATCGAGAAGACTGCTTGGGCAAGTGAGTCTCCGAGTTTGAGTTCCCCAGTCTCTATTATGAGCTTGTCATCAAGCTTTTGTCTCTTGTTGAGGATGATCATGTCATTTGCTGCTGCATTCCTCGCCGAAAAGTGATGCATTAGACTCCCCACTTGTGTCGGAACGAATCATCAAGGCCCGCACTTTCAGAGGAACGCTCACTGGATGAAAAATCGTTGGTTGAACTTAGTTGACGTTCGGGGCAGTAGATTGGTTCATCGCATTCATCAATGGAAAACTTTGTGGCTGCTGTTCTCACGGTTTCTTTCAGCGATTGCCGCAGTCCTGCTGGTTGTTCCTCCTGCTTGGCGGGAAGGGGGCTTTTGGGGATACAGACAGCACGATCGTGAACGACAGCGAACGTGCTCACCCCTGTCTCGAGTTTCAAAGTTTCAAAGTAGCTGTCGAGAGCCACGTTCATTTTGCAGCTTCAAAAATATGTGAGGATGATGGGAACCAAATCTGTTGCTTCAACAAAAAAGAGGAAAATGGCGCACTGTTCGCTTCGCGTTTGAAGTTGATCGGATCCGGTGTAAATAACGACACAATCGGTCGTAAATAACAATGTTCGACAGAAAGCCATCTGAAGAAATGTCGTCGATGGTTGTTCGTAATTGATACTGATCGTATGGTGTCAAAAGAACATGATATTTTGATTTTATCATCTGGGCATAATTGTCATTACTTAATTATGAGGGATCGAACCCGATTCGACATCTGTTTGCCGTGCACGTACCAGCCAGTCCCTTGACTTGACAACGCGCTCAACAGTCCCGCCGCGCTCACATTTCTGGTGAACGATGGAGAAAAAAAGTGAATTGAGATGAAGTTAACCAAGTAGTCCTACATCATAAAGATAGGAAGATTAGATCGTATTATAACCAAAGACGACGCCCACGAACGTTGACGATTGGGGATTGGTCCCGATACCAGGAATTAAAAAAGAGGTACTAGGGAGGGGGTGGGCTAATAAAATTTAATGAAAACTGGTGGGTTGTATTGTTGCTTCTCAAGTAGTCACAGTTGAAACTTGGCGGGTAAGAGCTTTCGGAATAAACCGGGCTGGTTAAATATCAACTCAATTTGTGATTGCAACAGTGATCCTGCTCTTCTTTTAGTTCATAATGAACAATGTCTATCCACAACATTCTCTGGTCCCTAGCAAGATCCAGGACCCGTAGAGTGAATATTGCCAATCAATCCGAGAAACAGTCTTGTAGTATAGATTTCTTTGCAATGAATGTGATTCATTCGATGCCTCTCAATAAAGAATACTAGCCCTAGTGACTGATGTTGGTTTCACGTGATATCTCATCGAGACAAGGAGATATCTCATCGAGACAAGGAGGGGAATGCACCTCCTCTCCAAGGTTGAGCTCTGATGCTACTCGCAACATACTTCTGAATGAATAGGGTAGTCGTTCTTCTTTTGGAATGTTGCGGATGACCATCTCGAATCTGCTGTTTTCTCCAGTGCAACATTGTCCTTGCTTACAGATGGTGTTCGACAAGAGTCATCGATGATCACCCCCAGCGCTTCAACTGAACCAGAGCTTAGATTCACCAGCACTTCAAGGTCATCAGCGCTGAAGCTTTGAGAGGAAAAGTCCGAGCTCATTTGGCGCGAAGGGCAATGGAGAGGCTCATCGCATTCATCAATGGAAAACTTTGCGGCGGACGTTCTTGTTAGTGCGTCCCGCCTGAGGGCTTGTTGCGGATTATTTCGCTCGGGGGCAGGCCTTCTGGTTCTTTGGATAGCACGGTCTTGGACAACAGCGACGTTGCTCACTCCTACTTCGAGTTTCAATGCTGCAAAGTAGTTGTCGAGTGCCGTGCTCATTTTTGACATCTCCAATTTGAAATCTCCAAAACTATGCGATAGTTGTAACAAAATAACTATATTTTGAAATGTCGTTTGCAACACGAGGAATGCGAGAGATCTCGACTTTTTTGTTTCGCTTCGATACGATGCTTGAAATGACTCTGGCGTATTAAAGAACAACCTGTGTTTTGAAAGTGGAGAACTTTTTTTTAATTTCGGCACATGGCGTATTAAATAAAATATATAATATATCATAATTATTTTATATAAAAAAAAATATATAGCGGTAAAAGAAGCACCTTCGCCATGCGAAAAATGCCGTTGATAAAATGGTTGTGTTTCCGTCCGTTGCAACTACGGGTAATACGTCAACTTGAGGATTTTCAGAGCGAATTCAAACCAAGCGCATCTCTTGCTGGAAAGGTAGAATCTGATATATATATATATATGTAGGGTTGCAGACGTAGGTTTAGTGCTGTTATTTTATGACTAGATTTTATTATACCGCTAGTAGTATAATTTTTAAAATGAGCACTAGCCGGTGATACCGTCACTAACGAAGTAGTCTTTATAATTGGACCTTGGCACGGTGGGAGAGAGACTGGAGCAAGCTTGGCTGATGAGCCATCTTCTACATTGGTGCCTCCATCCTTGATCCTGCATCTTTTCGTCTCCTAATGTATATGAATACACATCATCTCAGGTGCTAGGCAATCCAGGATCCAGGTGTGATTGTTACCAATCAATCCGAGAAATAGTCTTGTAGTGTCGATTCCTCTCCAATCCACGCAATTCATTCCATGCCATTTGATCGGGAGTAGTGACTGATGTTGGCTGGGTCCACATATTTCATAAAAAAGAGTGCCGATGAAGTATCCAAGCTTACCCTCTGCTAATTCTAGATGAAACTCGTGAATGCATGAGGTGATCGTGTTTCTTTTGCAATGTTGCGGACGACCATCTCGAATCTGCTGCTTGCTCAAATACAAACTCATCTTTGCTTGAAGGTGGTGTTCGGTAAGAGTCATCGATGTTCACCAGCGCTCCAAGTGAATCAGAGCTTAAGCTTTCGGAGGCAGAGCCCAGACCTGCTGAACTTAATCGGCGCGTAGGACAATAGAGAGGCTCATCGCATTCATCCATGGAAAACTTTGAGGCTGATGTTTTTGTTAGTGCGTCTCTGAGGGCTTGTTGTGGGTTATTTTGCTTCGGGGTAGGGCTGATTCTTCTTCGCAAAGCACGGTCTTGGACAATAGTGAAGTTGCTCATTCCTGTTTCGAGTTTCAAAGCTGCAAAGTATTTGTCGAGTGCAATGCTCATTTTTTTCAATCTCCAAAAATATGGGAGCGTCGAAGGAAGACGCTCCTAATAATTCATGCCCAATTACAGCAGTTTTTTACAGGACAGTGCAAGAGCCTTTTAATTGTTCGAAGTGTGACCCGTGATGCGTGTTACATGAGAGAACCGAAATCTGGTGTAAATTGGAATAAATACCGTGGCGTTCACATATTGGTCGTGATTCTTGTGCTTACTTTTTTTTCGGCATTTGTTTTAAATCGACTTTTTGAGGATTTATCAAAAAGGACCGGGATTATCCGAAAGATTTGAGGAAATTCAAACTTCGAACCAAGAGCGGCACCAGGCAGGAGAGGTACAGGAAAGCCTGCATCAATTGCTTACTTTATCGCGGCAGTACTCATGATTTGTTAAATCGACAAATGATGATTAAGCAACAAGGAACAGAATAAAAACCGAAAGATTCGAGGGAATTCAAACTTCGAACCAAGAGCGGCACCAGGCAGGAGAGGTACAGTAAAGCCTGCATCAACTGCTTTACTTCATCGCAGCAGTAAACATGATTTCCGAATCTAGTTTTTGAGGATCCATCAACAAGGAATAGAATTATCCGAAAAGATTCATTTCGAGGGAATTCAAACGTAGAACCAAAAACCGGTAGGAGAGGTGACTATTACAGATCATGCTGTAGTATCGTACAGGTAGGCATGGTACCAGGTACCGGTACATCAAGGAAAGGATTGGTGCTGGAACTAAAACGAAGTTAAAAAAACAGAAATATAATAATAGATCACTAGCAGTATATTTCATGAACACTCGTGCGTGCTTTCGTTGCCTTTCTTGTGAAGTAGTCATATACTTGGAACTTGTTGGGAGAGAGCTTGCTGGAACAAGCTATACCGGTAGTAGGCAGATGATTTCTCGTCGCCATTGGTGCCAGTAACCTTGATCCTGCATCTTCTTTTCGCCTTACAATGTGTATCCACACCATACCAGAGCCCTAGTACGATTCAGGACCCTTTTCCGATCGCTGTCAATCATCCGAGAAATAGTCAATAGTACAACTAGATTTCTCTGCAGTTCGTGCGGCTCATTTATTCGATGTTACTCGATCCTCATGACTAGTGACCTTTATGTTGGCTCAACGTTGCTTCACGCCGAAGAGGGGAATGCGCCTCCTCTCCAAGGTTGCGCTCTGATGTTGCTCGCGAGACGTGAATGTACAAGGTAGTCGTTTTGCTTTCGTAATTCTGCGGACGACCATCTCGAATCTGCTGTTTTGTCCAACGCAACATTAACTTTGTCTGGAGATGGTGTGCGATAAGAGTCATCGATGTTCACCAGCGCTTCAAGTGAATCAGAGCTTAGGTTCATCAGAGCTTCAAGGTCATCAGCGCTTAAGCTTTGGGATGAAAAGTCGGAGCTTATTTGGCGCGTAGGACAAAAGAGAGGCTCATCGCATTCATCCATGGAAAACTTTGTAGCGGATGTTCTTGTTAGTGCGTCCTTGAGAGTTCGTTGTGCGCTGTTTTGCTTGGGGGTAGGCCTGCTGGTTCTTCGGATTGCACGGTCTTGAACGAGAGCGAAGTTGCTTACTCCTCTTTCGAGTTTCAAAGCTGCAAAGTAGTTCTCGAGTGCCATGCTCATTTTTTCAAGCTTCCAAAAGTATGAGACAATTGAAAGTACCTGGTAGGAAAACCGGAAAAACATGCCAGGTGGGCGAGTCTTGGTTGTTCGACTTTTGTCTCTGCCGTAAATAACGACATATTCCAAGAGGAGGACATTGAAAATATCTGGCGTAAATTGTTCGCCAGATTCAATATGTATATTGTATTTGTGGAGCGCAAAATGGTCGATTTTACTGCAGTGATCGTGATATTCAAAATATCATTTATGAGAATGATTCCTTTGTACGAATAATTCCTAATGATAAATTATCCGAAAGAACGCAAAAGAATTCAAACTTCCAACCAAAGGAAAGTATCTTGCTTGAGAACTGTCCAATCATTTTTATACTTTAAAATGCTGTATTGAAAATATATATAGGCGTATAGGTAGGACTATATATAATATATATATATTTGTAAGAGAATTTACATTTTGACAGCGATGTTCCAGAACTTCTCTTGCTTGGAAACTGGTGGTGGCAGAGATGGCTGATAATATAAGCTCATCGTCTCCATTGGTGCCTTCAATCTTGATTCTGCATATTCATAGTATCTATCCACATCATCTCAGGTGCATAGTACGCTCCAGGACTCTGCAGTAGCACGATCGTCGCCAATCTATCTGAACAAAAGTCTTTTGGCATAGATAGATTCCTCCGCAATTCATGCGATATTTGATGCCAATTGAATCGATCCTCATGAGTAGTGACTTTTTTATGTTGGCTTCAAACTTTTCTTCAAGCAGAGGAGGGGAATGCGCCTCCTCTCCAAGGTTGCGCTCTGATGTTAGTTGCAACTAGTGAGTGCATAGGGTAGTCGGTCTGATTCTTGAATTCTTCGGACGACCATCTCGAATCTGCTGTTTTCTCCAGAGCAAGATGATCTTTGCTTGGAGATGCTGTTCGATAAGAGTCATCGATGTTCAGCAGAGCTTCAAGTGAACCAGCGCTTATGTTTATCAGCACTTCAAGTGAATCAGCGCTTACGCTTTCAGAGGAAAATCCGGAACTTAATTGCCTCGTGGGGCAATAGAGAGGCTCATCGCATTCATCAATGGAAAACTTTGTGGCGGATGTTCTTGCTAGTGCGTCTCTGAGAGCTTGACGTGAGTCGTTTTGCCTGGGAGGACTGGTGGGGGTTCTTCGGGTTGCACCATCTTCGACGAGAGTGAAGCTGCTCACTCCCCTTTCTAGTTTCAAAGTTGCGAAGTAAGTCTCGAGTGCCATGATGCTTGCTTTTGGTTTCTCGTTTTGAAAAAATGAATTTTGTGTGACTGGATTGTGACGCCAGAAAATGATTCCTATTTTTTTAAACTTCAACTACAAAAGAGACGAACAGAACTCAAATCGTGAAGCGGAAAGTTTGTTTCTCCGAAATTGTTGGCGAAGCAGCACACGTGTTACCATACCGGTGTACCTGGTACCACTCGCGCAGAAAAGAACTGCACTGTACCACCAGTAAAGTACTCGAACTTCAAACTTCGAAAGAAAAATAAGCGCCGCCTGTCTGTCCATCATCGAGAACAAACGTCCAACATGTACAGTATCCTGTGGGTTGACATCATCATCCCGTACCAGGTAGCTGGGACGCTACTCATATTACTTGCATCATGGGTCGAGGAAACACAGGTGCTACCGATCATCAAAAGTTTCCAGGAAATTTGGTCTCTTCTTCACTCACAAGACCAGATCTAAGTTTGGAAACCCTCCACGAAGGATCAGCTGTGTGGATCATTCCAGAGTTTTTGTCTTATGAAGAATGCAATCACTGGATCAAGTTTGCCGAAAAGTCTGGTGGTCTCGAATATACGGCACATCCTGCCTCCATGTACATTGCGCATCGCCAGTGTTACCGAATGCAAGACGAATCCAATACTGAAATTGCCAACAAGCTGTATTTGCGACTGTTGGCTTCTGGTATTCTCGACCAAGTGAAACAAGAACTATCCCAACACGCTTCCAAATCCAGGTATAGCCGAAACGACAAGTTCGAAACTCCAACTGGTTTCAACCCTAACATTCGATTGTACAAGTATACAAAGGGACACTCTTTTGGCAAACATGTTGACGGAGCCGATCAAATTCAAGGAATGGGCCAAACAGAGATCACAGTTCTCATTTACCTCAGTGAGTGTGGCGGAGGAGCAACTCGGTTTTACCCTCCATTTCAATCGAGCAAAAAGAAGAAGAAAAAGAACCAGAAAGAGGTCGAGTCTTTTGCCTTTGATCCAAAACCAGGGACAATGCTACTACACGTACATGGCGATGATTGTTTGGAACACGAAGCAGACGAAGTTACTGATGGTATCAAGTATGTTCTACGGACAGATGTTGTCTTTGCCTAGAGCTGGGACAATTGGAATTTAAGACGAAAATGACATTCGAAATCAGGCCGTTCCTTAGGGTGGTCGGAAAAGCGTTTCTGATGAAAAGTCCAAGTGCGCTGGAATCTCAGGAGAGATCGCGAGCATTCATTCCAACATCTGGCAAAAGTGTGTTACTTGTTTGCAAACCAGACGCCGAAGCATCAGGTGCAAACCAAAAAGGAACGGATGTTGCGAATGGCCAAGAAGCACCACTATCCCACACAATCATATGAAGGCTTGCGAGGAGATTTTTGAATTCTTCTGCGCCATATGCATCCGTCCAACTGGTATATTGACATGAGGTACCGGCAGTGCACAGAAACTTATATATTGTAATCAAGAGTCGGCTGCCACTCAAGCTCTGAGTTAGATTTCGTAGCCGTCAATGGCATCGTCTCATTTCGTTGATTCCAAATCCAAACCTTCGTACTGATCAACAGCCTTCTGAATCTGAGCATTGATGGTGAAAGCAGATGCTTCCTGTTCGTTGTTTTGTACGTCGGGAGACTCCTCGATAGGAGTTTTGAAAGACAATTCTTGTAGTAAAGAGTCCCGCGTTGTCTCAGGTGCTCTCGAATTTGCAGAAAGGCTTTCATTCTGGGTGGCCAGCAGATCGTCGAATTGTTGATTCAACTCAATTTGAATTTGCTCATCCATTTGCCGTTCCAGGTGTTCATCCATTTCTTTCCATAGCTGTTCCTCCAACTGACGGCCAATATCAGCATTAAGTTGATCATCAATTTGACGCTGGAGTTCGTCGAGGATCCAATCTTCGCTCTCATTGTCGCTGTGTTGGTCGTGGCTCTCTGTCGTTTCTTCATTTTGTGAATGCTCACTTGCTTCCGATGAGACAGATCCTTGATCGCCGGTGACAATATTCCAGCTGGACATCCTTGGTATCGTAACAGTGGATATTAAGGTACGTGCTGCTGTAGCCATCGATGTTGCTTCGGTTATGGTTTGATGGAGGTTGAAGAAGTACAGACCAATCGAAATTCAGCGTTCCACGACTCCTTTTCATCTTTGCATTTTCACAGCGCCTGTTGGCTGGAAGAAGCCAACTTACCAGGAATATCCATGGCCCTTAAACGTCTCGACTGCGAAGGATACGATTCGCCGTCGTGGCATGTATGGCGAACGTCAGCAAACATGTCCCAATCATTGACTGGAAAATGTCCTAAAGACTTTGACATTATCGGTCCATTGAATTTGTCATGCAATTAGACGCGGCATTATGTGAGTGTGAGCGACACTTGAATCACAAAAGCCTAATTAAGAGAAGGATGTCCCACAAACTGATTGTTGTTTACGGAGCAGTTCGCGCAAAGACCTTCAACTTGCAATCCCGAACTCACTTCGAAGTACGATTACCGGTACACTGGACAAATCTCATAATTCCAACAACGCACAATATAAAACTGATCCAAAATGTCGCTTGACAGTTACTTTGAAGCTTTGAAACTCAATACCGGTGCTAGCCACTTTGTTATCGCTGAAGACCGTGCTGTCCGAACCGTCGACAAGAAAATGGAATCGCGACGACCAAGTCTGAAGAGCACAACAACGAGGACACCACCGGAAAGGTTCGCCACTGCTGGGTGTGATCAGCCACTTTGTTGTCCAATGCGGCATCGGGCTCCCAGTCTTGACGACTCCGATCGAAGTGTCAACTTGGATGGGTCTTTCCGATTTTGTGAGAAACCATCAGGTTCAAGGTGGTCACCCCCTACATTCCGAAAGCCGCACGTTTCAAATGACGCCACTACCCAATCTCGGCGAAGCAGTTTCAACTCTTCATCTCGATCAAGATGAGACAATGGGAGCAAAGAATTTTTGATTTTCAGTATATGTCACAATGTAGCTAGAGAATTTTGCAATAGACCTCTGTTATTCATCTTCTTGATACTTTCTTAGATAGCTTAGCTACAAACAATCAAAATCTATTATTGCTATTCCGAGCCACCAAAATCCTACGACAAGTACACCTGGCCGATTGCAAGGGCGAGGTATGCGATATACATGATAATGAAGAGTGTTCCATGCCATTTGCGAATGACAAATCCAGTTTGCAGCATGAGCAGTACAAATATGAGAAGAACCGCCGCCAAAATGATGATAGACTGGAGAATTCCTTCATTGCGAAGTCCATGGTAGGGTTGAAATCCAGTTCCAAAGCTCGTATATAACACCCACGGCAAACCAAGTCCCACCATAATGTTGAAAGTATTGGATCCAAAAGCGTTGGATACGGCTTGATTTCCGAATCCATTTTGTGCTGCAACCTTGGAGGCAACATAGTTTGGGAGGGAAGTTCCTGAAGTCAACGAGGGGGGACGTTGCATCAGATAATTGCGAAGCTCACCAATGAATAATCGATTCCAAAGTAGAACTTACCGGCAGCCGAAACAGTGACTCCAACGACAGCATCTGGAATATCAAGGAGTTCTGCCAACTTCTCAAGGGAAGCCACCATGGCATAACTTCCCATGACCAACCATACTAGGCACATGAACGTAGCAAGGAATGCAACACGTATAGAAGTCATGGGATCTCCAGCCTCATTAAGTTGTCGAACATCTGGCACGGTAAAGTGCATGGCGAATCGCAAAGGTGAAAGAACGATCCAGAAGAACATTTCAAGCTTTGAACCATCCATAGGAAACTCAATGAGATCGACATGATTATCAGCATCGCCAAAATTGTCGTGTTCCTCGTCATCTTCATCATTGATGTGTTCATGCAGATAGATTTCGAGCTGATGAACGATCTTATCGAAAATTGATTTTGATGGAGCCATGAAGGTGTCTACGAGTTGCGTGTGTTGCCAAGCGAGGTAACATGTCAGACGAGGCCGTGGGTCACATGAATACAACCTCAGCAAGTTGCATCCCATTGCATGCTACTTACAGTTGCGACGATTAGGGTTCGAGTTCGTAATTTTGATAATAAGACGGTTCTCATCAACAATAATCTTGTTGAATCGAGAGTACACCATCATATGGCGTTCCGCACTTTGGCGATCGGGTACCGATGAAATCATATCAGTCGAAAAAGTGAACCATCTCAAGTGCCAAGCATGATTGCCAAAGTAAGCCTTTGTATAAAAGTAGGATCTTTGCCAAAGGAAGCATTCCAACTCTTTGCTCAACTGAAGCGGCAATAATCAGTGAAATGTGAACGAACCAAACCAACAGATCAATAAAATTTTTACATACCTCGTTGTATCGAACTTCGTAGAGATCATGGGTTTTGGAGGGGGGTTCTGTGTGTTGAAACATATCGACCAGGATACTACTGCGCTGATATGGTATGGAGGATGTACGGCGCGAAAGTCTGGCAGCGGCATCTCTTCCCGCTGAAGCTTCTTCTTGAGTCTTGATGGGGACCTCTTTTTCTGCCGGCAAATACAGTGAGATTGCCGCCCAGTTTTTGGCCGGTTCTGCTGACAAGTTCTGCTTCTCCGTAACAAATCGCATATCAGCTGGGACATCGATATCCTGCGAAACAGTGCGTTCCACGGATCCGTATTCATCGGGGCCGCCGCCGGAAACTAACGCATTTGTCTCACCCTTTGATGACGATTCTGCCCCTTCCGCCGGTGCCCCTCCAAACAACTTGACGATGGCTTCCATATTGGCACATACAATCACATACAGAATGTATCCACCAAACACCATGCAAGCCTCGGGGAAGGAAATAAAAATGTGCTCCACGTCGTCACCGTCAACGAAATCAGTATCTCTCAAAGCAACGTACAAGAGCACAATGCCCAAGGCATAGAATCCAACCTCACGCATGACAATGGCTCGATCCAAAACTAATTCACCAGTTTTGGCTGTTTTATGGATGCCAATAATAATCATGAGAAGAATTCCAATATCCTGCAAATGAAACAGTAGCGCAACTTACAGGCCCACACTGCACCCGCACAAATGACTAATTGATTGAAAATTTCCGAACCGACAATCTGTAGTCATCAGAGCACCAAGACGTTTCGTTGTTGTTAGACTTTCGATAGACTAAAATCATCTTTCTTTCATGGAACGTACCGTACCCAAACCCAAAGAAGAATGTGTGATGAAAAGGGCTACAAGCGAAGAAAATAGCTCTGGAGATGAAGCTCCAGCAGCCATGAGTGTTGCTCCTGTTCAAATGGAAAACGACGAGGAAGAATCTGTATCAGAGACGTATTTGGTGACAAAATTTGACTTCAGATCTTCTCTTCATACCTGCAATATCATCTGGAATATTGTAATAATCAGCAATTACATTGAGTGCAGGGACGAGTCTAAAAGCAAAGCATCGAGCAGAGAGTTGAGTTATGACCAATTCAAGAATGCCAATAGATATCTGATGAATCCAATCATGAATCTTACCGTTCTTCAGTGACTGTTGCCTGACACCAAAAGGAGACGAGGGAAATCACGGATAGTCCAATCCAGACGGACAAAGGAGCGGAATCTTCTCCTTCTTCACTCATAGTCTATTAGTGACTAATCTTCTGAGCTTTGTTGGAGGGTTATTTGTTACAGGCGTCACAGATGACGGTGATTCATTCGCTCCGGCCAACATTTTGGGTTCTACATTAGCGCCCACCAAAATCTCTCAGTCAAGCACGGAATTTTATTACACGTGGAACTATCAGTCACAGAACACGCGCGGAAAACGTATCTTGAAACATCATCTCATCTTTTCTTGATGGGCACGGGTTTCAAAGATCAGCACAAAAGCAAACTGCCTAAAGGACACGACATTCATTACATAATTTCAATGTCTGCGCTATGGGAAAGCTACTCGATTCCATTTGTGAACACGATGTTGAATTCATGGCCAAGCAAAAGGTCTTCTTTGTGGCCACTGCTCCACTCTCGCCCCATCACCGTGTGAATGTGTCACCCAAGGCGCCAGGGACATCTTTGGTCGTTTTGAATCCTCACAAGGTGGCCTATCTAGATTTGACTGGAAGTGGCTCGGAGACTGCTTCCCATTTGTCAGAAAATGGGAGAATAACCATTTTGTTTTGTCATTTGGAAGAGGGTCCTCCACGACTGATGCGGTTGCATGGAAAGGCCCGCATTTTGTTGAAGGAAGAGGCAGATGCCGAGTTGTTGTCCAAGTTTCCATCTTCCCTGACGTCACACCCGGGATTTCGAGCTATCTATGTCATGGACGTTGATAGGATATCCAGTAGCTGTGGCTACAGCATGCCCATTTTTAGTTTCGATCGCTACCGCACCAAACTTGATGATTGGACCAAAAACAAGGGATCGGAAGGCATGGCCGAATACGGTCTTACCAAGAATTCCTTCTCCATAGATGGAATACCGTCGCTTGCTGTCCTCAAAGCACAAAAAGACGGCAACCCATATCGGATCAATCCCAAACCGACGGATGGATACATCTATGGCGAAAAGGTGTCAATGAATCGATTACTGTCACATGTGCTCGGCATGCAACATGGAATCAGGCAAAAACTATTTGTGGAGAACTATGGTCCCTTGATGTTTTTGTGTGGCATGTTCACTGCCTATGCCTTGCAATGGATTATGATGTCTTCTCAGCAATTCAGCATGGATGGAGTGAACGAGCTATAGCATAAAGCGCAACTAGGAAGGCGAAAGTGTAGCATTTGGGATCTATCAATCATTAAGGGGGCATCTATCGAAAATGTCTTTACATTCTAGTCTTGTCATATCGTAGCAGCATCTCCTGGTGGTGGCAGATTGTTCTTGGATTGAAGAGCTTTAAGCAGGTTTGCAATCAGTTCTTCCACCCAAAGGCTGTAGGCAATTAATGCTTTGTTTGCCGAAGCATAACCGCGTGAGATATTCCTCGCAGATATTTCAGAAATCCTTTTCAGTTGTTTTATGTCCATGGCACGCTCGACAACACTAGAATTGACTGCCTTGGTCCAGATTTGTCCCAAATAGGCTGAAGTGATCTTGTAAGCTTGATCGTAGGCACTCACAATTCGTTGATCCATTGATCGTTGTATGCTTGTGAACGACGTTATAGTCTTTGAAAAGACATCTTGTAGGGACAACACGGCAGTCCGTACAAGCTCATCCACCGCTGCCGATGCTCCAGAATGCCAGATTTGAAGATTGGTGAGAGCGTCCTGTGTCATAACCATACTCTTCGAGCAGGCTTCCAATATACCAAGATAAACGTCCATCAAGAAGGACGCAGAAATGGCTTCCATTAGTCTCTCTGATTGATGGTTAACTCGACCTACGAGTGCTTGGAATCCAATTTGCAAATTCTTGGCGAGCGCACCAAACAATCGAAATGGAAGAGCCGCCAGAAAGTCAAGGGTTTGATTGAAGGCATTCAATGTAGCATTTCCTACTAATCCCAGCCTCCTCAACCCAGCTGCCATCATGCGGAATGGAAAGAGCAAGACAGACACGAAAGCATTCTTGAATGCGAGTGCAATGGTTTGTGGGAACGTGACAATCTTCGTTACCGTATGCACTGCATTTTCCATGGCAATAGCTAGAGTAGCATCCATACTCTGATCCGAAGAGTGGGCAGCTCGGAAGGCTGAGATGGAAAGAAAAATGAAACCAGCACCGACAATCGACAGAACTGTTTGGAATCAGAAAAGAGGAGAAGAAGTGAGAGACCGTACTAACACCAATGCGTGCTTCGGACACTGTGATGAATAATGCGGTAGTACGTACCAACAGATATAGTGGGCCGAACGGCATACGAAAATGTGTTATAGAGGGCTTCTCCAGCGGTCTGTTGGACAGTATCATCACCGACAACATCAGTGGCGAATTCCATGGAGTGATCCAAAATTTCGGGATCGTTCAAGGCATTGTGAGCACTCTCTACTAGTAGCGCTTGGGTGGCTTCCAAGACTTCCTTTTCTTTTCCCAGTCGTTGCAGCAATGAAACCAATTCGTCTAGAACTTCCTTGTCATTGAAAACTTCCATTACCAATTGAATGGCAGCCTCCTTGATGTGTTCATCTTGAATGACGTTTTGCAACAGATGAATAACTTGCGCCAAAGTTTCCGGATCTTCTACTAAATCTTTCCATAGTGATCGCAACAAAAGTTGTGTCGAAGTCTTAAACTCGGGAGAGCCGAGCACTTTTGCAACAAGATCCGTCACCGCTTGTTGAATTCTGGGACTATTCAGCAAGTCCGCAATGATTCCATCTAACCCCCCACCCACAGATGACATCATAGAATCATTTCCAACACCGAATTCCTCCCTAAATACTTTTGCCATCTCTGCGACGGGATCTTCTCCATCCAAGTCCTCATCGTAAGTACTATCTGAATTTCGCATGTGTCTGGAAACATCAATGAAAATGCGAAACAATAAAAGTGTGAGACCAAGTTACACACATCAGCCCCAGCAAGCTGCTCAATGCAATGAACACATACCGTACTACAAAGGGAGACACAAGCACAAGTCCAATCAACCCCACAATCCCATAGACTGACAACTTGTCCCCCTCATTCCATCGATCGTTCACCCGTTTCCCAACCGACCCCACTAGTTTATTGACACCATCTCGGGCTGAGGAAGCATGGGATTTGGCGAGATCACTTGCTGTGGATGCCGAATCTTCTGTGGTGACCTTGCCAATGCCGCTCGAATGCACTTCTTTCGGTGTGGCTGACGATGAAGCATTGTCACCTGAATTCTCATCGTTTTTGTTGTTATTGTTGTTTGTAGTCAGATGCCGAATTCCTATTCTCCTGGTCGGTATTCTTGTGCGTATATCATGAAGTGAAGAGAAAGGATATAATGGAATCAAATTCGTTTCAAAATCCGACTTGGTTAGCATGGAAGCTGTCCAAGGAGTTGTTTGTTTATTTGATAGATTCAATGATGATTGAGTGGTCAACAATCGATTGTCTGGAGTTGCTCTTTCATTCAATCCAGCCAGCGACGCCAGACTAGGACTTCCTCTCGCTAACCGATGAATTTCATTACTGCTGCGACGAAGGGCCGCATTGGAAGGCTTTTTGCCTGCCGCTCGGAGCATCATTGTGCTTTCCTGTCAGTCAGTCAGCTGATTGAACTCAACGAAACCGTTGTACCTCTGCTGCTCTTGACGTGCTTCCGTTCCACAAAAATAAAGCTTGGCAGTCGGTGGGAGCAACTCTTGAATGAATAGAGATGTTGCAATGGCCGTGGGATAACGTGTAGACGTTTGCCTTTGGGCACACTACATGTATTATCAACGATCGCGTTGTCGTCCAAAGTACCTCGTACAGTGTTCGCAAGGCACGAGAGACGACCGTTGAAAGAGACCCGGACTTTCATAATCCTAGAACCACGATGGAGTGAGTGGAGGAAACACCTCCAGGACAAACATGAAACTCTACCGTGCAAAAGAAAACCAGATAGTCTTCCTTAATTTTTATCAAATTTATTTTAAAACGGTGAATTACATTGCTGGTACCTCCTGAGAATGGTACTACATATTACTTCTTTAATCGATACCCCCCGCACCACCTCGACGATCGTAGTCGTCATCGTATTGACCAGTTCCCTGTGTGTAGTCATCACCGGAGTAGGCTGATTGATCAAACCGACTTTGATCGTCATATTGCGTTCCGTCATCATATCCTTGGTTGTAGGTTCCGTCGTCATACGTGCCATCGTCATATCCTTGGTCGTCCGTATAGTATGATCCTGTTCCGTCATCGTATTGGTCATTCGAATAGTATGATTGGTCTTCTGGAACAGTACCCATACCTCCTCTGGGTTGGTCGTCGTAACCTCCGGTATTTTCGGTATAATAGGAGGGATCATCGTTGTATCCTCTGCTCTGATCATAAGTGCCATCATCATTATCTGAAATGTGGAGAAGCAACAGGCACGATTGTGAGACCATTGGTATTTTGTCTTCTCCTCACTTACACACGACAACTAGCAGCAGCAGCAGCAGTAGCTTGTGTATGTACTTACGTGGATCATAGGTGCCCTCATCATCATAATATTCATCATCAAAATATTGGTCGTCATCATAATATTCACCATCATCATAGGCCGCTCCATCCCCCGATCTCTTCTTGACCCGCTTGGGTTTTGGTTTCATTAAATTGAAGAGAGGTTGTGGACGCGGTGTACAGCAAATGAGCATTTGGCAAATGAAGTAACAAAGGGTGGCAAGGATGGTACCAAAGCCAGCAAAACCCAATCGGCACTCTTGATCGTATTTACTGCATGGAAAGAGAGCAGCAGAAAGAGAAACAGGCGGGGTGAGAATCAAATCATTCGATTGAAAACTTTGCATGAGCAACCACACATGTCACATACCAAAAGTCATCCGACAAGAACAAGAATAAAGTAAACATCTGAAACATAAAGGCCAGATACAAAAAGATGGCCGTCGGTAACCAACTACACTTGAACATGCAACAACAGTATTCCACTGTACCCGTCAAAAAGGCCAGCCCACAAAACACAGGCCCCAAAATACCACCCAATTGCGCATTGTAAAAGACGGAATCAAATTGATCCATTCCCTTTTCGTATTTCAGACGCTTCCCCAGTTGGGTGGTGGCAGCCACAATGTCATTGGGATTGGTAATGGTGGGAGCTGACGTCGGCGACATGGTGGGGGATTTGCTGGCCAGTTCGCAATCAATGGCAGCCCCTGGTTCCAAAGGTGGCACACATTTACTGGGAGCTGCCGTGACGGTTGGCGCTCCACTGGGTTCAATGGATGGTTGATAACTGGGAGACTTGGAAGCAGAAGGAGCTGCCGATGTCGTCGGTTGCGCCGATGCAGATGGAATAATGGATGGCTCGTGAGAGACCGTTGGCACTCCACTTCCGGAAGGAGCTCCAGTGGGAGATTCCGAGACGGTAGGAGTGGACGGATTCATGGAGGGAGCCAAGGAGGGAGTACTGGAGGGTCGGATGGATGTGGAAGTGACAGTAAGCTGCAACTTTCTTTCTTCATCATTATTGTTGGGGTTGTTGCTTTGAATGCGTTTTACTTCATCTTGTAGCATGTCGCTAAACAACATTCGTTCTCTCGGTGGTGGCCACGGATAAATAAAGACTTCGTCAATTTGGTACCAAAAGAGACCAACCTTGGCCACAGTCGCATATTCAAATGGTAACGGCTGTTGTTTGTCTTCATCGTAGAATGTATCATTCCGAATGGAAGTAAACTTGAAATAATCGTGTGACAGACACAAGAAAATGGAACAGAGAATTCCAATAAAGGACAAGACAAAGACGGTCAATCTATAGAGCAAAAGATGTGCAAAAGGAACATGAACCACAGTGAAAGGAAGTGAAAGGAAGTGAAAGAGAGGTGCAAACGACGTGAGCCACAAAAATACCCAACTCGATACCGGCAATTCCATATCCGACCTACCGTGAGTTACGACCACAGTTCCGTCCGCAACACCACAAGGGCATGTCCTCGGGAGTTTGCTCATAGGCAGGATTTCCCTTGGCCTGTTCCGGCAACTTTTTCTCCTTGGCGCCTTCGTGTGGAAGATTCATGGTTGCTGTAGCTTATTATTGGTAGCGATAGACGGTCGTTTTTCAATATGTGGACAAGAACAATGGCTTAATTGCGTTCAATTCGTCGTAGATCTTAAAAAGTCACCAAAAAAGGATTTGGTTGGACGGAGCGATGGTTCGATGGTTGGTGTTGGGGTATTCGAGTACAGTACCGTATGGAATGAATCTTGATTGTATTCTTTCTTGGACAGCAAAACGTTACAAAATTTGAGCACTTGACAAGACGTATGAATGATAAATAGAACAGAGCTAGCGCTGGAGATACGGCAGTGGTTTGTCGAGTGCAAGTGAACGTCGAACAGCGTTGCTGATAAGGTTACTCGTGCAGCTCCAACCTCGTTCCGAAAGTTGTTCCCAAGCAAGAAAGGATCCATTCCATTGGGTCATTTGCGTAGTGCTGGTACATTTTGGGAATGACCTGACGGGACATGGATGAACGAAGGGTCCAACAAGTCGAAGCAAGGGCTGGATGAGTGAGTCGGTCCATCCTACCGGTACCGGTATCGCTCGGAAGCGACGTCCAGTGCGACAGGAGATCTTGACTCCGAACTGGTCGGACACGATTCTGGAAAGAGCCCTTTTGCGAGGTCGTCCACCTTGGATGAGAGCCCTTGTGAAGAGGTCGCTATTCTTGTGTTTGACGTTCTACTTAATGTCAATCTCCGCCTGCCTGACAATTATAAATAAGAGTTACCAAACTTCGAACATTTTGGAACGTCTGGGAGGTAATTGTCTACTCTGGTAACGCCCTTGCATATAATGTTGTATAGGTATATATCCACAACACTGCATGCAGAGAGCAAGGCGTGATCTAATCGAAACGGGCCACTCAAACTATTATTCGCTTTGGGTTATTGATCACTTTTGGACGGTTTGCTCTTCCGTTTCACAGCATTATTACCATACAGTATTCGTTCAACGCATCATAAAAATCTTCACGCACAAACAGAACAACGCATAACATGAGCTCTGCAAGAATTCTTGACATCCACATGATCACTACAACAACAACAACAATTGCTGCTGCATCACTATCCTCCTCTCCTTGTGCTGACATGGGACTTGTTCTAAAGGACTCTGACATTGTTTGTGGTCGTGGAGGCCTAGCCAACAAGCATCCTGGCAATCGGTTACTTCGCCGAATATGCCACGAAAATAGAGGACTCTACCAAAATTCTGCCATGGACAGTCCAAATTACAAGCACTGCTTGATTCTCTCCATTTTCACTGCCATTCAACAAAACGGAGGAAGGTTTGTGACAAGAGGCAAGGATGGCTGGAAAGAAATCTCGGACAAGAAGGCAAAGGAAAAGACTGCCCAATTGTTGAGAGAAAGTGAACCATCTTCTTCTGCTTCTAGTATCAGCAGCACCAGTGCTGCTGCCAGCACCAAACCGTCCATGATCGCACAAACAAGAGGAACCCAGAAGTCAGCAACCATCAAGTTCGACACCTCGTTCTTCGATACGTCTACAAGTAACGGCAATATGCAGCAAGCACCAAGAAGGAGACGATCCATTTCGCCCGAAACAACAGCAGGAGCGTGCTACTACACCGCTCCTCGTCCGGACACTTTGTCCAGCAGCACTGACGACTTGTCAAACCTTCTCCTTCAGCCTATTCTCGAACCAGACATGATGATATCAACCCCAACTCCACCAACGCTTGCGTTTGGTGAGCATGGTGATGTGTTTGATCCAATTGGATTCGAAACAGCAGCCGCTGATGGAACTCCAGATCGTGCTAGTACTAGTATGCAAGAGTACTTCTTTAGCCATGATGATACTTTTCAAAGTATGAATCATCATGACTTGGTAGTCAGCCTGTAGCATTGCAATATATATATGTATATATATATGCTAACTATCCATCAATAATAGACCACAACTCATTTACTCTCATATATTCTTAGGAGCCACACCAAACGCTACAGTACACTGCTGAAATCAAATCGAATCAATCAACTCGTATCCACGATTTGTATATCGTGTGGCATCTGTCCCATCAGACACGGTCGATAAATAAGGAACTTTCCAGTCTAGTCTTAGTTCTGCACCAATAACCACAGAATGCCAGCAGAAAAGACCCTTTTGTTGATACGATTTTTCGCTGGGTTTCGCTTCAACCACACAACCAGTGACAGTTATTATTCTCGTCTCCGGCAATTCTTGTACCCATACTCGAATCCTGTAGATATTGTTTGTTAGTTGGTTGTTGCACACCACCTCTTACGCCAACAAAAAGTCATTCACACAAGTTTCGAATCGAATCCAACAGTTTATGAGAGTCGATCACACGGGTGAAATCAAAAAGGATCCCAAAATGGCAGATGAGGACGATGACAAATGGAAGACCAACGTGATCAACGATGGCAAGGTGAAGAAAGGAAAGAAGAAGAAGAAAAAGAAGCAAAAGGAAGGCGAGGAATGGGAAAAGGTGGAAATGCAACCACCACCCACTACCAGTAATCAAAAGAAGAGTGGTACAGCTCCATCTGGCGGCACAAAGAAGAGCAACAAAAAGAACAACAAAAAGACGGTAAAAAAGAGTAACTCGTCGTCTCCTTCCGAACCAAAAAAGAGAATTATCCGTGTGGGACACAAGACCATGGAAATTGAAGATCCACCCAAGACCTTGCTATTGATTTGGATCCTCATGGCGGCCAAACTCGTTCTGGATCTCGTGACTTCGGCGATTGCCTTTACTGCCTTTTTGGAGGAACCAGGATTGTGCTGTGATACCCCCATCAACACGGGGTTGGGTCCACTGGCAGTGGTCATTCCATTTTTCATCTTGGTTCTTCTCGAGCTAGTCTTTCTACTGAGAAGTGTCGTCTTGACGCTCTTTCCCTGGATGATGGTATCCGATGTCGAGGATCAGAAAAAGTGCAGCCTCACAAATTGGAATGCCAAATTTTGCGTTTGGATGGTCAATATTCTTACCATTATCAACCCCTACTTTGGGCTTGGAATTTCTTGGATGTTGATGTACCAATCCGACAAGGTCGAAGCTTTGACCGTTATGGGATTGGAGTTGGCAACCATTATTTTGCACTTTATTTCGGTCAAATTGGAAAATGCGGCCAGTAACTGGCTACTCAAGCTGATGCACGCATCCATCGTCCTTCCATGGTTGGCTGGTATGAGTATCAACGTTTGGTACATTAACCGAGGGGGAGTCTGCTACGATTCTGCTTTGGAAACCTTTTGGTGGAAGGGATGCGAAATCTGTCCCAGTGGCCTTCAACCTGTCAATGACACCTTGTGCCCCACCACGACTTTGGTGAATGGAACGAACGTGACCACGTATGAGGATATTGCAATTTGGGACCTTGGTTCGGCTACCAATTGTGCAGCGGATCCTCAAGTGTGCTGGTTTGAGTACTAGTGTTCTGATTCTTTGATTCTTTGATTGTGGTGGTGATGATCAAAGAACAAGAAATATTGAATTGGGGACAGCAGTTGTAGCAGACGACTTTTGCGATTACAACACTTTGTGTTTTGAATATCTTTTCCCTGGTTCTTGGGAAGGCATTGGTTATTAGTATATATACACCTTTCTGAGCGCTTGGCGGGCACCATGTGGTAGAAAAGAAACATACATATATTCATGTGTACGTGTAACAGTTTCAGATAGAGGCAAATCATTTAGAATTAACGTAGACTTTTACTGTATCTTTTTTCGTAAAGTCAGGCCAAGCAGACACTCTGGAATGCAGGTTGGGGACTGGTGCAGATGAGGCTATGATAGGAGAGTCACAGTAGGTAAGAACACGACGGTCAGACGATGACGCCATTTTTACAATACCGGTACATGTACAGCGTATTTCGCCAGGCCTGACGATGAACACGATCTCATCTTCATCATCAGCCTACCGTACATTAAAGCCTTGCCTAAGGAGGAAGTGAAACACAACTGTCATGAGTCACTCTTCTCTGATACTTCAGTGTCAATAACAAAATCATGAGTATTGTTGGCGGCGAAAAGAGTGATGGTGAGGATAGCAGCAGTAACTTTAGCAGCAGCAACAACAGCAGTTGGAGCAGTGCGTTGGAAATATCCGATAGTGAGATCGAATTCGACGTTCCAGCACAAGTGGCCACTCATCCAACACCAGTTCCCTCAGTGAAATCCAAAATCAAATCCAAACCGTCGGTGCATCCATCTCAAAAGCGAACTGTAGCTGGGACTCCTTCTTTGCGGCAACACAACCAATCGTTACGTCATCGAAGCGCCTCTCCAAACAAGAGGCCTACTCGAATAATAAAGGCATCAACAGGAGGAACTAGAGGACGAGCTAGTGTGAGAAGTGTATCTCCTACAATAATACAAACAAGTAGGGGTCCACGAAAATCAGTACGAGTGCAACAACGGCCACAGAGTCCAACTAAGAAACCAAACAGACAGTCACCTCCTCGAACAAGCTCCGTGACACCCATTCATTATCCACCACGCATCAGAGAGGTGCCGCCATCAAAGACAAGAAAGACGAGCCACTCTCCCAAACGTTCCAAGCGAATCTCGGCTGGAGTCGGTCTGGCTTTGACTCCCAAGATCACACGGAAAGGTTCCCATGAGCAAAAGCGCAGTATCTCTCCCGAGCCTCCTATCCGTTCCAAGAGCGACGAAATATCACCACCAGTGTTACCAAAGAAAGCAAAACACCTTCGTAACAGATCCATGCCATTGGAATTATTGTCCCATGACGAAATTGTGGTGGAAACTGTCAATGATGACGAAGAAACAGTGAAAGTGCTGTCCAGACGACGGTCACGGAGCTTGGACAGGGAACCATCGGCAATGACACTTTTCCCAGCCCAAATTTTACAAATGCCCAAAAGAAGCAGTACTGGCTCCAAAGCTGTCAAACCTCCAATAACACCACTGCCATCGAGAGCCAACAAGAAATCTGTCAAATCAAAGAAGAAAAGTCCGTCTCTCAAACCTGCCACAAGTACCAAGAGCGATGACTTGTCCCCCAAGAGAATACCATTGCATACACGGGCAAAATCCATGCCAGAGGAGTTGCTCACACCGGACGAAATGGTAGAAACCGTCGATAGCGATGGCGACGAAACGAATGTACAGGGGCCACCCAGACTGAGGTCCCGGAGTTTGGAAAGGGAACCTTCCGCGATGACTTTGTTTCCAGCTCAATTTTCACAACAACAGCAAGCGATGGCACCGAAGAGAAGTAGCATGGGATCTCCTGCCCAAGCTTCCAACAAAGCAACGTCAAAGCTGAATATGAAACCGAATTCCAAGACAGCTAACACACGGTCTCGATCAACCTCACCTGCCTTACGACGGCAGCGTACTCTTTCTGGTAAGCCAAAGAAGAAACAATTATTCAGAGAGCGCCCCAAGCCAAGCAGTCCATATATTGCCTCGGCACTCTCTACCAAGCCTTCTCCGAAACTAGCTCCCCGCGCACCAATATCGACCAATACAGCTTCCACAGTCTCAGAAATCAGTAATCAAAGTGCCTTTTCAGCCATTACGCAGAAGGAATCTGCGGAATTGATACCATTGAGAAGCGAATCAGATGTACCCATTGGAGATATTAAACAGCCAGCAAACACATCACCGAAACGAGGGAGAACGAACGCCCAAGTTCGATCCAGCAGCCCCAGGCGAACGTCCCCAGTTCCTGAACTATCGGTCCAAAGAAAAAGTGTCTCACCGGGGCCCAATGCCCGCCGTAGAGACTATACAGTGGGTGCAGTCACCATGTCGGGTCTTGAAGTTCCGGTTCATGATGCAGAGGGAGCTTATGTCTATCGACAACGAATTCCGGCTAAACGACCGGCCGAACCCAAACGATACAAGATTAGGACTCGACAACGATCCCGACGAGATCGCCTAATTGAAGTCAAGCAAGGAAGTTTTTGCATAGGGAACAAAGAGATTGAGATGGAAACCCCTCCGAGAAGTTTGGTGATTATCTGGGTCATTCTTGGGATCGAACTATTCCTCGACTTGATCGCAACCGGAATTTCCTTTGTTTCCTTTGTGAGAGACCCAGTAGTGTGTTGCGAAGAGGAGATAGAACACGACCATCTTCATTTGGGCTTCACTATTCCATTCATTGTTCTGATTGTTGCGGAAATTGGGTTTCTGTTGCGAGCCATATTTTTGTCCTTATGGCCAAAGTCTACATACACGATGGATGGAGCAGTTATCATTGACGACCACGATGTGGCTTCTTCAGACCCAAGTGGCATTGGCAAAATGTTGTGCTGTGTTGATTGGAGTCCTAAGTTCATTTCTTTCGTTGTGAATCTGTTGACAATCATCAATCCATACTTTGGCTTTTTCATCACATGGATCCTCATGTACCAATCAGATAAGCATGAAGCGCTTGCTGTAATGGGCATAGAAGCCTTGAGCATTCTCCTGCACTTCATTGCAGTGCATCTAGAACAGAGTGCGCCTACTCTAAAGTTGAAATTGATGCACGTGCTTGCCATTGTCGCTTGGCTCGCGACCATTTTCATGACTCTTTGGTATCTGGCACAAGGCGGAGTGTGCTACAATTCCAAGATTAACAACTTTTGGTTTGATGGATGCGAAGTATGCCCAGATGGGTCGCCGCCAATCAATGATGTCGATGGACTCCAATGTCCTTATACAACTGTAATTCTGGGACGAAATGTTACTGCCTATGAACCAGTTTTTGGGTTGACGTTGAAGCGTTCTACTATTTGTGAAGAGGACTTGCAAATGTGTTGGTACACGTACTAATTTGATGCGGCATTGGGCTACAATTTTATTGAAGGGTGGACATTGCAGAATGTATCGGGATTTCCCAGGCATATCGACTTGTGTGCTTGACGCTTATTTACGCTTTTACTACAACAACAGCAACACGGTGTGTCCTCCTTGAAGTTCAAAATACGAATCGCAAGACAGTTTGTGAAGTTCGAGTTCCAACCATCGTGCTTATAAAAAATTAAAATAAAACATAACAGCTGTCTGTTGTCTGAAGCAAAGTGGTCCTATGGGAGGTACTATGAAAATTTAGATAGATGTTGTGACAGTCAGGATTTCCCAGGCATATCGACTCGTATGCTTGTCGCTTATTTGCGGTTTCACTAAAACAACGGCAACACGATGCTGTTCTCCTTGAAGGTCAAAATACGAATCGCAAGACATTTTTAAAAAAGCCAAAAAAAACTAGCGACTAATTGTTTTCTGAAGCAAAGTGGTCCTATTGAAAATTGAGATAGATCTTGCAAATGATCAAGAGGCATTTTGATGTATTGGTGCTTCACTCGTCATACCGGTTTTGAATATTCATTCATTCGAGTGGTATTACGGTTGTAGGTACAGTGTAGTTTCGCCCGCCTGGAAATTCAGTCATTTCAATCGATATGCATGGAAAATCAACGGTCCATAGTAATTCACAGGGTTCGGATTCGGCACGAAGTTCGCCAGATAAGAAGTATCAAGTGGACACGGTGCCGGCACACGTACACGTACAATAAATGAAATTCATGAGGAACACATCGAACCGAACCCAGATTGACAATTTTCTTGTGTAAAAAGTCACATCATTCGCTCACAAAAACCATCAATCAACAAAAATAAAATAGCAAACAATGGAAGATCAAAGTGAACCATGTCAATGCCTCATCGCGGGAGGAGGTATTGTTGGACTCGTCCTTGCTTTAGCGCTAAAGAAGCATGTCGGTATCACCGCAGAGGTGTATGAGAGAGCGGAGGGTTTTGCGGATGACGTGGGCGCCGCACTTGGAATGTATGCCAACGGACTCCGAGTGCTGCGAGACATTGACCCGAAGCTCATGGAAGCAATTAAGGACGCAGGGCGTCCCTATGGGTATAGACGCTGGGAACGCCATGATGGCACTGAAATTGCTGTGGCGAGCGAAGACGTTTTGTCAGCTGATGACAGCGAATTGTGCAGTTTGGGGATCCGGAGATGGAGGCTACAGAAAGCCTTGTACAACGCAGTGAAAGATGCTGGAATTCCACTGCATTTCTCCAAAGGAATTTCGAACGTCATAGAGCGAGATGATGATGACCGGATTCAAGTCGTATTTGCAGACGGCACCTCCCGCTACACTGAACTCTTGTTTGGAGCAGATGGAGGAAAGTCGGCCGTTAGAGAGACCGTCGCCGGGGGAACTTACGAAATAAAGTACACTGGAGTAACCTGTTTGATGGGAATGTCAGACTGCCCATCTCCACAAGAGGGCATTAGCTTTCCGACATCAGAACAGACACAGTGTCATGCTGTGTACTTCCCAACCGGAACCGACGAACAGTGCTTTCAGATTCACATCCCAACAAAGGAGGATGAAGCAGACAAAACCAACTGGGGAAACCTCAGCGCTGTAGAAGGACAAGAAGAATTCGCCCGTGTCGCTGAAACCATGAAAAAAGACGGATGGCATCAAAGGTATATTGACCCCCTCCATCGCGTCGAGCACGCTGTCAAGGTGGGTTTCTGCCTTTTGAACCCCAAACTAGAAAGATGGGTCTACGGCAAAAACCGTCGAATCATACTCGTTGGAGACGCAGCCCATCCTCCTGTACCATATGTCGGACAAGGCGCTCAGATGGGAGTTGAGGATGTCGGCACCTTGACACTCCTGTTGCAGAACTTGTGCTGCAGCGCGCCCGGAAATCTGGATTTTAAACGACTTGACGAAGCCACGAAACTGTACGAGAAGCTACGAATCCCAAGAGTGGCAATGATTCTAGACTGTTCCCAACAACTCGGCAAACTACAGGAGTCAAGGACAAAAACGTCCGATTGTGGACTCTCAGAGCTTCTGCTACAGGGAGAGGTGATGCTGAACGACACTCTGCCTGTGATGTTTCCAGGCGCGACATACAATTACAGGGTAGAAGTAGCCGATGCGATTACAGATCTGGAAGAACTGAGAGCAAAGCTAGACGATCGCAACGCTTTTGAAGACTTGATGGCTAGAGCTGGGGATATCTTTGGGGAATACGAGCATCCTCTAGCTCCTTCAAGCACGCATAGCTTTAGGCCCGCAACAGCAGTTAGGACTGCACATTAGCACATCCTACAAACTGCAGCAAGAAGAACAGCAAATTCTAATATGTACTAATAAATAGAAGCACTTTTCATAAAACAATCATGTAAAATCTCTCGTCTTTGATAATTGAGGTTACCCAAGTTGTCCGATTAGTATCCGTTGAATGGCAATAAACTACACACCAACAGCACTGACTCTAGTGAACTCCATATTCTATCGAGTAAGAGTGATTGTGTTGCAGCCGAGCTTGAGCTCAAAAAGGGAACTCATTTGGTCCTGTTGTTCCAACTACATTCCTCGTTGATTTTCCGAGAAGCCAGTAGAATGATTCAGAATAGAATCTCTTGCAGAACAGATCATGACAAGACAAGCTCTTCAGTTCCTCCCTCCTTAATTATCGAAAGAAACCATCGACAAGGGACTCGGCAGTTTGGTGTTGATAGCCTTCATGTTGGCCGCCATAACATTGCTGATTAGGACATTGCCAAGCAACGTGTTCCAATTCGAGACAAGCATGACAATGTTCATGATCGAGAGGGCAGGTCTTGCCATGGTCATTTGTATCTCGAAATAGCAGACATCCATTCTTGCGATCGTAGTTGTGAAAGTGACAAATGGCAACGCCACTCGCATTATAGCGCTGTGGCATTTTCAGTGGATGATATACCTTCTTCTTTTTTCCAGTTGCATGCTGTGCTCCTCCATTCGATCCCTTTTCATCTTTGTGTTCGACTTGAGTTTCACATGATGATTCTTCTTTTTGCCTTCGTTTTAGCAAGGCTGCTTGTGCTACCGAATGCAAGTTTTCCCAAGCTTCGGTTGTAGTTAAATCATGTTTTTGGCCAAAAGCAAACAGGGCCTTGGATTTGACAATGAGACTGGATGGCTTCAACTGAGTCTGAACTGTTTGCAGCAAGGTAAACAGAGTTTCGATTTCACGATTACCACCAATGTCCACATAGACATGCAACTCTGGAGTTTTATCTTTTTGTTGCTTCAGCTGCTTCAGCTTCTCTTCAATCAACATTTGCACTCGATTCCAGTCCATGAGCACGTTGGTGAGCTCGAATTGGACACCAGGGAACTTGTCTTGGCATTCGCGAATGAATTGTGGACCCACATCCATTCCCAATACTTGGTCCGCCGGAGAATGCACACTGTTTACAATCTTTTGGGTGCAATATCCATTACAGCATCCAATCTCCACCACTACAACGCTCTGAGGCTCTGTCGGAATGGTGCGACTGGCAAACTTGCGGTACAAGTTGGTAGTTGGTACAATTACAAAAGGAGGTGCATTTGGTGGAAGAGGCCATCGATGACATAGGGTCCACAGTGTAGACTTACTGGATGGCTGACAGGACGACTTGGATACACTCATTGTGTCTTTCAAGGGGAGTTCATTTTTTCCACATATCCCACCAGTCTGCCATCACCATGAACGTCGCAGCTGATGTGAATGGCTGGTGTTGATGTCTGAGCGGTTCATGGCTGTGCGTGCAAAGACATTGTTCCTTCGCGCGAATTCGGATATCAAATCTTCAAAATCGAATAAATTTTCGCACGAATTCAATTCCACGACCTCCAATTACCGGTACCTCTTTCCGACTTTCATGTTCAAATCACGATCACTAAATGTAGTCTTATTGATACTTCCAGGTCTTAAAAAAACTCCAGAACGAAACAAGAGCACAAGGTTCTAAAAAACGAGAGAACGAAACCAAGACACAATAGCGTCATCTTTCGTTTGCAGTGCCGCAGGTGCAGAATGGCCAGACTGGAGTTTGGGACAGCCTTTTACTCTACAGTATCATGGTAGCTTCAGGGACTGACACAGCCAAAACACACGTATCCCAAACTCCTTCACCCATCGTAGGCAAAGGCTTCGCCGATCCTAGTGCTAGTGTCACTGTCATGACAAGAACGAAAGGGTTTGGGTTGCATAGTAGTGACTAAAACATTAACTGGCATTTTCAATGCTGATGATCCAAGGGCCTAGTAGACAGGTACCACATCAACCACCTCCCATCTGCAGTAGTGTGCGTAATAAGATGGGCCATCCAATGGACTACGACCATCGTTCATGTACCATCACAAGTGTCCACCACGCAAGAATGAGCTGAACGAGGATTGATTGAAGAAAAAAACAAGTAATAGCACTTGCATTTTCAATCTGATGGGCAACTTTGGCTTCACAGTTCGTCCTATCCGCAAATACAACAGCACCACTGAAGGTTGACCATCACAAGGGTATGAGTTGATCAACTGTTTTAACATTTATGATTCGCGGACCGGTAACTATGTCCTACAAGCACTGAATCAACGCAGTCCATAAAAAGTTTGTCAACTATGATGATGTGTCCAATCGTATTAGCTTCTACCTGTAGGGCCAGAAACGTGTAAAACATGCAGTCAAAATTGCTTCCTTTCGAGTGGAGGCAGCGCGATGCAAAACGTAACATGAACTTGGTATGCTCAACAACACATAGGGTCGATAGCACGTCACAGAGTCGTGGCAACCAACATATATGGCGCAATGAGAATTTGACCACGTCAAAGTGACTATGGAATTTGTGAAGTTTGTGAACCAATGCAAATACAAATGTATGTACATAGATACCTAGACTTAGTCAGCGTAATCATGACGAAAACACTACAGAGGTTCAGACGCCCCCCCTTATTGTCGTTTTGGATCAAGACATTTTGCCTTGATAGGTAACACACATTACTTATGGCGTGACAAGAAGAGAGCAAGCCGAGGAATTCTCATGTAAAACTCTCTTCGAACTTGCGGAAGTTTGGCACAGCCTACACCGAAGACGCTCGAAAATTCACACTATTGGACGCGTCGCAATAAGATCAGACTAAATCGTTTGATCTACACTTCATTTAGAGTATCGTTGCGGATAGATAAGAAAAAACAAAATACGACCAAAGTAAGATAAAAACGAAGAGGGGCGGATGAAGCCCATGTGAAACCTCCGTGAAAAAAACGGAAACAAACACATCAAAAAATCTTGAGGAAACTTTGACCGCACCACAGATTGCCTCATAAAATCTTTTTAGAAACAAAACTCGAAAACACACAAATTCATCATGAATGCACTAAAACCCTCCTTCATGAAGAAAAAGAAGACCATCACTCCGCAAAAGCCGAGTTCATTCAAGGATGATGCGACTACCTCATCATCAACGTCTCTAAACTCATCTATTCGTAGCACCTCAAGCTCAATGAGAGGATACGACGAAATGCAGTGTTTGAAGAAGATCTCCTCCTTTTGCAAGGAAACTGACCGTGACGTCTCTACACATCTGATGTTCCGCATTGCATGCTTCCACGACTTTGACTTTGACCGATCTAAGCATACCATCATCACAATGTCAGATAGCAAATACCTGGGCCTCCACATGGAAGGTCCTCTCTCCAAACACTTTGGAAAACGAATTGTGGTTCCTCTACCTGACCTCAAGGCAAGAGACAAATCCAATGTTGTCTACCTTCGCCCCAGTCGCTACTCAGGCACCAAGAACTCTCAATTGATGGTGGACAGTCTCTGCTATGTGCTCAACGACCTCAGCAGTACCCAATCACAATGCCGTGCTGGGGTTACCGTGGTTGTGAACATGAAGAAGTGGGCAAGAGACAACTTTGACCAAGAAATGTGGGTCAAGATGATCCGCATCCTTCAAGGAGACTTGGTACCGACCAAGGTCATGAATGTCCTTCTTGTGGATGCTCCAGAAGAATTCCGAAACGTGTGGGAGCTTCTCGAACAACTCATGCCAAACACCTTCTACAAGAAGGTGAACTTTGTCAAGCAAAACAAGCTTGGCGACTATTTCAAGGATGGGTTCCATGAACACCTTCCAAACGAGTTCAAACGTGGCTGGCTAAGTATAGATGAGGTTGTGGAAGACTACATTGACTTGAAGCAATACAACGACCAGCTGGTCGATTTGTAACGAAGCAGTTGGGTGATCGACAGCAGTTGTATACATACAATAAACAATAATTAATAAGCTTGTACAATAACACATCAATATGTTTACTACTTTTGCAAGACAGCTACGAATAAATCATCTTGAACTACAGTATCGCCTGTGGAAAGCATCATTACTTTGATCGGATGTTTCCCAAGGAGTATCGGGACTGACTATTTACAGTAAGAATCTGGGAACTAAAATAATGTTGTCAGAAAAATGCTTGCAAAATTCCTGAACTTGGTTACTCGAATACTTCGACCAACATGATAAGAGCAAATAGATACTACGAACTTGTATCTTCAGTGTAGGTACTGCTATCTACTATGGAATCGAGCCTCGTTCGCTTCCAGGCTATCTCATGTCTGACTATTCTACGTGTTACAGCGATGTAAATCATCGTGATGGAGAACGAAGCTCATCGCCTTTGGTTCACCCCCTTTTGATAGACCGCCGCTTGTTGCGGAAGTACTTGGATATCCGTTTGCACGCATCGTCATTGGAAACTTCCACCCATCCGCCAGATTCTGGTATCGCTTGGAGAAATCTAACCCCTTTATCTTTTATTCTCCGTGCAATTTCCTCCACTACCTTTATTTTCATGCCTCGATCCAAAGTATCATATACCTTTGATCGATCAGTTATCAACTGCTGCAAAAACTCGCTACCTCGACTTCTTTGTAGATTGCCAAATACTACATCGTCCGGATGAGGCTCGTCTGAAATGGGAATACCATCTGTGATTGACTTGCGGGTAGATGACTGGCGTTTCAGATTCCGAAACATTTGCGTGACTTTGGCTCTCGATTGTTCGGGTCGTAGCTCTTCCCAACCATCACTTGGTCCATTTTGCTTCTTGAGAAAGCGGCCCCCTTCGTTTCCAATGACATCGTCAATCAAGCCATCTACTATTACCTTCTTCTTATCGTTTGTCCCGGAAGTATATTGTGGTATCAAGGATTTCACAAGAGCACGAAGACGCTCGTTGCCAGCGTTGCAGCTCTTCTCGCCGCTATTGAACAAGACATCAGCGTCCCTAGTTTCTGTGATCGGTACCCTCAATGGTGGTGGCAGAGACCGAAACAAAGCAGGTTTACTCTTATCTTGTTTTGCGAGACGTGAAAGAACCCAATTATTGTGATAGTCCAAAATGACTTGGTTGGTGCCGGATGTAAATGGAAGCATTGCCGTCGCAATGCCGTATGTGCATAGGCGATAGGAACACTCTAGATGTGAACCAAAGTGGGGGGTGAAGCGGACCCGGAATTGGTTTGACATGGCCTTTACCAGCATTTTGCAGATCACGTACTTGCCTATTTCATCGGTGCAAAAATGAACGGCGGAACAATGGATTGGAATGGCAGCGACTAGTTCTATGTTTTCAGGGTGTCCGATTTGTTTCTCTCTGTATTCACCAATCGTCCAGCAAACCCCAATGTGACCCCGAAGCTGATTTCTTTCGGATTCCACAACGGACATCATGATGTAGTACCGCGCACGCAATTCATTGAGAAGCGTTTTGGCGACTCTGAGGCCTGGGAGCTCAAACATGACCTGTCGGTCTGCCGAGTCTCTTCCGGCAAGTTGAAGAAATCCACTTCGAAGGCATTCGAGATCGTCGTCGTCCAGATCTTCTACAGTGATATCCTTTGCCAATTTATCCATTCCAAAGAGTCGTTGCTTTGCATCAAAGAAACTGAGCATTTGGTGCGCCGCAGCCTTGGAATCGTAGCGATTCGCACGAAGAAACATTAATCGAAGCGACCGTGCAGTGACATATTCTCTGTTCATTGTTTTGGCTGCTTGATAGTTACTTCCAGCTTTGATGAGCAGCAGAGTTTCATCGAGTTCTTTAAGTCTGGTCTTAATGAAGATCTCCTCTTCTGCTATTTTGTCTTCCACACCATGCACGACTTCCTGGTGCATTTGTCTCTCTTCAAAAGTAAGTCCATTCAGGGCTTCCGATAAAAGCGTATCAACTTCTTCTTTCCCTTTCTGGTCTCCCTTCTGCGGAAATAAGAAACTGTTGGTCGGGTTCCGAGCAGTTGTGTTGGAACACAAGCAGCTTGAATCCCTGAATTGCTTGTCTAAGGTGCTCATGATACTATTTCACCAAAGGTTTGGCCTTTTATTGAGTGCTTTATCCTGTATGATCTGTGATGTATATACTGTCACCCACGATGCATTCTCATAATTTCGGCGAAATTCATATTTATATTTTATTGAATTGAACGAGCATCATGCGTACCAGTAAATAAATACAAGGCGGAAAGTTTTAAAAATAGCACTACACAATACATACCCCGGTATAGTCCAACAAGTACTGTACCTACAGCCAGTATTATTGGAATGTCAGATTGTCCAGGAACGCAAATTATTCTTACAATTTTATACTATACAACAATAGATGAACAACGTAGGACGCTGGCCCTCCTGGCAAACATTCCTCAGGAGCCAGTTCTCACGAAAGCCATTCGCCCAATATCTTTTTCTGTAGCAACCAATATACTACGTCAGGCTGTGTACTTTCCCACGATGGCTTGTGCCATTCATCGCCGTATTCGTAGTAGCATATTCTAGTTGCTCGTTCCAGCACCATTGGCCAGAGATTTGGCGGCAATGTTCCCGTGGAAGAAGATTCCACCTGCATCAAGGCCCTTCGACCTCCTCGATTCCAGCTCAAGGGGACGCTGATTTGAGAGTACATGGCCGCAAGTTCTGGACACAAATCATTAACTTCAAAACGTATGTCCTCTAGACTTTTGTTGCGCCACACCACATCGGCAAGGACTTCCATGTAGGATCGGGTCCAGCAAAATGGATTGGACGACATGCTGAGGTGTCGGAGACATGTCATTTGTGGTAGTTTGCGAAGGAAGCCGACCGCCTCCGCTTCTCCTATCCAATTTTCATCCAGATTCAGGCACTGTAAGGTCAGATATTCACCAATGAGCAAAGGATCGAGCGGAGAAAGCGTCGAAATGGAATTTCCACGTAGATCCAAAGACACTAGGGAGTGTAGCAAGGAGACTGTCTCCATGATCCGCGGTGAATCCAGACCAATTTCATTCAAGCTAAACTCCTTGATTGAAGTGTTGGGTATTATGCTGTCTTCGGATGCAGCATCATCGTTGTCGTCCATCAAAACATCATCGTCTGGTGGCCAAAAGGCTACCGCTGTCATTCGAAGCTTTTCCAGGGAGCAGTCTCGTTGGCACAAGGTCTCCTGAAAGGTTTCAAAAGAAATTCTTGCCTGCCCTACAAGAGAGGCTTGTCGCACATCCATACTTTGCACTTTCGTGTCGAGAATTGCAGTCTTGAAAATCTCTGGAAAGGTTTGCCATCGTAGCACTGCCTGAAAATGATCGGAATGGAGCTGAATGTGTTTCAAACTTCGGTTCTGCCCAAGTGCAGCCACAAATGCATGACCTGCGTCATCTGGATCCACAAAAATCAAGTTCCCACTTGGGGGTGATAAGACGAAGCTTTCGATTGTGGAAGACAATGCCAATCCTTCGAATAAGAGCCTGGCATGATCGATGGATATCCTTTTGACGGGATAAAACTGGATCTCCCGAGGTCCATCTTGTTGCAGAAAACAACTCTTCAAGCACGTATATCCAGCATCCCCCATCAAATCAACCAACGTTAGAGAGTTTGTCTTGTTGAAAGTGGCTATCAGAAGAGCAAGGTATTCTGGGCCCATGGTTGCTTCGATCAAATCGAGGGTAATATTTTGCATTCTCTTTGTGTGATCCTTGAGAATATTCAAAAAGACTTGGCAATCGTAGCTGAAACCATTTATATAATAGTTTTCGTTCCGGTCAAAGAATCGTCGGCATAGGATTTCCATTGTGACGGCATTTTCTGGAATGCCCGAACTACCGCAAATTGGTTCCACAAGCTTCCCTTGGCTGTCAGAATATAAGATGAAGACTCTCATTACTTTCTACTGTATCCTAACCGATATAGAGGTACGAGGAGAGAGCATACAACAAAAGAGGTTTTCGTGAGAAATAAATTTATTCCTGAAGGTTGCGATTGATGATATTATTTCATACTGTATGTTTGAATTTTCAAATTTCAAAATTGAGTTCGCAGTGTACGTATGACGAACTTACCGAACCCGCTTTCTCCTTTTCCCCATTATCATCCATCACCCAATCCAAAAATATAATCATCATCATCGCATTTATGCGTGCACATATATGCACACAGTTCATCATCAGATATATATATCTGTCATCTTCAACGTTCCAAACCAAACATGATGAGACAACGATTAGCTAGCAACGCTCGTTTTTGGGTACCTTTGGTTACTCCGAAACGTTCTCGTGTGCTGAAGACGTGCCAGACCCTTACAAAATCATGTGCATCTGTGGGTTGTTATGGATCATCATCATTCAACTCGTCCTCAGCATCATCTCAATTGAATTTGCATTCGAGAGTATACTCTTCCTCTCCATTATGTCCACAATGGCCTGAACAAGAAGATGCAAGCCATTCGTTCAGCGAGTTTCGAAACAACAAGTCACTCTCATCACAACAATGGCAGGATTTGGAAAAGGAAGTAATTCATACCCATGATCGGTTGGACCAAGATCTTTGCCAGTACACACTCCGAGAACTGTTGACAAAGCAGCAACAATTTCCACCAGTGACAGCTCCAGAAACTGGTCCTACTGGAATCTATACGTACCAGTTTCAGCAGGATCCAAATCGTCCGGAACGAATGGTGTATACCCGTCACACTGCCCTCGTCTTGGCTCAAGAAAACCAGGTGGATCAAGTAGTCCTGTACTTGGAACCCAGCGATCAAGTCCTTTCGATGTCTCTTTCTGTCGATGAATCCATGATTGCCTACTTAATAGTCAGAGGAGGAGAGGACCCATCGCCAAAGCTTTGCGTACGACATGTGGAATCTGGAAACGAGCAGGAGCTGCCAGTGGGAGAATTGGTGGCGGTGGAGTTTGGGCCCACTCTGTCGTCCTCAAGTACTAGCGATAGTGGTTCCTCAGACTACAGTATCTATTTACTTGGTTCCGATGTGAAAGGTAGACCCGATCGAGTGTTGGTTTCCGCAATCAGCGTCAACAAAAAAGAAGGTTCCATCACCAGCACGGAACCAGCAACACTCTTGTATCAATCCAATGACCCTGCTGTCATGGTGGATGTACAACGAACGAAAGGGTGCCAATATGTCGCCATTCGGGCCATGACCAAGACGACTAGCGAAATATTTTTGACCAACGGAAGTTCTGTAGTTGCCAAGAATACTGCCGCTGAAGTAACATTCAACGACAGAGGTTTTCTGTCGTCCAATCTGATACCAGTCATTTCAAGAACAGAACACCTCCAATATCACTTGGATGTGAGTGACCAGGGTGATGTCTTTATTCTTGCGGGTGGAAATGATGGCGAATTTCGGTTGCTAGAAACCACTGTCGACGACCTTCCTTTGAAAGCCTACGAGCTTCCGAAGCATGAAATCTATACTGCTGCTTCTGATGATGACCATGCAATCTACGACATTGACCTCTTTCAAGATTATCTCGTGTCCTATCAACGCTCCAAAATTGACGGGTTACAAAGAATTCTGGTTCACGATCGGCAAAATCCAGGACATGCCAAAATAATTGTACCACTGCCCATGATACCAGAGGAAGAATCGTCCATGTGCTACCAACTTTCGCCCGGTGGCAACATGCACTTTCGTTCTAACCAATTGTGTTTCAAGGTCGAGTCTCCAGTCAATGCTGGGGGTATCTATACCTTTGACTTTTCCACTCATGAATTGGAATGCATTGGAGAGAGCAGCACCAGCTACGGCTTTGTGGAACGCAGTGAACGAGTCATGGTACCAAGTGAAGATGGAACCATGGTGCCATTAAGTTTGGTATACCGAGAAGGTAGCAATGGTAGTGTCAACAAAAATATGATGAACAATAAGGACGACAAGGACGATTCTTTATTTGGAAAGATTTTTGGTTCCCTTGGGGAAAATGAAGGGCGACAGCAGCACTCCCCCACGAATATTATCTTGATGGCGTATGGATCCTACGGAGAACCAACGGATCTTGAATACAATCCTTGGCATGCCATGTTGGTCCAACGAGGCTATGTTCTGGCGTTTGCTCACACACGAGGAGGTGGCGATTTGGGTCGGGAGTGGTACGCCCAAGGTTGTCGCGAACACAAGGTCCGTTCCATTGAAGATTTGGAAGCCTGTGCCAACTATTTGCGCAGTCGATATCACCATGGGCAAACTTTGGGGAGCGATCACGGAAAGCTCACAGCCGTCACCTATTCGGCTGGTGGGGTTTTGGTTGGTGCCGTCATGAACCGATACCCCGACCTCTTGGACAATGTCATAATGACGAACCCCTTTCTGGATGTATACCAAACACTAAAGAACCCAGACTTACATCTTACTCAACATGAATGGGATGAGTTTGGTTCTCCGCTTGAGAGCAAAGAGTCCGCTGCCTTGATCCAATCGTACTGTCCCATTTCCAATTTGTCATTCATGTCTGATTGTCCCAAGACTCTGGTGATTGGTACGATTGACGATGAAAATGTACCCTTTTGGAACGCTGTGATTTATGCCAAGAAATTGCGAGAATGTATCCAAGACAAGGATAAAGTCCATCTACACTTGGAATCTGTCGGTGGGCACCATTTGGGAGAGAGACGTATCCATGTTTCGGCACTGGAAATGGCCTTTATCATTCAACAATGCGAGGGCGTTGAAGAGGATGCCGAGCTCTGGTGAGAGAGTCAAAAATTGCCTTCGAAACTACCTCGTGAGCATATCCCCAGCTGGAATTCTCATCCAGCAAGGTTTCTTCTGCAATGGATTGATGTCCTCCTGTTCTGACGATGGTGGTCCCTCTGGCACCACTCCAGTGATTGCAGTTTAGCCAGTCTGGCCAGATATATCGACAAGGCTATCTGGTACGATGTCTCACTTTTAAAAGTCTCGGTGGCATTCCTACCGTAGACATCCTCCAGCTCTTGGACAAACTGTCATCAATCGCACTCAGATTTTTTCTTTTTTGGTTGGAATGAAATTCGACCCATTCGAGTAAATATTACAAAGTCTGTCCTTTTGACCAAAAACATCGTCATCATTTTTATTTGAGGCGCACTCAACGAATTCACAGGCTGGCTTTTTTCAGGGTCACCATCACTATTAACCTTTATTACCCTGCATTATAAAGCTCAATAACCTGCATCATACTCTAGCATGGCGCAACCCCGTAAGCTAGTGAGGCCGCGGTCCAATAATAGAATATATCAACAAGAGACCAGCCATGCTGCTGTCGGAGGGGACGAACACGACAATGACAGTAAGAGTAAGAGTACGAGTAACAGCAACAGCAACAGCAACAGTACCCACCAACATCACATCAAAAGTGGAAACCTTGATGTCGACGACAAAAAGGGCAAAAAACATGAATTTTTCTTTTCCAAACATGAAGACAAGGTGGATCGATGGCTGGAAATACTCTTTCGAGCAATGAGGAATCGCCAATTGCAACGGAAAGTTTTGCTGCTAGCCATTGGAATCTTTTTGTTTTTGCAAATACGAATCACCATTATTCGGTATCGGCGAAGGCATCCAATACGGCGGGTCATGTATGCAGATCCAGATTTAACTCTAGAGCAGCAACAACAAGCGGCGGCAGCAATTGCTTCTTCTTCTTCGTCTTTTTCGCTATCATCCTGGTTACGAGGTTCTACTGCTGCCACGAAAGAAGAAGAGAAACTGAAACTCAAGAGACAAAACACCAAACCGGATGTATGTTTCGTGACATCCAGTTACGCCAAAGATAATTCCAACATGGATAATTTGGTCCGTGTCACCAATGGTAGTCCCTATCTAAGGTTTTACATCTTTACCAATCTGCAGGACTCGCAGTGGAACACACCTGGATGGGAGAAAATCATTACCAACTTTACCTACCGACGAAAAATTACGCATTCGAGGTATGGCAAATTCTTGGGCTGGAAGTATCCGCAACTACAGGAATGTCGGGCGGTAGTCTACATGGACTCGTGCATACGACCGACCCAACGGCAAAGCATTTGGCGGAAATTGGCTTCCAAGTTGGAATCCAACGAGGTGGGTCTGATGCAGAATCTCAATCCCAAGAACCGGAGTGGGATTTTTGGAGAATTCTTGGCCATTCAAAAGAGTCAAAAGGATATGACCACCAATATTGTCAACTCACTGCGATGGATGGTGAATCAGCCGGATTTTGATGAAAACATACCGATTTATTGGAACGAACAATTTGCCTACTCCCCAAAGTCAAAAATCTATCAACGACTGTCACAAGACTTTTGGGATCGCTATTCCAAAGAAGAAGATTCTTGGAGAGATCAGCCTCTATGGGCCTTTATGATGCATCGACACAACGTAACTCCGATGAGTTGGCCAGAAGAGGAGGTTCTGTGGGGTCGGAGTCGAGTGGATTATGGCCACAATGCGCATGAGTACTACTCGGAAAATGACGTGCTGGCCGACTGGATCTATGCACCTGAAACGGAGCCGCCGATTGCTTCCGTCCTGGGAATGGAAAAAGACGCTAGTACCGAAGGCTTCTTTTAACTTTTAAGCCCACTATCATCATCATGATTATAATGATGCTACATTGTTGTATTCGAAATCAAGCAACGAAACGTTACAGTATCGATAGAATCTGTCTATTGTTTGTTTGTTTTTCCCATAAAGAAAGAACAACCACTATTATGATACAGTTTCAATTCGTTCCAGCACTTGGTAATATATTATTGAAGACAAATATTAATACAAGGGGTATCATTTCTTTTCCTTTCTCAATATTGCAACAGCGCCGTTCACATCCTTGCCCCCTCCTTGTCGCAACACGCACTTCTGCCAAACGATAACATCAAAGCCGTGAGCTTTGGCAACATTCGATATGTAAGACTTGGAGTGTCCAAACCTTCCACTGGGCAGCAATTTCAAGCCACCATCATCCGATTTTGATTTAGTTTCATAGCTTTCCACTGTAAAGCCGACTAGACCACCCTTCATTAGTTTCTTGGCACTCTCTTCTAGGACTTGTCCAATGTCACCAATGTAGATAAATACGTCAGACGCAAGAATCGCATCCACTGACTCATTTGCTTGGTTGGATAAGTATTCAGTTGCGTCAGCATTGGTCACTGTGACATATACATCATGACCCTTATTGGTTTTCCGCGCTGTCGCAATGTCCACCATCCGTTGCGAGAGATCCACGCCATGAACCTCGGCGACTTCCGGTACTAGGTGGTGGGCAATCAATTCACCCAGCAATCCCGTACCGCATCCAAGATCTATTATCTTCATGGTCGGTCCTGAAGTAATATGGATACCAGCTTTCATCCAAGCTTTCTCCAGAGCTTCGTACACCAAAGTGTGACCTTGATACTGCAGGACATCGACCAGCTCTGATTCGAAGCGTGGGGAGTAGCCATCAAACAGATCACGCACGTAGTTTTGATCTAGATCCTTTACATTTGCGATTGCATCGTCTTCAAGACTTGCCAACTGAACGACTGCGTGCCCATCGTTTGGATTGAATTCTAAAGCTTTCAAAAAGTGGTTTTTGGCTTCGCCCAGCGATCCTCTCTTCTTTTCGATAATTCCCATATTGTTGTAAAGATCCACAACTTGGTTTCGCCCAGATTCCAAGGTAGCGTCGTCAAGATCCTCAAAGAATCGTTCGTTCGTAAATGGTCCAACGTGAGCCTCCACCTCTCGAAGATACTCCATCTGTTCGTCAGGTCCAACATCTGCTTCCCTGGCGGCAGCTGACACAAGGATCGAAGTTTTTATATAACTTGCCAGAAAAGGGGCACAGTCGTTCAGATCACGATTGCATTGTCGATAGGCTTCTCGCGCCTTGAAGAGTGCAACTTCATACGACTTGAAGGCCAAAAGCGGCTCCTTCATTTTCCGCAGTGTGGCGCCCTTGTACTCGTCGACAATGGATTCATTGGGACAATTGACACAAACATAGTCACAAAGGTACAATGCTTGTTGTAATTGATCATGGCTGCTGAATGATGGTTCTGTCTGAATGCTGCCGTCGGGTGCTATCGTCCTGGCTGTATCTTCCCTGCCTTCGAGCACGGAAGAAAGTATCATTGGCATCACCACTGCGAATGCGGCGATTGTGGATTCCGTGTCTACCCCATCAAGATGCAATGCTTCAATGAATAGTTGAACAGCCGTGTCGGTATCTTGCAGAATCTCGTCGGCAATGGTAGCGGCTCGCACCAGTGCATCGAATCGAACCTTGACTGGCGGCAGTCGGTCTTCAAGAGTCTCTTGGGATGGCCACCCAACCGTATAGTACAAGTCGATCACTTCGGTGACCAATTCATGATCCAATTCGTCTTGTTCTACTATGATTTGCGAGTCTAGCAATTGTGCCAACGAGTATTGGACTTTGGGGAAATGAGGATCCACAGCTAGCTTTTCACGACATATTCGGATGGCTTCTGCTATCTGGTCCCCATCTTGAAGATCTTGAGCCCATGCAAGAAAAGTTGAGAACAAAAGACAAAGGACGATCAGAAGGGATTGCCGTATTGTGATCTTGGCGTCCATTTGCATCTGGCATATGGCATGTGGCGTCGGGTAATGATGATGATGTTTGACATGACGGTAGATAATTTCAAATTGTTACGTGTAGTATTTTACGGTGTACTCGCATGAAGGTTGTGACGTCACTGAAATTCAATGGGGAACTGGAGAAATTTCTCTATTTTTGTACAGCACACGCTGCAAAACAGGAGCTACAGTAGTGTAAGGAATGAGCAATGGTTTTGTTTTTCCGGGCGTATATGTATACACACATGCATTTACTGCTTTGATTTACTGATTTTATTATCATCGCTCACATTGTTTCCAACGCCAGCATGGATAATGTTCCTGCTGAGTGGACGATGGTGATCATCAAGCGAATGCAGGTGCCGGCGATTTGCTGTGACAAGTCGACTCCCTCTACGAAAAAATTAGTCACCCCCTCGTGTTATATTCACATGATATGAGTCAACACAAGCGGACGGCGATTGGTTATCCCAAGATACTTTGAGTGATGAGGATGGTGATTGAGAAGTCGATTTCTTCATCATGGAACATGCAATACCAAAAAAACTGACTGCCATTGGCGAATCTATATCTCTGTCCTGGAGGTCAAATAATCCCATAGTTTCGCATCCGTATAATCTTTGATGACCATGGAACATCCCGCTTCAAGTAGCGTCTTTTCATCCTGGCCTGACAAAATGCCAATGACATAGGCCCCAGCAGCAACTCCTGCACGAGCGCCAGAGGGAGAGTCTTCAAATACAATGCATTGGGAACAATCCAGGTTCAAATGTTTACAAGCTGTCAAGTAAGGGCAGGGATCTGGCTTTGGCTTTTCGCATTCATCTCCAATGATTAGAGTTTGAAAGAAGTCGTCATTATACTGAATCCCTCCAATCATGGCCTCTGCATTCAATCGAGGTGCATTGGTCACGGCGGCCCTCGGCAACTTAATTTCTTCTATCCATGATCGTAGCTTATCCAACCCTGGCATTTTGCGTTCCATCATTTCCGAGGCCGCCAATTCTCGAAATCGCGCTTCTTTCATTTCGGACCATGTCACTCGTTGATCCGAAGACCAATCTGGGAAAAATTCCGCCATGATCAAGGCATTCTGTCGGCCAGCAATATGTTTTCGAAAGAAGGCTTCATCAATCGGTTGATCATTGTTGAATCCCTTTTCGTTTAGGAGTAATTCTTGAAAGACAATTAGATGGATCGGGTCCGAATGGATCAACGTGCCATCAATATCAAAGAGAATTCCAGCCAATGGTGCGGGGCAAGAAGAAGAAGAAGTTGATGATGACAGAGCTTCCGTTGAATTGTCTACTAATAAAGAGGCCACCATTGTGAGGAGGAGGGACGCAATTGGGGTTTTCATTGAATTGTAAATCTGTCGACTGTTATTATTGCGCAAGAAAGTCAGACGACGGACAGAAAGCCAGACGACGAACGAGAAGAAAGTCAGGAAGACAGACAGGCATCCATTTTCCCCACTCCAGCTCAAAAATGACTTGGTCGATCGATTTCGGAGCGCGGAGGATGAGCAGGAACACAATTGACTACGTCGACTGAAGTAAATATCAACTTGAAACTGCTGACGTCGAGGTTCTCTCTTCCGATCTACGATTAGGAAGTTGTTACGTGGCGAAAGTACATCAGATGGTGGCGGTATAGCCACTCGGGAAAATGCAACCGAATTCTGGACAAGGCAAGCAGCTGGTTTGGGTGAATAATGCAAAATGAGTATTTTACTTGATGATACCGGTAGTTGGTAGTCGGAAATATAATGTTGGTATCTTCTAATTAGTTCTTTATGGATTACAATTGCAATACTAGAGTAGTATGCTTCTATACTTCAGGTTGCCCTTGTGTATAGAAGATTGGTGTAAACTTCCAATCATAGATTCACTCTCAGGGGTGCAGAGGCTCTCGCCTCCGGTGTCGGAAGAGGAGATGCAAAGCTAATGGGTTTCCTCGAGAACAGCTTCATGATGCATTCGTTTGGTCTTCCGTTGCCGTCAATCACGCTAGGGTTTTGCGATGATTCCTTTGGTTGATTTGGCGCCAGACCCTTATAGTCCTTCTTGTTAATCGTGGAACCTGCTGCTGATGATAATCTTAGAATCTTGTCAATCGTTTCAGAGCCTTCCTTCTTTTGTTCCTTTTTCAGTGCTGTTTGAAGTTGCGATAGTACGCCGTCTTCCGATAGAAACCGACTCCATTTGGAACGATTGCGAGCCGAAATGTAATCAAACGGGATTCGCCCTTTGTTATCTTCAAACAGCACCAACTTGGGAGCGTGTTTCAGAATCAGCTGAACCGTGTTAAAGTTGGGGATGGCTGCCAAACACGCATTGTGCAAGGGTGATCGGCCAAACTTGTCTCGTACGTTAAGAGGAATCTCGACTTTTTCAATGAGAAACTGAGCCGAAGTAAGTCCCGATCGGCACACCAAATGAGTCAAGGTTTCTCCAAAGGAATTCCGTTGACGCCTCAGTTGCTCCATCTCAACGCCTTCTAACCCTGTGAAATCATTCGAACGCAGGGCTCGTAATATCGTGGCGGGTATTTGAGCCTCCCGGTATGGCTCAAAGTAAATGGCTTGTTCTAGCGACAAGTGACTAACTCTAGAGGGGATACCCTTGTTGCGCAAGGCTGCTGACAGGTATACTGCAGGGCTCATGGCCAGGGGTTCTGGTGATTGGGCTGCTTTCAGATGACACGGTTGTTCATAGCAGCAGCTGGCGGAAAGTTTTCGCTTTCTCGAACTGCCGATTTCGCATTCTGCAAAACTTGTCTTTCGTGGTTGATCTGCTCGAGATTGACGACTGCTACAATGATGTATTATTCCGATATTAGACCTTGTGCTGGTCTTGATCTCGTCCATGGTAATAGTGCTGAGAATATTGCCAGTTGTGGGACAGAAGATGAGGATGTCTTCTGTTTTGGATGCTTTTTTGGTACTGTAATGTATTGATTGATTGATTGATTGTTTTGGCACAACCTCTATTTTTCTTCTTTTGTGTTGGCTCTGATTATAATAAAAGAGTTGTGGTTGTGAAAGAGAAAGGAAAACTCGGGCAATTTTTACTGGTAGTTATTTATTAGTAGCGTTGAGTGCCACCGATGTACTGCATGTTTGGACAACCACGTCATGAGAAATAATCGAGGATTCATTTTCTACTTAACGATACGACACTGACGAACTGTCAACTCACTTATGCCCAATTTTGTTTCGCTAAATTCACTTCCAACGAATTCTTCCTGGTTCGTCGGCAACGTGTTGAAGCACCCCACTGACTCAATTACATCGGTCAATTTGCGAATTTACCCAATGACAAGCTGGACCCTCCGCAACTCGTCCGTCCTTCGTCGTTTTAAGGGGGATTTTGCGTATTGAATTTACGGGGAGCGAATACATCATTCTTTAGGGGGAGTTGTTTAAAAGGGGGCATTACAGTTTTCCGAAAAATATTTTGTCGTGTTTCAAATTGATTTGTCGTGTTTCATTCGAGTTTGTCGTCTTTCGAATTGGTTTGTCGTCTTTCGAAATTTCTTGTCGTCTTTCGAAAAATCTTGTCGTCTTTCGAAAAATCTTGTCGTCTTTCAAAAAATCTTGTCGTCTTTCGAAATTTCTTGTCGTCTTTCGAAATTTCTTGTCGTCTTTCAAAAAATCTTGTCGTCTTTCGAAAAATCTTGTCGTCTTTGTTTCAGCTTGAAGTTGTCGGATGGAAATACATATGCAGCATTCTCGCCTATCTCTCATGATCTTATCATCGGACGAAGATCCGCCCATGAACCACATCCTCACTCCATCGGAGATGACGAATATCACGGCCTTTCTCCATTGGGGATACGTGTGGAAGGGAATCAAATGTGCGAAGGGGAAAGGCGAATGTCTTCCACTTCAAGCACCATTTTGGAGTCTCTCCTTGCCGTGCAGTTTGGATCTAGACCGACCTGCAACTAAGCAACATTGCAGACACCAAGATCAACGAAGGAGACGAAGATCTTAAGTACTTCTTAATGGGGCTTTACTGTCTTCGAAAAGTAGTTTTTTGGTCAACGATCAAAACATGGGAAACGATCAAAAAGATTCAAGACGTGATTTTGTAAGGGAAGAAACTAGTCAGAAAGGTATGAGTTGGGTGCTGTCGACGGATGGTAGTCACCGTTGGATCGATCAATGAGCCTTCTCATTCGGACTGCAGTCAAGATCCCCGATACTACCTTCACAGATACAATAATAAGCCACGGGTTTGGAATTTCGGTAGTGGACAATCGGCAATTGTGGATGCGTGGTCCCATTCCATTCAAGAGCAGTCTTCACCACTCCATAATATTCTGACTGAAGATGCTGTAGATAGATGTAAAGACAATAAACAAGAGTTCTAGACCAGCAAAAGACCAGTGTATTATACATATATCCTACCATCCCTGCTACTTCACTGCAACATGTGATACAAATCTCAACAGATAGATATAAAATGTTCTTTGAAAAGCATTTCTTTCAAAATTCTGCTCGATCATGCATTTCCTTTGACATGTCATCTAAACTGATTGTGACACTCGTCGAACCAGTTGAGGCGTCAGTAGCCCGATTATAGTTGGAGACAACCGTATCTGGGTTGTAGTAGAACTCAAACTTGAGAACGGGAAGCTTGGCAATAAGAATATTGCGAGAAGTCGGATCATGGAGCTTGATAATAATCCAAATCCTGTTTATTGTTGGATTCGAGTTTAGTAACAATTGTCGTCACATCTCCAAATGGAATCCTTTGTGCCTTTCAATGATGCCACTTGATATTAGGCTCCTTCCCGCCTGGAGCCAATGTTTCACCGGGTCCTCCAAAAAAGGCATGTTGTCGCCTTCCTTCATGACCTTGACGTAGCGATAGTTCTCGCACATGAGCGTATTTTCCTGGTTTTTCTGCCGTCCGTCGCTTCTACTTTGGACCATGAACAGGTTTAGGCGGGCGTGATGAATTTTGTTGTCGTCGTCTTTTGAATTGATTTGTCGTCTTTCGAAATTGATTTGTCGTCTTTCGAATTGATTTGTCGTGTTTCATTCGAGTTTGTCGTGTTTCATTCAAGTTTGTCGTGTTTCAAATTGATTTGTCGTGTTTCATTCGAGTTTGTCGTCTTTCGAATTGGTTTGTCGTCTTTCAAATTCTGTTGTCGCGTTTCGGAATCTGTTGTCGTGTTTCGAACTGGTTTGTCGTGTTTCGATTCGACCCAAAAGTAGAACTTGGGGCCCCTAAATTTGACTGCAAAACATAATGGGGGAAGACTAGAGAAAAGTGCTTCCCCCCGTTTAAATTGGACGACAGACAGACGAGTTGCTGAGGGTCCTGACTCACAGCTGATAAGAAGGTGGTCTGGCACCAAAATGACTCTTCCGGAGAACCAATCCAAACTTGGCGTTGGCGAAAATGTGACGGCAGGACGCTTCTTACCGAACTGTCGCCAACAATGGCTATTCCATTCTCCGTTGTTTGACCTCCCGGTTGATGTAGGTACCGGTACCGGTATGGTACCATTAATTCCTTTTTTTCCATTCGCTGTTTCTATTAGACAAATCAAGAAAAAGTAGATTTGTCTGTATTCTAAAAAATAGTTCAAGTGGTGACTTATCGTGTATAGGTATAGAAGTACCAGGTACAGCGATACTTTTTATATATTCATTCTTGTCTCACTCCTCATTGCCAATGATAATTCTCCGACGTTTCTTGGAGTATTTTCCTGGAGTAGTTGTCTGCCATACGACAGCTTCTTGATCACTTGCTGTTGTTCCCGTTTGTTGTTGAACTGATGGTTTGGATGGTCTGGTGGGATCCAATGGTACGACGGAATCTTTCTCGATGATCCTCTTCTTGTTCTTCCTTGTCGCCGCTAGTATGTAGTACCATTACTATTAGTTTCTCGTCGAGTCGGTCTCCTTTTGACGTTTCTTGGAATAGTTTAGTTGCTCTTACTATATCCAATTTGTCAATCCTCATCGCTACTATCTTCAATGGCAATTCTTCGACGTTTCTTGGAGCTACTTGTTCGCAAAACGACAGCCTCTTGATCACTTGCTGTTCCCGTTTGTTGTTGAGGGGATGGAGTAGACGGTCGGGATGGAACAGTTGCAACGGCAGGATCTTCCTCATCTTCTTTTTCTTCCTCGTCGTCGCTACTAGTACCAGTACTATTGGTCTCTCGTCGAGTCTCCTTCAAAGATCTGGTAGGTCTCTGTTTCCGTTTTATTACCCATTCATCGTTTTCTTCTTCTACTTCCGAGTAGTACCCCATGTTGTCACTCTCTTCTTCTTCTGTTTCAGATTTTGCATAAGATCCCCCACCATTTCTATTCTTTGGAGCGTCAACAATTTCCAATGATGATGAAGACGAGGATTTGTCGTCGTCACTAGTATCACTCCTCTTGTGGTTTGATGATTCTGCATACTTTCGTTCCAACCTATGCATCATATCGTTTTGATCCGACTCATAGTTATTTTCCATATCTCGCATTGCAGCAGCGTGAGAAAATTCCCCGGGTTCTTCCTCCACGTCGCCCTCATCTAGCCACTTCTTTATATCGTCTTCTTTCTTGCCGAATGGTTCGGAAATGTAATCCCATAGCTGCTTGGCCTTATCTTGGAATTTGTCTGCAAAGTCTTGAATTTTGGATAGATATGCCTCTGCCTCCTTCTCCATATCGGTGACGCTGTCTTCATCGGAGACAGAGTCCAAGATCTGCCGGTAACTTTCTGCAAGTTTTATCTGGTCCAACAGATAAACATAGCTCTGATTGAACCCAGAGTACCAGTAGTGCTGCATCACGCCTCCACTTTTGGGTTTCCACGTCTTCTTGACCCAACGCTGAAGCAGGGCATCCGAGTCCCGAACTTTGTATTGCTTGTACAAGTCATTGCCCACGACTTGCTTTGTATCGACTCCGTGCACCTCGCGTAGATGTTTCTTCACATCGACCACTTTCTTGAAGCAGAATAATGATGCCATCTCAAACTTATCATTGTCTATCCATCCTAGGACCGTGATGGGATCATGCCTGTCGACAAATTTGAAGTAGTCCTCTTCATCGTTACGTGTGATCCGATCTATGCGATTGACCCGATGGTGAACTTCCCTATAACACAACGGACAAACATAGACATCTTGACTTCCCATTTGTCTATCAACGTAGCGGTTCAAATGGTGCCCGAAGTCGTCCGCATCATAATCATAATCGACATATTCATCCACATCTATATCCGCCGCGTTTCTAGCCGCTGCTCCAGCATTGAAATATGTGTCGATACCATTGGTGGTACGCTTTTGATTATAATAGCTGCCTTGTGGATTCATAGCGTCTCGTCCAAACTTGGAAGCGATCTGATCCAATAAATTATTGGACATGGGAGACCGAAAGTGTGGTGGTTGCAAAAAGTTCATGTGTTGTTCACCAGTATTATCCGTACGAGTCGTGCTGTGGCTGCACTTGATTGCTGCCATTCGCAACGTCTCCAAGGCAAAACACTGGCGAGAGGAACCGTCAGGAGAAATGAAGCAAATATGTTTCTTTGGGAGGGTCACACAGGTAATGGCATCCTCGGTGGACGGACAAGGTGGGAAGCGGTCCAGTCGACTGTTGTTGGATTTCTTTGGGGTCTCATCAGCTGCATCACTGTCATCATCAGATGAATAAAGCGTTGTTTGCGATGGAAGAATCTCGTCTCTTCCTTTCCTGCTGCTTGCAGGACTCTTCGCTGCCGAGACTTCTACGTTTTCGTCCTCGCTACTGGAGGAAGATGATTCATCGGCATCTCCAATCTTTTCTTGGTCGACATTCGCCGCTTTGGAATTGGATTTTGCGGATTGGACGACTTCCTGGTCGTCCGAAAGATCTGCATCTCCAATCAATGATTCGTCTTTTTCCAACCCTTCATCTTCTTCATCATCCACAAATGCTTCTTCGTCGTCTTCCCCCATTGATGATTCCGAGCTGGATCCTCCGGAATATTCCGAGTCAGAAGATGATGCTTTTTTCTTCCTCTTGGCTTTGGGTTTGCTCGGCTTTTTCTGAGTAGTCTCCTCATTGTCCATGTTCTCCCCGTCGCTAAAGTCCGACGACGAATCATCCATATCAACTGTCACTTTTTTCGATGGTCGACGCGGACTCTGACGTCTCGACTTTTTGTTGTTTGTTGGGGCGTCTTCGCTGTCGCTTTCCTCGCTGGAATCCCCTCTTCTCTTTAATACCTTGTGGGCTCTTCCGGGTTCTGCGTCTTCGTCGACAATGCGCCGAGATGGTCCTTTCTTGCGACGAGGTGTCAGGGCGACACTGCTTTCATCGCTCAATGAAACTTCTTCTTCTTCAGAAGATTCTTCAGACTTGGTTGCTTTTCTTGACTTCTTTTTTGGAATTAGAGGAACCTTTGCCTTGCGTTTCTTTGTTTGCTTCATCTTCTTTGCACTATTGCTATACTGAGGAGCATCGTCGTCGTCACTTTCGTCGTTGCCATTTTCGCTATGGACATATGCTTCCTCCTCTTCCTCCCCCCCATCGTCATCGTCATCGTCATCGTCATCGTCATCGTCCTCCTTTTCATCTTCAACAACAAATTCCTCGTCCGAGTCTTCCTTTTTTTTCTTGCCGCTTGGCTTCTTTGCAATAGTTTGTTTCAATGTAGAAAGCTTCTTTCGTTTTGGTTTTGACTTATTGGGCGTCAATTGACTCAGCGCGACATCTTCCACGGATGACTGAGATTCCTCTTCTCCATTTTTCTTCTCTTCGTCTTCGCTAGGGTTGTTTGCATCCGCGTCACTGTCACCGGTATCACCGTTTGATGATTTATTAGATGAGTCACTGCTAACGTCTTCTTGGCCTTTTGGTTTTTGGCTCTCGTTCTTGGGATTACTTGTTAGAGAACCATTTTCATCAGCATCAGCATTTGAAGCTATATCAGAATCGCTGTTGGAATCTTCTTGGTCATTGGGCTTTGCAGCATCCTCTCCCTCGTCTGGAGAGTGGTTCTTATTATTCGGATTGTGCCCATCGTCGTCCATGCTTGCTGTTCTGTTTCGGCTTGTGGATGGACCGATTCTTGCCAAACTGTCGTTCGATTGGCCCCTTACCCTCCGACGAGGCGTTGTTCTCCGACCTTGGGTTGCAGAATCTGGGGACGTTGTGGATGCTGGATTCAGCGGCGGCATGATGTTAAACCATACACTACTGTATATGTCAAGGTTCAAATATTGTTTCATATTGCAGGTTTTTGCGCGGCGACATGAAAAAGTTATGCAGGCGTTGAGATTATTTCGGGACGGCCGGGAAAATCAATATTTACTGTCAAGAATTGTATGCTAAATTTCTAATTTCCGGCCGTTCCCCTGAAGGTGGTCAGTCACACGAGTCGATTATGGCGCGTCAAAAGGGAATCTTTCAGAAACCATGACAGAAACCTTCAACACCACATATCTGGTGTTCAGATCGCAGCCGGATGCACTCTGGATTTCTGTCATTGCGAGAGTCCATCTTTGCATCAGCAGAATATGACCCGATCCATGTTTGAGCTCCTCAATGAGCAACCCGCATTGGTTGCTGAAGTCTTGTCCTTCTTGATTGAAGATACCAATGGATTGGCCAAGATGCGAACCGTATCCAAGACTTGGGACAAAACCGTCATTCCGTATTGTCTTGACGGCCGTCGTTTTCTCAAGACTTGTGCACAATCCAAATATAACTTTATGGAAGAATTGGTGACTTTCGGTGAAAGCGCCTATGCTGGTCGGGTCTACAGTTTGACCAATGAAGAATCCTTCGAGTTTTTCATGCAAAGCGGCGACAAAACTGATGGTTGGCTTCGAACTAATAAAATCATGTTCTTGCGAAATTACACATACAGTCGTCCGGACGATCTATTTGATGTGCCCAAACAAGAGAATTATTCCTTTCTGGAAAAGAGTGCTGAAGACTTCTCCAACTATTGTTCCACCCTTCAAAGTACCAGGTCTTGGGATGAGTTCAAGGCAACTGCCGAAATGGCTTACACAGAAGGATTCTTTCTCTCAGTGGAGGACCTTGAGAAAGCAAAATCAGAAGGAGCCAAAATTGATCTTCAAAAGGGAAGAGGAAGCGAATTCATGCCTATCATTCTAACGGTGAAGCTTCCGCTGGACGAATACACTCCATTGCAAGCTGGATCCGCTACGATTGTTCTACTCAAGGCTAGAGTCAACAAAGAAGATGTTGTCCCAAAGTATGGATCTGGAAATGTCCCCAGTCTTCATCCTTTTTTGGAGTTTCGAGATCTTGTCGCCAAGCAAGGCGATGAATCTTATGTCTACCCCACCTATGCTGGATACAACCCAGTTCCCAGTGATGATGGAACCATGTCCTGCCAAGTTCCAGTCGCACTTCACTTGCGAGATGGCTTGCAGGAGCTGCTTTGGGATTTCGAAACCACCGATTCGTATTTGCCCATAGAAGACCTGTGGCGAAAATGTCAAGAACAACCAGTCAAAGAAGGAGTGGCCATTGCCGATGGATTTGTTCCACAAGACTTGCATGTCAAACTCATGAAGGATATTGACGATTTCAATGCTAAGCAAATTGTCGATTATCATCCACATTCGAATAACACTGTGCGGGACATCGTTCATCCCGCGCTTTATTCGTACGTCAAGGGAGTCTCACCACTTTCCAAGTCGGAAGCAGAAATTGCTGCCCTGTCTCAGGATCCCAATGTTCCTGAAGAAGATCGAGTGGAATTGGCAGCGAAGGATTACTGGGGTCGACCCTATGAGGCTAGTTCCAAGTACCAATGGTTACCAACTTATTTCAGCATCGGCAATGATGGCAGTTGTACCATTTGCGATTACATTAATAATTTAGTTCCCCGCACTGAGAACGAAGCCTTGTACGGATCCCTGGCACAACTCTTTTCGCAAGCGCTACCGTTGATCGAATCAGTTTATGGATACTGTCGTGTTATCAAAGAGGAACAGTACATTCGGATGGATGATGATAGTGAAATTTCTTATGATAGCGTGGACCTAGAATCCATGGACGAGAAACCGGTGTCACTGAGAGGAAAGGAAATCCAAGTGGTGACCAAGATTGTAGACTATGAGCTTGGACCAGGCGAGACATACGAAGGTGTCTGGCATGTGGAGGGAATGTCACACGAAGAGATTGTGGCGACTGCGATCTACTTTATTGATCGAGACGAGGAAATTAAGGGAGGGGACATTCTATTCAAGAGAGCCTTTCACAAGCAGGAAGCTATGTACATATTTTCTCATGTTGATCAAGTCCGGCCGCGGGAAATGGAAGATATCATTGATGAAGGTCTCATGCCGCTGGGCACCGTCGAAACTCGGCAAGGGAGACTCGTGGTGTTTCCAAACAGTCATGTGCACAAAGTGAGTGCGATCAAGAATGTTTCCACCGAACAAGGCGGAGAAAAGAAGAAGCGACGCATCGTAGTGTTCTTCTTGATTAATCCAGAGCGGCGTATAGTCTCGACTCGAGAAGTTGCGGTGCAACAAGAGCATGCAGGTGGCACCATGAAGCGTGAGGATGCCTTGGAACACCGTTTGGCGTTGATGAAGGAACGAAAGTTTACAAAACAAGACTGGAATGTTCGTGACATTGAACTGTGTGAGCACTAGCTAGTTGCATCGATACTAGTAGATTGATATAAACTAGGAGGAATGCGATTCCTCGGTATGAATATATATATTAGTACTTGTGCCATCAAAATCATTCGATGGAGTCATCCATTATTCCCTACTTCTCCGATAGACGCGACTTTATTCCGTCAACACCCAAAACCATCGCATTTTTGCAAGAATCATCACTTGTCGCTGTTACAACACTGCAACAGATGACTGAGCTTGATGGAGAGGATGGTGCATCATTGCTAACATGGACTCGTTTGATTCTGATAACTGCTGTATCGTTTTGGTGTCAAGCTGTGGTAACGGAAGAGAGGTAAATATCAGTCCTGACTGATTGACTCATTCAGTCTTGTTTCACGTCCATCGAACCGATTTTCACCTTACACTCCTCGTTTCGTCGTTCTAATTATTTCAGGCTGGTTCCAGCTCTGAATGTGATTGCAGAACGTTTCAACATCTCCGATGATATTGCAGGTATGAAACAGCTTCCTAGGGAACATTGTTGTCATTTTTCACCTTGTCTTTTGGAAGTAACGCGTGATGTTTGGGTTTTCATCATCTTGGACATTCTAAAGAACTATCATTATTTCAATTTTGCTACTGCTACATCGTGGGGTCATTCTATATTATTCAGGCGCAACTCTAATGGCAGCAGGAGCCTCTTCTCCGGAATTATTCTCTTCTTTTGTGGCTCTCTTCATTACTCACTCGGCAATGGGAATGGGAACCGTGAGTTATGCAGTATGATAAGCCAGGATGTTGTCAACACAGCTCACCTTTGGTCGCTTTCTTTAGATTGTTGGCTCGGAGATTTTCAATCAGTTGGTGATTTGTGCAGGTGCCGTTTATGCTTGTAAGTCGCACCACTCCTGCTATCATTTGGTTTGCTTCTGACGCGAGAGGCATCGTTCATGTCATTGATTAATCTTTCCTTCTTTCGCTTCCAACAATCACATTCGACAATGGAACGCATATCGCGAACCATATTTCCACCCAAACAACAAACATTTTGTGCCTTTCATTTCAAAAGCCAAGTCAGGGAATCTCAAACTGGATCGCAAGATTGTCTTCCGAGAAGTTGGATTCTATGGCCTAGCGATTCTTCTCCTCTATATCGCACTGCAAGATGTGAGAGAGATACCAATTGGCAACGAAATAAGCGACGCCGAAGATATGGAATTGGAAGAACGCATCTTCATTTCGTTCGGTGGGTCATTTATGATTTTAGCAGGGTACATTGCTTATGTTATGGTATGCGCCAACATGAAGACTGTCGTGGCCTTCTTTGAGAAGCTACCAGTGCCTTCATGGAAGCGTATCTCTTATCAAGCGCTACCGAAAGAAGTAGAACTGAACGAAGAAGTGACGGTCGAAGAGAAAAAAGCAGAAGCTCATGATGATTTCAATGACGATAACTTGGCTATAGAGATGATTGCTTCAAAGCGCAGTGACGATTTAGATGGTATGTCATGCGTTTACATGCTGATTCGTTTAGCTCTACATTCCTCATTTACTCATCCATCGAATGCTGTTCAGTCTCTTTGGCAACTGATCCAAACACGTCACTGGAGGAGGTGGTGGATCACGAGGGTACAGTCGTCAGCCACAGAAGACACCCACATTCAACTTTGGATAGTGATGACACGCTGCCAAATACTGAAAAAAAAGATCATTACGAAGACCACCAGGACCACACATCTTTGATTGCTTTCCCCACAAATTCCCCTGGGTTGCAGATCTTCTTATACTTTTTCCTACTGCCACTCCGATATGCCATGCATTTGACCATCCCAGACGTGAATGGCCCACAACGAGATGGAGCACTCGACAAAAATTATCGTGCTTATCTAGCAACCTTTCAATGTTTGCTGTGGCTGGTCATGGGTAGCTATGCCATGGTTGCATCTTTGGAAAGTCTCGCAAAGCTACTGAATGTACCAGATTCGGTTGTTGGAGTTACAGTTTCGGCGGCGGGTACGTCACTCCCCAACTATATTGCATCCAAGATTGCAGCAGAAAAGGGCCTTGGAAATCAAGCTGTATCCAATGCGTTCGGGTCCAACACTTTCAATATCCTGGTTGGCCTTGGTCTGCCATGGACTCTTTACACGAGCTTTGCCACTGGATTCGAGCCGTACAATGATCTTCGAAACGACGATATCATTGAATCCATTGTCATTCTTGCCATTGTCCTACTTGTCTTTGTGGTGTTAATGGCCATGAGCGACTATGTCTTGTATCGGTGGCATGGACATCTTTTTGCGGTCATGTATGCTGGATATTTGGGATTGGTTGTATTTCAGAATTGGGATTGGGACTTTCGAGTCGAGGAAGCACAAGCCGCAGTGGATAATGTGGTACCATGAAGATGATTCAGCAAACTGTTGGAGATAGCAACTGGCCGAAGGCATTAAGCCAGAGGCTAGTCAAAATAAGAGGCATTAACCACAGCACGAGGACGATCATAGCATGCAATGGGATGCCCAATTTCATCACAAGTCGTTTGTGAATAAACAGAGTACGAAAGGAACCACTTGGGGGCATCGGCATGCAGTCACTTGCCGCAGGCTGTACAACGTAGTATAGCTTCCAGTTCATTTTTTCACAATCTTCCCATCAGGTAGAATAGAAAGATCGGGGTGGTGCTTGGCAAAGACATGTGGATGGGACCGGGCTAGACTCTTGAATGTATTCTCTCCTACAGATGTGAGCATGGTATTGTTGGGTCGCCGCCAATGCTTTTTCGGTGCATTCCCAATCGCATTGTTTTCATCGGTAGAATGCACGATGATGGGTCTATCCCACTGCAAATGTTCCACGGATGACTCTTCCAACGGTTCCATGGTCGCCGACAAGCAGGGATTATAAAATAGTGGAAGAGATATTCTTGGTTTGCGGGTCCGAGACTTCATCAGCACTCGGTGTGGAGTTGCCAAAAAGTACCCTCGGCTCCAGGTTTCCGCCTGCTCCCCCAAGTTGCAAATGAGCACATTTGTACCATGATGAGTTGGCACGTTGATCCATTCTCCCTGCGAAAACACTTGTAGTCCACCGTCTCCTTCTTCGTTGTCTTGTAATACAAGTGTCAAAAAGTTGGTATCCGTGTGGGCTCCTACACCCTGGATGGGAGATGGACTCCGTGATCGGTCGTTGGATGATTCATTCTTGCTGGAATGATCATTTGTTGGATAGGATATCATCTTGATGGCCCAATGTGGTACCTCACCTTCACGATAGCAATCATTGCTGATTTCGTCAGAAAGACTAGAAGAATTGAATTTGTGCTGCAATACTTTGGGATCCAAACCCATGGCCAAGCATAATGAATCTCGTAGACAATCGGCAACCTGACAAACATTTTGAACGTAGTCCATCGTTTTAGTTTGAAGTGATGGTTGGAACGAAGTTGGCCATGGATTTGGCGCACTTTTGAGACGATGGTAGGCTGGCCATGCTTTGGTGTAGAAATTGTTAGTAGCAGATGATTCTGGAGCATGCAATGGATATTCGACCGCGTATTCAATCTGCTCTCGATGATCCAGTTGTCCTGCCGTATTCTCCACGCCCAGGGGCATGTACCCACGAAAGGCAGGATTCTGCTCGTAAGATATCATTTTCTTTTCGTCCATGGGGCGCTGGAAGAATTGTCGTCCTTCGTCCAAGACTTCCTTGGGTAGTTGGTTGGGTGTCATGTTGTGCTTTAGCAAGAAAAAGCCAACATTGTGACATGCTTTTCGTAGTTCTTCGACGAAGGCAGAGCGATTGCTGTGATACAATGCAATGTCCAATAAAGGGATGGAATTGGATTTCATTATGCTGTATCAAGTCCGCGTCAAAATATAAAAGATATTGTCATATATATGCAATGATGATGACGATGACGATGATGATGACAGTAAGAATATGATGGGCGTCAGAGTTACTCCGGTTAGTCAAAGTGGTGACGTCATTGGCACCACATCGCATCGCATCTCAGATCTTACATGCTGTATTTCATCTCGTCATCATCATCATCATCATCGCACCTTCGTAACACAACACGACAACGAGACGATTCCGCTGCGGCTCTACGATTCAAAATCTCTTGTTACGATGAAATCTGTGCTTGCAATCCTGATATTAGGCCTGACGACCGGCCGTTCAGATGCGCTTTCCTTGCCATCATCAAAATCATCAGTACCAGGCAGTAGGACAATAAGCAATAAGAACGACAACCAAATCTCCTCGGAAATGAATACTCTGCATTCTCGACGTTCTGTCCTCGGTGTTGTCATTGGATCCATGCTACTTCCAAGTGTCGTCTCGTCATCACCAGCCTTTGCCGAAGATGCAGCAAACGGCACCACGCCTACATTTGTATCTACAGGAGCGGCAGCGGCTCGAGAAAACCTCCTCTCTGCCATTCAACAGGGCAAGCCCGATGCCGAAGTTCTTGCCGCTATTGATCGATTGAAGCCCTTCAATCCACTGCCACCGACATCATCGACAGCGGCGAAGAGCTTGGAAGGAGAATGGAGACTGCTGTGGTCCATCAATGATGATTTTTCTCCTCTTTTGAGACTACCCAAACCATTCAAGCCCAACTCGTTTCAGTATTTTGGACCGATTGCGGCTGCCGAAGTTGGAGAAGGTCGGGTCGCTCAAGGATTGACTAGTGGACTCTTGGGAAATTCTCAGTTGTGGTTGTCTTCGGGGACAGAACCACTGCCATACAAAACTGTGGAAAGTGGTAACGCTCCTTATCGATTGGAAATTGAACCTCCCTTTCGATTCCAACTTGGAGGTAGGCTGGGGACTAACCAGCCAAAGAGAATGATAGTCGAAGCTGGAAACGATGCGGATTTCCGTAAGGTCAATGCCCGAACGAAAGAAGCGCAATTGGCTGGCAAGAATGTATACGAACAAATATATGTGGAATCCAAAGGCAAGGGGTCGCTGCGCATATCCACGATCACGGAAGGTGATCCGGCTATTATTGGTACAATTCTCATTCATGAGAAGATGTAGGAGTATTGTCTTTGTCTAAGTAGGGAATATGTTGCCCTTGGACGGATGCCACGAGCAGCATGCGCCTCAACACGAACCATCATTCCCCAAAGCAACCAATGTTGCAAGTGCTCATGGATTTATTATAAGTACGACTTTGCTTATATAATAACTTGTTGTAAAACATATGGATACAGGTTCTGTGGTTAGTTCTCCCCCGCCCTTGAGGATGTGCTGTATCGCTTCACCATTGCTTTCCAAAGGTTTCCCTTCTGTCTCCCTCGCTTTACACTGGTACGGAGGGTACTTCCGTCTTCTTTCGCAGTCCTACTATCCCCATTTGATGGGGCGACTGCCTTGGAAGGACGTGGCCGATAGGCAAACTCTTCAGTGATTTGGCCAGCATGATCAATTGAGATCGACGATCGGCGATGCTTTCGAGACCTTGGTCGCGTTGTCGTCGATACGCTTTCTTCTTTTGGATTGACAAATTTACGAGTCCGATCGCTTCTAGAACGATCAACCAATGGTTGTGATAATGAGGATGGTGTAATCTGTTGTTTCACGTCAACAAAACCATTGGAAGACTTTGGAGCATCTTCAGTCGATTTCGACTTTTTACTTTGATGCGCCCTCGATGGCCTGCGTGGTTTTCGTCGATGCTCCTTGATGGTTTTGTTACCGGCTTGTTCCTGATGCAGACTTTCCTTGGGAATATCATCACTTTGGGCGGCTTTAAGCCGTTCCACGCGTTTGGTGATTTCTTTTCGAGAAAAGTACTGCTTTTGCTTGGAAACGATGTACTCTAGTGCTGCGATTTCGTTCTTCAAGTTGGACTCGGCGTCAGTAGATGAACCAAAATCTGCATCGCTCATGTCTGATACTTTGCTGTGTTGAGAACGGCAAGAAATAAGTGGATCCGCTTGCAAAGCCGTGGGCTTCTTTGTCAACGAATCAGTTAGTAAGTCATTCTTTTCAACTTTGCACTCAGAGAATGAGAGCGATTTTTCTTCAATGTCAGACGAATTGGCTGACATCACCTCATAGGATGACTCTGTACAATACGATGTGTTCTCAGTTAAGCCCAACAGATCCTCTTCTTCATTGAGCAAAACATTTTTCACATGAATCGATGCGCATTTCAATTTCTCATCAGACTTGTTCGCAAAGGCTTGTTTTGAAACAGTTCTGCTGGTCACAAGGGCTTTGGGGCTATATCTTTCCATACTTTTGATATTGTTGGATGTATAATAATGATGATTGTGATTCTGGTATTCTCAGAATTTGCGTTTGGATGAACAACGAGGCACTTTTGTCAGTCGCGTGCGCTGTGAAACAAAAACGCGCCACCAAAAACTGCGTTTGACATACGAGGCACGTGTGCAATACATTTGCTTTCGCAGCTTCACTCTAAGTAAAGAAACGCCCTTTTTATTTTACTGAATATTTCTTTTTCAATTTACTTATTATTTTTAAAAAAAATATCATGTAGACATATATATACACCAGTTTGCCAGTCGCGCGTACACGTACCAGGTACGTGTACTGTACCCTGTGAAGCAGACGTGCCATACAAAATACAATCGCGCCAATGGGGAGAATTTTACAGGACACCTGTCTTGGAAGGACGAGGCCGATACACAAATTCCTCAACAATTAAGCCGGCATGATCATCAATTGAGACAAATGAAGAAACGTTTCCCTTGCGTCCCATTCGCTTCATACGGGCGGCATCAAGGGGACTTTCAGCAGGTTCTTTCGTATTTCCTGTCTTGGAAGGATCATGGGGCTGTTCTTCAATGATTTGACCGGCATGATCAATTGATACAAAGGACGGACGATGCTTTCGACAGCTTGGTCTCATTGTTGTGAAGATGCCTTTTTCTTTTGAATTAGAAGTCTTACGAGTCCGAACGCTGCTAGGGCTGTCAATCCATTTTTGTGATGATAGGGATTGTGTACTCTGTTGCATTAAAGCCAGCACAAACCCATCGGAAGACTTTGGAGCATCTTCACCGGGCGATCGTGACTTTTTACTTCGATGCTTTCTCGAAGGCTTTCGTGGTTTTCGCCGACTTTTCTTGGTGTTTCTGTTGCCGAATTGTGCTCGATAAGAATTTTCTCTTAGCATATCGTCTTGGGCAGCTTTAAGCCGTCCCAAACGATTGGAGATTTCTGTTTTGGAGAAGAAGTACTTCCTATGCTTGGAGACGATATACTCTATTGCTGCGATTTCTTGCTTCAAATTGTTCGCAGTGCCGTGGAAAGAATCATAATCTGCGTCAGTTATGTCTGAGACTTTGCTGTGATGAGAACAACAAGAAATAATGGGGCCCTCAGGCAAACTGGTAGCCTGCGTCGACGAATCAATAACTTCTTCTTGGCCCTTCTTTTCTTCCAATGGTGATTTAGAGTCAGAAGGAGACAGCGAGATTTCCTCAATATCAGACGAATTGACTGAAATTTCTTCATAGGACGACTCGGTGCAATAGGATGAGTTCTCAGTTATGTCCCACAGCCCCTCTTCTACATTGTGCAAAAGGCTTTTCATACAAAACGACGAGCTATTCAATTTCTCATCGAAATTGTTCGAAAAGTCTTGTTTTGAAACAGTCCTACTGGGTACACGTACGACGGCTTTGGTGGTGTATTTTTTCATCATCTCGATATTGCTGAATTGTACAATGGTAATTGTGAGTGTGGTTTTCTCAGCGGAGTTTTTTTATGACCAAAACAGTTTGTGAATCGCATGCACTGAAACAACTATCTTGGTAACCAGTACGCTACGCGTCACCACCCAGATTCCTTCTGCTCGGTGATGTCAAGGGAAATGATTTCGCTTTCCCGACCTAGAAATAGAGGACGGCAGCGATGATCATTTCGCTGGATATTTTCGAGTCATTTTACAGGCGGACCAAGACCGTTTTCCAGTCGCATGCAGCGTAAACAAGAAGCGCGACCATTCCAAACACAAAAAGTCCACTGTTGGTCGCGAAGAGAAAACATGGGGATGCTGCCGAAACGATACAATGTTGGGGAAAGCCTTGCACTACTCAGCGCTCTATTTTATCAAAAGACAGTTAGATGCCTCCTTGACAAAGCAGGCATATCTTAAAATTAAAATGCGGGCTCTCATGTGAAAAGCATTGTGAGCTGAAATGCAATACTTCCCAGAAGAAGCATTGACGACGTGTGACTCGAAGCACTCCTGTCGCCTGACTGGTCAAAGTGGTTATCGGTATCATCAGAGGGAGGTGATATTGTATTAGGAACACATTGTAACCAAGAATCGAATCGATTAGGTCCATTCGGAGCACCAGCACTGCTTCGAGAGATCAATACGTCTCCACCTTGAGTGGGAATGCAATTGATCTTTCCATTTCTAGCTTGGCATTTTTCATTGGCAGGACACGGGTGATAGATTTGAAGCCGCCCATCGCAGACGTTATAATCAGGTTCGAAGAAAGCTCCAAGCAGCATATTTTCGAATTTCAAGGTCCCACTAGCACCACCAGTGCCGTAGGTGTACCTACTCTCCAGGGCAAATTCGACACTTTCACAAGCAAACAAGGAGTACTCTTTGGGTACAAATATGCCCGTCTCCTTGGCGTCTGGATTCGAGTTCCATTCAGTCCAATCTGGAAGGTTATCGTACACCCAAACCGAATTCAATTACCAACCGTCATTAGATGTCAACAAGGCAGAAAAGCCCCCAAAAGATTGATACATTCCTTCTTATAGATGTCCTAAAGCGATCATCCCCCAAATTGCGACTATCTTGTGCACAATGTCTTCTATTCCATTCTACTTGAAGTACGATGATTAATGAAGTATTCATTGGGGCCTAGCCAACTTCCACGTTGCTGCTTTGTGGTTAAATCGGTATCCCAATTTGTCCGAAGCATCACTTGTGATGGAATGGACAAGACGAGAAGTTTCTTTCCCACATATTCTAGTCAAAAGTGTCCCGTGTTCATACGTTGGCTCCTTGATTCGACCCAGCATATCATTCACCCGAGATTGAGTGATAAACTGGCGATAATCCATCTCCCGAACAAGACTGTTGGTAAATTTCAGGAGTTTTACGACCGTTTCACTGGCATGTACCACACTGGTAAAGTCTTCTTGGTGAGCAATGATCTGTGGGAAATCATTTTCGTCATGGAATACAGTATCCCACCAAAAGTCATGAAAGGCGTTATAGTTGTGTGCTTCGTCAACCATGTCCTTGCAAAAGGACCCTGCCTTTTCAAAGAAACAGTCATCGCCCATTCGGTAGCAAGTTGGATCTCCCCAACGAAAGCGATTCCGCAAAATGTGATCACCAGGGTTGCGAGCTAGCCGAATGATCCCATGCAATCGACCCAACCGTCTGGCTTGTTGGATCTGGTGGGCATTCTCTTCCTGACCGATGGAACCATTCGTTTCCGAGCCAGTGTGAGACTTGAATATCAGAGCCCGCCCCAACAACGGAAGCGCTACAGGTCGCTTCACACTTCCAAAAATTTGCAAGGAGCGGTTCCCCATTCCTTTTTCTATAGAATACAAAAGTTGATCTCGCTCTTCGTATTCGTGCATGGCAATCTCCATTGGGATCGTCATGGTTTGAAGTAGATTCCGTATCAATGTACTTCCACTGGTCGGCCACGAAGCCAGAATAATGAGCCTTGGCCAACAAACCTCTGGACTACTATCGTTCATTGGGATAGGAAGTCCTATGCATTGCGTAAATAGATCACGTTCAGTTCCTTGGTACATTCGAATCATGGTGTTGGCATACATGGAGGAGATCCAACTGTCTTGTCGGTGAGGACACCGAAAGGTACTACTACTGCGGGAGTGATCAATAGGAGTACAGTTCATGTCTTCCAGTCGGATTGTGTCTCTTTTACCTTCTTGGATTGTATGAAGTATGGGCACTTTCTCAAACAATGAACTTGGTGGCAGATGAATTTCAACAGAATGACGTTCAAGGTAAAATGTGGAGAATCCGCACATAAATATCAATAGCAGACATGGTGTGCCAACAGTGCGCCGGGATGGCCGTATCTTTACCACCATCAAAGAAGGAAACACTCGTACACAACACTCTATCGTCAACCAATCGACAAGCCGATTAAGAAAGGGCAAGGTGATGATATGACTATCATTCGGTTAAATTCAGTATCCAACAATGTCACAATGATCCTTTTCCGGTTTCTGTCAAGGATCAAAGGCCAACAGCCCGTCATGAATCTAGCAAAAGGAAGAGAATCCACTGTCTATGCCACTGCGATGAAGGCTATATCCATTGGCATCGCAACTGAATGATGAGGTGTTGTGGAGAATATGAATGAATGAATGAATGATGAGGATGATGCTTTTATAATATCCGCCGTGGAGATAAAGTAATGCCTAACTCAGTACCTTGAAAGTAGAATTTATGCTCTTGAGGATTCTCAACTTTGGAATGGCTATTTCCCAGATACTGTAACATGAATGCATTGCATAATATAATATACTGTATCTTCATGAACAATGCAATTTCCAAACAGGAAGTCGTAACATGATACTGGAATACTCTACCCAGTACCGGTAGGAATGGGGAGGGGTAGAAGAGAGGGGTTTTTGGTAGGGGGTTAAGGGGGGGCGGCGTGAGGCGCAAGCGCCGTCACACCTTGTCAAAAATTATAAACAGACTTAGCGCTGATGCACTAAGTGGTATGGGATCACGTACAGTCTAGGAGTATTTCATCCAGTGTATAGACCAGCTCCTCCATACACCCACTGGCCTTCTTGATCGTCAGCGTGGTTGTTTAAGGTAAGTATGAGGATACAAATAAAAAGGGATGGGAGGAGACTTGCATCTGCCATCTTCAACCGGTGCATTATAACCATCTGTAGGGTGTTCTGATGCGGCGTCTCAAAAGGGGTTCGAACCCAAGAATAGAGATTTGTGGAACTAAATCAGCTCTATTTGGCGAAAGAGGAGGATTGAAACAGACCATGAAAGCCACTTTTCTGAAACTTGACGACTCCCTGGTACTGTATTGTGGCTTGTTGGAGTATTTTGACAATTAGAGGAAACAATCATGTCATACATATATGTGTCATTTGACTTTCTAGTTTATTTTTATATTCATTTCCAACTGACTGAGTGCGTGTGCTAGAGAATTCCATGCAACAATCCAACAAAATATGGCACATGACAAAGCGACTGGCATCGAAATCCTTTCACGGGGCTAGTTGGAAGGGATCCTTTGCTCAGAAGTTCATCATGAATTTGTTGTCGTTTTCTTCAAACCAGACTTAGAAATAAGATATGCTCTTCTTTCCGTAGTAGATTGTCATTCCGATCATTGCAAGAATCCTCAGAAGCACCACAGTCATGTCAAGTAGATTGAATATTATTTATTGTCGGCGACCATCCATCTCACTGCGTGTGTGTATGTTTGCGTCTTAGGAATAAGACGATGGTCACTTTTGAGAGCTATACTCCTTCTTTTCAGCAGGCAGCTTGGAGTCGTCCTCTTTTTTCTCTGGTTCACGTTCCATCTTGATGCCAGAAAAGACACCAGTTCCTTGGAACTTGTCAGTTTGCCCCGATGCGTAGCCCACGTAGTCAATAGCGGACTGTGAGCGAAGAGTGGTGTCACAGAAGAAAAAGTTTTTTTTAGAAAACGAGTCAAAGAATTTCAATGTTGAGTCAGTCCTTGCTGTCGTTGTCACAGTAACAAGAACATACCTTGATGGATCAGTAAATAACCATGGTAGGTGCGGCTTCGAGTTGAGTGTTGGTGTTCAAAGTGGTGGGTGGTTTGGCGATTGGGGCGAATCCAGATACAGTGGAAACAAGCAACAAGGCAAGGAAGGAAAACAACTTGTTCATTCTTGTGTCGGTCTAATTTGTGTTGAGGAAGAGTAAGTTGACACACGAGGCCTTTTTTTTTACTTCGGTGGTTCTGGAACGTCACTACGATTGCCTTCATTATTCCGGGCCACGTCACTTTCAAGTACGACCGCCGACTGTTGATAGTCACAGAACAAAAACGTTGCAAGTTTTGTATACCGTACTGCCATCGCATTCGATCAGTCGACATCATCACCAAAACACGTTGCTACAGTCAAACTTTCATCATCGCAGTCTGTGCAAGGAAGTAAAATTAAGAGCGGTTAACTGATTGTGTGCAGAAGTACTCGGTTCTGCTCATTCTGTTAAAGACACATTGCCTCCACGAATCAATCAATCAATCGATCAATCGATCGATCAATCGTACAACCTTCGTTGTTGGAGACATCATTGCAATTCACTACGCCTTCCTCGTATCACCTACAAACAATCCATTACAAGAAAGATTACCACCATGAAATTTCAACTATTCGCAGCTTTCGGGGCCTGCGTTTTAGTGGGCACACAAACAACAACAACATTCTTGTTAGCTGATGCATACACCATGCCCTCGTCGTCAGCATCCGTATCTCGAACAGTGCATACGTTCTTGCCCGCTATTTCTATGGAATTGAAAGAGAGTATTACAACAACAGAGCAGCAAGAAACGGCAAGTGACGATGATGATGACGATGAAGATGTTACCTTTCCTCCTCCGCTAAGTCAACTGGATCGTCTGAAACGAGCTGCAGTCTTTTGGTCCAAGGCCGTACCGATTGTGGCCAACTATTACGGTCTAATCGGAACGCTGAAATTGCAAGAAATCATGGGTGAAACTTTGGATGAAGAGACTATTGAGGTATGTACCACCAGTAGCTGAAACTGACAAAGAGGATGAATGAATCGATCGATCGAGACCAGCACGTGCTAATTTTGTAAATGTTGTATTTGCGATTGATTCCCCTGAAAGGCCCTTTGGAACGAAAAGCATGAGGATGGCGCACAAAAGCTATTCGAAACCGTTGCGGATCTCAAGGGATTTTATGTCAAGACAGCACAAATCATTTCGTCTCGGCAGGACTTATTTCCAAAACAGTATACCGAAGCGCTCAGTGGATTTGCAGACAATTTGGATCCCATGCCAGCTTCGTTGGCCAAAGCTGTGGTGAAACAGGAACTTTTGAATACTGACGAAACTTGGGACGATGTCTTTGTGGAATTTGACGACAAGCCACTGGGTGCGGCATCAGTGGCCCAGGTCCATCGGGCCGTTCTCACGGAAAAGTATGGCGGCAAGGAAGTCGCGGTCAAGATCCAACGACCATCCATTGAATCCAAGCTGATGGGAGATATTGCCAACCTCAAGGCACTTTCCAAGCCATTTCAAGGCAGCGATGTACTTCCATTGGATTACTACACTGTCTTTGCTGAATTGGAAGCACAATTGGGAGATGAATTTGATTTTGTTGCGGAAGCTGTCGCCATGGATCGAATTTACAATTCCTTGACACGTAGTATGGATGGATCAACATTGACGGAATTGCCGCTTGTCATGCCACGACCCGTTCCTGGATTGGTAAGCAAACGAGTCTTGGTCATGGACTATTTAGAGGGAGTACCACTCTCTCGAGCACGCGAAGAAATGCTAAAGAAAGGCATTGATCCCGAAAGTCCGGAAGCTAAGTTGTTCGGACGCAAGCTATTGACAGCATTGACATATTGTTTTGGCCGAAACATTCTGGAACAAGGATTCTTTCATGCAGGTAAGGACTCCCGTCTGTTTGATCATCACATGAATACTATTTCGTACTGACTGACTCTGACGTTACCTTGACGACTACTGCAGATCCTCACCCCGGAAACATCTTTGTCCTTGAGAATGGAGATATCGGACTGATTGACTTTGGGCAAGTGAAACAGATTTCGGGGCGAAATCGTGAAACGTTGGCCAAGGTCATGATTGCCTTGGACGACCGACTGTCTGATGACAATCCTGACGATTTGAAGAAAATTGGTGATCTAGCATTGCAACTGGGGGTGGAGCTGAATGATGATGCTCAAGACGAGGCTGCCGCTGCTGTTGGTATGTGGCTATTTGATGGTTCGATTAAAAATCTTCCTGGTGGATATGACAACGCAGAGCTGAGCCCAAATTCCCCCGTCAAGGAACTGAAGTCGTTTCCACAAGATTTGGTACTTGTTGGGCGATCCGCCATTCTAATCAAGGGCCTCTCCGATCGTTTGGGAATTCCATGGAGTCTGTCCCAACAGTGGGCTCCAATCGCTCGCGAAGTGTTGAGTGGTCCCAAAAGTATAGAGGATTCTCGGGTTCGCTTCAAGTCGGTAGTAGGGACCTTCAAGGAATGGGGCAAGGGAAGAGGTACCCGACTCGTCCAACGTCTCCCATCACCAGTCCGATCGCCAATTCTCAAGGCGATGCTGAAACTTGAAGAACGAAGGGCAAAGGCCGCAATGACTTCTAAGAAGTAAATACTGTCCATAAAGTCCACGAGGATGTTTGCTTCGCATCAATACAATGTGAAAGTGTCATTGGAACTGTTCCTCTCACAGAGTAAATCAACAGTATTGCAGCAGGGATTCAGGTGACACTAGTGAAACAATATTTTTCCCATCAAACTATTTGTGAAGTATCTTTTACTGTCAACAATTTCTTTAATAGCAGTATAATCTATAATATGTATGTTTGGGTAAGCTGGCTCTCGCTTCTCTATCGTGTTCACTTTGATTCTCATTCTGCCACTAGTTTGGCTAGCAAAATACTCCCAAAGAACCCGACGTATAGTTGGACATCCACCCACCAAATGTGTTCGCCATTCGCATGGGCTTGTAGTAAAAGCTCCTCTGCTACCATGAACAACAGTGCTGAAACTCCAAAGCTGAGCATGCCAATCAATGCTGTCGGGCTGCTGGACAATGCCGATGAAATCAGACTGCCGATACATGCCCCTATGATAATAAAGACTGGACCCAAGAAGGATGCTGGAACGGAATACTTAGACGTAGCCCCTGCCATGGCAGTAGCCAAGGTCAAGCCCAAGAAACTCATCTCAACACAAAGAGATAATGATAGCATGGTCGCTGTTGATGGACCAGCCGCCGTGGCAATTCCAATGAGCAATCCGTCTAATATACTGTCGACGCATACTGTCACCAACAAAGCCCTTGGAAATGGCTTTTTCGGAGTAGTATTGTCAACAAGCGGTGTTTCTTCTGAAATATTCGAAAAAGGAAACTGAAGTTCACCACTCTCATTTCCACCCTGCTTGTATGCCTTCGACAATAGCGAGCTCTTTCTGCCGGATATCGAATTTTTTCTTGGGATAGGTCGACTTTTGGGAGGGTCAATATATTCTGCTCTTTTCGTTTCAGCGTCCTCGTCTTGATCTTCCTCTGGCTCGGGACACAGCACCCCAACTGCAATCATTAAGGCGACACCTGAGAAGAACCCAACACCAGACGCAAATACTTCTGAAAACCCAGAAGCCTCCTTCATTGCTGGTAACAGCTCAATCCCGATCGAGCATATCAGAATGCCAGCCGCAAAGTGCTGCAAGGCTCCTGCCATATTATGAGGCACCTCTGTCCCAAGGCCCACCAACGTGCAGACAAGCATGGCAAAGGCAGGGATAAAGCCCAAGGCGATGGCTTCCACCAGTGAAATCATTGGCTTCTTCTTCTGTCGATTCTGTTCGTCTTAGGAGAAAGGGGAGGGTCGGTACTGCAGATGAATGAACAGAAGTTGACGAAAACACTCTTATTCTATTGATGGGTTCGTATTCATTTTTTGATGATGGATGTGTATGTATTTTCGTAGTTCGTGATTGGCTTTATTCACCGCAGTCACGTTTGGGCTGCAAAAATATAGGTAGCATATAGCCATCGTGCGAATGGACAATGGGATGCGGTACCATATTTGCAGAGCATCAGCACCATCATCATGATAAAAGCACATCAAACAATCAGGCTGCTGATCACCATTCATTTCTATGTCCTCGTGTCCATAGGATGTGAGGTCAAGGCTCTCTCGTTTCCGCAATTGATACAATCAAACCGATTGAGGAGGGATGTGAAGGAGAAGGGATCCAACACCATGAAATTGGAAGCAACAAGCCAATCAGATAGTCCCTCCTGGCAAGATGGCGGAAAAGTCGCGGTACAGATTGTAAAAGACATTTCATCTGGCGCGTCACCGCTAGAGGTATCGGAAGCTTGGATGGAGCATCATTGGCGACGAGGTGGGGGGTTGCCTATCTTTGTTACCACGCCCCCATCTCTAGAATTATCCTCTACAGAAATGAAGCGTACCATTTATCCCATCGCGATGAAAGAGGAAATACTTTCGTCAGAAAGCCTGGTACCGGAAGAAAAGAGTTCTGAGGATGATGCTGCAGCAGCAAGTGCACCGCCCATCATTATTCGATATCTTGTGTCAGAAGCGGGTCCTTTCTTTGCCGATCTTGTTCCAGGTTCCCACCAGGGCACTGTCACCATTTCTCAAGAAAACAAAATGATTTGGGAAGTCGAGTTTGAGACGACCAGACTACGCGCTCTTTATCAGAGTGTGACGGAATTCACAGTTGGGATCGCTGCTCGCACCGTCCAAGAAGCTTGTGGACCCACACGGCTCCTGACATTGAAGGCCGCGATTCCCAGTCACGCCGCTACATCCAAAGAATCACCAGAGATACAATCAAAAGATGCCCCATTGTCATTGGTCGAACTAAGACGTGAGCTATTGGACTTCTTTTGGGCACGAGGAGGTGGATTGCCGCTACTACCGCCCATTCCATATGGCGACATTCTAAAAGACGGCGGTGGAATGGCACGGTCTAAGCTGCTGCGCATTCCTCCGGCCATTACCGAATCGATTGTATCTACTGATAGCTACACAAATGACAATGGCAAACAAGTTGCAGAAATTGTCTACCGTTTGGAAGAACCAGGCTGGTTGACATTTCCATTTCTACTCCATACACATCTGGGACGAATCCAACTCATTTCACCGTCAGGGGAGGACAGCGAATCATCATCCAAACAACTCCACTGGCAAGTGGAAATTCGACCTTACCCCTTTGCTTCTGCAGTGATAGAGAAATTAGTTGACATGACCATTTGCACGATTGTGAGAAACTTTCTCGTTCACTTGGAGGAACCCGGGGTAACCGTTCCTCTGATGATACCAGCATTAGAAACTCTTTCTTCTCCAGGCCACGATTCAAACCATACAATGAGTATCAGCATCCCAAGAGCATCCTGGTGGGGCGGGGTGATTGAGAAACTCAATAGTACACAGGGTGGGCAACGACAAGACACGAATTTGTTAGATCGAATAGTTCGAGTTGTCGCGCCGTGGACATGGGGTCGCATGGGGAACGAAGACGAGGGCGACGATGTTGTATCCTATTCTTGGACATCTGACGAGAAGATCGAGTTGCAATAGGACAAATCGAGGTGCTCCCATGTTGTATTGCTACTGTAGTTGATATGGCTGGCTGCCCATGCTGCCGAGGTTCACGAGAGCCATGGTACGTTGCGGTACCCACTACATGCCTCTGTGCGCATGAAGCGGATGGTTATCTTTGAAGTGAAACGGTTGCACGCACCTCCGTGGCTCTTCATTTTTCCATATTCTCTCTTGACAAGGTATTTGCACCTGGATCAGTTCAGCCTGTCAACAATTTTGCATCCCTTTTATACACCATAGCATAATAGATGTGATCCACATGATGAAGTTTGATTTGATAATATAAATAGAACAGTAACATTAAAATATGCAATTTACAACTTGGATTCTGGCTCTTGAGGGCTTCTCTCCTTTCTATGTTCGTGATGATGATTCATATTCTGTCTTGTCTAGATTTCACATCCAACAAGCACATTAAACGAATCAGGGCACCGTGATTTCTATTACACACCACAGCAGATGGAATAGACTTCGTTTTGGTAGTTTTCAGCACTCATGGTGCCTTCCTTGACTTCATAGTAAAATACAATGTGCGGATACGCCAAGACGAACATCAGAATTGCATTGGGGATGTTCATTGTAAAGAAATTCAGCACGAAACTCAAGCCATACCACAATGCAGCGGTAAATGAAAAACATTGGTTGTAACGTCTTGCTCCTGCAAGTCCAAGTATCGCACAGAGGAGACCAACGAGCAAAAATGCAATCACAATCCAGTGAGCATCTGTAATCGAATCAACCCCATTGAAATCACCTCCGAAATCGGAGGCCGTCTGCCAGCCATAAAAGGCAATACATATCAAATAAAAGATGATGGCAAATGTGTCCAAGAACTGAACAGCTCGTCGACTCTGCGTTGTGGAAAGAGCAACAAGAAAAGACTTGAGTTCATTGACACTCAAGAAAAATCGTCTGATGATAAGTTCGAAGCACATTCCAACTCACGTCGCAGAGAAAGAAAATTACGTGGCCTTGCTTGGGGCTTGTCTCCGCAACATATTCATCTTTTGAGCTTGATCGACCCATGTTATTGTTCTAGTTGGAAATAGCAGAGAGGCTTGAATGCGGATGTTACAACAACGACAACCCAACCAAGATAGAAGAATGAATCTTCCGCTCGAGACTCGCTTCTTTGTCGGAAGCGGGTTGGCTGGCGCAACGGTCGAATAGTTCTCTATACATGCGCGTATATCCGGCAATATATCGACGAAGTTTCGCTCTATTGCCCGCCGGCGATTCACATTTAAGTCTTTCCGATCGACATCCAATGAAGAAATTGCTCTACCGGTATCTTTAATCTACAGTATGATTACAGTACAGTACTCTCTCTAACTTTGCCATGTCGTCCTCTTGTTGGTCATGATCTTCAGGATGCGATTGTGATGCCCGAGGATTGCATTTTTCGGCACAGGCTTTGGATTTTCTCCAATCTTTCCAGCGGCTTCTGCTCGCACAAACTCACCGCTCACGGCTCCAGCATTCTTCAATGCCAAAAAGACGTCATTCACTGTGGAACCTTGCTTCATTGGAATCACATCCCGCAGTTGGACTTCCGATCCCTTGCCGTGTTTATTACTCGGAGGAATGTAAAGCTGTTGCGTCTCGTTCCAGCAAGAGGGAGATACCCCGCCTGACCCATTGATACATCGAATCATTCCAACCGATGGCAAGGATGGATTTCCAACTGCCCGTTCATTCAACGAATTCAAGGGGGCATAGGTCTTCATGTCACTCACAGGGAAGACCAACACTGGTTCTCGAAGTTTGATTGCAGAGCTCAAACACTGCCAGACACCAAATGGAGCTTTACTTTCACTCTTGTCAGTTGTTGTCTTTCCCATCAGATGTTCTTTCACAAAATTCATTTCACTTCTCGCTGTTAGTGGGGTACCCACATGAGCACCATGGATTGGAAGCGCCTCTTCAATCTCGCGGATGTGCTTCTTACTGGTTGGTAGATCGTATTTATTCAATGCTAATGCAATGGGAAATCGTACACCTGTGAAAAAAGAGTGTTGAGAAAGCAGTTTTTGGAACTCATGTCCTCTATGGCTCGCTCATTGGATCGCACCTAGAAATAGACTAACAAGGCGGTGAACATCTGCTTCGTCCCATTCCTCAAGAGAGTCGAAATTTCGTTCCATATTGTGCCGCTCTTCCATGTAGTCCTCCAAGGCCACAAATATTCTCTCTGTTAGAGCTTGTGTTTGTCCATATCCAGAAAACATTCCAGATAACTATAAAAGACAGGACATGAAAGGTTAGAAAGATTAACATTCAAACCAATAATTTGTATTCCATACCTTCTTTCTTCCTTTGCGACTAATGCTATCCCATTTGGCAACCACATTGCCATACACCCACTCCACCAGTTCCGAACGGATCCATTGCATATCGTCCAGTGGGTTGGTCATGGCTGTACCTCCAGTGGTATTACCTTGGGCATCGGCAGTTCCGGATGCATCGACTACGTGAATGAGAACCGTGGCATCAGTTAGGTCGTTCAGAAACCGATTTCCTTTGCCATGGCCTTTGTAGGCGCCAGGAACGAGACCGGCAACGTCCTTCAAGAGAATTGGTATCAGCCGCTGACCATTCGAGTCTCTTCCGTGAGTCGAGCCAAAGGAGGATTTAGAGGCTCCCATCTCATCTTCTGGGCATGATCCTTTGGGTGCGGGGACCAAGCAGTAACCGATATTTGGATCGATTGTGGTAAAGGGATGGGCTGCCATACTGGCTCCACCCCACTCTGAGGCACCCTCTGTCGCACCTCGTTGCTTGCTGAATGCACTAGCTGCATTAAAGAAGGTACTCTTTCCTGCTGATGGTTTCCCTACTAATCCAATGGTGTAGTTCCAAAATGCCCCGCCCTTGTCCATCGAAAGACCTTCTTCTGATTGCGCCTTCCTTTTATCGCTCCTCATGAGCAGCTGCTCGGCAATATCTAATCCCTCTTGGATTCCTTTTTGAATATCCTCGTGCGATGCTCGATGTGGGCCAGCAGAAGATGTATCTTGATCCGAGTCGTTTTCTGGCAAAGTCGAGGTAGGCACGTCTTTGCTTTCCACTCCTTGTGCCGGAACCTCATCCAGATCAGTAGCAGGTAAATCGAGATAGTCTCTGACAGCGTAGACACCAGAGAGAACAGACGGCATACCAATCTCTTCGGTCACGGCATCCTTCAAGATTTTCATCAGTTTTACAACCCTGTTGGATGGAAACTGATATACGTTGTTCTCATGAATCAACTTGAAGTCTGGTATTGACTCAAGCGGATAGTCAAAAGGGTAAGTAATATCGAGCGTCAATGGGTGTTTAGGCCAATTGGTTCCTTCCTCTTCTTCCGATGGAAGCAATTTCATATGATATCTGATGGGAAAGCTTGATGACTTGATATCGACTTCATCTGGAAAGATGGCCTGCAGTGCTTCAATTTCCTCTTCTTGCATTGCTGTTGTTTCCTCGTCTGGCAGCTGGCTTGTTTCTGCTACCGGTTCACTCCCGGAATTCGGTTCACCACCTCCTTGTCCATTCTTTGCAATATTAAAAGCATGTTGTATAAAATCGACATAGTGCTGAATCTGTGGGGCTTTCGACGGAACATAGTGGTTGCCATCATGTATCATAGTCTGTGGCTCAAGGAAGTGTTCGCTCAACTTTTCCGACTGAGCTGGAGTCACCAGCTTGTCTCCCCGACCCCAAACATGAAAAGATGGTAGCTTTATCCGCTTGGTCTCTGTTAATGGAAATCCGTCTGGGATGGGTGCATCATAACCAGCAACCATAATGCAAAATTCCAAGTTTGGAAACCATTTCCGAGGATCGTCCGAGTGCAGCATGGCAACCAACTGTGCAAATCGTGCACCTTGAGAAAACCCAAATATTCCAACAACATTCTGCTGCTCCAGTTCTTCCAATATCTTTAAACTTTCGTCTAGTCCTTGGTACTCATTGTCGACCCGATTCCACCATGTTCGGAGGTTAGCATCCTCTGGATGGGGAAAGGGGGCATCTGGAGCGATAAACTCGAGATCAAACTCTTTTGAGACTCTCTTCCGAATTCGTTCCAGGCGGCCAAGAAACAACTGACCCGTTTGCCGGTTGCCATGTAGCACCAGCACTCGTTTCTTCATTGTCCAATAAAAATATGGTGAAGTTATTACAAAGTGTGTCGCCCGCGCATATCAAAGAGGACTGTTTCAGTCTCATTGGACCACGACAAGCAATATTGAATATACGGAAGAGTACAGTGCGATACAGTGGAAGAGTTTCTATTCAACTACAAGAGGACTGACTGGCTGACTGACAACTCCAGTGCATACAGAAATGGGGGAGAGTGCGAAAAGAGCATATTCACCAACTAAAAACAATATTACTATGCAATCTTTTCTAACCCCCCCGTGTTAGCAAGATCCGCGATGGATAAAAAACTAGATTTGTGTCCAGTGAATATCGAGAGAGGATAGCATACCCTTTGTTTCCCTCTGCAATCTTCGATCATTTGCCTCGCATGCTTGATGGTAGGCGGCTTGAATATACGAAAGAAGTGTTTTTCGGACGTATGATTCGATAGTTGATGTCTGATCCAGTGATAAGAGCACTCCAAGGCACTTGATAGATAGCGTGGCCTCGGCACGTTCGATTTCTTCGACTTCCTTGTTGTAGGCACCAAGCACTTCCAGCAGTGCCCGGAAATACCTCGAAGTAAAGTCTAGCTTGATTTCAGTTGTCCCCCGCATTTGCATCTTGGCAAGTTCCAAGGTGGATGCCAAGACCCTGAGTGCTGCAAGTCGAAGATTCTCCGAATTGAGGTGCCGAAGGAATGAGCGCCGCAGCCGTTCTGCCGAATCCGTGTCAATATCAAACACGAGGGCTTCAGCGACAGATCCCTTGCTTTCTGAATTGACAAATTCATTATTTGCCAGCATGACGAGGCGCTGCATCCCATATTGATTATCCTGCCCAAAGTCGCTTTCAAGAAGCTGAAGTAATGAACTGTATTTTGCCGAATCCCCGTCTACAGATTCACTCTTCTGCTCTTCATTATTGCGAGCTTGAGCAGTGTATGCCACCACGATGTGGGCCTCTTCCACTTTCGATTCTTCGCCATCAATCTTCTGTTCCTCACCGTCCTCACCATAGAACCCTTTTGTCGGGTCACATACTATGAAGGAAGGGATTCCATCTTCTCTGTCCTTGGAGTACGGTTCACTCGATTTACGGCATATGTTAAGACGAGGTAGTGACACATTTGTCTTCCGTAAAATGTTCATGCTTCTTGTGATGAGGAGGGATGGTGGTGGACCGAGGATGAGATGACGCCGACGACTGCAGTGGTCGTATAACTAGCACTGTCGAAAATGTGAGACAGAGCTGTCTCAATGCGTCAAGCGTATCTTGTAGATGCACTCAAAAGTATTTGATATGAGAGGGATTTGTCGATGTATCTTCGCCAAAGTCCTCGACTGGATCTTGTATCAAAGACAAAAATGATGATGATGGCCACCATCGTGGTGGATTTGGCGATTTCGACTTCACGGGACTTGCCAGTTCGTTTCAAAATGAAACGGTCTTGGACTAAAGCGACCAGCGTCTTCCAAACGTGTACCGGTATTTTGAATATAAAAAAATGAAAATGATGGCTGTTCGGAGTCAAGGGAAAGATGTACAGCCAGCAAGTCAACACTTTCCTGTGATCTCAATACCATATACCGGTACAGTATTGTTAATGGGTTGTATCTCTATTTTTTGAAGCGCTTCAAAAACATCAATTCTTCAAGCACACATGTCATTTCTTGAAACAAGAGACAACAACCGCTCTGCCACCTCCCATCATACTGTACGTTCAAGAACAAGGAGACTCTTCACTCCGCAGTTCTAACAAGTTCAATATTGTACTAGCTATCGAAAAACTCCTTTTTTTCGCACTTTTCCAGCTGGAGCACAAACATAAAAATATAAAAGCATCCGCAATCCGGGGAGAAGAAAAATCCAAAGAATGGTAGGTACAGTACCTACCGGTACCGTACCACTACTTGCGGTATAGCGATTATCGATGCTCGTCAACGCTACGGTACCGTCATTTTTCACAGTTTCTATCAGCGGGGAAAAGAAGAGGTATTCTTTCAGTTCTCTTTTACGCATCCACATTTGATTTACATATAACCCATCGGAGACTTTTGGTAGGAGAATCGATTGTAACCAATCCGGCGAGCTCATTGCGAGATATATCTGTTCCGCATATAAGCCCGAAATACTTAAGCGCATGACGTTTGAGTTAAAGCCCAATCGATTGTACCCTTCGTTTACCGCCACCTAGAGCTGCGATGAAGTTCTACGAATACTGGCAGTATGGTACCCAAGCAAAACACATTCACAAAATACGAAACACAAGTCCAAAGATGACTATGAATCGATTCCTCCAGCATTTGCTTCAAGAGCGAAATATTTCAGCATCACAAGTGAGCATTGTTGATGACTCTGCACGGTTTTCAACCCAAGGATTCAGGATCTGTACACTAATACGGCACACTTCAACACCCGCTTCGATGGTGGGATCGTCCTCGTCGCAGAGGAGATCAATCAATGGCGAGCTCAATCCAGCTCATGATACTGAAACAAGAGTTTTGTCATATCCAAGGACAATCTCTGGCGATATTGCGCAGTAGGACTGTGTGAGGATTTGAATCAGTTCTTCTATCGATGACGCAAGCAGTCCTTGTCGTCTTTTTCAGGATGTGGTGGAACGCTGAACCGGGGTTTGTGGACAACTCAGCATGTTTTGAGCCTTTTTGAAGCTTTTGATAATTTTGTAACACTAGTCTTTATTTTTCAAATATTCCGTGTATTCCAAATGATGATTCTTCCTACCGCTAGATTGATCAAGCAACCACTGATGGTAATTCAAGAACTACGATAGTACCACAGTGTTACTGTATTCCTCTTGGAAATCGCGATGAGCTTGAGAAGAGAATGTTCGTGCTGGTGAGATAGTCAAGGGAATGTTGGTAAGTTGTATATATGACTCGACTCACTCTATTAGTAGTAGCACTGGATTCAACTACTAACCAAATTCTCTCTAGCTGTACCCACTATGCTAGTTTTGGGCTTCTTTGGTGGAAGCACAAGTAGATATCCAAATGCTCGAACAATAAACGATTCGTCTACCGGTTACACCCGTTACAGTAACCGGTAGGCAGCATCCATTTTTTATTTTAAAAATGGTGCTCGCTTGAGTTCGAAACGAAGCCGTACACGTATGAAGCAACAGCTTCTGATCCAAAGCGTCTATTTCTCTCCGAGATGCATTCGGGTTTTCGTAATACGAAGATTGCCAAAGCATTATTCATCTAAGCTCATTCGAGTCGAAATGTGTTCTCGCGCAGAAAAAATATATCCAGTGTTCGAATAGACGATAAATATTCTTCACCTGGTTCCAACCGGTGCAGTATGCGAAGCCAGGACAAATATTTTATTCATTCGCTATTGTACAGGGATGAATCGTTTGTGTGCTACTAGGAACAGTGCGACCGCGAAAAGCTCTACGAAAACTACAGTACATTTTTCTTTAAGTTCGAAAAGAAATGCTGTAGACATACGAAGCAACAACTTCTGATCAGAGCTCTCAGTCGCTTACGAGTGAGTTGCTGGTTGTTGCAAATGAAGTCCAAGGCCATAAAACCAAAAGCGGCACACAATTCATGCCACACACCACATACCACAATCCAAAATGACTATGAATCGATTCCTCCAGCATTTGCTTCACGAGCGAAATATCGCAGTGTCACAAGTGAACATTGTTGACGACTCTGCACGCTTTTCAAGCCAAGACTTCAGGATCTGCACCAGTGCGAAGATCTATTCGATACACTCAATGGTATCTTCATCGGAGGGTTCAAACGAGAGCGAGATCAGGCCACGCAACCATCTAGCTCTGGATACTCCTGAAAGAAGAGCAGTTTTGTCATATCAAGGGACATCCTACTCTTCTTGTTCGAGCGATAAAACGAAGTACTAGGACGGCAGCTGCGATGGTGTGAATCATCAAGAATCACACTGGATCGGATATTGACGAAACAAAGGCATTCTTCTTCATATGGGGCTCTAAAACGGGGCGGTGACGAAGCACACCATCAATTAAATGTATCGGTGTGTTTCGAATATGGTAGATAGTAGCTTTTAACAACTACACGCTAGAGTAATTACCAATACTAGGTTGATCGAATTGTTTCACTTCCTTTCACCATTTGTTCTCCCCGGAATCTTGCAACAAGATGTGGGTTTGAGAAACTACTAGCCTACCTGGTACGATTACCATTTGGTATCAAGAGAAAATATAAATTTTGTCAATGACAAAAGTGGTAGCGTCTATTCAAAATTTGTCATTGTACACCTGGTTCTTATACATATAAAACAGGGAGCAGAAATGGTATTCAATCACTGCTCGACATTCGCATCTCTGGAACAGTGGACCATCCAATATAAGTAAATATGGTCGTGTCTATTGAGACAAGTTTCATTTTATATATGAATGCCACATCACCAGAGTTCGAAAAGAAATTGTTGCCGTCAATCATCCAGAAGTGATCGAACGTTTTATTAAAACAACTTCTGATCAGAGCTCAGATTCGTTTTTATTTTATACTTCCAATGAAGTTTGTTTGTTGCCCATAAAACCAAAAGAAGCACATAATCTCAAGATGACTTTGAATCGATTCCTCCAGCATTTGCTTCAAGAGCGAAATATGTTAGCATCGCAAGTGAACATTGTTGACGACTCTGCACGCTTTTCAAGCCAAGAATTCAAGATCTGCAGACCAGTACAACGAAATTCAATACGCTCAATAGGATCTTCATCGGAGAGATCAACCGAGAGCGAGCTCAGGGCTCACAATCATTCAGCCATGGATACTGAAAGCCAAGTTTTGTTATATCCAAGGACCACATCTTACTGAGATGTCACGCGAACCTAGGGCTGCATGCTGATGAATGCATCTTGGATCATCTTGGATCAGATATCGCGACGATGCGCAAGCGTTTATCTTCATGGAGCTGAGATTCGGGGCCGTGGACAAGCGCAACATCTACTGAGCATTCCGGTGTGTTTTGGACCTCTTAAATCTTTCGATAATTTTGATATTTTAATTTCTTGAACTATACTGCGGCTGCACCCCTTGTATTCGTCGCAATAGTTTGATAGAAACTGATTCTACTAAGCTTATTTCTGGATCAAAGCGACTAACAAAATTTGCAAGGGATGCAGATGACCTTGAGACGAGCATTCCAACAGCGTCGAAAGCCGGACGAAGCGTGCTTCAATCGAAGGCTTCAATATGCTCGAATCCTTTCTTTTATTTTCAATTTGTATCAATCTGAAAGAACGAATGATGTGAAATGTGAGTGATATGAAAACTAGCAAAAACGCGCAAGCAGAGTTTCGGACGTTAAATAGACAAACAAATGTTTCAACAAAAAGCACGATTTATATTGCGGACTCTTTCACCTTTGAAGCGTTATCAACCATTGTGTCATCACGTTCCAACAGCACCTGAACACAAGCAGTACACATAACAATAATGCGGTCATCACTGTTGCCGAAAATTCTCTTGTTTACACTTGTTTCAGTCAAAGCTGACGATTCATTACTATTGTCACACAGACTTCACATTTCAGGAGAATGAGCTTGCTGCCAAGCATTCAAGATCACTTTAGTTTGCCTAGGGAGTCCTGTGTTGTGACATCCAGAAAGAAAGCCAATGGAGTTCGTGTGTAGTAAGTATATGGTGATGGAACATATCATATGTATGCTAATCGTGCATGGTATTACAAAATGATGTGGTGTGTTTTTCTAACCCTTATACACTCAACTCACGCAACAGTAGTGATCCGGGCTTTTCACAACAAATCGTCATTGAAGAAAGCCATGACGAAAACGATGAAATCAATATTGAAGTTAAAAACATGAAAGACATGACAATCGGCCATCAATTGATGAATGCCCTTTATGCCATTGTCGCGGCTCTCTTTGCTGGATTTCTTTTTGTCTTTTGTCTTCAACTGCTACTGTTTGTGGTGCTGAACCTCAGTATTGAGTCTGGAGCGACTAGTTTCAACAAGACGGCCGATGGGGAAGAAGACCATTCAGTCAAGTGGTTCGCCGTAATTGGAGCGATATTTTCCCTCATTTCCTTCTCGCGTTACTTTGCAGAAGCATTGGTCATTGCTGGATCGTTCACTATGGATGCCTACAAAGACCACCCAATGTCTAGAGCTTTGATTCTCACGGACAATAAGCATGGACACATCATCATTGAATGGCTCTTTATCTCTTGCTTTTGCTTTTTTCCCATTGTGGTGGGATGCGTTGGACTATTGGTGGCCAGTGATAGGTGGTGGTATTACACTTCTCTTTCTTGGTTCATTCTTGTCATGATCTTCTTTTGCGTCTTTTACTTTTGTGTGATCTTTTATGAGGTGAGACCTTCCTTTAGATGAAATGATGGGTGAAGTGTCATTTTCACTCTTCCTTCTCGAGCTCACGACGCATCGCTTCTTCCACAATTATCATCCACCATGTACAGGTCCGGTGTTGCTATTCTTTTGTGGCCAATCGCGATGATGCCGATCCGGGTCATATGTTGGACGTTCTCAAGAGATGCATCTTGCTACGTCAGACACGTCGAATGTCGGGTTATGTCAATTCCAGCGGACTTGCCCGAAATGTCTTTACCAATTCGAAAGCAACCGATCAAGCCCGAGAACCACATATTTACAAGTCGAGTCTAAAGATCCATACACCTATTTGGACGCACATGGTGTCGTGTATGCCTTCCTTTCTCTATACCAATCTATCCGAGAACCCCAAGTTCATTCATACTATCCCGGAGGTTCAAGATTATCGTCCCTTTTTGACCAAACCTACGTGGTCTTTGGAACGAATATTTTGCCGACCAGAACCTTCTCGTTACATCAGTATTGTCAGAGGCCCAGGGGCCTTGACGAAAGCACAATTGAAATCAAGTGTAATTTGTTCCTTTCTTTCCATGTTTATGATTTGCTTGTTGGTGATCGGATTCTTGGTCTGGTTTGGATTGGGGGCCGTTCCCATTATCATATTTTTGATCATAGTATTTATGGTATCTTGGTCAAGTCTAAGAAATACCTACAATCTGGTCAGACTGGGCAGGGATCTGATTGAAATCGGAGAAGCCAAGAAGGCCAATTTTAAAAAGCTACAACAAAAGTATGGTGGGGACGAAGAAAATGCTCAAGCTCAAGCTCCAGATTCAATATCTCATCGGAGCACTTTGACATGGCAAAAGTTGGAGCACAAGAAAAAAATATCGGAGGCTGTCTTTCATACAATGCATTTGGAGCGTCACTACGAAGCGACCGCAGCCTTGTGCTGGATTTCGTTCATCGTGGAATTGGCCCTCTTTTCCTTCTATCCAACCGTTGTTCTCTTTGTTATTGGGGATTCTAGCTTAGGGACAATCTTTATCGTGCTGTCCGTGATCTCCAATGTCAGATGGTACATGCACATTGTCACGGTCATTGAAGAAACAGGCGTAAGTTGCTGATTGACCTTTTGCCACAGAATTCGTGCGTTTGGCAGCAAACAGAAATCTAACATGTAAAAATCCCTTTTTAATTATTGAAAGAATATGGAGCTGGTTGGTGGTGACACTCCAGAGAAATTATGGTCAAACCAGTCTCGTCTAAACAGTATTGTTGGATCTATTTCTGCCAATGCTGCCTACAAGGGCTGGAGAATTCTCATAGCTTCCTTCGGTTTTGCCTTCATTGCCATTTTATTGACAACTTTTGATTCTGGAGCGCTTCAAACCTCCTCTACACCATTGACCTACTTGCCGTATGGGGAATGGGAATATACAGGGTCATCCGATATGCGCTATCCAACTTGTACTTTGAGCCAAATTGAGGGAGGCTTTATGAACCAATCAACTATGCTTGACTTTGCTTGGATGGCTGGGGCGGCCTACATTGCAAACAATGATACCCAACCTTCCCTGGACACCTGGTTTCAGAATAGCCCCGGGGTGACGGACTTGCAACCCGTTGTCGATGAATTCCGTTCCCGTGAAGATCCCAACAACGAAGTTGCCGTCAAGTTCAAGTTGATCTCGGTTCCTGGTCCCCTGGAGGGACAAACAACTGCCGTTATCCTGATTCGAGGCACCGTCAATCAATTTGACTTGTTGGCTGATGCCCAGCTGTGGAGTGCTGCCGGACTGATGCAATTCCTGCGTGCAATCATTCCTTTTGGAGAGATCTGGTCGGGGATTTTCCCCGACTTGGTTAGTTGGATGAACGCAATGGCAAGCACTTCTATTGAGAAAGTTGCCTTTTACAAGCTCACCACCAAGTTCGCCGAAGAACTCAAGGCAAATGGAGACTTTGAACACGTCCAAGTGACTGGTCACAGTTTGGGTGCTGGCTTGTCGTTAATTACCGGTGCCCAAGCCAAGATCGCTGCTGTTGGTCTCTCTGCTCCCAATGCTCGTATTTCTGGAAAGTCATACGACCCACCGATCACGTTGCAAGACATTAACAAATATGGATTCAACATTATCCCCAAGCACGATTTTGTGCCCAAAGTGGATGATGTTGCTGATAATTGGCAACAAATTGGATGTAGTGCTGATCTCAACCAGGCCTCTTGGTTGTGTCACTCTAGTGTACGATCGATATGCGAACTAATGTACACTTGCGGATCGGGAAATCGTCCTGTCTTTTGCGAGTGTGTGACTGCATACGGATATGAACCACCAACGAGTCTAAACGGTGCCCAAGAAAAATTTGACCTCTTGTGTCCAATGCCGGAGTGAAGACAACGCAATGCTCTTGGACGCCTTGGAAGTTTCAGAATATAGATGGATGTGTTCGCTGGTCGATGCACGAGCCGCTACTGAGCAGAATGTAGCAACGGCAACGAAGCCTGTTGCATTTCAGGACTTGTGAAAAAGGCCTCAAAATTGCAAACGCGACGTCTATATCCAGTCGCATTTTCCCACTGAAGCATCAATTCAAAATCGATCGTGTATTGCCCCCCATTCCCAACTCTGCCTTGCAATCAGGCTTGGCTTTTTCCATTCGACGACATCATTCGGCCTTTCAAGCTTCGCCAGGGCTTGGCCAATTTGGATTGACTGCTAAAGTAAATTGGACAAGGGGCTGTATCAATCGGCGTGACTTCATTGATGTATAGATTAGTCGTCGTAAACCGTTTGCGAAGAGAATCTCTCTGCTGTAGCCTTGCTGTTTCGTAGAGTTTTGTAGCCCTTTCTATCTCCCCTTGTTGCTCAAGAATTATCGCCATTCTACGGACCGTCATTGTTACAAAACAATGCTCACTACTAAGATTCCTCTCGCTAATCTTCAACGAACGCAAACAGTATTCCATAGCATCACTAAGATCGCCTTGTTTCATGAGGATGCTTGCAATGTTGTAATAGGTACAAGCCAAGAAGGAATGGTCTTCCCCAAGGTGTCGTTTGAAGGCGTTTGCTGCTCGTGAACCGAGTTGGAAAGCCTTATCTTGGTTTCCCATGGCCTCGACAATTATGCTCATGTTATTGTACACAATTGCGGTCGAACTCGAGTCTTTCCCCTGGTTCTTTTCGTATATCTGAAGACTTTTGCGACAGAGCTCCATGCTTTCTTTCAGTCTGCCTTGCTGTTGTAGCGACACCGAAAGGTTGCTGTACAATTCAGCGATCGCCGAGTGCTCTCCCCAGAGCAAATTCTTCTTTATTTCTAGAGACCGTTCGAAAAAACTCTTCCCGGATTCTACTTTACCTTGACGGTGAAGCGCAATGGCCATGTCATTGTAGGTATCAGCGACTGAAAGATGATTTTGCCCAAAAAGCTTCTTGTCGATTTCCAGATTTCTTTTGTAGAAGCGCAGCGCATCTTCAGGCCTGTCTTGAAGCAGCTGTAGACCGGCTATAGATTTTAAAGAGCTCGAAACCAAGGAGTGACAGTTACCATATGTGTTTAGCCTGAGGTCTAGTAGCTTTCTGGACACTCGAAGTGCCCAGTCGTATTCGCATAGCTGGTCCCGAAATAACATTTCAAGTCTAGCCAGCCGTTTCTCGTCGATGCATTCTTTCAAGAGCTGATCAAGTGTAGATAAATCCAACAGCTGTTGTTCACCACCATTGATCAGCTCCAGGTCGGTGAGGCGCTCTTGCAAGCTTGCCGTGGCCCCGGCAAAGTAGGACCGAAAGTACTCATAATGCCCATGCGAATTCAAAGTTTTGTCTAGTTCACGAATCAACTTGTGATGAATTTGAATTTCACAAATGTGCTTGAATCCTAGCTTTGTATCAATCTGAATGTGAATAATAATGTCCCGATAGCCAGTTAGACTTGGAGATTGAAACCGGTTCTTGACCTTGACAATATGAAGAGAATCATCATGTTTGATCAGTTCGAGGCACTTGAGAACCTGCTTTGCGCAAGTAAATTCTATGCTGCCTCTTACAATGTCGCACAACCAAGAAGCAGGAGGGCCTGGAACGCGATCACAGTAGTCATTCCGCGCTTTCTCCTCGGCTCGAAGCTTCTTTTTCAAAGGAGCAAAGACTATATACTTGTTGCTTCCATTTTGATTTCCGCATTCATCTAGAACTTGTTGAACTTTGTTTTCAATGGCCTTTCGAAAGATTGGTTCTGCGATCTCGGCTGCTTGATACAATTCATCTAATCCTTGCACCGTCCGCCCTTCAATCGATTGTTGTTGGTAGTTTGCCTTGTATTCCGTTGGATTCTCGCATTTTACGATACCACCAGAATCATCTAATATCGGATACTTGTAAATGGTTTGAAATTCATCCACCTCTAGATACTTGTCATACATTCGAGTTCGACAATCCAGATATTTATGCAATGCATGGAGGAACCTACTCGTCTCTGGTCGAAGCATGCGTTGCTCCTGAACCATAGTTGTCAGTGCTGACGATGTCGTCTTTGAGTCTTCAGCATTATTGTCTACGTCAAAACGGCAAACACGACGAGTATATCCAGTCGTGATTTTCCTCTGCAGCATCAACTCGAAATCGATCGTGTAGTGTGTCATTGGAGTGCAACGCCCTGTTCCATTTTGGGAACGATACGCCTGTTCGAGAGTCTGGTTCGGTTCCGAATCGTAACGGATCCAACAGTCCTTTGGATCTCCCATTATTTTGGAAGGATCATGTTGTGGCATTTTAAATCGGGATTCTTGAAAACACCATACCGCAGATGATGAAGCAATGGTCTTCATCTGTTTTGTACTCGCGGCTGCTGAATGAAACCTCAAATTTGTCCACTGTTATCCTTTTAATTAATCATCGCATATACTACGATAGATGATCGAATGAATGAATGAATCGTGCAGTGATTCAGTAGGGTTCTCTTCATTGCACTTCGAATATGGTAGGTACGCCTTATACAACGAAATCAAAATGAAATTGGTTTCAATGATCTCTACGCAGCAATGCGATGAGTAGTATTATACTACGGATCGTTGTCATTATTGACAATATATTCAATACATGCCATTTTCAATTTCATCTTCGCGTCCGTCCTTTGTCCTACCGGCATCTGCCTTTATTATTTGAATCGATTTATTCGAATCGATTTATTCGATTTAAAATCAAACATTTGAATTCGTCACCATTCCTTACGTGTCATCATCATCTTCATCTCGTCATCATCGTCATCGTCATTCCTCTTCTGCTCAATAGTACAAATGTCCTGAAGAACCCTATGAGATCACAATAGAATCGAAACGTGCTGAAAATGATCAATCTTCGAATCCTTGCCCTTGGTTTTCTATCCATCTTACTGCTAGTAGTGCAAGAGAAATCTTGTGTTCTCGCCTTCCACAATAACCATCATGCTGGCATCATTCCACAAAGAACACGCAACGCCAACACAAAGTTGGGCAAATCCTTCCCAAATGAAAAGTTTACGACGTCGAGAATACCCGTCAGAACTTCAGATTTAAAAGCATTGCCTGTTGTTGGGGATACTGCTGGCGGACTCGAGATGAATTCAGATGTCTGGGTATTTTTGCTGGGTGTTTTCCCATTCGCCTGGGCGACGGTGGAATTTTGGAGACGCATCATGTTTGGAGAAGCTTTTGGCACAGGATCGGATCAAGTGATTATTGGTATGGATGATTCACCAGAAGACTCCAGAGGAAGGCGGGTTCTTGGTAAAGGAGCATTGGGAACCGCCTACTTTCTCTTTGCGGCTTCATTTGCTACTCTTGCGGTTGTCCTTTATTCAGTGATATCTTCCGCTCCTCCACCGGATATTTTGCCGGTGCCAAATGGTGGCGATATCATGCCATAGTAGTCAAAACTAGAACAGCTAGTATCCTAATATTTTCAGTGCTGTATTTGGAGATTTGAGATCCTATTACAATGAGTGGCTTACATATAATGAAAGGGATTAAATCCTATGATTCACTAAAGCGGTAACTAGAGTGCGCGTGCATAATGCAATTTACTATAAAACTACTAATTGAAATATTATGTCATACAGGTTGAGCACAAACAACAGTGACTCACAGCCAATGCATTGAATTGCTTATTCGCGGCGGCGTCCAGCAGCCACAATTTTCTTGGCTTGATCCCTTCCGGTTTTAGCGGCTCCATGAACCGTGCCCCATGTCCATTCATTTAAGGCTTCTCCAGCAAAGTACAGTTTGTATGAAATGGGCTCTAACAAGGTTGACTGGTCGGCCTCATTCGCAAATATGGTATAGGCACCCTCAATGTAGTCTTCTTCCTTCCAATCCATGACGGTCCATCTGCCGGTTGGTGTTCCATACACCATGCCGTCTTTTTCCAAGTGTTCCGCAATCTTCTTCTTCTTCTGTTCCGATGACAAGCCGTCATACTCGTTGTATGCTTTGCCATAAATGAGGCCACCCACAATTTTGGTACTGGCTCCATACGGATATCCTTCGTTCCAAAACAGTCGGTATCCAGCCTCTGCAGCAATGGCCGGAGAAGTCACATACCACGACTTTCTGTACATGGCCAAATCAGTTGTGTGGGTGAAATACTCCTTGTACTCTGCACCGGCTTGGTACTCAATCCAGACCTTGAACCCATTGCCAATGATGAACCTATTGATTGCCTGGGTATACGAACTCGGTAGAGAAGGAGTGAAGGTGATCGTATTCTTCTGGAGCATCTTCATTGGCACCGTGACAATCACGTACCACGCGGTGTAGGTAGTGCCCCCGCACGTGACGGAGACATCATCGCCTTGGGTGTTGATTGCCTTGACTTCACAATTGTTGATGACATTGTTTCTCACTGCATCATATGCCACATATTCAGTGAGGAAGCTATGCCAACCCATCTCTCCTGCCCAGCGATACTCTGGTGGATTATGGTAGACATCATTACAGCCCCCGTCTGGAAGAACGCAAATATTTGGAAATTCTTTCTTCGTATATGTAGTCTTGAAGGCCTCCTCTAGTGGATAAGAAACCATTTCTTGCAAAAGGTTGTAGGCTCTATCTTCACCAGTATATTTACCGTTCCCAATATCATTGGTTGTGTGGATGTACTGAGCACCCAAATCAACGTTGTATTCTTCGTCATTCTCACCAAAAGACCATTCATGACGGGTGCGGCCACCAATTTTGTCGGATGCCTCTAGGATCTTGTAATTAGTCCAGCCGTGTTTTTCGAGCTCGTGGGCGGCACTGAGACCAGCAGCTCCAGCACCTATGATGAGAACGTCGTGTTGCACACTTCGACCCTCACCGGCCCGAGGTTCGGTGGAATCGTTGCCGTGGTAGTGACCAGATCGACCATGAGCATAGCCATTTCCAGCAGAGGGCCCTCCACGAAGGTTGTTGCTGTTGTTACCTTCGTGATGGGTGCGTTCATGCGCATCAGACTTGTGATGAGATGATCTCACCTGGTACTCAGAAGGCCCCTCGTTGTAACGGCCTGAAGAGAAAGGAAATCAAAGAAGTATGAATGTATGCGATTATGAGATTACGTGTGACACTTTTACTATGATGAAGGAGATCATCACAAGTAGATCAACGATGACTTACTTTCAGCAGGTTCCTCGGACGTGTGGTGAGATCTCACATGGTTGTCAGAAGGTTTCTCATAGAAGCGGTCTAATGGGAAAGAGATGAATGGAAGGCCATTGAGAGCATCAATGAAGATGAGATTGCGATATGACTTTCTTTTGATTACAATGATGATACATGGATTCTTGAACAATTCATGTTGCAAAGGGATCGTCGACTTACTTTCAGGTTCCTCATCAACGTAATGGGCAGAGGAAAGGGAAACGAATGCAGTGAGTAAGAGGGAAGAAAATTTCATGTTGATCCTTATTGCAATGTCAAAAAGATTGTGCCAGGTCGGTTGCGGAAGTAGTAGTTGTCGACTACTGTACTAGGTACAGGTGTACGGTTCCCTGTACGTCAATGATTTTTACTCACCGCAAATCCCGTTCCAATACTGCATACGAGTACCGCGGTACTTCTATAGTCATTTGCTGTTTGAGCGCGCCGACCGAGCGAGATACAAACTTCCGCGCGAATGAATCATACCAGTTCCGATCAAAATTCAGAACCACTTTTTCGCGAATTTCTTTTCGATTTTGTAGTATAGGTGTACGTAAATACCTGGGCACTAACAAAACATCGAGCATCTCCACTTTTTTGCACAATTCACTTTTTAAATAAACACATCACAAGAGCACAATATATTAGAAAGTGGAGATGCGAGATCAGTCCTCCAAACAGTGAAAATATACTAAAAAGGCTACTGATGGATTTGATTTCACCACGACGATGGTAAGCTTTGAAGCACCTACATTCGTCACTCATTGTGAGAAAGTCGATGCGCAGCTAACAGTAGCTGCATAATGTTCGTATCTACACGCTGCTCTGGAGCGCAAATAGCTATTGGACAAACTTTCAGTTTTGTCAGCAATGTAATGGCCAGAAGAAAGAAGGGCAGTGAGACAGATGGAAGAAAATTTCATCTTTTTCCTGCAATGCTATGGTCTTGTGACATATACTATTGGATTTTGCCATACTATTGGATTTTGCCGGCAGTTTCGGTGCATGATTTTCCGCGGGTTATTTGCATAATATGCAAGCGTACCGACGACTCACTAATAGATATAGTGTGATATTTTTGTTCCGATCGGAACATGACATATATAATATGTTATACCCGTGGACTTGATTTGTTCCAGAAGTAGAGTTTCTCAATCGAAAAATGCATTACTATTCCTACTTGCGCTTGTGTCCAATTTGATACAAAACGGCCCAAAGAGAGCAAGACAGTGCGATGGTGTACACATTCTTTTGAGTCAACCTTGAGCTATGATACACTACGATGTTGCTACTGTACAGTACTGGTACCGTACTATATGATACAATACGAATAGTTGGACAAGTTGGGGGTGTCTTCCAATAAAGAAGGAAGTGAACAATCCTCCTTGATTATTGATACCTGGTTTTAGGTTTTATTGTGTTAGCAGCGGTGCAATTTCCTTCCGTACTTCCACTCTGCACAGGGGGCACTTGCCACTCTTTTTCAACTACTCATGTATGCATCCTTTGTGAAAGACATGGTTGCATTCCGTTGCAACTGGAACATAGATGGTCTCGCTGGCAGTATAACATTCCAAACATATGCAGCATTCATGGTTTGCAGATGAGCCCCTCGTACTCAATAGACTTCGAACCAAATAATCTTCTTTCCCATCAGTTTCGGATGTATCTTCATGCTCCTGGTCAGCAAATAGGTGCTCGTCATCAGGCTTGGAAGCTGACACCCGCAAGTTACTTGTCTTGATATACGACTTATCACTCAAGATGGTTTGAAAATAGAAGAACTTTGTGAAAACTGCTCATAGCGGGCTTGATTTTGTTCTTCCCTTGTCAACCATTGACTACTTCTATTATTTGAACCCTGCCGCTGCTGTCTCATTGACATGGTCAGTTGAACTTCACGTAGAGCAGGACGTTGTGTCTAAGTATTGCAACTGAAAAGCCCATGCGCTGCACAAACCACAAAAACGAAAAACACAGGAGTAAGGGTTTGAAATATTTCATCGTAGCCAAGACATTCTATCCAATCATCATGATTCGATGCCGGGGCACTGGTCGATGGCGGGGCAATGTTTCCATTTCCGCAGTCAACAACTTCTTTCCAAGCATCACTCCAGTTGTACATTGCAGAACTATCGAAAGCTGCTGCTCCTTCAAACATACTCTCTGCACTCGTGCCTTTGGAAACATCCCATGATGACAAGTCTTGGTTGAAGGATGAAGCACCCTGAAATATTCCCATCATATTGGTGACAGAAGAAACATTCCATGATGAAATGTCGCCATTGAAGGATGATGCCCCCTGGAACAATTTGCTCATGTCAGTTACAGCAGAAAGATTCCATGATACTAGGTCTTCATTGAATGACCATGCATTGTAGAACATTTCATGAATGTCAGTTACAGAAGAAGCATCCCATGATATTAGGTCTTGATTGAAGGATGATGCACACTGGAACATTCCATTCAGTTCAGTGACTTTCGAAACGTCCCAGGATGACAAGTTTTGATTGAAGGATGATGCATACTGGAACATCCGACTCGTGTCAATGACTTTCAAAGCATCCCAAAGTGACAAGTCTCCACTAAAGGCCGATGCATGCTGGAACATATATTCTCCATCCACGTCACTTCTGAAACATCCCATGATGATAAGTCTCCATTGAATGCTGGTGCGCCGCTGAATAAAAAAACTCATGTCAGTGACTTTCGAAACATCCCAGGATGACAAGTCTCCGTTGAAGGAAGACGCATGCAGAAACATGCCTTCCATGGTAGTGACGGAGGTAACATTCCACGATGAAATGTCGCCAATGAATGCTTCTGTCAAGTGGGACATTTTCTCCATAGTTGAAACAGAAGAGACATCCCAGGATGACAGGTTTTGATTGAATGCTGCGATGCTCCAAAGAAAAGTTTTCGCATCTCTCTGACAGAAGAAACATCCCAAGATGAAATGTCATCATTGAAGAATGGCTCTGAATCAAACAGTCGGCTCATTTGTTTGACATTCAAGACGCACCATGATCCCATTGGCCAGCCGTATTTTTGCACAACAGTGTTGTTGCAGTTGTTATCATCTGAACAGCCATCATGGATAAACTAATTTACCGCATGACTTAGTTCACTAGCATCGGTGGTAAAGCAATCACATCCCTTAGCATTCCGCTGTTGTGTATTGGCAGAAGGCTGCTGCACCAAAACATCGTTGTTGGAACAAGTGAAGGCGCTCGAAGAAGCAAAGCTGATATGAAACCAAGATAACAGGAGCGCATAACGCGGATCATCGCGATGACTATATACGCGGGACTATTTTGAACCCATAGGCGCCACAAGGAAGAGTTAATGTGGGCACTCTTTCTTCATCCAGAATGTGTACTGTGACGACTGGACAAAGTGAAGTTTCCGCACATTGGAGTCCTAATGCATGAATGATATTGGCGACATTTCATTTCGTCTCATCAGCCGCAATGCGATGTGAAGGAATAATTGTTGGAACGTTGGGGGATGGAATGAAGGGGGAAGGGATAATCTAACGTAGACGGAAGAAAGCGGTCGAACCAATGGACTCAATAGTGACTCCATGAACGATGGTAGGGCGACCGTCATCTCAGTATTGCACCAGCAACCCAAGTCCGATCTACACATATCGAACTTGTGTGCAAGTATACTGACAGAAAGATAGAGTTATTTCTTTCTTTCCCATCCCACCACACCCTGTTGGGCCTTGACACGATTGTTTCGTGTCAAGGCCTGGCAGACAAGCAAGTCTCAGATTTCACGTCTTACGGGAAATCTGAGACTGGTCCTTTGAGCACACCACAACCCACCAGAGTCACTCCAAGAAACACCAAGCAGAAGAACCCGAAAAGAAGGCGCCAGTTGGCTATCTTCGATAGTTAATTATGAGGGATCGAACCCGATTCGACATCTGTTTACCGTACACGTACCAGCCAGGCCCTTGACTTGACAACGCGCTCAACAGTCCCGCCGCTCGCAACGCCGCTCACATTTCTGTTGAACGATGGAGAAAAAAGTGAATTGAGATGAAGTTAACCAAGTAGTCCTCCTTTGCCAACCCTTGACTAATCGATCTGCTTTCACGCTGCTGCTGCCGCCTCATTGTCAAGATCTTTTGAACTTCACGTCCAAGAAAACGCAGTCCTTTATTGTTATAAGCGAAGAACACACATATTGCCATGATTCCAAAGAAACCGTGAATTGACTCAGTTGTAGAAAAATTGTATAAGACTGCGCTTTTTGGACAAATGAGTTCATTCCAAGCATCACTCCAGTTGCACACTACAGTACTATCGAAAGCTGCTCCTTCAAACATTCTCTCCGCACCTGTAACATTCGAAACATCCCACGATGACAAGTCTTGATTGAAAGATGATGCGCCATTAAACATATCAGTCATCCATGTTACAGAAGAAGTATCCCAAGATGACAAGTCTTGATTGAAAGATGATGCGTTCTGGAACATGGCATACATCCATGTTACAGAGGAAACATTCCACAATGACAAGTCTGCATTGAATGTCGATGCGCCATTGAACATTTGATCCATTCTGATGACAGACGAAACATCCCATGATGACAAGTCTCCATTGAAGGCCGCTGCTCCTTGGAACATCCTTTCTGTCCTGGTGACAGAAGAAACGTTCCAAGATGAAATGTCGCCATTGAAGGATGATGTACCGTCGAACATTCCATTCATGTTTGTAACAGAAGATACATCCCATGCTGATAAATTTCCATTGAACGCCAATGCTCCTTTGAACATCCTTTCCATCATTGTGACAGAAGAAACATTCCAAGATGAAACGTCGCCATTGAAGGATGATGCACCCTTGAACATTTCACTGATGAGTGTGACATTCGAAACATCTCACGATGAAATGTCATCATTGAAGGACTCCCACGATGGGGTCATCATTCCAGGACGGGGAGGAGGGCAAAATAATTGATGCATGTGTTCGACATTCAAAACACACCAGGATCCCATTGGCCAGCCATATTTTCGCACGGCGGTGTTATTGCAGTTGTGGTCATCCGAACAACCGTCAAATATAAAATCATGCACAGCCTTTCGTAATTGCATCCGGTGGCTGAAGCAAGTATAACCATTTTCATTGACCTGTTGCATCTGGGAAGAACGTTGCTGCGCCAAAACATGGCCATCACGCCAACGAAAGGCGCACAAATCGGAGGCGGTTGCCAATCGATTCAGCAAACACAAGCTGATAGTCGGAAAGAAGAGGAACGTGACTCGAACCATCTTGACTATACAAGCAATCCCTTTGAGCAAATGGCTCTGCAACAAGAGAGAATCTATTTAGGGGCTCCTTCGCCATCGATGTTGTGATGATATTATAGATTGTGAAGATGCCGCGCATCCTTCGAGTCCTGAATAATGAATTATTGTACTGGCCTACAACTCGAGGTAGTCGTCTGCATTCTGTGTCTATCTATACTTCTCTTCCACATCAACATCACAGGCCAATCCCACATTCATACTGGATCAACCTCAGCCTAGAGTCGGTGGCAACACTGTCAGCGATCTCACAATTCCCACATAGCATCGCACTGAATACGCATGATACCGCGGTCGATATCATCTATGCGGCAAACTTTTGAATGGCATATTCATATACGGACGTCTCCCTGACGCTCGAGTGTTTGAATCTTACATTTTATTGCGACGAGAGCATATTGAATACTGTGTTATAAATAAATATATTTATCATCGTCATAACAATCCTACACGTGTTGATTTGTTGTTCTGCTTTGATTGGAATTATTGTTGCAACCTCATTCGTGCTACTGTATTTATATCAACGCCGCATTCGCGCTCGTCACATTCATTGACAATAACTCCCTCCCAACGCAAAGCCTCTGAAAGTCCTTGCGATGATGGAGAAAACAACATCAGGGCATCAACGTTTCATCTACACGACACAGACCATTAAGGTTCCACGAGACGTGACGCATGCCTCTATCCATGAAAAAGTTCAGGAGATTCGACATGTGACATTCACAGGCCGCCTTGAGCTGTTGGAAGTGAATCTAAACATGGGGCTCCGGGTTCTTGGGAAAGCAGTCTTCAAAGGTTGTCTATCTTTGAAAAGGATATCTGTACCTATGACAGTGCAGATCATTGGCTATTCGGCCTTCCTTGGATGTGGATCTTTGACTGATGTAGAACTATTCGAAGGCCTGGAAGAGATTGCTGATCTGGCCTTTCTGAGCTGTCGGGCATTGCAACGAATATCCATCCCTTCAACAGTGGGCACAATTGGGAACTGCGCCTTTGGTTACTGCGAGTCATTGGTGGAAGTCTCATTTCAAGACGGCCTATTCGAAATCAAAAGAGGTGCTTTTCAATATTGCGTCGGATTGTCCCGTGTATGCATTCCAACAACAGTACATACTATTGGAGAGTCCGCATTCGCCTTCTGTACTGCACTTGTTGAAGCCGATCTAAATGAGGGTCTTGTATCCATTGAAGCGGCGGCCTTTCAAGGATGTACGGCGCTATGTGCTGTCTCCATTCCACATACGACAAATGTTATTAAAGATGGGGCATTTGGGGGCTGCACGAAGCTCCTTGGTGTAGAGTTAGCAAGTTCCAGTTTATTTAAACTGGAACTTGGGGAAGCTGTCTTCTTGCGCTGTAATGCGTTGGTCAATGTTTCTATCCCTTCCGCTGTAAATAAGATCGACAATGAGGCGATTTTCCATGGTTGTCCTCTGTGGGATGATGAAGGCACAGACGATCCGCTCCAAGACCGATATGCAAACCTACCTATCCACGAGGCTTGCTATCAGGCGTCGAGAATGACTGTTGACGACCTGAAGACTCAACTGGCAGTATCATCATCCAATGAGAAGACTTGTCTGGTCGATGCTTTTGGTTTGACCCCGTTTCATATCATTGCAACATCTTCCAAGCTTCGCACTGATCTCATGTCAGTACTGTTGGATCACTATCCATTGGAGATTGTTTCACAAAAGGATCGCAATGAAAAGACAATGATGGACTATTTGTTAGCGCACACTTCGTCCAATGCGAATCCAATGATTCAAATGGTTCAAATGGTTCTCAAGTATACGTTGAATTTCATCATGTCCCGCTGGGGTCTGAAACAGTGGAGAACGAAGATTGCTTTGCAAATGGAACAACGATCCATTGAGTGGAATCATAAAAGTGTCGTCCAAATCCTCAAGTCGTTGACTACTTTCTTCCAAGCCGAAGTGACATCAATTCTCGAGTTGGCATTGTGGAAAATAAAAATCATTAGCAACTCGACCTTGCAAGATGATCCTTCTTCACGACGACAAGAAGAAGAAAAAGAAGAAGTGGATCGAGAATCCTGTCGCATGATCTGCAAAGCTGATGTTGTGATTTCAAATGTCGTTGGCTTTCTTTGGCAAGATAAAGACGAATCATCCATAATTTCGAATGTCTTGCCGAATTCCTATCACATCATTTCCATGGCAGAAATTTGAAGGTGCAAAGGTCACAAAATAGGGCAAGTAGTATTTTAATAAATACACTAAAGTTTTAAAATATCACACGACCAATATGCTGTAGCACTCGTGAAAGACTACAATACGCTCTGCGACTTTGGTTAATGGTTGTGCCTCTTGGATCGGTTTCGATATCTAACGCAATAAAGTAACAACAAACCCACTAATACAAGTGCTCCGTACATAGTCTGTCCACTAGTGGCAGTAGAAGCATGCATTCCAGCAGCATCCAAAGTTGCAGTTTTCGTGGCCTTCATTTCCACAGTCTGGTCATTAGTAGCAGTAGCCACGCTACTTGTTGCATCCAAAGTTGGAGTAGTAGTAGTAGTAGTAGTAGTAGTCGTAGCCTCGTGTTCTTCCGTGCACACCTTGGCTAAAACATTTTTCCAAGCCTCGCCCCACGAATTGCAAATTATAGTCAGATCCATGGCAGTAGTAGCTCCATCAAAGATATCCTTTGCACTGTTGAGTTTCGAAACATCCCAAGACGACAAGTCTTGCTGAAAGGATGTCGCCTTGTGAAACATGCCGGCCATGTCTTGTACATTGGATACATTCCAGGAGGACAAATCTTGATTGAAGGAGGATGCCTCTTGAAACATGCGATGCATACTCTTTACAGAAGACACGTCCCATTTCTCCAAAGGTTGATTGAACGAGGAGGCACCAATAAACATTCCCGTCATGTCGGTCACAGAGGAAGTATTCCACAAGGATAAGTCTCCATTGAAGGAGGTTGCACCCCAAAACATTTTTTCCATGGTCTGAACCGACGAAACGTCCCATGCCGAAAGGTCTTGATTAAAAGCCAATGCACTATTGAAGGTGTTGTACATGTTGGTAACTTTCGAAACGTTCCATTTGGAAACATCTTGATTAAAGGCGGATGCCCCCGCGATCATGTAGGCCAGGTTTTCGACCTGTGACAAATCCCATTTGGAAATGTCTTGATTGAAGACGCGTGCCCGATAAAACATGTGATCCACACTCTTGACATTCGACAAATCCCATGCAGAAATGTCATCATTGAATGTTTTCTTGTTGCTAAACAATTGGTCCATTTCCGTTACAGAAGAAACACACCAGGTGCCCATGGGCCAGCCATATGTTTTCACAATGGCAGTCTTTAATTTGCAGTTGTGGTCATCCGAACAGCCATCTTGGATAAAGGTATCCACTGCTTTTCGAAGTTCTGTACTATTTTGGAAACAAGCACAGCCGTAGTCATTGACCTGCTGATGTTGCTGATGCTGTTGTGAATCATTGCCCAAGGAACACGTAGTAAAGGTAGAAGAAGAAGAAGATGCCGTTGCAGATGATGATTGTGATGACATTGACAAGATGATCATCATCGTTGCCACCACCAGGATTTTGTGTACAACCATCTTGATGGTAACATGCGCGCAGATGGCTACCTGTGTGTGTAGTTCCAAGGTTAACTGTAATTGGTTGAATCGTCAGCTCAATCGCAGGTTACTGGTACCTGGTACCATAAGCATAACAATGACAATAATATAAAATAACTGCCCAAATTTTTCAGGTTATTGTTTCAAAATATTCAAAATGCTGTGCGATCACCGATTCTCTATTTCCTCATATTTAGTCTAACGAGTCGCAATCTATCACGACTTGAAAATGAACAGGAATAATGACGAATCATCCATCTGTGACTACACTATCATCATCCTTCCAAGGTCATCCATTATTCTCTGAATGCACGGTAAATATTCTAGCAAGCATACAGTTATTAAGCGACTGACCCAGTCACCGGACTTGTAACGAATACAAGACAGTCCAGGAAGAATATGAGAACGGGTCCAGATCACAACACCACCGAAAGTGATGAATTCATTGCTCGTGCTTTGGCCGAGCAAGAAGCCGAAGAACACGAACGAGCTGAAGCCTTGAGACGGAGGCAGTCAAACAACAATACCAATACTACTGTTCTACAATATCCGGGAGATCGTCTGCGGCAACAGCAGCAACAGCAGCAGCCGTATCAATCGTATGCGCCACAACGAGGATATCCATCTGGAGGACATAACTATCAAGCACCACCACCACAACCACCGACCTACGCTCAACCGCCACCTGCCTACAGTGCGCCTCCTACATTGCAACATGCTCCACAACAGCAACCACCACCGCCACCTCTTGCATTTGGTGGAATGTCGAGACAACGCACTCCCATGTGTCACATTCCCTGTGTCGTCGGACCAAACTCCGTCTGTGTGGAAATGTAAGTGATCGATCATGGATTTATTGTGTGTCATGACTTTTTTGGAACCCACATTACTAAACACTCCTTGTCTTTTTCTTCTCTTCCAATCAATCTCTTGCTACTACTATTACTGTAGGATGGTGGATACAGGTGCCGAGAGCTCGGTCATTTCCGAACAGCTGGCCAAAGAACTTGGATTGCAAATTGATCGACGCGCCCAAGGGATTGCGGCCGGTGTCGGCCAAGCCCGGATTGTGGGACAAGTCCGAGATGCCGTCGTGACCTTGGGTCACGTGGAATTTCTCATGGAATTCATGGTCCTCCAAGTGCCCACACGGCGTCTCTTACTCTTGGGATTGGATCAAATGCGAAAGTACAAGTGCATTGTCAATTTGGAAAAGGATGTTTTGATCTTTGGAGGAGGTGGAGGTGTGGAAGTGTCCATGTTGCCACCAGATCCTCAAAGGCATTTGATGGTGCCGGGTGTGGGTGGAGGTTGTAACATATCCTAATAGTGTAATCCGCACATCGGTGTGCATCTATTATTTTACTTTAGGAACTTGGAAGCTTTCTGATGATTCTTCCATGGCAATAATGTGCTTTGAGATAAAAATAGCGTGTCAATGACTTGAGGGCTTGGGTGATATTCTCACGCCGATTCCATCTGCACAGCCATTTCGCTTCTCCACCATGATTCTAGAGACCACAGCCGGACAAGATGGCATTTATTGCAAACTTGAGGGCCATTTGAATCATTGGAATGGGATTGAAAATATAAAAGTGTGCGCCAACAAATAGTCCATCATCGTCTTCCCCTGATGATCCGTTTGCGAGACAATGATTTGATATCGCATATTCTACTCCCGACGAGAAAACAATCAGCAAGGACCTGACTCAATTCCAAGGGCGAAGATAGTAGGACCCAACCATACTGCTAGTGGATACCGGTTTCATTTAGGGGCATCCTGCAACCATGAGGAGGAAAGGCGAGACGAAATTCAATGGGTACTCTAATAAGTGACCAAAAGCTTGAAGTGGCAGTTTCTATTCTTGTGCTGCATATGTATATCACTCCATGCAGCTCTCGTCAATTTCGGTTTGGCAATCGACTACCCAATTTTTCAGGGAAGCTAAAAGTGGTCGTACTAGGAGGAGAGCTAGAACGCATCCTCATGGTCCAGTGATATGGTTGGTCATTGAGACAAGGTGAAAAGGCATTGAATCTTTCCTTAGGCACACAAAATTAATACTGCTTTCGAAATCATGTTGCATGGTACATACCTACCGGTAGGTAGAACAGATCTCGTGCGGCTTTTTGCTTGTCTGGCGTACAGATCTTTTGGATACACTGCAAATTTTCAGAGAAGACAGGCACACACTGGATCTTTTCTGGGGCACAAAAAAGACTGCTTCCAAGATCATGTTATTGCACTGCGCACGTGATGATTGATGGTCTGCAAAGTGGCCCGTCTTTTTTTTCCAGGGCAGCCTATTTGCTTACTGTGCACGTGAAAACTGAGATGTACATACAGTACGGTAGGATTTGGTCATACCTTTTTCCGCCGACTCAATCGACCAAAGGTTCGACTTTCTATTTCTTCAATTTTTAGCACGTTATGTCTGCTTTTTCGCACCATTTGCAGACCCTATCCTGTACATTTATGCTATGTAACTGGTACAAAAACCTGTAGCGTGTCGTCTTGAGATGGACACTGGATCTTTTTTCGGGAAAGAAAAGACTGCTTTGCTTTTGGTAGGTGGTACTATGGTACCCTGACGCATTTTATTGTTTTTTCTCCTCGTAGAACCACATACTATCTCCATGCAGCGAAGCGAAAGTAGTATCCTGATATTATGATACGCTGGATCATTTCACAATAGAATACTACCGTAGGATATTATATAGCAATAAATAAATCCATTCTCGTACAATAACCCACGTACAAAACGGTACCAACTTATCAAAAGTTGTGAAATCTTTTTTTTGGGATCTGCTGTTTTCTTGGATCACAATCTGATATTCCTGACGATTGAAAGATGAAGCTATCGTCTCTTGCATTGAGCTCGCTCGTTGGAAGCTTCTGCTTCTTCTACACTTCTGGCCACATGGCAGACCCCACTCCTTTCGATCTTTATGATGAGAATGGTCAGCCTTTGGGTAAGTTTCAATTGAAGGGTGGTGACATCAACAGTTGGATTGTTGATGGAGATGGGTACACCGTGTGCCACAAGGATGATGCCGGAAGATCGGGAGCTCACCACAGCCGCCATCTCAGCCGAGAACATGCTGAAAAGATGCGCGCTCTACATCAAACAAGATCCCACGAACGAAATGGTGTGACTACGGAGACAGTCCGCGCTGAAGACCGTGGAGAAGTGCTTGGATATGGCAAAGATGGTGAATTCGTGTACTTCTACTGCACAAGGCTCAAGGGTGGAAACATTACTGCTGACTTGGATCTTCCAGTCGCAACTACAGACCCCACCGAAATTGAGTACCTGGAACCAAACATCCACAAGTCGTTGCACGTTGCAGCTATGGAAGCTGGAGTGTACGGTGAATGCTCGCTCAACACAGGCGGAGTTTGTGAGCCTGATGACACGAGAGATCGTCTGCTTCGTGGTCGTGAACTGTCTGGGCTCAAGGAAGGAACGGTCCGCAACTTGGTCATCCCTATCAAGTTCGTTGGACATGAAAAGCAGGCACTCCCATCGAAAAGCGATCTCGAGGTCCTGATGAATGCCATGGAACCAGACGCTACCAGGGCACCAACTGGCGGTGTGAAGAAGGTCTTCCATGACAACTCGTAAGTATTGGTATTGAGACTTCGTATACTTTGTATTTTGTATTACACCTCGATACTGATACTTCAATGTGCATTGCTCTGTTGTAGGGGAGGAAAGCTCACCTTGGAATCGACAGTTCTTGACTGGGTTCAGTTGGATGGCAGTACAGGTGGTTACTCTCATACTGAGGATTACTGTACTGGATCCTTTGATAAAACGACCAAAGGCCAAGGGAAGGGAGCTACATACCTACACGACTGTTTGGTCGAAGCGTTGAACAAGATTGATAGTTTCGTTGACTTCAAACAATTCGATAGTGATAATAACAACAAGATCGACGCCATTACGTTCATCCATTCGAGCTATTGTTCCACCGCTTGTGGCAGTGCAAGGGACAAGATTTGGTCTCACCAGTGGGGGCTGAATGGTAAACAGTGGACAAGCGCGGAGGGCGTTGTTGTTAACGCATACCATATCAATCCAGGATTGATTGGTTGTTCGGGAAGTAAGATTGGAACCATCGCCACCATTGCACACGAGACTGGACACTTTTTGGTGAGTATCATACTATTTGAATGGATGGACGGACGGATTGATTGCTGATCAAGTGCGACGCGGTATATATATATTTGTGCTCACATCTGAACCCATTGCGATCTTAAGGGCTTGCCCGATCTGTACGATAGAAATGGAGGTGGAAATGGCGTCGGTGCCTGGAGTTTGATGGCATCGAGTGATGGTTTTGGTGGTACGAAAACATGTACGTATCACAATCACTGCCTGTCTGATTTGTGAAAACAGCGCATGCTGAATGCTGACAAGTTTCTGTCATACTCGGTTTATGCCCATCGCCTATTAGACCCTCCCATGCTAGACCCGTGGTCCAAACTAAAGTTGGGCTGGGGAACAGCCACCGAGCTTTCGTCATCGCAAAACAAGGTGGTGTTGCAACCTTCCGCCACAAACCACAAGTATTATAAGATCAGCAAGGGGTTTGCAGCAGGAGAGTATCTTCTCATTGAGAATCGCCAGAAGAAGTCCTTTGATTCGAAAATCCCAGAGGTAAGTGCGAGCAAATTGTTGCGTGAAACGCTTGTGATAAGTGGATGAATGATACTAGCAAAGCGAGTCTGACGCTCTCATTGTTTGTTCTCGACCATAGGCTGGGCTCATGATTTGGCACATCGATGAAGACAAAAGTGGCGACCAGAATGATGACGAAGGGCATCCTGGGCAACCAGATTGGCCTAGCAACGGCAGACACTATCATGTCGCTTTGATGCAAGCTGACGGAGAGTACAAGTTCGAGAAGCAGAATTCTGGTAATGGAGATAAAGGTGATATGTATGGACAATGCCTTGGGGGTGGAACGTTTGGTCCTTCCACCACTCCCAACTCCAAAGGTTATCAAGGTGGTCACGTCAAAGATACTGGTATCACAATCACCAATATCTACCAACAGGGAGATGACATGGTCTTTGATGTTTGCTTTGGAGATTGTGCCTCGGGTTCTGCGGCACCGCCTACTCGTGAATGCTGCAAAGATCTGAAAGATTACAAAATGTGGGTGAAGGTGGGTGCAACGAATCAATATTACTCATACACATGCGACGAGATTATGGTAAGTTTCAATGATATTTGTTTGTTCTCAACAGCGCTACATTGTGTTAACAAGTTTCAATCCATTGAAACCATAGAGCAGAGATATGTGTGATTCTACGAATGGAGGCGAACCAAACACAGGTTTCCAGACGACAAAGCCCAAGGATGCATGCTGTGGATGCAAGGGCGGTCGCTTTGCCTCACCTGGTGCCACCCCTGCTCCGATTACTCTCCCCCCAACTGCTGCTCCTGCTCCTGGCTCTACCTGCAAGGATGTTGCAGGGTACGAACTATGGGAGAAAACTGTTGGTACTAACTATGACACATACACATGCAAAACCGCTTTGGTGAGTTTCAAAAAGTGTTTGATTGTTGTCGACCTCGCTGGATGTTTTTGTTATCATTTTTTAATCCTTTGAAATCCGCCCTTAGGTCCTAGGCAAGTGCGATTCGACCAGTGGAGGCAAACCAAACACACCCCTTGCCACCAAAACGCCGAAGGAGGCATGCTGTGGATGCAACGGCAGCTGCAAGGATGATACTGCATGGAAGGACAAGGGCAATGATACATGTGCCGGGTATACGAAGTCACCAAGTTGGTGTGTTCAAGCTGAAAAGTTTAAGAACGCTGCTGGTGTTTCTGCAAAGCACGCTTGCTGCATCTGCAAACTCTATTATTAAGATCGTGCCTGGTATCAATCATTGACGACAACAAGACTTGTCCCCTCCCTTGATACTACTTTTTTTTGCTCCATCATTGTGTTCCGTCGTTGCACGATGGATGGATTCATAGTTACACAAAGTTCATCTCATGAAACAGATAGCACATTTAAAAAAATTAAATTCAAGGGAAGTGTATTTTCAATTTCATGGGCCAACGCCATTCGTCGCTCTCCAGCACCATATATATATATCGATCGTTCGAATAATCCACGATCGACCACCTCGATTCAAAAGATGGGAGCTCTTTTTTTATATACCGTATTTGATACCGGTATAATATATATTCATTGTCAAAATTATCAAAAATTGATCGGACTTGTGTTGTGGAGCAATGCTGTTGTGATGAAAGCTATCGAAGATAGCCAACTGGCGCCTGCCGCCTGGTTTCTTCCATGAGGGATTCTTTCTTGGTGTGACTCTGGTGGCTGTTAGATAATAAAAGACCCTACGATACTCTGAGACGATCAGTCTTCAGTTGTTCGGCGTAACGTAGTCCTAATACTATGAACCTTAAAGTCGTTAATAAAACTTGCTTTAGTTGGGATAAGAGT